CTTTTCCCGAAAATTCAATTTCCACTGGGTGGGTCTTCTACCCCGTCCCGTAATGGAGTGCGTATGTACGTATGTACGTATGCATGTGGTATGTAGTGCGAGTGTGGCTGACTTGTTCTTCTCAAAGAAAAATAAACTTATTTCGTGTAAACGCCAAACCCAAGACTTATTTCTGCCTCATTTATTTATTCCCCTCGACACGAAAAAAAACAGCGAGGAGCGAAACCAGGAGTACATTTCGGCCATGTCTGTCGTCAATTTCTCTCTCTCTCTCTCTCCATGATAATGAAACTCTTAAATGGTTCTGATTTATTTTAAAGAGGAAACAGAAAATTTAACCCGGATTTACTTAATTGAATTTGGATGGAAATCATCCTCATTGACAACATATTTTAAAAAAGGAGGAGGAAAAAAATCCATTGTAGTTCTGTTTGGTTGTTGTATTTAGCATCCGTCAAGTTCCTTTCCCAGGTCACAGCATGTATTCAATTTCATCCATTAGTTGATGGATGGATTGGATGAGCAGGAGCAGGAGCAAGTATTTGCTCTGTGTAGGACAAAAGAGAAACTTTTTAAAAAAAAGTGGGTACTGCGTAGCTTTTTCGGATCGTAATGGTAAAAATGGCAGGAGGGTGTAACAACAATGCTCGCTACGCGTGTGTCACTCATTCAGGCAGAGAGAGAGTGGTCGTTCGTTCGTTAGTTTGTCACTCCATTGAAGAGCGAGGACAATGGAGGAAATGTGCATATATGCGAATTATGTGGTGTGTGCTGTCTGTAATAGGAGTGTGTGACGGGTGATTTGATGGTAGCTGGGCCCTGCTAACGAGATTTTTGAGTCGTCGTCGTCGTCCTTGTTGGAATAAGTAGAATATGGAAAATATGACTACCCGCTGTTGATTGGTTGGCATCCTTTTTCGGGGATGTGTGTACATGTGTACACTCCGCAAGCAGACATGCATGTGCTGATTCATTATGACGGAAGAAAAAGAAGAAGGGAGACAAGTTCTTCAAGGGTTGTTAACATTACAGGTTCACCCGGGTAACGATGCATTATCCGGTGAAAGGAGGGTGATGTCGGGTTGAATTACATTTGTGTGCACGTTTTCCATCCACTCACTCAAACCATTTTTACCTTTGCATACTCCTTGATGCACGTGTGCTAGCTACTTTGCCTACCTGGCCAATAATTTGGATGAGGGGGGTCACCATGGCAACCCCTCTGATTATGTTTATGTCTGAAATCTTAAAAAATGTTTCAAGCAGCAAGGCATACATAATTCTGCTTCCTTCTCAATTGCGATATGGCGATGATGATGGTGATGACGATGAAGATGTAACTTTGTGATTGATGAAAGTGCGAAGAGAAATCAGATTCCGATAGAAAAAAGAGTGACTGACTGCGACTCTCGACTGGGATCATATTTTATTTTTATTTTATTTTCCCCTCACGAATGACGCGATCTTTGCTTAGTTGGGCGACCATGTTATCCATCATCTTTTTGTGCCATGTTTCGGATGAGTCGTGCGTTTTTGAGGATGTGTAAACCCACCAGCGATGGAAGAAGACGGAGAAAACGGAGCCATGGATGGGAGATAGATGAGCGTGAGGGGAGCTCAAGTGGTAAGGAGCGTCCCAGTTGGCTCCATACCGTGCTATTTCATATTTATTCCTCCGTCGCCGAGAATGAAGGGACGACGACATCTTTATTATTAATGCGCTCAATGTGACGAGGACGATAAAAGGGATTGATTCCTCCTTCGATAGAGCAGCTAAAGTGTTAACAATGTCAACAAGAAGATTGAACGGAAAGGATGCCGCATTATACGCAATAAGTTGCTTACTTACTTGGATGGATGGATGGAAACGTGACCAAATTATGGAGATGGCATAGTTCAAAAGTCTACAGTTTAATAAGTTGGGCTGCTTATTTGTATAGATACATATTTTCATCAGGGGTGAAACGTAATGACGACGAATCCCATTGGGCACACTAATAATCAAAAAATTTCAAAGTGGATCCATACTTTTTTCTTATCATTTCCATCATCGTCTCGTTAAATTGGAGTGGATACTGGATGGACACGCGCCTCTCCGACTTGCTTACTTTCTCCTCCTCGGAGAATTCACTTTCTGAATATTAGGAGTTTTTCCTGACTAACTATTAATGGGCTTTGGTTCTTCTTGGTTAGTTAATGTCTCAAAGTATAAAAGCAAGTGAATGGAGGAACGAGATTAAATGTATTGATGTGACATGACGTGATTAAGTGACATGTGACATTATTATACATCTTTTAGTTTTGTGGATAAGTGTCGGACAAGATTTGACATTGGATTGGATGATAAATGATGTCGCATTCCACTCTGCTGATTGCCTACCATTCATAAGAAAGTCATACAGTTACATATTTATGTGTGTACCTACTTGCGTAGTTATCTGGTGCGTTCGCCAAGTGTAATGCGCAACATTAGCTTGTTATGAAACATTTCTTGGAACCGTGAAATGGAAGAATTGTGAAACAAAATATTATTAAATTGACGTTTGTGTCCCTCCCGTCGCCGTAGAGAGGTGGGTGGTGGTGATGGTGTGGTGACGGTAGTAGTTTTATTGAATGGGGATCTAACGACTTTTGAGTAGTCTTTATGACACAAGGAAAAGGGTCGTCGAGCTGATAAAAATGGTGCCAACAACAATTGGCTCATCAAGTTGAAAAGCATCCCTGTGTTTTTCCTACTCCTCCTCCTCCTCCAGAAATTGATATTGATTTCAATATACATATCACACATTTCTTCTTGTTACCTGGCATTTATTAAAGGCTGGCCTGCTTATCATCACGAAAAAGCGGCATCATGATTATTATTGAGGATCAAAGTAAATCGACAAAAGGGGAAAAAAGTCCAATAATGAAACCCTAACTCTGCTAATTGAACAATATTATATTTTTCTCTCCCTCTGTCACAAATTCATTCCTGGCTGGCAAAAGGATCAATTTTATAAGAATTTCACATCCTCCTTGACACACAGACAGCCTGAGAGCTCATAAAAAAACCTATGTCATGATGCAGTTATCTTCCAACCCAGAAAAAGAATAATTACCGTAAAACCCCAACTAAACCCAGTTATTAACATTATTAAAAGTTATCTCGGAAGGATGATGAAACTAAAACGCGATGCAATTTGTAGCGACGTGGTGTTGTGGTTGGTCACTTTTTAAAAGCTTATAAATAAATACAGTGGTTGTCTTGTGGTAAGTAAATGTCGAGACGGTTTTAAACCTCTCCAAGGTCTGCACAACTCTTCAAAATTGTGGACAGAGCAACATTTACTTGCAGAGAAGGGAATCGTATTATTATGATTATTATTGCGTGGTAGTGAGCAATTATGGGGATACACTTACTTATGGTTTTTCTACCTCAGTGTGCCACTGCCTACTGACTGAGTGAGCGACCCTTCATCTTGGGCCTTTTGTTTCTGAGCAACAATAATTGTGCAGTTGTTGTTATTACGTGGACAGAAAGAGCGAGAGAGGGAAGAAACGAAGGGATGATGATAATCCTTCAGTCTTCCAGTCGTCTAAAGGATTATATTTATGATGGGGCTGAGGAAGTAGGGACCACGACGTCCATCCCAACCTACCTTAAAATGCTTTTGTTCATCCTGCCATATAATCGGAGGGGGTATATGGCAGGGGGAGGAGCAGGGGACAGGTACAGGTTGTGGTGGTTGCCCAATATGTACCACTTTGTCCCAATAATTTGGTGGAGTGAGAATGGAAATATAATGGACAATTTATAGAGCGGGGTTACTTTCACTGCTTAATAATGAACCGTGTCGAAATCGTGGCGTCGAATTCACTACTGGGCACACAAAGATGAAATACATAAAATGTAGGCTCATTTTTACATAAAATCAGTTGAATTTATGTAGTCCAGGACAAGAGAGGAAGAAGAGTACCTTTGGTGGTCTATGGTTTCTATTGTTTGTTTGTTTAGGTTTACACTCACAACATTTTATTGCAGTATAAGTTGGTAAAAGTTTTGGAAAATGTGTAAAAATGTCAGTCCAATCTGAGGATGAGCGAGACTACTTAAGAGACCACCTTTAAGTTCCACTTTATTGTTGTTATTGTCCTTTTCGATCCATCTCTTCTGCAAATTAGACACCTTCCGACGAAGCAAACATTATAGCCTGGACATGTTGATGATCATATTGAAACCTTCTTTTCTACGCGTTGTGATGTGACGTCCTTGGTCGCAGGTTGTTGTTTTTCAAAAAGTATTTAGTGGAAAAGATGAAACATTTTTCGTGTTCTTTATCTTATCCGGGATTGGAGAGGAGGAGACTTTTGTGAGCGAGAGTTTTGTCGAGATTTTTAGAGAGAAGGAATACATTTTGTTTTTAAATTCTCATCTCAATTCATTAATTGCATCCCAAAACAGTTCGATGGTTTCTAGTCTTCATCTTGATGAAGTTCTTGAATTTTTGTTTGATGTTTTCTAAATTTTTGAGTTTGAGACTCATCGTTTTAATTTAAGAGAGAGAAAAATGCCAATTTTTTGTTGTAACGCATGAATAAACCATTTTTGATGGTGTGCCTTTTCTTTGTCTAATTATTGTATACCTAAAGCTCTAACTGAACATTAAGTAAGGGAGTGAAAATTCCCTTGTGGAAGGAACACAGTAATTGCTGATGAGTAGTTTTTAGACAACGACGATTGCTTTCTCCCTCGTCAAGCAGTACGCTCAAATGATCTCATTCCTTTTTTATCATTAAATTTTGATGTCAACATCAAAAGAAACGAGTATGGCTGCAGTGCCAACTTGATTTTTTTTTGTTAAAAGTTGCTCCCCTGTCAACTTGACTTTGGAGTTGACAGATGAACCCATTTCTTGGATGAGTAATCAATTAAGTCCAAGAGCTATGTTAAAAATTAAAAATAAAAGTTTTCAATTTTTAAGAAAATTTGTTCCTAAGATATTCGTTTTTATTTATTCCAGGTGTCGAAGGAAGAGTATGACACGTGCCGCATTACGAATCCCAACCCGAGGATAATCGCTGTTTGTGATAAGCCCCATAAGTTGATGTATTTCACAATTACATTTCGCAGCTTCACTCCCCAGCCAGGCGGTCTCGAGTTCCGTCCAGGGCAGGACTACTACTTCATCTGTAAGTCAATAATACTACCTCAAAAAGCATCGGATAAATGAATTAACCGATAACCAAGTCCAATTTTTAGCCTTCTCATTTCCTAACGTTATTGTATTAATTGCAGCAACTTCATCACGTGATGATCTCCACCGCCGAGTGGGAGGCCGGTGCTCCACCCATAACATGAAAGTGGTCTTCAAGGTGTGCTGCCATCCTGGGGAGTCCTCCTCAAAGAGTGAGTTTACAAAATTAGCAGTATCAAAAGATGGGAAATTTACCTTAAAAACGGCCTTATTTAATTTACGCATTATTTTCTTGCCCAGGCACCACCACCACAATTGCTCCCCTCATTCACGGCGGAGCTCCGCGACTCTCCACCTCCGCGTCCTCCTCCTCAAACTCCAACCTCGTCCCCACCCTGACCTCTCTGTCCTCAGGGGGTGGAGTGCTGTCGAGTCCAACCCCTCCACCCAGACGGGGTCCCGTCATAGTCTACACGTCATCCCAGTCTCCATTAGGAATCAATTATGGCGGTGGGATTGGGGTCACTGCCGCCCCGACACGCTTCCCACTTTACCATCCCACCACGAGATACCCTCCCAAGAAGAATCAGTACAATACGAACCCTAATGTTAAGCCTACTTCTAAGAAAAGTGAGTTCATTCAGCATTATTCGTCAAATGTTAAGAACAATTTCCTAATATTTGTTCCCCCTTGTTTTGCAGAAGAGCTGGAGAAGCATCAGAACGAGGTGGTTAAGAATGAGGAGTTGACGAGTGGGGCGACCTCCTCTCTGCTGCTGCGGCACGTCTCCTTCTCCCTGTGGTCGTGGTCCTTCTCATCGCCACCCCCACTACTACTCTGTCTTGTCAACTTACTCTGGGGCGCGTTACTCCATGTGTAGCCATACTAATTAGTTGTACTAGTTATCTCTTAATTTACGTATCCACAATTATACAGTAGAATTGTTTATCCATCAGCATCAACCGAGTAATTAGTACTCTAAACTAAACTGAAACGGAGGGGCGAACAATGGGGTGAGGTTGTCCTTTGACATGTTAAGCACACTACATGTCCCACAGTATCTTATCGATATATGAAGAATATGTCAAGCACGACACCACCCCATTGCTCGCTCCACCCATATTTATGTATACATACGTGTGCAGCATAGTTTTAAGGAAGAACAATCTCTGAAACCCTTGTTTAAATAGCGAGAAAACTTTTGTATTTACTCACACAAAGATTTTTGTCGTCGTCGTCGTTGTCGTTTTTCTCGTGAGCCATACTACTTTAAGAAGGAGAAGATGAACACTGTTACACGCCCATTAAAATAGTTACGAGTATCATCTCATCACTTATCTACTTATTTCATTCTATGCTATTTTCTTGCTCCCCCCCTTTTCTGTTGTACATTTATAATGTAGCAAAAGGAAAATGTCAATGTAAAGAAATAGTATTTTGTCCATGATGAATACTACGACACACGACCCACGTCACACCCACAGAGAAAGAGCGCATATTATATAAAGACTTAAAATTTATGTATGTACGTGCATACGTTGTATATAAAAATGTGTACTTTGTATCGTATTTTGTAAATTGTATAAAATTTGGTTGGATGTTAATTTTATCTTAGAACTCATTAATTATTGTGACTAGCAGATATGAACAGCCAGCCATGTTGTTGTACCAATTAGAAAGTTAAGTAATATATATTTATTATAAAAGTATAAGTGTATGTAGATGAACACGTATGTTAGAGAGAGAAATAGTGAAGAAGAGGTCAGTTTGGGTGGGGTCTTCTATTTCTCATTCATTCATGTTGATAATGCCTTCACGCAACCATGTGAAAGGGTGAGATTGAGAGAAACTTTAAGAAAGAGGGGTCACATTCTTTTACGCAACTTTTACTTTACGATATTTATACAGGAAAAAACAGCAGGATCTTGATTTGAGTTAGGAAAAAAGTGAGAAACAGATATTTCGACGGTCGAGTGGATCGTTATTCTCTTAAGCAAAGCAAAGAAATACTTGCAACCGTCGTGATGTGGAAAAGCCTTTCTTGACAAAATTTAACATTAAAATACGAGTGACCGTCTCAATTCTTCTTGTCAAATATAGTTGAACTTTTTGATTATACGATGAATACCGATTTTTCTATCAGAAAATTATTATTATGACACACAAGACAAAATGAAGTGACTTTCACACCTTGGGAAAAAAGACTTTCACTCTGCAAATTTAGAAAGCAGGAGGAGGAATTATTTAAAAAATGCACTTTACGCACTTGCACATCCGACTTTCACTTTTTTGACATTCTGTCATCTATCTATTCGTACATCCCAATCACACACACACGCGAAAGAGGAGGAAGAAAAAGAAGAAATTTTTAAATTAATGTTAGACATAATTTTAACAAATGACGAGCATAGTAGCCAAAAAGAAAAAAAGTAGTAGAATGAGAAAAAATGCCCTTATTGTGACCTTATCTTCTCTTACTTATCTCTCAACTTGTCTTGTCATCATGTCGTAGTTAACATTTTACATTACGTATTAACACCCCGAGTCAATCAGATATTAAGGAAGAGAGAAACCGCAACAGAGATGATGATAAATTTTAAAAGGTTTTAAAAAATATTATGATAACGTCCACTTTACTTCATCACACCAAGTCCAATGAGGATCGAAGAAGGAAAAAAATCACCACCACGACCAGCATTTCTGTTTTAGCTTGTTATTTAGCTAGGTATTGTGTAATCAAAAAAATCTACTCAATGTCGTCAACTTATGTATTTACTTACTACTTGGTGTCGTCATCATCATTGTTGTTATGCGTTGAAGGGAAAGCTGTATGTAAAAAGGAGAGGGGAGAAATAAAGTAAGATGAGTATGTGTTATGCAGTTTAAGAAACGCGAAGGATAAGACTACCAATTTACCAAGTTTATTATTCATATATAAAATTATGGATGTTGTATGATGGGTACATGGTCGAGGAGGAGGTGAAAGCCTCCGAAATGAACATCGTTTAAAAACCCAGATAGAATTATTACAAAAAAACTTACTGTTTTTAATGTATCGTCGTATATATTCTTCGTCATCGTCGTCGTCTGAATCATCGTATCGTAACATAACGTAAAAATGTGAGATACTTGTATGACGCAAAGGATGAAGAAGAAAGTTGTTATCTCTCCCAATTCTGCTGCTGCTACTCGGAATATGTCTTTAAGAGTTAGAAGTAAGTAAGGATTTGATATGAGAAATGGAAATGCAGAAGCTAAATTTATGAATAAAAGGAAATATGTTCTGTGGAATGATACATGAAGTGTGCAATTGTGGAGTTTTATTTACTGGTTCAAATGCGATTTTAAGATTATTCATCAATAATTAAGTTGTGCTAATTATTCCCAAAATGCGGCTCACAAAAACTCATCAATTTTGAAAATTATTTCCATAATTTTAGCAGGTGTCATATTTTTATTTAATTCAACTTTCCATTGATCATTTACTTAAAACATATTAGAGATTGGCCTTGTTCGAGTCGACATTGCTGTTGATTTTCTCCCTGATCATCTTCCCAAAATCGGGATGGACCTTCGCAAAATTGGTGATGGCTCGTTCCCGAATGAAGGGAGAAGCTGCATTGAGATGGCCGCCAATATTGGCGGCCAACCTTTTCCTCTCTTCCGGTCCGAGCACCTTATTCCAGAAAGTGGTCACTTGAGAGTAGTTGTCATCATCGGCCGAGTTGTACCGTTCCACTTGACCGGATGCGGTGTAGGATGAAATATCCGCCTTGGGAGTCTCCACCGGACCTGAGAAACTGTTGGGAAAGTAGTTTGGAGCACCGTCATTCTAAGAATATGTTACAATTTATAATAGTTAATATAGCCACACAACAAGAACATTACGATAAGTAAGTTGACTTGCATGCATCGTGTCCACATTCATCGCCCCATCCCGATTATATGTCCTGAGTGGAATAGACCTGAGCGGACAATTGACCGGAATCTGGACATAATTTGGTCCGAGACGATGACGATGAGTGTCCACGTAGGAGAAGAGACGACCCTGCAACATCTTGTCGGGGGATGGCTCAATCCCCGGAATCATGTTGGCCGGAGCGAAGGCGAGTTGTTCGACCTGATTGAAATAGCTGGTGGGGTTTCGATCCAGAACCATGCGTCCAACAGGATGAAGTGGGAACTCGGCTTGGGGCCAAATCTTGGTCAGATCGAAAGGATTGTAACGAAATTTCTCGGCTTGGGCAAATGTCATGACCTTGAATGTTATAAAGTTTGGTTGTGAAGTTTGGTTGTTAAGTAGATATTCGGGTTGATTAAATTGGAACTAATTCAGAATGTAGATCACAAACCTGAATTTTTAGACTCCAGGATGGATAACGATGATCTGCAATTGCATTGTACAAATCATGAATTGAATAGTCGGGATCATCCGCAGAAATCTGGTGAGCCTTCTTGGGACAAAGATTCTTAACCCCTTGGTCCGTTTTCCAATGGAATTTGGCATACACTGGATTTCCATGCGCATTGACGAGCTTGAAGGTGTGGGAGCCGTAGCCGTTCATGTGCCGATATCCGTCGGGGGTTCCTCGGTCGCCGAAGAGGAAACAGACCTGATGGGTCGTTTCAGGACGAAGGGAAATGAAATCCCAAAACATGTCGGGGTCCTGAAACATAATAATCAAAACTTTATTTTTGTTATAAATTATAATTAGTGTTATGCACCGTTGATGGTGAAAATTTTACCTTAAGATGAGTTTGCGGGTTCCTTTTCTGCGTGTGGATGAATGACGGGAAGAGGATTGGGTCCCGAATGAAGAAAATGGGCGTATTGTTCCCAACCAAATCCCAATTTCCATCCTCCGTGTACAACTTGACCGCAAATCCTCTCGGATCCCGAGCCGTGTCCGCAGATCCACTTTCTCCACCCACCGTGGAAAATCGCACCGCCACATCCGTCCTTTTTCCTACGAATTCGAAAGGAGCTGCCTTCGTCCATCTGGTGATGTCATGGGTCACCTCAAAATAGCCGAACGCACCGGCTCCTTTAGCATGCACGACACGCTCGGGAATTCGTTCACGGTCAAAAGCAGCCAAGTGTTCGACCAAGTTGGTGTCTTGGAGAAGGATCGGACCTCGAGGCCCCACAGTGAGGGATTTCGTCAGGGTGGGTAAGGGACATCCGTGAGGGTTAGTGGATCGGTGCGGCGTCTGGAATTGGTGATGCAAATAAATTATTCATTTTTTCATAGAAATTATTAATGTTTCCCCATGAGACGCAACGTATGTGACCTCACAAACAAATTCATAACCTGAGGTCTATGGCATCATGTGATTTCGTGCCTCCTGATAATTCTAGCATGGATGTTCCTTGTTTTTTTGACTTGTTTACGTGACCTCAGGGTTTTATGGCATAAGATTGAAATTCGTAATTCTATGCATAAACCAAACCCCACCAACCGACCGAGACCAACCAATACGTCATTCAAATATGTAACTCTGCACCTTTCCGTAAAAAGAATCTTTAATTTAAAAACTTGTACCTGCTTTTTCTTGTGAAAGTCGGTGAGTTGATTCGCTGCCGGGTCTATGTTCGCCATCCTATTCTCGTCGTAAGGTAAGTAACGGTTTAAGCTACAAATTATAAAGGATTTCTTGTACAAAAAATGATCTGGATAATTCATCAAGGATGTTCACAGTCTTGGAGATGCTGCAACACTGCTGCTGTCTTATCTTGAGGTTTTCTTGATAAGATTGACATAACAGGCAGGAGTGACTGAGTTTGTGTGATTGGCTTGTCCTATTGGTTATCATTATCAGTTGATTTGGGGTTGGAGTACATTCCGCACTTATGTATGTCTACACATAAAACTGGTAATTTATTCCAATACATACGCATTTAATTACCATGTGACGGACATAAGCATATTTGTTTTTGACTTTTTCATTTGATGTCTGTGGGTGTGTTTTCTTACACATCTCACAAATTTCTAAATATTTTCAATATTTCTAGGTTTTCGTAAATACCATTATCTTGGCTATTTTTTAAATACGAAAATTGTGTCAATATTTCGACGAATATAATCAAGAATATTGGTTGAACAACTTTAAGTAAACCAACATTTTGCATTTTTTTCCTAAATAGGAAGTAGTAACAGGCATTGCTTTGGTTATCTCCCCTGGCTTATCGTTCACTAAATTGTTGTATGTACATACGTCCGTTTGAGGAACACTTGCAGGATTTTTTTTGTACTAAGGGCAGATTTTGATGAAATTCATCCCATTCATGAATTTCATATCAGTACCACTCGTGACGATTCATGAAATTTGTGTGAAAATGTAAGGAAAGAGTTAAAAGACTTCGTTGAAATTCCATGCAAATCGATCAAAAACTTGAAGAGCGGATTCATAACATGCCTTATAACATGGCGATTAATTTGTAACATTTACACAATGTTGAATGTGTTTGACCTACCCAAAATGACTTTATTGGTTGACGTAAAATTCCAAAATGCGTATTTATGTAGCCATGAACCATCATACAATAATTAACATAGACAAAACTTCACCAACCAACGCAGGCTAGATATTTATGTCATGCTATAAAACACATTGTAATTTCCCAAGACCACAATTACCCCGAATTAGACAGTGAATACACTCATCCTCAATTAGAAGAAAACGTATCTATTAAAAGCAATGGGTCTGATTTATTTATATTTTCTTTCAAGATGGTTTCCCGTCAAGGCCACTTCAATAACGCGATACGAAGAGAGGAGATTAAACTTTATTGATGTGAGATATTTATTGAACATTTAACTTCACATTATCAAATACAATAAAAAAATACGAATGATGATGTGTATATCAGGACACTGATTATAATGAACCTTTTTCCAGCATGAATGAATTGTTATGCGTGAATGTGTAGTTATGTGGTTCTTGGACTCTGCACTTATCAATCCAAATTAAGAGATAATTTGTATGTTTGTTTGTCTCATCTTTATAATTTTTATAGAACCATTTACTAAAGACTTTCTGGTAGCAGGAAGATTTCATAAGCAGTCTAATTCGATAATTTCATTCAACTTATTGTGTCCCATACATACCTTTAACTTTGATAGATAAATATTGTCTTTACTAATTAGTAAAATCCAACCCGAAATCATGCCACCAGATTTTAATTTCATTATCACCGCATTCCCACTTGACCATATGTACATTGGACATTATTAAGATTATGTACCAAAGCATTATTCTAGTATCTGGGAATGACTGACTGACTGGAATCACAATTTGTCATACCCTCCTCTTCACTATAAGTCGAAATTCAAGTCCAGTCCAACTTGTTGCTCGTGATGTTGTTGATACCTGGTAAACAAGCCGAGTTGAATTCACACTAAAAGTCAAGGTGACCCCATCCATCCCCCGTCCAATGATGCGATAAAAGCATTACTGCATCCATAGCGCATAAATCCTTTGCTATGCTGCACTCCTATTTTTATGAATTCTCACCATATCTCTCTGCCCACTAAATAACTCGCTTTTCCTTCCTCGAGGCGAGATTATTTCATTCCAGCGAAATCAAAATGCAGGCAAGATTCAGATTCAAGATTGGACCATGGAGTAAGATGTACTACACTGTGCTGTAGGATTGGACATTGTGCATGCATATCTGAAAACCAACTACTACAACAAAAGTTGGACCGGACACCAGAGTTGAAGTAACTACTTTTTCAGTATAGTCAGAGAGAACTAAAAGTCATCACGAAGAGCGGAGATACCAAGCAAACCACAGGGTATTAATATTATTATAGTAAATAAGCAGCGTTAATATTGCAATATGATGTGGAATGCGACGCTGAGGATGACGACGGGAGCAAAAAATGTAGTACCACGATGGACGGACGGAGATATGACTCCAGGGCTCGGTGTGCATGGGGGTGGTTTAGCTTGGTAAGGCTGGTTTTATGTTGTGGTTTATGTAGCTTGGCACCTCACCTAGCTCGCTGCACTACCATTTAACATTTACTGGTTGCGTGTATGTATACCTTGCCGTGCTGGTTGGTGATGTTGCTCAAGTAGTTTAGTTTAACTCTGCTTCTGCCACGGTCCGGTTGCTGGTCTGTCAAATCCTTTTTTCTTTTTGAAGATTTTTTGAAAAAGTGAGAAAACTACCGAGAAGAAATCATGGCTGGAAGAGACGCTGCCGCAAACCAACTCACGCAGTGGAGCAAGACCAACGTAAGGTTTTTAGCTTTTCTAGAGCATACTAAACTTCAGAAATATTCGAGTTAGTGGATTGGTTAGGATTCTAGATTTGTAGAGAATTGAAAGCACTCTCAAACCGGCGAGTGGATAAATTTCAATAATTTTTGTGTAAACAATACAACCACGAAAGACGACTATGTAGTCGCAAAATTGGGGATACAACTTTGTGACACCGCCTCCCCTCCCACAATTTCATTTCAGACATCGAGCCCAGGTTTTAATTACTTGTCGCGTCTCGCATTGTTCGTTAGAAAAGTCATTAGACTTTCAGGCTTCTTAATCTTCATCCACATTATCCCCCCTGCCATCTCACATTCGTGTTGAATAAATAAGCAGCAAAGCTAGAGGCATAATCATATTATATTATTATGTCCTTTCGTGATGATTTGTGGCTCCCAACTTTCCAGTTTTGTTTATAATGGTAAACTTTTTAAATCGAACTGAAACCCATTTCGTATTTAATTTAAATCTCTACAGTCAAGAAGCGTATCTGAATTAATCTTTCCTGTATAATTGCTAATTACTTCCTCCCACCTTTTCATACGTCTACTCCTCATTCATCTCATTCTATTCAGCCTTCTTTTTTGCCATCTATTCACAAAATGATTGATTTCGTATTCACGTATTTCTAAAAGTTTCAACCATGAATTCGGTCCGGTCAGTCAAATGGAATGGATTTTAATCTTGTATTGAACTCTGAATCTGACCATTTTTTGCACCTCTGCTGCTCCACCAAGCATTCCTATAAGGTGTGCATCTTGTGCCATCGACTGTACAAAATAATACGTCCATTATCCATATTTTTTTTTGCTTCGTCGTTTCTACAACTCTCTCCCCATACGCATAGCAAATATATGTATGTAAAATCATAAAAGAAGAAGACGACACTTTGGGAATGATAGATCCATTTTATTTGCATTAAGATGAGACATTCAACTCGTGGTGGCAATGGCAAGACAAAATTCTATTTTACGGAGAACCAGTTCTGATCTGAATTTCAGATAGGTGTTCTTTTATCTCTCGCTCGCTCTTTATTGCATTGTTGTATGAATAAAAAGGGTAGATTTTTAGTTTTAATGCATATTAAGCGAATTGCGAAATAGGAATATTTTAGCGAACTTTGCTATTTTGGTTGTGAGGATGAGGGACGAAATGGGGAAATTGAGACTTAAGACGTGAATATGTTGGTTTGTGTAGGAGTCTGAGCGTGCAGTTAATAACCACGGCTGCCCGGTGCCATCCTTGACCAAGTCGCAAACCGTGGGAACCAAGGGACCGATCCTTCTCCAAGACACCAACTTGACCGAACATTTGGCTGCTTTCGACCGTGAACGAATTCCCGAGCGTGTCGTGCATGCTAAAGGGGCCGGTGCGTTCGGTTATTTTGAGGTGACCCATGACATCACCAAGTACACCAAGGCCGTGACCTTCTCGGCCGTGGGGAAGAAGACGGATGTGGCGGTGCGATTTTCCACGGTGGGTGGAGAAAGTGGATCGGCGGACACGGCTCGAGATCCGAGAGGATTCGCGGTCAAGTTGTACACGGAGGATGGAAATTGGGACTTGGTTGGCAACAATACGCCCATTTTCTTCATTCGGGACCCAATCCTCTTCCCGTCATTCATCCACACGCAGAAAAGGAACCCGCAAACTCATCTTAAGGTAAAAACTTTTACCATCAACGATGCATAATGCTAATTATTATTTATAACAATAGTAAAGTTTTGATTGCTATATTTCAGGACCCCGACATGTTTTGGGACTTCATTTCCCTTCGTCCTGAAACGACCCATCAGGTCTGTTTCCTCTTTGGCGATCGAGGCACCCCCGACGGATATCGGCATATGAACGGCTACGGCTCCCACACCTTTAAGCTCGTTAACGCGCAAGGGAAACCTACCTACGCCAAGTTCCACTTCAAGACCGATCAAGGCATCAAGAACTTGCCGGCGGACAAAGCTCACCAAATTTCTGCGGACGATCCGGACTACTCCATCCATGATTTGTACAATGCCATTGCCGAGGGACGACACCCCTCATGGACCGTGCACATTCAGGTATTAAGAGTAGATTGACATACCGCTTTTATCTAAATACGTATTAAATTATAATATAATTATTATTATTTTCTGTTGATAAGGTCATGACGTACGAAGAGGCCGAGAAATTCCGTTACAACCCATTCGACTTAACCAAGATTTGGCCCCAAGCCGAGTTCCCACTTCAACCCGTGGGTCGTATGGTTCTTAACCGAAACCCGACCAATTACTTCAGCCAAGTGGAACAACTCGCCTTCGCTCCGGCCAACATGATTCCGGGAATTGAACCATCCCCCGACAAGATGTTGCAGGGTCGTCTCTTCTCCTACGTGGACACTCATCGTCATCGTCTGGGCGCAAATTACACCCAGATTCCGGTCAATTGTCCAATTCCTTCGGTGAAGCGAGCCACTTACACGAGGGACGGTCCGATGTGCATCTTTGCACAGGATGGGGCACCAAACTACTTCCCCAACTCTTTCAACGGACCACACGAATGTCCATCCGCCATCCAACCGACATTCAATCTTTCAGGTGCGCGTGGAGTACATAATTAATTAAAATTTAGATCTAAAATCGTAAGGTAATAATAATTAACCAACTGATTAACCTTTCAGGTGACATTGAACGGTACAACTCTGCTGACGAGGACAACTTTTCTCAAGTGACCACTTTCTGGAACAAAGTGCTCGGACCAGAGGAACGTAATCGTCTGGCATCTAACATCGCTGGACATTTGAAAGCTGCCACTGCAGCCGTTCGAGAACGTGCCGTGGCCAACTTTAGCCAAGTTCATCCAGATTTTGGAGCCTTGATCAAGAGCAAACTGGGATAAACTACAATCAGATTACATATTCACCAATCCAACAGGAAGATATCTATCACTTGGCCAATTACTATTTCTCTATTAATCAATATAAATCAATCAATATTATTTGTTAATGATAATTAATTTATGGTGATGGTTGGGAGAATTAATTGGTTGTAGTTTCACATTTGTTCCGCCTGCTTCTAAAAAATGCACAACTTTTTGTTTCTTGATTAAAGATTACATACAAATCAATAAAAGTTGGATACAAATTATGTATTTTGAGTAGTATTTCGTTTTAAGAATCATATCGGAATATTATTTAGCATGGTTGAAAACGAAAACTTTTCCATCGGTTATTGTTTTACAAAGCTCTCAAGCATCATAATCATCTACATGTGTACATATATACATTAGTATTATTGTCTTATGAAATGCATACAGTGAAAATCAAGATTTTGCGTATTCTAATGGCCATGATCTTCATTTTCATATCATTCCATTCAATACACACAGTATCACTCAAATGATGAAATTGGCAAAAATATTGTAAAGTTGAGAAATTGTATGAGCTTTTATGTAAGTCACAAAAGGGAGTATTCTGCATAATTTTGGTCTCGTTTCTTCAGAAACGAGCGATGACCCGAGTGAGACACAAAGCATGCAAAACTAAAATACTAGTAAAATGATATTTGCATGCAAATGCAAATAAATACACGAAGATATTTCAGCATACACATATTATTTAACTTAATTTATTTAAATTTCATCACCACTACAACTATAAACGTACTATTAGCTGCAAAAGTGGTTTTGGTTAGGTTCCTGAGCCAATTAGACAAATTTCTCTCGAGATGATATGCAGATATATGGTAGGCAGTTGACACTGGAGTTATCCTCTACTAGAGAACAACCATAACCGTAGTTGCTTTATTGTCCTCGACCAAATACGAAAATAAACCTCACGCTTTCTTTCCGGCGTCACCATTTTTATTATTGGCAAGCGCTGCTAGTATATATCACAAAGACATCCTCTGAGTGACCAACTGAACATGTTTGTAAATATAGTATAAAAAAATAGATAAATTTTTCGCCATAGTTGCCAATTCCTGGAGTTTTACTAAACTGAGGGCACGAAAGTCAATAAAATTTGACATCTGTACAAAAAAAGAGAAAAACGTCCAATCATGAATTCCGGGGTCTCACGGAAAGGTTATAAAAGAATCTGGGAAGAGTAAGTTGATTATTTTATGCTTACGATAAGCCATGAATAAGATAAGCCATGCATCCTCATTCAGAGCTCGGCATCCTCCCCGCACACTGCTCACTGTCCGTCGTAAATTTATCATTCTTATGGTGCGATCTCAGCTAAACGACGTCTCGAACCCGGCTATCGCCCCACAAGGATCGCCAGCGTGGGTCCGCCAACTCCACGAATTGGTCTTCCAACACGACAACGAAGTCAGCCACGGCGACATTAAACGCTGGATTAAAAACCACACTTGGATCGCGGTGAGCACTCGTCCACAATTTTTAATTCACAAATACACATTTGGGCAAAATTTTGCGAAATTTTTAATGTTCGTTGGTATGCGTCCTTGTTACATTAATGTTGCCAAATAATTTTTTATTTGCATAATAATGTCATAATGCATATTAAATTTCATCCTTACGAAATAGAATACGGCGAATGATCATATCCCTGGAATGCAGTCTTTCTGGGACTGCGTTAACAACCGAGTTACCCAGTTGGGAACTATGTCGCATAGTTTCCCCCGTGAATTTCTAAATACTCTGGATCTTCCAAACGTGGGTAATCACAACATTGAGGGTATTCACGCACCCTTGGTAACTACGTAAACAGCGTAAAATCCGTAAACTTACAAATGTGATTTTTTACCAATTCCACTTCATATTCTTCCATTAGGAGCCTTTAGCAGCCTCTATACCAAATTTCAGCTCGATTGGATGATTTTGAAAAATCGGTATGGGTCACCCCTTCGGGTACCTCCAGATGAAAAATTTTCCAATTTCACTTCATATTCTTTCATTAGGAGCCATTAGCAACCTCTATGCCAAATTTCTGTATCGAACAATTTTTTTTCTTCCGCAAATTGAGTTTACAAAATACTTTACAAAATTAAAAGACGCCTGTGAGCTGCGTAAGTTTACAAAAGTTTGTAAACTGATTTTCCTTGACAATTTTTGTAAAAGTTTGTAAACGTTTGTAAGTTTACGGATTTTACGCTGTTTACGTAGTTACGAAGGAGGGCGTGAATTGCCTCATTGATAACCCAGGCGTGGAGTTGCTCAGTGAGGGTCAAAACCATAACCATCATAATTCTCAAAGGATTGAGGATAATGTGGAAAATAGAGATAGAGGTTAGTATATAGTGGTTTGGTAGTAGCGTTATAGACTTAATCGCAATCAGTTATGGAATAAATGTTAATACTAATAATGTTAATTATTATTTTCGACATGAACTACTAACAAGTCTTCCTTGATCACATAGGTCCCACAATTCTTGGAAGAAATGTATATTGTCGAGGTCAATCCCAACCACCTGTACTCATTCCATACTACGACCAGCCCTTCGTTCAATACGACGATGATGCAGAGGCCCCCCTCAATCTGACCATGTATCCACCAATCCAACAAGAAACGGGGACCAATCTGCAACTACGTGACGACGAACAACGACGGCTAGAACAACAAGATCGCGAATTAGGGCAGGATGACCAAGGGCAGGAACAACTTCAGCCAGTCGACATGAGCATGAACGCTGACCAACATCAGGACAACGCAATTAGCAGCAATAACACCCTTCCATCCGGACAAGGAGACACACCAGCGTCGCCCAATGCAGTCCCTGCTATCTCCCAACCTAAAGACTCCAGCCCCTTGCACAGATTAGAAGAGATTTTCGAGTCAGTCCTTGCCCTCGCCAACCTTTGTAATGCCTTGGATGAGATCCATGAGATCCAGCCCGAAACAAAACAAACCCTGCAACACATCTACAGGGTATTTTCGTAATTTGCTTTGATTTTATGAGGATTATTTATTCGATCCTATCATGTTTTTAGGTGGTTGCCAGAAAACATGCCCGTGAAGTGATTCGTTTCCCGTATGAGGTGTTGCGCGCTCGAGAACAGCGGCGAATCAAGGAGGAAGCTTTTGAGGCCTCAACAAGGGAAGGGGGAACGGGTAAATATTTGCACATGACATACTTGTATAATTAGTTATAAAATGGCTGTTCATAAATTTGTGCTTACGTAGATTCAACCCCTTTAAGGGGCTTAGGCCGATATAAGCAAAGAGCAGAAGTGGTAGTGGTCAACTTGATGACACCACCACGAAGACCAACTCCAGACGCCTTCCTCACTTCTAAACATGGCGAACCCACTCCGGTGGAGGTCCTTCAGGTTGACTGAATTAACAAGATATGACATTATGAAACGTTAGAGTAGTAAATTAATCGTCTTTTTAAAAACTCTGCTTATTCTGCAGTGCAAATTCATGGTTCTGGTAGTTTAATAATTTTAAATTGGTGCGTATTTTTTTACGAATTATGCAGCTGAATTAGTGAAAAATGAATTTAATAGCCGATAGTGGCAGGATACAATAGTCCTAATCTCATGATGATAATGAATTAATGATGATGAATGATGAATTAATGATGAAATGAATTACTGATGAAATGAATTAACGACATTAGTATATAGACCGACGAGCAGCATTTGATATGGTGTACTTTTAATAAGAAAAAAAGTTTTTAATAAAACATTGACACATTTACGATAAGCAAGCAAGGATATTTAATTCTTTTCACTCATCGACTAGGTTTTTTTCCTAAAAACAACTAAAAACCTCAGTGATCAAGTCTGACCTAAATGTTGCCCAGCTTTCCGACCCGCCACGACTGACAGATTCAAGCTGCTCAGATTCACCTGAGGACTCATCCTCAAACTTTCTCTCTCCTCCGAATTGTATTTTTTTGCTAGGGAATAAGTCACTCTTCGTCTTCTCGCTGAGATTTGTTGACTGACGGCAAGTGTTCCCGTTTTTCGAAAAAGTGTAAAAAAAATTGTAAATACTATTTAAAATTTGCATGCGTTTCTTCATATAAGAGAAAGCTTACTTGTGACATTTGGTGTTATCGATTTCGTCACCAAACGGAAAAGTTGTCATCTTGTTCGAAAAATGGAAAGCGGAGATCCTGCTGACTCGCCGTCGTCATCGCCAATTTTGGCGGTTGGTGGTGTGTCGATACCGTCGTTACAACCAACGACAACTACAACTACCTGGACTGCGTCGCCACATCCCGTCGTGATCAAATGGGCTGGGAAAGAAATTGAATTGGCGGACGTTTCAGGGGCGAAAACTGTTTTAGATCTCAAAGCTCTAATCCATGCTAGAACAGGGGTACAAGTGGATCGGCAGAAATTGCTCAATCTCAGTTTCAAGGGTGAGATATTACTTGAGGAATTATGTAATTTTACGTGAAAGCAAAAGTTAATTATATTTGTGTGCTTGTTTAATCTATGTAGGAAAAGTGGCTGCTGATGACTGCACCTTACTCAATTTAAATTTGCGACCTGGGCACAAAATCATGATGATGGGTTCTCTGGAGAAGGATATTGAGAATGTATAATGTTTCATTTGATCTAAATATAATATTTAGTCCTTCCGACTAGTCATAATGTTATATATCTACTATATAATATCAAACAAGGTGGACGTTCCTCCCGAGGAAAGGCCAGAAGTTAATAATGACTTGGATGTCGCTGAAGACTTTGAATTGGAAGAGTATTCTGCCCTGAATCAAAACAAGATTGCGAGGAGGATTAATGAGTACAATGTGAATGTGTTGAACCCTCCAAGGCCAGGTTAGCACAGATTAATTACTAAGAGATTTTATCATTTTATTTTTTCGACGAGACTTTTGAATTAAGAGTCAGGAATTAATCACTGAATTTTCTTTAATCGCAGGAAAAAAGCTACTCGTGCTGGACATTGATTACACGCTTTTTGACCGTAAGCTTAATAAAAATAAACCACTGTCCTATTATATTATTTCTAAATTAGCTTATATATAAAGTTTTTAATAATAACTTGCAGATCGATCCGAAGCGCAAACTGGGACTGAATTGATGCGACCATTTCTTCATGAATTTCTCACCACTGCATATGCAGTATGTTGAGTTTAATTTAAACCTAAATTATTGTCAAGCAAACCAACAGCATAGCTTGCAGAAAAGTTGAATACAAGTTGTACTGCTTTGATTGATAAGTTAATTTATCTATTTCTAGGAGTATGACATAGCAATTTGGTCAGCAACAAGTATGAAATGGATTCAGGTAAGAAAATAAAATAAATATTCGTGTTGTGTTTGAAAATATCTAGAAATTGTGGTTTATTTTACAGGAAAAAATGAAACTTCTTGGTGTAGATACTCATCCGGATTACAAAATTGTGTTTTACCTCGATTACCTTGCTATGATTACTGTACCCACACAGAAATATGGAGTGATCAATGTACAGACCTACATTATCTTTGCTTAAAAATATATACACACAATATTTATATCAGATATGTATTACAACTACAATTTTAAATACAGGTGAAACCTCTTGGAGTAATTTGGGGGAAATTTACAATGTACACCGCAAAAAATACCATCATGTTTGACGACCTGAGAAGAAACTTTGTTATGAATCCGCAACAAGGACTTCGGATTCGTCCCTTCCGTTCAGCTCATCTCAATCGGGCCACTGACCGTGAACTCCTCCGACTTGCCACCTATCTGTCCCATATCGCTAAACTGGATGATTTCTCTCATCTAAATCACAGCAAATGGGAGTCTTGCGTGGTCAGGCTGGAAATCCGGGCAGGCACTTTGCGTCGTAGACGGCGGCCTAGAGAGGGTGACGAGTACAATGCAGACTCCTCCTGAACCCACCACCTCTTCCTCCTCCTTCCACATTAGAATACAACTATACAGCTACTATTACTATTATTACTACTACTTCATACATCTCTGTCTACCACACAAACTTCCCAAAACAACACTCATTCACCTTTACTCAAGACTTGATAGTGTCGTCTTCGTAAATTGCTATGCGGGTGTGCGTCTGAAAACGTGTTTGTATGCTCAATTTTTTTTGTTGAGAGTAAATTAAAAGTGCATAACTTGTCAAATTGTCGTGGGTATTTTATCGTCTGTTTATGTAATCGAAATTTTTGCGTCATGATAATTCATGAAAAATAAATAATGATACGCATTCGCTCGTTGTTTGATAATAATATTGCACATATTTTTTAATTTTAATTTTTTATTATATTTGCCATACTTTTTATAGCTTAATTTGTTTGAATCGGGTTGGGTAAATATATACACAATAAGTAGAGAACACAATAGAAAAAGAGATAAAAAGTGATGATGACGACCACAATACGTATTAAACTTGACTAATAATTCTGATTGTTTCGTCCTCCCTAAATTGGACATGTTTTATATAATTGCTGTTGTCAGTAAGTAATACTCTACATTGTATCCGTGCTCTTTTTGAGAGTGACCATCTGACTCATGATCGAAGAGAGGAGATCCGCCGAACCAGAGGCCGGGATAATTTTACGGATCACATTGGAGCCATTCTTTTTGAGGATTATTTCGTCCGGACCGGGTGTTGTGGAGGAGCTTTTTGGCGGAGCTGAACCTGGAGGCCTCCTGCTATCAGAATCCGTCAGGTGGGCAAGATTTTTTTTCACCGGGGTTGAGGGCAGAGAGCGAGATGCGGGCGGTGGCTGATTTTCGGGAAGAGGGACAGGTGTGGATGGACGGGCATCGCTCATCGTCATCTCTCTGCTGTTTTGCTGCTCTGGCGTTCCGGGTGGACGATCGGACAGTCTGTAAAATATATAAAATTAGTACACTTATATAGCTCTTTACACTCCAGCCATTCCACTAGCAACATTTGCAAATTTGTCAGGTTCCCAAGTTTTCAGAAGCACATTTAAAGCATATAGGACATATTCATTTAATACAAGATGGTAAAGTTGGGCTGATTATCGTAACAGTTTAGCACATGTACATAATGGCTTACCCCTTCTGTGACGATGACTCCTTGTCTCTATCTTTAGACTTTTTTTCACTCCGGTGTCTGTCCCGTGATCTGTGTCTCCGTTTTTCCTTGTCCCTTCTCCGCTCTCGATTTTTTCTTCTTTCTCGGTCTTTCTCCTTTTGACGGCGGAGTTCCTTTTCCAATTTTCGACGAGCACGCTCTTCTTCCTCCTCGGTAATTATACGGTCGTCGATCTCTGGATCAGAGGGAGAAGCTTGTTCAGCATCGGCATCTATTTCCACTCCCTCTCCGTGGGTCAAGTGGCCAAATATATTTTCCTTTTCTTCCAGTTTGATGTTAGACACCACTTGATGTTGTTGTTCCTCGTCATCGTCGTCCTCCTCCTCGTCCACTTCATTCTCCTCTTCTTCTTCCTCTTCAGGAATTGTCCATTCCTACAGGGATAGAACAAGAAAATGTTAAAATGAAATATAACAAACGTTTCATATAAATATAACAATCGTCCACATTTTTACCTTCTTTATCTCCACGACATCCTCCCCCTTGGCCAGATAAAACTTGTCCTTGTGCCGATGTCTTTCTTTCTCCTTGATGATACTCGACCTATTGTCCGTGGTGCTGCTGCTCGTTTTGTTCAGATTTTGTTGATGTGCAGCCGAACTTTTGGATGAAGAGGATCCACTCCCATGCCTCCGGTGATGGTCGCGATCATGGTGATGATGCTTATGCTTCTTTTGTGGAGAAGAGCTGGAACTTTTTATCTTAACACGATGTGATTGTAAGCCGCTAGTGGAGGAGTCTGCCACAATTTGCGGTTCCAAGATAGGCATTGGATAGTACTGTTTGAGGCGGACATGCCAGGCTGTAAATATGACAAAATATTTCATGTTCTTGTGTTGAAAATTTAACAAACGAAAAAAAAATGCATTTAGTGAGGTGTTATTTTACATACCTATGGATGTTACTGAAGACACGGTGCGGAACTGATGGATAATATTTCGTGGGAGAAAGTAAATGTCATTATCACTCAAGGTTAGTTTTGCATATCGGATACCGTCCCTCCTGAGAGCATTCAGCTTTGCTTCTTCAACCCATTGCACACACTGTGTAACAAAATAAAATTAGGATTAAGTGTATTAAATTACACAGGTCTAAGTATTAAAATTACAAAAAAACATGTTCTACCCACCTGAGAAATTGGGGGTTCATGGAGATCGAGTTGCAATTGGTCGACAAGCTCCTGAAAATCGGCGGCGTGAAAGGCGACGACATCTTTGGTAATACGGTTCCCCACGTACGGCTGTCCACAGTGGATTGCTTTCAGGACGCCTACACACAAGGTGCATAATATTAGATTAATTAGTCGGCCATCCATATATAAATTTCTTAGTGATTAAATATTTAACGGACCAACTGCAGCCGAAGTAATCCTCTCTAGACCATGCCCTACATGATCTGCATGAGCTTTTGTCCTATCTTCAAAGAAAAGCTCGCGCCCCTCGGTGTATCTGCATTTCAAACTTTCCAATTCCTTGTTCCTCCTCCGTCCCCCTCGTGCACTCTGCGTCGGCACCATCTGCTCCCCAGGCCGGACCCACATGATCGGACCGTCGTTCGAGTTGCGGGGATCGTCTCCGTGACAAATAGACAGCGCACCCCAGGGCATCGTCAACTTGAGGAAAGGACTCTCCTCCAAGAGACTAAGGAACTTTGGGAAATAGCCGCCACTCTCTTCATGTACGGTCCCCACAAGGGAGAGTTGATGTAAAGGACCAAACCGGTATGTACCCGACGCATAGTTGCCGTAAACCTAGATACGAAAGAAATAAAATAGATTACATTAGCTCAGAAAGATATAAGTATAATATCCTTCCCGTGTCCTTACCTGTTCACGATACTGAGCCATGCTCGAAGTTTGTATATCGCTTGGTATTGTGAGATGTCCAGCTTTCACTGTCATGCTGGGATTTTGTTCGGCCATATAGTCCAGCAAATCCGGCATGTACCGTGCCCCATCATCGACGATACCCATGACAAAATGAGCCAATCCTTTAGAATCTTCTGAGTAAGAGACCTGTAATAATGTATGTAAAAATTGAATTTATATTCGTAATTTTATTTTTAAATCTAAGGAAATATTTAAGAATTATTTTTTTTAATGCCTTGAAAAACTCATGAGCAAACTTGAGCTGATCGTGCGGATTGAGATGGGCAAATTCATGAACTGAAGCACGTAATATCCACGCTCCACCGTTTGGATGTTGTTCCACTTTCATGAAGCGTTTATATCTGAGATTGCTTATATGAGAACGGAACGGAAGCTTGCGTAAGACATCATCCGGCAAATCGCTCAAACGGACACCACCCGGCATACAGAATGGATGTTCCTTCGGGTAGGTTGGGATAGGGCGGTGTTTTGAGATCCTGCAGAATTAACAAACACATTTATTTAGTTATTTACAACCTACTTATCAGTTGTGACAACCTTCTTATTATGCTATTAGTGTACTACATAGTTTGACCTACTTGAACTCATTTTGAGATCCGCCAGACTGGCATTTATGGCGTTTGCGAGGTGAAGCTTCTGTATCCGTCGATCCAGAATTTGACCGCTTTTTCTTAACAGGGGTTGAGACCTGCTCCGACTGGTCATGGTGGTGATGATGATGATGGAGGTCAATGTTGGTTGCGACTTTTCCATCAGTGTCTTTCACTGCACAAATCATTACATATCAATTATTGCACACGATGTTATACATGATGCATTCCACAATCGATCTAATCCACAAACAACAAATATTGAAAAATAGAATCATAATGGTTCATTGTGCTTTTCGGTTAACCGTGCCATTATTACACAAATAATAACAATAACAGGATACAAAGCATAATGTTGGTTGTTGATGATGGTGGTGGACAAAAAATTGTCGTGTCGTCATGCACTTGCTAAATGCATACGAGCTGTGACGTCAATCAATTCCAGCTACTACAGTACCACATCTTGTCAATATGGCATGTCCATGAATCACATTATCGCATGGTAAAGTACGTGCGTATTGTCATGTGCATAACATGGAATTCATGGAATTCAATGATACCGTCCAACATTATTCCAAATTTACGACAATATTTAACGACGACAATGTTAGATAGCCGTCGTTTCCCTCCAACTTTTACTCCCATCTTTCAATCTTACCAGATTGCAGGGCAGGGATTGAGCCCTCCGTGAAGAAATGACCCGGATGAAGTAGATCTTGTTCTTCCGCTGTTGTCGTTGTAACCACATCCTCGCCTGACGGACACGCACCTTCCGCTTCATCGTCGCCTATATAGTTAAATTTAAAACGTTAGAAAGTCAGTCCTTGAACGTATAGAAATATCTTTACTGAAAATACTTGTGTATTTAAAATAATTAATTCGCCTACCGGGTGTACAATGGGCATGATACACGTCGTTGGAGGGTGGCATAATTATCTCTTGCGTCATTACCCCTTCAGCTTCATCCTTCCTCCGCCTCCTCCGCTCCTCCTCCCCCTGTGAACAGATCAAGTAAATTAATAAATACCACATTCTTATATGTAATGACATCCCTTATCCGACTTGAATTAATACCTGAGCACCGTCGAGGCCGAAGACCCAATCTGACCCTTCTTCCGTCACCGTCGTCACGTCTGATCACGCCAATTTATTGTCACCCAATCAATTTCTCCTCTTTCTCCTCGTCCTCCTTAATTCTGGATATTACTTTTCTTGTATTAATGACGATTCGGCAAGCGAAATTAAACTTTTAATCACAAAATAAGATTAGCTTTAGATATACATGCGAAGTTTACAAAGACAATAATTCTTGCTTTAGAGCAATAAAAATTTAATACTATATCTTAATACAATTTTAGTTGTCTTTCAGTATTTTTTTACCTAAATACTTGGCACTTTTGATTAGTAATAATACTAATAGTGACGATCTATATATAACTTGTAAATTGTGAATATTTGTCTTCTTCGATCTTTTTACTTTGTACTTTTTGTACTATATGATATATTATTATTATAATGAAAGTTTTGTGTCGTCACAATATCGTCGTCCCCAAAAAGTTGTTGCTGTGTTTACAATGTCAGATAAAAAAATAAATACAAACTTTAGTCAAAAAATCGGTCCTAAAAAAATGAATATCAAGTCATATATTTAACGTCAGGTAAACGAATGAAAACTTGTACATAAAACTGTTTCACTTAATAATAACAAACAACTATTTTAACGTACTAAACTCTATGTTAAAACCGTGTATGATTTATAAATAGTATGCCTCCTATAATAAGTACGAACTATACCCAATAAAATAAACTTGGGAGATTTACATTCATAGGCTTCTTAACTCCAAGCTATGCAAATGCACTCAATCATAAATACACACTAATTAACCATTAGTTACACTAAATATTAAATTACAACCTAATTTCCCGGATTTTATAGTTAAAAACGAAATTTCACTCTTTCTTTGAACGAACGGGTTGCTTTCACTGACTGGCTGCTCACATGCTGCTCACTCAATCACTAACTTGCAACACTCTAAATATTCGTAATTCTCTTCAAGCATGAACACTAAAAATATCCAGGTTTAATTTTTTTCAATCAATATTCGGTTTTTAGCACACTTTTTGTTTAAACTTAATTGTCCCGTTAATATAATTTTACCCTCCTTTTCCACACCTGGGAAATTTCAAGTCAAACTCTGTCCCGTTTTGCGGACCGTTTTTCCCCCACAGTTTATAATTACGAGTCCGGGCAACACTACCGTGGCGCAGATGATGTCGAAAAAGCCCTGTGGTGATTATTTATAATTTTTTCTTACAATTTGGTGGGAAGAGTGATATTACTACGAGTGTGAATGATGTAGAATTATAGTACGACGAGTATGAGTAAGCGAACAACAAGCCGAGCACAGCGTATATAGTGAAGTTTTGGCGGAGGGGGCGCTCTCCACGGGGGAATGGAACATTCATAAAATATTCGTCCTGTCCAAATTACGGAACTTTTTGAATTTTAATTTTCCGAAAATATTGACCACAGAGTTTCCGAGGGGTGGGCAAAAATGAAAATTAGTGTTTTTGAACTTGTACATACATATATCTGATGTCTATAAAGGAACGCATAAGAAGAAACGTCAACCCATTGTGGTTAGGTACTAGGTGCGGTGATGCTTCGTCTGGTTTGTGGAGTTGTTGTTGGAAGTGGCCGCTGGTGGTGGTTCTTCTTTTTTACCCTTTTTATGATCACCAAGTATCATCATGACGCAAGCCCGACTACGTTTGGGTCACGTGGTCACATATATGAATGAACACAATTGTGTAGAGTCGTAGGTATATACAATAAGAAGAATACAGTCCATTAGAGTACAATAAGAATACAATTCGTGGTCCCGGAAGGGATTTTTTCTGCCACCGTGTTCGCATTCAAGGTGTAGTTAAAGAACGGATCGGTCACATTGTTATATAGAACTAATAAAACCTTTACCTTGGTCAGGTATGAAGTAGGAATCTTGTCACACAGAATTTTGTTATGCTGTTTTACTATTTGGAGATTATTTGGAAATTTGTAATTGATAAAATGTGACCCGTTATATTGTTAAATCATGCAGAAATATCTTTATGCCTGAAAGGGTTTATGATCCAATAATAAATAAATTAAGAGCGGATCGGATGACTATGAGTAGAGTGAAGTAGATAATTTGAAGAATTTGGTACTTTTTCATTGATGCTGGACGAATCAGGTACAAATGGTTAACATGCAGCTTGGGACAAAGGGTAATGCTGATGCAATGATCCGGATTCCTCGTGCGAGACAAAATTTCATCCTCAAATGCATGGATTATATGATATGACGATAAGAAGAACTTATGATTTTAATTTAGTGAATGAGGTGTTATTTTACTCCTTCTCTTTATTGCATTTTTATGTGAGTAATGACAAAACGACGCCACTTCCCATATCTGGACATGTAGCAAACTAATACGCTTACATAGCTTATTGAACAATTCGAAAATGAGTACAAAATTGTAACATATTGTCACTAGGAAAATTATATTAGAGAGATTCGCGTTTTGAACAGCATTGGTTGATGTAGCAGAGACTCGGAATTATTTTGTATTTATATTGCAATTTAGTTAAAGTTCAAAGTTTCTAGAGCGAAAATGGTAATTGCACTTTAATTGAAACAGTGTGGGCATCATTACTGATGCATTCTAATTGAAATTGAAATTAGCATAAATATGTAACTACAGTTCAGATTTATAATATTGACTTGAATCTTGACTTGAAGTTGAAGTGAGTAATGGATTTCGTGACATATTTCAAATGTGCGAAAATAAATAAACAATTTAACCAAGTTAAGTAATTGTCGGAATTATTTTCTCTTCGTTTTGGGCGACGTGGGCTGAAAAACGCTAGAGGCTGACATCAGACTTTCGATGTACTGCCCGAGTACTTGATTTTCACTCCTTAACTTTAGATTTTCCTCCTTTACGCTTTCCACCCGTTGAGATAGGTCTGAATTTATGAATCAATTAGCACAATTTGAAATAATTGTATGCGTAGTGTAGGTAACAAATGTAAAGTATGAAACCCACCATCCAGAGTATTTTGTAGCTCCAACACTTGTGCTATTCTACTAGCTTTCTCCTCCTGCTCGTCCTGACTTAGATCGGGGTCCAAGCCTGTAAAATTGAAATAGTGTTAAATTGCGTTAAAATTTTAATTACTCAAATTTTTAGCAATCCTACCACCAACACTTGATGATAAGCTATCATTCGTAAAAGTCGAGGGGAACGAGTCGAAACTTCGGTTATGCTGAGAGTGCGACCCTGGCGTCATCCCCATTCGACCGGAATTAGAATTTTCACCTTCTTCCGGAAGAACGGCTATAGAATAGCAAATTCATTAATAATCAATGCAAAAAGGAATATTCTGCACAAAAATTTTCTCTAAAAAAATGTAACACTGTTACATATCTGTAATTTATAAATTATCTCGCACCTTGTGGGTCGGCATCTGCTAAGGGAATGTTGCTAATGTCTTCATCCTCATCTTCCATCGAATAATTGGAGGCTGAGGTAGAAACGTTCCCGTTAAATAAAGCTGTCATATTTGGTGCCTAATGTTCGCAGTTAATGTGTAAATTTAAATGTCATGGTTCATTAACATTGTCTACCCTTTAAAAACCTTTATATATATATTTGGGAATGTAGTGCTTGTTTTTTGAAACAAATTTCCAAAATTTATATCACTATGTTCACATTCACTTGGGCAGTGCCTGTCTGGTGAGGTTTTTGAGCCCGGTGCTGTAATATTGTTCAAGAGGAGACTTGTTGGAGGAGGTTCCGGTTTCGTGATTTCTCCTATGCAAAAAATGACTGAAATCCAGGCCTCTCAGGAATCTCATAAAAAAATATCAGATAGCTTTAAATTTCTAAGTAACGTTGTTTTTCTACATACCAGCCTTTCTCATATGCAAAAAAAATATCGTATTAAAAATTTATTGAATGAAACATGTAATTTGCATGTTTACATGATTTATGTGTACAACAGCTCGACTAAAAAATGTTAACAGCAATTTATTAATTAATAATTATCAAAATTAAGTTATACAAGGTATACATAAATAGGCCTTCTCTCTAATCATCTTTTCTCTTTTTCGCTGGAGGTCGTTCAAACACATTCCTAACTCCGGCAGCCTGGGTGGAGTGGAATTTAATGTTTTGTGACGTCTCGGCTTGCCAGGGGGAATCAAAAGCTGTTGTATCTTGGTCAACTAAATGAGTGTATTTAGTTCTCCCGCTTCGTCCAAAGTTCTTGACTTGCATTACTTTAGGTAAAATAGTTTTGTCGAAATGATCCTCCAATGTGGGAGCGGAGTAGTCACGGCCAAGGACGTCGTCTTGTTTATCCTATTCAAAAAATCAATTAAATCAACATTTTACACTTTGAACTTTCTTACAATTTTTCTTTATCAGATTATAACGCTAAAAAACTTACCAAATAGAAGACTCCTCTATGGTAATACTTTTGCAAGAACTTGTACTTTCCTTTCGAAGCCTTGTTAACAATGACTTTTGGCTTCAGTTTCAGTTCTTGTCGCCGTTCTTCCTCCGTCATGCCGTGCAATCGATCTATTTCTGCTTTCTCGCGTTCATACCTGGAACAAATTATGGTTTACTTAGTTTTTTTATTGGTCGGTTGCACCTGTCATGAGGGTCATCCCAGACTATACAATACAATACACATATTATATTATTTATTAACAACTTACGCTTCGCGTTCGTCCCTGTCTCGTTTTATTCGTTTTAATTCTCGCAATTTCCAAGACTCATATTCTGTCTCCTCATTCTCATCGTCCGTGATGACGTCCGTTATTTGAGGAACGTTTGCTTCTTTTTCTTTATCGTCGTCAATATTTCCCTTGCGTTCTTTAACGATTAATCTTTCCACGAGTTTTAGCGTGTCTTGACGTCTTTCCGAAGCCTTCTTCCTAGCCTCATCCTCTGCCTTTTTATTCTGTTCCTCCAGATCTTTGTCGTTCAGTGTGACCCGATCGGTTCGTCTGACAAAGACAGGTTTTAGTCTGGGACGGGCTTCCTCTTCAGAATCTATAAATTTAAGAAAAAATTGACATTGTACATTACTTTGTAGTTAGTTAAACAGCAAATAAATAATTTACACAATTTACACAAAATAAAAACGAAATTACCAGTATATTCTTCATATTCCGACTCTGATTCTTCAGTATCAGAATCTCGCTCCTCCTCCAGTGCTAAGAGTTCTTCTTCGTCTCTCTTGGCAAGGACACGTTGGCGTAGAAATTCACGACGTCTCTCGACCTCATCATCTGCTACGTCGTCATGCTCTGAATCAGAATCGGAATCACGTCTCCTCCCTGGACGCTCCTCCTCTTCGTCACTGCCTAAAACCTCGGGAGCATGAACTCTAGGGACAAAATAATGCAGTTTAAATTGGTACTTCCTTCAAGTGCAGTATAACAAATGAAATGCAACAAATGACTGAATATAAACCTTCTGCTTGATGTCGACTGCATCAAACGTTTAAGCCTAGGATCAAGTTTCTCCACCTCTGTGAAATCTCCCTGTGGCGCATAGTTGTCGTCAGGAAATTCGTCATCTTCATCATTTTGTTTGTTTAACTTTGTTGGTGCAATAAATTCCTCGTCCTCGCTTTCCTCCTCGCTCGAACTTCTGGGAGCATAATCGGGCCGTTTGCCGGATACGTAGCGGTGAACTTTGACCTTTTGCATAGCAGCCTCACCTGATTTAGAAAATTAACATTATTAAATTATGAACACAGTAATTTAAACTTTATAAAGTTACCTTTTTCATTTCGAACCACGACGGCACCCGCCGTCGAATTTATCGGACCTGGGACTTCTTTCGGCATGCTTATCAATTCTAAAGTTTATTAATTGTAATATAGTACAAGAAACACTGTATATCTTATCCTTAAAAAGTAGAAACGAATTACAAGTTTTGTTTTCCAAAACAAAATCGGACCTTGCGTCCTTATATTTGTGATCCAGTTGAGTTTTTGCTTCAACTTGGCCGCCGCTTGCACGTTTGTCTCGCAAAAAAAGTAAACTTCATGATGATGCATGAAATGCGTTTTATTTATTGAAAGCAAGTTAATTTAATTACAAAAATTTATGTGATTTGTGATAGCATAACTAATAATCAAGTTGGATGACATATTTTCACTGCCTTCGACAAAGTCGCACGTAACTAATGCATTTTGTCGTAAGTTTCGTAGACAATTTTTTAATCCTCCTGCTGCCCTGAATTTGCATGCATCACCGCAAGCATTGCAAACTGTAATAATTTTATCTGCAGTACAATCGGCGATGAGGCGGTGGCAACGAGTTATTAAAACGTACCAAAATAAACGTGCAAAATAATGAAAAAACGGAAATGGTAGTTGAATTTTGTACTGCAATATTTTTGAATGTCAATGTGTGTACTATTGTTCCGCTCGACTTGTCTCGAAGGTAGTTAAGAACTTTTTTTAAGCTGAAGAAGAAGAAGATGATCATCGATTATGGGTCTGGTCTGACAATAACGTGTCAATCGTCATGGACGTGACGGTGGTAAAGAAATTTGTGTAATGGTTTCTAGAATCATTCAACTGATGAGATTGATGTTGCATATAAAATCAGTGATTGAATCCACTTCATGGCTCACTTCGACAGCATCTCCCAAACTGGTTGGGCATACGACGAGTGAATTCCCGAATTTCACAGAAAAAGTTTAAGTTTAAACAGTTTAGGAAAGTTTAGAAAATGTCGGGTTTTCCACTTTGTACAAGAAAGACGATTCTCGTCGTCCTCTTTGTTTTTGTGGGACTAGTTTCGGCCGAGGAAAAAATGAAGGACGAGGCCCACTCGCTGAAATTGTTAAAGGAAACGGTCCCCCTGAAGAAATTGTTGGAGAAAGCTGCCCACGACGAAGAGATTTCTGCTAGCAACGATGTTGACGGAAATGAGAAGAAATCAGACCAGCTTCGCCAGTATGGGTGGGGGTGGGGGTCGCCGTCATACAGTAGCGGTGGGTACGATACATCTCTCTACACTTTAATAGCAGTAGCAGCCTTCGCCGCTCTTTTTGGAGCATTGTTCTTCGAATTGGCGACGGGCGGCAGTAAGCAAGAATTATGACTTTAAGCAAAAAGTGATTCAATCGACCGATTTTGGTTCATTTGTTTACAGCCTTTCGCGCCCTGGGGTCCACTTTCAGCCTCCCGTTCTCCATGGACTCGGAGCGGATGGCGGATTTAGTTGGGAAGGTGTCCAACTTCATTTCCGAGATTGATTGGAAGGGCGTCGTCCATAATGCGACCGAATTTGGGGCCAAACATCGCGTGCTGAGGGACGTTTCTGAGCAGACAGGAGTGCTCAAGTGGCTCAAGGCGTATAAAAAGGACCCCGTCGAGTACCAATGCATTAGAAAGGTGGCTTGTGAAACGTTGGCGGAATCTCCTCTGGTCGCCAGGTCGATGAAGGCCCCGTTCGGTGGAGCCGTGCTGTGAGTTATGATTTTACTGCGAATTGCTTAAATTATATTCAGATGTCAAAGTTTGCTCCAATTTCATGACATTTTCTTCCTCCACTAACTACGCAGATCTGCGCTTGGGATTTTCATTGAAAATGGAGATGAGCTGCAGTCAATTGTACAAGATACCATTGGGAATCCCGACAAGTGTAAGGATATGGCCCCCTGGGGATTCTGTGAGGAAGATGACGACGAGCTGAATTCCGAGGAAAACTAAGAGGCCAGAAGCATGATCTACTTTGGAGAAGAGACGATCTATTTATTTTTGTTACGTTTTCATACACGTCGACGATGACAATATTCTATTACAAAATAATAATGACAGTTTTACAAAATGACGACAGTTTTACAAAACAATTACAATTTGACACGGACATTTGAAGATTTTTACGGTACTGATTGTTGACAATTGTTGTACTTCCTCTGACTATACGAGACTTATTAATTTTATTGACATAATAATATCAAATAAATCTTGGCCGGATTTCTTGTAATAGCGATGCTTTACTTGTTCGTACATTTTTCATAGCATTTACACCAATTCGGTGGCACACTTTCACACTTTTGATGCCAAATATACAGGATCTGTGGTTAATGCAACCTTTTTAAGCACACGACACGACGATCAAAATGCTTTGTATTTGTGTGTCTCACCTCGCCTCCAGTTCATTCATGCACTTGTTGTCCTCACCTTTCCGGGTTTCACATGCATGCAGTCTTTTCACATAGTCTCAATTAGTCTCATCCTGCCTCTCCAACTTCTGCCACTCCTATGCATTTGCACCTTCATCATTTGATCTCCTCTTTCCGGTGTCAAATTGTCAAATTCTCACTCTATAAAATATGTGTCGTCCTTAATGCTAGTCGCCTTTTTACTCTCACGACATCCCGATGCGTGTGTATGTGTCTGTATCATGTCGACAGGAAAAAAGAGATCACAGAATTAGTCGCATTCATTCAGAAATACGTAAACCCCAGGAATCGACTTAGATCGTGACAGGTGAATCTTGACGACTCGGATCGAACAAAAGAAACACTTTAAAAAGAAACACTTTATTTATATTTGTATTTATTTAGGAAAATAGCAACGTATGATGCACCAAGTTTTTTTCGTACTTGGCACGTATGTAGGTACAGGCTTGTTGAATTGTGGAAAATAAAACACGAGAGAACAATGACAAATCCGACAGGGACACTGGTAACGGTCGGTCATTTTGTTTCTTTCTTTGAGACCATTTTATGTACACCTTCTTCACACCTTCAACATTTTAGTCACTCTGCGGCGTTGGAATTGGCAAGAGATTTTTTTCCTATTTCAAAATCTATTCCAGAAAAATAGCGAGTTTTTCACAATGCTGGCCTCAAAATGGGGAACTTTAATCCTTGCAGCAGTTCTCGTCATCAATATTGGATCATCCTCTGCTTGGAATATTTTTCCGTCGTCCTTGACAAAAGCGTCGATTGGGAATTTCACTAGGGAAAAATTGGCCAGTTTAAAAAATCATAGGAATCGTCTAATCGGCGAAATGACTGGTACAAAGGCAGTCGTAAACTCTACAAGAACCACAGAAAGTGAAACACTGGTCGAAAATTTGTCATCTGCTGCACCGACGACGCAAACACCTTGGACACCAAGTCCCACCGAAGAGGTTGACCTTAGTAATTCAACCCTGCCCTTAATTTCGAGGGAGAGTTTACTCCAAGAGTTGCAACAGATTCTTCCGAACAAGGATGAAGTGTTTAATAAGATCAACGAGGTGGGTGACAAACTCGTCGAGATGAAAGAGAGGTTGGAGCCCGAGGTGAAGAAATATTTGACAGAGAAATACAATTCATTTTTGAACAATCTTATCCCCTACAGTGAAACAATTGGGGTTCCAACTTATGTCTTAAACTCGTTAAAAATTCCACAGAACTTTGACCCACGTCTCCACCTCATCGAATCTCTAATGAAGTCCAGCCACGTGACCAAAGTGGTCAACTCCATCCAAGATTTGGGCATACTTAAGAAAAGAACGGGTGAGAGTATTCAGGCGAGAAGTGGTGGGGACGAAGACTTTGTGAGTGACCAAGAGCCAGTGACCAAGTATCATTACCACTCAAAGCCAGTCACCGCTTCTCAGATCATCTCGGATCGCATGGGGTATGAAGCTGGGTACGAAAATGGGAGGTGAGTAAAAAAAATAAAATTTTGAAATTTGTCCAAAATTTGTGCAGCATCATAATAATTATTCTTGATTTTCAGCCCGCGGAGTGACGAGGATGGTGGTGACATTATGCGAAAAGGTTACTACCTGGATGACGATGAGGCTGTGAGTGACCTTCTCACCGCGGCGGGTTCGCAAGTCGCCCGAGGTCACAATGGTCACTCGACGAGCAGAGGGGACCATTATGGCGGAGGGTATGGTCATGGTCATGGTGGGGATAGCGGAGGAGGGTTGAGTGATCCATTCACTATTTTGGGGGGTCTCGCCTTTCTGACGTAATTTCTTTTTATTGATGACTATTCGGAGTAAATATGTAATTGGATAATTAGCATGTTTAAAATTTTAAAATTTTAATTTTGTAGCTATTTGGCAATGTTGATCCAGCAACAAATGGCGGCCATGCCGGCTACACCTGGACGAGGGAGAGAAACTCTAAAGATGAACGAGGACACCATATCAAAAACTATTCCCCTCATCTTGGCGAAATTGAAGTTAACCGATAAGCACCGCCTGACAAGTCTTGCTACCGACCTACAAAAGAAGATGATGTCTTCGCCTCATCATTCGCCTCCTCCTAAAATAATTGTCCAAAGTCCCATTGCGAGAAAAATTACGACAAAAACCTCGCCATGCTCTAATCTCTGTCAGATTTTGGGCAAGTTGAAGAAAACCCTGCCAACTACTAACCCTTAGTTTTGGTAGAGTAGAATGCAATGCAATTATTTAATTCATCCATCCCAAAAAATAAATGGGTTGGGTGTTGCAAATATTTTGAACCAATTTTAGTATAAAACTATTACAACTGGTTTGTTTTGCACATCCGAAAGAATTAACGTAACTGTTTATTCATCATCAACTCAGAAATTGCATGAACTTTTGGTCCAAACAAACAATAGGAATCTCTCTTCTCTTGAGCGAACACCACTTAACGGAAGGTGACATTGAGAATTGCATACCTTTTTTGAATGAAGTAGCAAAAGAGGTAAAATAAATCTATAATTCTACTAGTTTTAGTTAAATGCTATCTTTTTGCAATGTTTTACTCAAATAAATAAATAAATAAATAACAATTTTTCGTACAAATACATTGGAAACATTTTCGGCTGTCAAGCATTATCTATTGCATATTCACAATTCATAGTCTAACTTTCATGTAATTTTATTCTAAACTGCGGAAACTTTAGAATATTCACTCTGGGTGACGAATCGTCGCCCACACGAAAATCAAACCGTTCCTTGGAAGATTATTGCTGGTAATTTTTCTTACTTTTTATTGAAAACGAATCTTGAGGTTTCCCAAGTCACCCAGTTGACACGGACTTGATATACCCAAAGTAGTCTAGCTCGACAAATATGTGTGCCTTCTTCTCCTCACATGCTTCACATGGCCCATAAAAATGAAATTGATTCCTAAACGACCCATCACATAGTGCATATTCATTCACACATCATATCAATTATTGGCCTCAAGGAAAGGTTTCTGAGTTTTACCCCGTTTCAAAAGATGACAGGTTTGGAAAAATCTAGGTTGGACACGATGTACTTAATGGAATGTGAAATTTGTGATATTGAGCTAGTTTCCGGTGATTTCAGTGATTTTGAAGGAATGCATGTCTTCACCGAAACGGCGGTACAATGTCAGTCAGTCAGAAATCTAGAGTAGCCTGAAAAAATGAAGTCACAACCAAATTCAACCAATAGCTATTAAAATAAGTGATCAGAGCTCAAATCAAGTGTGAAGATGGGGTCAGGCTGTTTTTAGGTCTTTGGATTTGCTTTGTGTCGTGTAATGTGTCTATGATGACGAGGATCGTAATGACGACGACGACGATGTGTGTGTGAGTGTGTGTCGCGGATGTTGAGCTTCAATTGAGGAAGTCTTTGTCTCAATCTCACTCGACGGGAACGATGCATACCTGTCAAACCGAACCCATTTAGCACGCCGATTATGTCGAAAATAGATCACCAGACCAGAATCCATCACCATCTCCCAACACGCTGTTAGAGGCAATCTTGGTTAAACAATGTGCAGCACATGTGGTTGTGATGTGGTCGTCGTTGTATTGGGTCCCGATACATGCACACAGAAATGAATGGGGTGCCTGATAATAATGTGCTATGTATTGATGCGGTCTTGCTATTTTCAAAATCACACAAGTCCTTAAAACAATGTATAAGAAATTTGTTCAACAAATTGCTGAGGTGCTTGAGGGAGGGAAAATGAGCCGAAAAAGAGATCAGATCCGATTCCTATTGCTATTATTAGATATTATTTATTGAGGAAGAAGAAGTATGACATGACGGCGGATTGATGAGCTTTTCCTTGCTTTTAGACAAAATTGTTGTGTGCAGAGCATTGTTTGAGATTACGTGAGCATTCACTCCCATTCAGAACGGAGGGCGCAATTGGAGGGAGGATGAAAAGTTGGTTATAAGAATGAATACTGATAACCTACATGATGATGTATAGCGACATTCGCACCCCAACACACAGTTTGGTAGTAGCTTGATGATCATCATCGAGCTCCATGGACCGAAACGACCAACAACTCGCACTGGGTAACTGAGATGAAATGGTACTCTACTGTGTAAGAAGAAATAATGGTGTAAGATGCAGCAGTAGTAATTCAAGTGCCACATATTTGATAGGAATCAGACAGCGTAAAAAAATTTGTCGTCGTCGTCGTCGGTGGATGGAAGGAAACCCCTGAAAAGCATCCAAGCAACGAACCATTCATACCTTAACATGGGTTCGGGAGGGCCTCAGTTGCCAATATAAGACATCCTTCCGTCCCAACTTCCCACTAGAGTTGTTGCAAACGTTGTCCGGGTTGGTCGTCGTTTTGCTTGTGCTGTGCTGTCTCAAGTCGTTCTTCTCTTGATACATACATCTTTACATTCTTTTGTTCTCATCATTCCGTGCATAAGATTTCCGACACTGAGGGAAAACCAGCAAGAATCATCATAATTTGAAATTGGAAACCTTCATGGTTTGTTCGCATTAACGACTGAGAGACAGAATTCCAGGTTCCAGTAAGAAACGCCACAATGAGGAATCACCTCACCTCCTCAGCATTGTTCAGTGCCTTGGTTTTGGTGTGCCATTGTTTGGCAAAGGAGAAGCATACCGTGGGCCGATCTCTGGGGCGAAGTCAAGTCGGAACGTTGTATGACCTGAGGAGCAAGTTGGCCCGATCTGCCCCCTCCTCGTCATCATCCTACCCGTCCTACCCCTCCTCCCCCTCGTCGGCTTCGGCTGCTGCTGCAAAAGAGGCGCGAGGCTACTCCTTTCACTACAATCCCTCCGACATTTCCCATCCAGCTTTCTCCTCGAGCTACGCCTCGCAAGACTTTCACAGTCGGATGGGGAAGATTTCCGACCAGCAACAGCAACAACACATGCCAGCCAAGAAGAAACAGGCTGAGACCAAGAATTGGGACAAGTACTCGAAATATGCCTACAAAACTTCAAACTCCAACGGAGAGGAGATTCCGATGGTCAACAGCTTCACAATTTTCCACAATGAGACTACCGAATTGGGGGTGGTTGGTAGTTCGACCACTTCAACCACACAAGCCAGCACGACCACGACCACCTCCACCACGAACAAGGCGAGCAGTAGTGGTAGCACCAACAATAAGGCCGTGACATCTTCTCCCCCTGGAAAAACCGCTTCCAGTGGTGGCTTCGATCTGAGCAAGATTGCCTCCATCGGACTCGGAATCAATGATGCCATGACGTCTGTCCTCACTCAAAAGTTGATGACAATGATTGATCAAGACTTTCCTCAAGGAATTCTCAAACCACTCAAGCACTTGGTGTCTTCGGGGAATCGAATGGTCGAATTTTGGGACAAACGAGCCAACGCAAGGGACGGGAAGCCGCCAGGGATCGTGGAAATGTTGGGGTATGGAATCGAACAGTTGAAAAAGTATCGGGACGGACTTTCCATGAAGGCGTCTGACCCAATTGTGAATATCACGTCGCCCTCGAAAACTCTGATTCAAGGCATGGTCACCGTGAAGAAATTGACCAATCGAGTGTTGGGGTATGACACGGAAGAAGCCGCCGTGGAGAGTCGAGGGGGTTATGGACACGATTCTTATGGGGGAGGTGGTTATGGACATCACGTGAGCTATGGGTAAGTCATGACGACCACTTTTATCTTTTCATACATCTATTCATCTCCATAATACATGTACAAATATTGTGTTAAATTTTATTGTGAGACTCCGATGATAATAAGTATGAGGAAATTTGAGTATTAACCCGTCGAGTATGTGGTTAGGCATTATTTGGACCCATATGCCATTTTGGCCACTCTCGGATTCGGAGTGTTCCTATTTAACGTAATTTTCAATCTGCTAAACAACAATGCCGCCGCGTCCGGAAGGTCGCTAGACGTCCAGGACATTGATCTCCCTCTCGAACTCTCCGATATTTCCAAGTTCAGTGTCAAAGATGTAAGTGTTGGGTCCTGGGTTGCTGATTGCACACACAAACACACACTCACAAAGGCTGCTTTGTCTTGACATCACGGGAACAATAATTGCAAAAAAAAGACTCACAAAAAAAACGACAATCGCACTCCAACCAATTGACGAAAGCTTTAACAACACCGCAATGATTTTAGGAAAAAAAAATATAATAATAATTGACGGTGCACCCACCCTCACACTCAAAAATGAGACGATGAAACTTCACTTATAAGCACGAACTGCAGGTTTCTCTGACTTTTTAAACAACATTTTTCCCATGATTGACGTTGACAGGGGAATGAGTGGACTTGACCCTTTCGCCCTCCTGGCTGCACTGGCTTTTGGAGCGTTCCTTTTGCAGCTTCTTTTAACCCTTTTGAACACAAGTGCTCGGTCCCTCGATGTGGTTGACTTGAACACGCCACTCGTACTCTCCGATTTTCATGTACCTAGTTTCATGACCAAGATGGACGTAAGTCTTATTCTTTCACTCACTCACTAACTCACACATTATGCTTTCTCTTCTTCCTACACTGCTTTCTCGCTATCTCGCTCGATCTCTCTCTCACCTTGCGATCGACCAACTTGTAACATGATGTCCTCGTGTGATCGTGAATGCAGAAAATCTTTGGAACCCCAACCACCCGGACGCGAAGATCGGTCGATGACGACGAGGAGAACGCCGTCTTCAACTCCATAATTGACAAGCTGGACGGGATGTACAAGACGTACCGCGTCGTGTCCAACAAACCTTCATGTGCCAGACTCTACCTGTGTCGATTAGCTGTCCAGGACGCGGATGCGGATGAGACCACCTACTCCTCAAAGTTCTACATGTAAGTTTTCAACAATGAAGGCATCGGGGCATTTTGAGATAACTCAAAATTTCTCAAACTTGGAATACTATATTTGTGCAGGTACGGGCTGAAGCATCTTGTGGGCGACACTTCTGCCAATGATTTTGTGAGGTCGATACAGTCCAGGGTGGCCAAGGGGGAGGAGGTCGACTGTTACAAAGAGGTGAGTGAGGCTTGCAATCCATCCGATGAAGAGTGATTAATCCGTCCACCCACCACAAAAAACGTATCATGGTCAAACTCTAATAATTCTCCCTCAATCCCACCCAATCGAGGACTGCGAAAATTCCCTAAAAGTTCCAATTCCGAAGAGGAGAATAATAAATTTCTTCCAAAATGTTATGAATGTTGAATAAGCGAGTAGAAAAATGCTTCCTATATAATTAATCAATCAAGCTCACTATTCGAGACATATAATATCCGAACTTAACTCACATACACACATGTACATAACCACAACTACTCATATACTTTATTTATTGTACCATTTATTGAAACAAGTATGCAATGAAAGCAATAATATGATAAATTTATTTATAGTAGAAAATAGAAACAATATAGCAAAAAATGTTTAAACCTCCACAGGATTAAATTTTTTGTTTTCCCGATTCGGCCAATACAATGCTTTATTTATATATATATTTATGAAATTGTACTGTTTGTTCCAAGTTTTTGATGTATTTAGTTGTCTTTTTATTTATGTCGCCTGCGTATAATTCCATTCAACTATGTGCTGAAAGATATTACTATTTTTTGAGAATATTATGCGGTGTGGTAGTATGTATTTATTTATTTATTTATTTATTTTGCTATAAAAGTACAGTTTTATATCTACTTGCCCACATTATAATCATGATAATAATACTGCTAGTAAGTAGAATGTTGTTACCCATTTTGTTTGAAGTTTGTCACTGAGTCAATAAACATTGTTTTATATAAATCAACAAAAAAAAGTTGAGGTTGCAGAAATTGTAGCATAAAAATAAATAAATTGGACGAAAATTATTCCACTGCATGCTACACTGACACGAATGTTCAATCAAGACAAACCACAGGCAGCACATCACGTAAAATTTTCTTTGCAATTTAATTGGAAACATCCGCAAACGAATATAATGATGATCCGATCTATACCGTTGATCTTGATTTGGGTTCATCCATCCATGCAAATCCTTACACTTTATGACGAAAAACAAATGTCAGCGTCACTCAAAATGACAAACAGTCGCTAATCCGTGCCTATTAGCGATAAAATGATAAGTAAGTTTGATGGGAATGATGATACATTCGTCTCAAGATTTTGTGAACTTGACATTATGTGGAAACTGATGATGGTATAAATAAATAAATACCTTGCATGGGTTACTTCTTTTTTATGAGAATTGTGGCATTTTTTCCGACATGCTGTCGAAATTATTTACAAACACCAAAATTGCAAACCGTGTGCAGCAGGTTGGACTACTCAAAGAATGATATATTTAAGCTTTATTTAACCGCGGCCACAATTAAATTGACGAACTGGAACAGGATCATAAACCAAACTATATATTCTGTTGATACATATATACTCAACGATTATCTTAATTGTGTCATTGGTTTTTTCTCATTTTGTATGACGACTTTTATTTGTACTTGAAATATGTAATCCTAATTTTTATTTGGATGCACATTACGATCACGTTTAATTGAATCATTAACCAGAAAATAACTATCGTAATAAATATTACATAAAAATCTGTTCCGGAATGAGCACGGCAATAAGAAAATGTAATTCGGACCATCTCGTGTTTCGACACATCTACAAAATGCCATGTCGAATTATTCGTTATTTTAGTTTTGTTCGGACCTTGCACTGGACAACAACATCGTTTGCATTTATTTTTCAGTTAGTCTTAGTTTGTCACAAGTTGGAAAAAAGTCAAGGAAGTGACATAGTGTAACTATTGTTAAAATGAAAGGTAAATATTTCTAAATTCACAACATTTCTGCAAAAATTTACAAAAATTCATACATTTCACAGGGCGTCTAATCCATTCATGGACCAACCGAAGTTGTCACACACTTCTTGTCGAACTACTGATTCTAGTTTTAATCGGATTAATCCACTGTCATCAAAAGACAACAACACGAGGACAATTCAATAATGTTGGACCACATCCTCCAAACAATAACAATGCTTCATCCCCCACGACTACGACATATCTTGCGCGATCCTCATCTCAAGGGTCGGTCCGTGTCCGAGAGATTCCAGAAGCCATGCTTGATCCTTATTCTGTCCTGGGCGTCTTGTCCTTTGGAGTTTACATCTTTTACATCCTGTACACCCGTTATCGAATGAAGGGTCACAAGCCCGCTGGAGGTGGTTCCCCCCAAGCAGGAGGCACCCTCTTTAGTGCCGATGCACAGGAAAATATTGCGAATATTATTAAAATGGCGACAAAAATCATATCCAACACACCCTATTTGACCGACTCCAACTCCACTTTCGACGGGGATGATTACTTCGATGCTGCGGATGGGTCAGACCTTCGGAGAAAGTTTAGAATCTCACGAAAATAAGAAAATGGTATTTTATATCATTACGAAGCAAGTATAATAATAATAATAACGCACTGATTTGTTGTGGCAAGTTATCATTTCATTTTCCGCATTGTATTGTTGTAGTTGTGAATTTACATAAACAGAATAAAATAATAATATGCATTATGAAATAATATTTGCAAAGTTGAAATTGAAATTTACTCAAGACTTTCATTAAACAGGGAAATGTTATTATCATCATAATTATGTAAATAATGTTACTTTGTGTGTGTTAATGCATTTTCGTTCATAATATAATGCACCCGTCTGGCCTTGAATTGAATTTCTGCTCCCCGTGTTCCACATAAATTGAACCTTGGCGAAATAATAATGATTCGAAACCCACACCAGTCTGAAACCAGGAGCGAATAACAACGTACAAAATTTCATTGTGTATCACTTTACAATAAGAACCTGACCCAAATTTTATATTATTTTTGTATTACGCAATTTCGATTGTTTTATTACATGTACATACATACACAGCCATTTATTTCCTCATCACAGCATCTTTTGATCATCAAATGGCATTGAAATCCCCCCAAGCAGAAATGGCAGCTAAATGCAGGTATACATGTTTTGTATCAAACCTGTAAAATTGCGACCAAATTAAATCTCGGAGAAATAAAAAAAATCTATTCAATGTGCTCTAAAGTATCGCCATGAATGAATGAATGGTCCAAGCTCAACCAGCCAACCAACCAGTTGAAAACAGTGTCAGCAATTGTTTGCAAATGCATTGTATTTGGAATTAACTGTATTTGCATAGTGAGCTTCTTTGACTTCGGTTAATCAGAGCCGCACCGGATCTAAAAATGGCTAAAAAAAGAAGAAGCCAGGACCAGGTGCATTTGACGAGCGTTGTTGTTACTCGTTTCTTAACTGATACATAATGATGGTCCATTTGAAAGAGGAGACAATAAACTCAAAGTGGCAGCAGGTTTATGCTATCAACAATAATTTGAAACACATCTGGGCATCAGCGTGGGACTCTTGTGTCGGTTCGTTGATACGATTAGACGTGGACTTCCTGTTCGTTTTCGTATAGTCGTCGCCCTTTTCGTTACCCACCGCCCAGCAGCGACACCATGAATTCAACCCGTTGAAAAAATACTGCCAGCAACAAATTAAGGAAATGCATGGTTGTCCAATATTCGAGTCAGTATATGAAAGAATGGAATTGCATGGTTTGCTGCATTTAGTCCCATCTTTCCTGGCAGGACAGACATCTACTAGATCGTTTCCATTAAAAACTTTGCTATCATGGAGGCCAAAGTTTTTTTCGGTTTTTGTGTCCTTTTTGTCCTCTTCTTCGAAAACGGGAGTGTAACTGGACAACAACAGTCGCCATTGGCAAGCCTCGCTGCAGCGGCGTTGAATCAGTACTCGGAATACGTCAAGTTGAAGAGTTTGGACAAATCGCTGAGTAATTTGAATTTTTTTCAATATTCGGGATATTCTGGATTACTGGATTACTGAATTACTTGATTTGTTTGATTACAACTTTTTTTTACACAAAGGTGAAAAGGATGACAACCCCGAGACCAGGGGAGGTGGAGGGTATGGGCACGGTGGTGGTGGGCATGGACATGGGCATTACGGGGCCATAACCCTTGACCCCGTCTCAATCATCAGTCTTCTAGCACTTGGTATGAATATATTCACAAATAACTCATCAGAAATCATGGTAAGTCACAGTTACATGGATTTGAATCTCTGCAGGTGCATTTTTAATCAACAACATTCTCCAACTTCTCCGTGCAAATGCTCCAGCTCCAGCCCCGGCTCCAGGAAAGAGATCCTTTAGCTCATTAATTCCAGAGTCAATTTTCCCAGTTTTGTCTGCAATGGAAATGTATGCTCAACTAATTATACAAGTTAATGCTATTCTCATCCCAATATATTTAATCCGTATCAAATTGTACCTAGGAACTCTGAACGTAAAGGGGACAGCATTCTCACTGGGGAACCAAATTTTGGAAAATTTTTTGAAAACGTCGGCTCCCTCTACTACCTTCAGCCCAAAAAGAGGAACTTATGCATTAAAAAAGTCGTCTGTGGTTATCTCACAGTACAAAAGTCTCGGGAAGACACTGCCCCTGGAAATTTCAAGACGAGTGTGTTTGACTTTATGCTGTAAGTCATCAACATTCTATCCCCATAAAACTTCAAGTCTTTAAATATAGTAATCTTTATAGCTCCACAATTTCTCGCTTCGTTGTCCCCGAACTTACGTCTCCCACCAAGGACGACGTTTGCAAAAAATTCAACAAACTTTGCAGTGATTCACTTCTCCAAGATGCAAAAATATCTGTCAAGCATAAAGTTTATCATGAGATGAGCAACCTCATTTCCGCTCTCACAGTTGGTGGTGGTGTCTCCCAAATGATGGGTTGATTTACATTAATATTACTATTTCATTACACAAAAGTCGAGTTTGTTTTTGCAATTAATTGTAATTATTTATTATTGTTTTTGGTTGGAATAAAACATTGCAAATTCATATGAAGCTGTGATTATCAGAGGGCGGATATGTATGTATTTCTAACTTTTTCATATCAAATCAGATCGTACTAAAACTTTGTGTACTATCATCCCATCGAAGCGTGATCTCAAAAATTCAAACATTGTTTTCCATATTTCACATATTTTAGGGTTTTCGTACATATACATATTTTCATACATATTTTGAGTTTTTTTCGTACATGCACATATTTTCCTACATATTCGAGCCTTTTTCTAAAAATAAATATTTGAATACATATTTCGAGGTTTTTTATGTGAAAATATTTTTCTTTATTCAGAAATTAAAGTTTTGTCAAAATTAGATTTTCATGATAATCATGATGTTAAATTAATATGAACTACTAGCAAATCCAGTTTGCCCATTTTGCAAGTCAAAAAATTACCCCTGAAAATCTTCGAATGTAACTAATGTCGCATTATGGGTCATTAGATGAAGATTAAAATGATATATTTAATAATTCGTTGATAAGAGTGTTAAAAAGTTGAAAGGTTTGGACAATTAAATTTAAATACAGTAGAAAATTGCAATAGAAAAATATGTTTTATGTGCATATTTTCGTGTTTTTTAAGCACATATTACATACATATTTTGAGGAATTTAAGTACATACATATCCGCCCTATGGCGATTATTACGTGAAGACCGTTACCCATAAAAAGAAAGACGGTGAGGCCACCAGCGTGCCCCGTGGTTCGACTTCTGGTCGGGAAACGTGGGAAATTTGAAGAGCGAGTCACCTCTCTAACATTGTCGTAGTCGGCACCTCTTCTCTGACTGTCTTACTAATTAATTTGGCATTTTCGTCATAATAATTAGTATTAATTAGTTTTTGACTGGATAATTTTTGTAACTCTCACTAAATACTTCGCCATGTCGTTTAATAAAGGAGGGCAGAAGGTCCAGAAGGTTATGGTCCAACCCATTGTAAGTATATTTTTTTTCATTTATATTTATTTTATGCAGTTTTTTTAATGTACGATTTTCCATGTATAAACGGGTGTTATGCAGGTGACGAAATAATATTGTAATGGTTTTCCTTACAGAACCTGATTTTTCGTTACCTCCAAAACAAGTCTCGTGTCGTGGTCTGGCTCTACGAGAATGTCAGTTTGCGGATGGAGGGAGTCATATGTGGATTCGACGAATATATGAACCTGGTACTTGACGATGCGTATGAAATAAACACCAAATCTGGAGCTCGTAGGAGATGTGGTGCGTAAATAATAATTAATAAAACAAATAAGGGATGTGTTTATCCTGAATGTTTTCATTTTATGAATCGCAGGTCGTCTGCTTCTCAAGGGAGATAACATTACTTTGATACAAAACGCAGAGGGATGAAGAATTTGTCTTGAAGATTTAAAAAAAACAGTTGAAAAATGGTGATTTTATAACATTTTTTGTTGTTGTACTAATGTAAAAAAAAACTAAGATGCTCTGCGCCTTCTCATACTATGTAGTGTTAAATATGCGAGTGTTTCAGTCTGGTACATTCTTTGAAAAGGTTTTTTCTTGTTGCTTATAATAAATATAAAAACTTATGATAATAAACAAGTTTTGTTACACATTTTGGAAACAAATGTTTTATTCTGTTCGTCATTTCATTTCTTCTTCACCAAGTTTTTTTAATGCATTCATATAGACGAGCACCACTTTTGTGTAGTAGTAATGATACCAATAATAACAATATAGTGATAATAGTGTGTAGCTCAAAATGGATTAAAATTCAATGACAAACAAGTCATAGTAATTAATTATGTCGAGTTCTATCGCATCCTTATTAACGCAACCCGTATTTTGCTAATAAATTCACAAACCACCAACTTAATTTTTTTCTTTAGTGATCTTATATAGTCGCAAAAAAATCGAGATAATTATTTTTCGAAAACTGAAATCAGTTATATGTAGTGCAGCACACTCACAGTTGCGACAAGTTAATAAAAAGGAACCTTATAAATTACAAAACATTAAATAATAATTTTATCCTAGAAAAAACATAGCATTAAATATATTAATATTGTACCACTTGAAACAAGATGTGTACATAAAAATTGTTAGTATTTTGCTACCGAGGCGTGATATTATATTAATTAATGTCGTTATGTGTATATTTACATTGAAACTTGTACCGAGAGAACTGATCGGTTTCTCATCATCATTATCATCAATATTCATGGTTTTGATTTTTTGATTAATTGTTGTACATTATTTGAACACACCTACATCATCAACTCATCTTCTTGTGTTGAATTAACCTTTATCATTCTGTGCTGAAATAATTAGTCCTGCACTCGTTCCTAGTTTAATAATATTAGGTAAAGTTAAAGTTTACTAGTTTCAGAAAGTCAAACAATATTTTTGTATGTATTTACTATGTATCCCAAAAACCCATTCCGTTTTTCTTTAACCCTCACATTTCTATTCCACAATTTGTACATCTTGCTCTGACCTTTTGCTTTTCCTCCTCCTTTTACATAAGTTTATAGATATGGCATGTCAGCACTTAATCAACCTTTGTTATAAATTACGTTACAAATTCGGGGCCCACTTGTCAATGCAATGAAATATTTTTACAGATAAAAATACTTTCATAAAATAAATATAGCAGCGAAAAAAATATGACTCAGAAAACGGGTCAAAATTATCATCATACCATAAAAATCCAAACTCAAGAGACTAAAATGACTGAACACGATAGTCAAAATCCATGTACATATATGTATGTATCTCATTCAATATATAATTAATTACTGTACTAAAACGATAAAACGCTGCAATTTTGATACTAAATAAAAACGCTTACAAATCAATAGCGTCATAATTTTCTATTATTTTATAAATAAACCTTTACGCGTACTATAAAAAAGGTTGTAAATAGGAATTCATAATGATTCAAAGGATGAGAAAAGTAAAATACTGGCAATAGTTTCTTAGTTTTCTTTAAACTTTAAAAACTTTGCAAATTATTAAATGCAGAAAATAAGCGAAACAACAAAAAACAAGATTGTCATCATAAATACAGTAGAATGATAAACAATAGTAAGACCCGAACATCACTAACCTAGGATTGATTTTTAAAAATAATTCTAAAATTCTAACTAAAACAAATATGAATTAAAATGCATTGTGTCTCTGCAAATCAATAGTGACATATGTATGACTGCAGCAGATTTTAAATATATTTACTCCGTATGTGTCGATAATAATAACAACAACAGTGATTGATTTCAATTTCTTTGGTTTCGTTATCTCGTTGTAGTTTAGTTTGTGTAGCAGTTCTTTAGTATCCATTCCTTGACTGGTGATTTGTATATATTTTCCTCAGAAGAATAAAAATCTATTATTCCATTCATCATTCAATCTGAATTAATAATACTTGGGCTCGAAGTAATCCACCTATGAATTCTCATTGTCTATACCTGAATCTATTGCCGACAACAGGCCTAAACTGTATGTGTATGATTATATACTCAGTGTTTTTCATATTTTTTTGTACCTTCGACGAGATGTTCATATCTTCCTTTTTTAAACCACTCACTACTATTGTACAACTATGGAGAAAGAGCTTGACGCGAGGGTTGAGGAGGAGCTATGACTCGACTCTGCCTTGGCGTCTTGAACGTTGTGCAGTTTGCATAAGAGTTCGTCATAGTCGACGTGACCAAAGGAGAATCTATTCTTGTTCCAGGGATGATGTTGGGACATTGTCGAGTGCTCAAAAGACCGCTCGTGTCTGCTCCGATGGCAGCAACTCCTCATCTTTAGGAGGACAGAGTCAGAGATTGGCTCATGATCGGGTGGACTATCAGGTACGGATTGTTGCAGGTGCAGCCAGTCTCGGCAGTCCAGGAACCCTGGACAACTGTGGACTCGGTAGAGAAGTCCTTCCCCTTGTCGCTCACAACAGGTCAGTTCACTCCCAGAGAGTAGATTAAACCAGTGATTATCAAAGTTGAGATGACCTGCGGCGTGATTTGAAGGCGACGACGATCTTTGTTCTTTTTCCATGCCGGATTTTTCCGATTGCTCTACACCAGCGCTTTCCTTGCCCAATTCGTCGTCATCACCTATTTACACAATAAAAATAATTAGCACAACAAAACTCTTGTAAGATTGCACAAAAATTGCTGTTCATATATCATCCATCATGCATTGCATGAAAAAAGTGCAGAGAGTAATTTTACCTTAACTTCATTCCTTATCATCATACTCATAATAAGTAGAGATCGTAAGCATGTTAAAAATACAATAACGAAACACTCGAGTATTTAATATACAACTTATATACATACGTGAGAAGTATTTACATACACGGCCATCGGGCCACACACACACACACAGACAACAACATGTACAAGGAATACTAATTCTTCTATAGAATAACCAGAGAATTCACCAGCACCAGAATTAAAGAACGTTAATGATTGTACATCGTATATCTGTAGCATTACGTATTTGGTTATGATGACTATTTATATTATACTGACTATATACCCACATAAATGTATGACTGGTTTTCTAATCGTATCTAAGAAGTTTGTCGATTCGATATGCATGCTTAAAATCCGCCCTGAAGAGTTGTGATATATTAATATTTGTTTGTGACGCGTCGAGGAAATATCCCAAACTCTAAAAACCATTGTCAGCAAATGCTATCTACTAAACCTATCTGCATAAGTTTATCTAATTATTCGATTGCCCACATTCGAATACAAAGTTCAATGATTAGTGTTGAGATACGTGTATCATCGGACCTTTATTGCAGGATGATGATGATGACGACGTCCCAGGTTCAGAATTATTAGGAATGTCTTCAGAAATACTCCATCTCTTTGGACGTCGTAAGTCACCAGCGGTCCATTCCGGAACCATTGAGGAACTGTCTCCTGCGTAGCTCTTCCGTTTCTCATGTGAGGAAAGGTAGTGCGAATACTTTGTGAAGAGTGTGCTTGGACACTTCCGCTTCTCGGGAGACTTTAACATCTCAATTTCAGCTAAACCTGGAGGATGAGAAACAGAAGAAGACGGAGGAGGAGGTGGAACGTCCATGACTTGTGATGAAGAGCAAGACATTCCATCCTCCACAGAAGACCAGTGTCCACTGTCGGATGACCAGAGCTGTCAGAACAGAACATAAAATAAATATTAATTGATAATTATAATTAAAACAATTTAATGGATTATTCAACAGTAACTTACCTGCAACTGACGCCGAGGAGATTTCGAAAACCCACTGCAGGAATCTGAAAACACACCATCGTCATTCAAATTCCCCGATTCGGACATTTCCCACGATCCAGAAGCTTGCAGTTCATTTTCAGATATTTCGGATCCAATGCCACTCGTGCTAACAGAGTCAGATCTAGAGAATTCTCTCTTATAACAAGCGACAGGACTAAGGCCAACAACATTGATCCCTGAAGAAGAGTGAGATGTGTCTCCTCCTCCACTGGAGATGCTAGCAGAAGAGCAGCCGGAGTTTAAGATGGATGACGGCAAACATGAAGGGACAGGTTCAACAGCATTATTTTCTTCGCCACACTGTTCCACGTGATCCTTATTTGTTGAATCAGCAGATCCCTCGACATGAATTTTATGAACTTTGAACTTTTTTCCATAGTCACACCCTCCCCCACACATCTTTGATGAGGATGACGACGACGAAGAGGATGACGATTCACTGATTTGCTGCTCAACTGAAGACCCCTTTCTACATTTAAAACCTTTGGATATTGAAATTGACAGGGATGATGATGATGATGATGATGAGTGATGAGATAAGGACTTTGAAACTGACTCCCAGGCCGCATGCCCGACTTCTTCTTCTTGAATGGACGTCACATTTTGTTCTTTAACGAGTCGAGTCGGTCGTGACAACCCCGCAAAGCTGAGCGTGGTGGGAGGAGGAGGAACTATACCACCAGAATTACCACCACTACCGCTTCGATTTTCCTTTCCTAATGGTTTATCAAACTGGAGTCGAGCCATCGCAGTCGTTGGCGACGAATCCTTTGGACTAGATAATGTTGGTGGATCCGCAAACGGCGAAAATCGGAGATTTAAATTTAATCGTTTCCCTGGTGGTTTCACAGGTATGGGGAGATGAGGTGGCGGTGGACCCAGCACAAAATCTACCGACGACTGAGATGCCGAGGTGAAACTTAGAGGCACAACAGGCGACTGCTTTTTCTCAATTACATTATCTTGCACTAATTGCTTCTCATACTCCAAAAGCTGGCCCAAAAAGTTAAAATTAGGTGAAATGGTGGCCCTTTTCGCTTTCACGTATCTGTACGCATCCTCACAAGTCATTTGCAAATGTCGCATCACGTATGCAATGGCGACAGTTGGAGATCTAGATATTCCAGCGAGACAATGGACTAACACACTTTCATTTGATTCCCGTGCTTTATCTGAAAAGCATAAAAATAAAAAGAATGAAATTAACAACACAAACTCAGTTATAAACCATTATTCGTGTATAAAGAGTAACGGATGTACTCACCAATAAACTGAAATGCTTCGATAAAATAGGGTAGTAACTTTTCATTGTGACTATCATTAACTGGGAGTCTCATGAAATGTCCGTCCGAGACAAATTCTGGTTTTGGACACTTGTTGCTCACGTTCAATTCATACGTAATGTTATGACTCTGTAATGAGGATGATAATTAATTAATTCTCATGAGTTATAGTCGCACAACAAATTAATTGTAAATCTATATCCTTCTAAATAAGTACCTGCAAAAGTTCCTTGTTATGTGCATCTTCCTCTGAGCCAAGGTAAAGGAATGGAAGGATTCGCGTGGGGCCAGAACTGTTGGTGGGTAAGCAAGGCTGTGAGAGAGCGGTGAGACCAGGATATTTCCAGATTTTATTTTCTGTAAACTCTGGATACAGCGATTGAAAAGCGATAAATCCTCCTAAAAAGTGGAAATTAAATTTTAAAATTCGGATTCATACCCATGACAAAAATATATTCCACATAACTCGTAATCATGTCTTACCAGCAAGAAGATGAACTTTTTCGAAAACCAGTATCAGTTTTTTCACCAGCACATACACAAAGCTGTCCGGAGAAACGTCTTCTATGGAGGGTGACCTCTGATCATAAACAACAATGTCGCACGTGTCATCTATATCTATTCGACAGTGGACGAGCAGATCTTTAAGGGATAGCTGCAAATTTCAATCACAAATGTTATTTATGTAATTTCATAAATTGGCTGATACATGAGTTTCAACTCGACTAAATGGTAAGACCTAGCTTAAAATATATCACCTTTTCCTGTTGAAGGCGGCGCTTTATGAGTTTGGAACAGCAAATATTGGCCGCACCAACAATATGATTATCATTATACTCAAGGAAAGATCTACAGTCGATAATTTTCACCTGAAACCAGTGCAAAGTTATGAAGATTAGATTAATTGTTTAAAAACAACTTAATTAATTGTATCTTACTTTGCGAGGCGTTTCCGTCAACGAGCCAGCAAGCTGTCCAGGGCTCAAATTACAAATTCTTGACCGCCTCAAAGCCATCTTTCAAAAATACGGGATCGTAATAAGCAAATAAATCCTTAAACGTCGCCGTTGTTGCTGGATTTAAACCAATCGAAGCGAATAAGCACCCAAACTACGGGAAGATGATACAGCCTTCGACAAAGTCATGCTCGATCTGCAATCTTGTTATGGGCAGAAGAAAATACGTGGTGGCGAGGTGGTGAAAGCTGCTGACATTTTCGACCAGTAGTGGTAGCAGTAGTATTAGTGAGTTGACTGGGGCCAGCTTCTTGCATATTTCTTCTCTTTAATTCTCTCGGCCCAATTTCTATTTCCTTAATCCAGCTCCAGTCCAATCTTCATTCGCATTAAAGGACTACCTAAGCTCTTCATCTCCTGCCTTTCTGCAACATAGGAAGAAGATCCACGTTTAGGTAAATGAAATGTATGAGTCACCAATTTGAATTATCGATGCCAACAAGGTGTCCACGACAGACACGACTGGATGATGATTATGAAAATGTAAAATGAAACGTCTACACGTCCGAGTTATGTCTTAATGTTTAATAAGATGGCTCATACTTGGCTAGACTATTATCTAAAGAGCTTAACAAATAAATGTACTTATTCAATATCATGCTTACCTATATCCACGCTCAAGTCCTTCTTGGAACTACTTCTAAGCCAACACTACCACCACCATGACCAACCTCCCTTTAATACTTTATGTCACCATGAGTCCCTCCTTATCATCAGCCTATCATGGGCACGATCAAGGAACACAATTTGCTTTCACTAATTTTACTGGTCCCCAGATGTGATTTAATTTTGGAACACGTTTAATAAAACTGATGATGACGCTGCCGGTACGTACACGATTGATTTCTCTTTTTCACAATAATAACGAGAATTATATTTCTGTCCTATTTTTTAACTAGAGCTTTCTTCCTATCCATTTCAGCCGTACTTTCCACCAAGATAGAGAATATTTATTGAAGAAGGGACAGCAACAAAAGCCAATTAAAAGCGCCTTCTTGCTTAACAAATACAGATGTTTTAGAGTAAATAAACCACTCCACGAGGACACCTTCTTCTTCGCACACACGATGACTACAATTCATTCCATTTCAAGGGACGGAAGCCTGCAAGTGCATCCCTTGATAAATTATTATCACCACGAGTTTTTTTTATATATTCCGTTGCTTACTTTATGATCTCACTTGGTGTGTAAAGATCACCACCACCAACGGTGGGCACCTACGGTTGGGTCGTTCATAGACGTTGGCGTCATCCTACAAAATAACCAGGCTTCTAACGAGATGAAGGGGTCCGGGGGCACTGAAAATTATCGGAGAGGATGTTTTCGGATCTTTTCATCCCCAGAGTTGGCAAAGGGTCGGGTCTGTCTGAGTATTTGGATGGTTCTGACCTGGGTGGATGACGTCACGACGGGTTCGTCATTTCTAAGAATTCTCATTGGCTCCTAATCTCGAGCGATGACTCATTCCCTGAGTTATCCAAAGTGGTACCCAAGATTATATGGAGGTAACTGTTGACGCTTGCATGATCTGAAAAAGGAAATGAAAAGTATGAAATGAACTGTGTGTATTTGCTTTTGTAAAGACTTTGATCAAATTTTGTAGTGAATGCATTGATTTTTTGTTGAAAACCAAACTTTCATTCAAATTTTCGTGGAATGACGTTATATTAAAAGTAGTGCTTTTATTTTTATGAAGGTTCATTTCATACAAAGTTATGTGGGTTGCATTATTGCACAACAAATTTATATATTAAGCTGAATTTGTATAATACTATATCACAAGTCCTTATTAGACAAGAATTCGAGATCACAAGATTTTTGCAGCATTATTAGTTACATTTACTTTAATATTTCTTAATAACTGCTTCATCCCAGGGACCGTGTCGTTGATACTTAAATTTTTTAGATAGCCAAAATGTCAATGGAAGAACGAGTGTGATGCAGATCATTGTTCCCGTGTAAACCCAGATGAAGATTAAAGAGGTGTACAGGCAGACGGACGCCACCCCCAGAATGACCACGGCCAAATACCAGTACGAATCCCAAATAAAAGAGGAGAAAATTGGGAAGAGAAGGAACAGCTCGACTCCAAGGGTCGTGAGGGCGATCGTATCTGTATTTGTGGGCAGTCGTGACGACAACGTGATGGCTGCAAAGAGTGCCGCACAAACAGACAAGGTTGGCGAGACGAAGAATCCTCTCACTCCAAAATCATTCGTCATCAAGTGAAGAACCAACAGTACCGTGGAAACGGCCTGAACAGTGTCCGAACTCACGGTGGCGGTCAGGGTTCGGAAAATTGGTGCCAGGACGAAAGTGCCGAGCAAATAGTACATCGTCACCTGAAACTTTTCTCTGTTTTCCGTCACAAATGTGTAAATGGTCTGAGTGTATCCGAATTCTTTCAAATTTCTCCATCCTGCATGTCCCACATAAATAGAGAGTCCGATCGAGCTGGAGACATAGCAGTACTTTAGAATCGTGGTCGACTCCACCCGATGCGTTTTCATGAGAAGGTAAATCATTCCGAAGAGGGTGCAGGCAGACGCTTGAAGCGCAATCCTGGTTGACCTCAAGACAACATCGTTTAGAGTACTATTAGAGACAGTAGGCTGGTCATAGAAAGTACAATCGTCGATAAGGTGACCTTTCCTTGAGCTATAATGCCATGTTCATGACACAATAAATGAAATGCATACAATTGACAATTAATAATTTTCATATTCGTCTATACTTTATGAGAACTTACCAATTGTAACAACTAATCTCGTCCAACACAACTGCCTCATTCCTCGCCAACTTTTTTTTCATTCGTAAGTCCATGGTGGTAATTCAGGCTGATTGAATATCTGCAAAAAATAAATCACTTTGAAATTTGACTTTTGACAATTAAATTAATTCTCAGTAAGATTTTTCTGTATATTTACATAAATCTTCACCAGATTTGTGAACTTGTACGTACTACCTAAAAGAGAGCAAAATGGAATAATTTTGCAAACCGGTGGTCACAAATTCACCGTGCAATTCGACCAGTGAAAGTAAAACAGCAACACATGAAATCTACTCTCTTCTCAGGTTTTCTTTTCATATTTGCCAGTCAAGGAGCCGGTGGAGGTTTCTTCTTACGCATGGCCGTTCATACAATCTTGGAAAAATTCACTTTTTCGAAAAAAAATATACAACCTGAAATACGATTCCTCAAGTCGGATCGGAATGAACAGCTTTAATTTGGTTTTTCAAAATTTCTTCAAAATTTGAGAGGAACTTGAAGTGAAGGTGACAGTGGTTGAGCTTTAGTAGGAGAAAGCAGCTGTCAAAGTGGAGGGGATGGTAGTGAATCGTCCTTGTCAACCACCACCACCTAGTCCTGTTGCTGCGAAGTAAGTAGGAAAGATTGTTTTGCTGCTGCCTCGGTCCTCAAAGTTCTCTCATTGCTCTCCTCCTCGCCGACTGGACTGGTTAAAATTAATCACTTTCGCCGTGTTTTGGTGGGGTCGTCGTGTGTCGTGATTTGTGGGGTCAGAGGACGTGTGTCGGAAAGACAGGTGAGTCCGGGTTAAATTTTTACAATCTGCTGCAAATCTGCTCACCATATGTCATCACATAACGTAATCCCGGTTCTGGAAAAGTAGTTAATAACAAATTTGTGGGGTAGGAGGGTCAAGGTCAGGTATGATTTTTGACGGGTACCTGTTTCATCATAGTCAGGGTCAATCGTGCCATTGTGGACTTATGACGAGGGAAAAGTTGACGGAAATAAGTGGCATGTCATGAAAAAGTATTTGATATGATTGATGATGGGAAATTGTGCCATGTGTCAAACAAATTGATTAGCATTACAGTTCAAGTTTATACAATTGAGCGGTTATATTATGATATGATAAGTGTTGGCCTGATTTTCGCACATGGATGTGATTGAACCTTTGTAGAGTAATAATTATTACTTTCTCCAGGGTTTATTTAGGATGGGGAATTGATAGAAGTGGGCAAAATAAATTGATTTCTAAATTGGAAGGTAACATCCTTTCGTGTTCAAATGCAGACAAACAATGCACACCGCTTAGAAAATGCAATTAGTATTTTACCAATATATTTTCATGGCTTCTGAGAATTGGAGATATGAAAATCCTCATGGACTGAGAAAGTTTAGCAGTTGTTTTTAAAATGATTTTTATGTTTACTTACAGGTGAAAAAGCGTGAGTGGTAGGAAAGGAAATCAAACTGAAATAATGAGTGTCTGCTACAAGTGGTATGATTAATAATTTACTATAAAATCACTAACTGATAATATGTACAAATATTGATGGTTACTATCTTATTAATTTCAGTAACCGAATTGGACATTTTGCTCGGGAATGTTCATCCGATGAAGGAGGTGGTGGTGGGGGCCGAATCAATAGTGGAGGTCGTGGACGAAACGGTAATTAGATTTGGGCATAGGGAGATTGTAAGTTTTATATATTGTTTCTTGTCTCATTGATGTGCTTCAAATTATTTCAGACAAATGCTTTAAGTGCAACAGGTACGGTCACTATGCTCGAGATTGTCGCGAAAGTGACCGATGCTACCGATGTGATGGCGTTGGTATGTTATGATAATTAATTTGATTACTAATTATAACTCGAAATCTTATTGATTGACATTAAATTATAATTTAAAAGGACACATTGCCAGAGACTGTAGCAATGAGGCTGGTGGTGAGCGTACGTTAAAATTTTTATTTTTATTTGTTTTTTAATCGTATCATTTTGTATTTGCATATGTATTTGCTGACATTGTTATCTTAGTTGTGTGTTAATTTTGTTAACTACTTATTTCAGCTGCATGCTACACGTGTCGAAAACCTGGTCATATTGCCAGGGAATGTCCACAAGCAAGGAATTCGTCGAATCTGACTTGCTACTCTTGTGGAGAACACGGTCATTTGAGCAAACACTGCAACAAGGATGATCGCAAGGTATGATTTATTGTATAATTATTGTATGTAAAGTGTTATTAGAATTTAAACGGTGTATTTTTATCCATAGTGTTACGCATGTGGTAAGATGGGACATATTAGTTCGGAGTGCTCAGATCCGGATGGAGATGGAAAGAAATGCTACATTTGCCAGGCATCTGACCACATCTCTAGAAACTGTCCATCCAACGAGGGTGCATCAGCAACTCTTTGCTATCGGTAAGTTTCGAGCCAATATTTTCAATGGTACATATTAAGTTTATAAATCTGGCCTATCTTAAATTGTATTATTCCTCTTTTTTAGTTGTAATGAGCCTGGACATTACCTGAAGGAATGCAAAGCCATTCTTGCCGAATGAGTGGGATGGGCTCACCTCCTTCTCTGTCAATGCTATCTAGACATACTACTACATAATCTACATTTTGTAATTAAAGAATTTATAACCTATCCAACTCGGGAATTTTCGTACCACGATAAGGATCAACAAATTTATTACTATGTCTATTTATTAATATACCACCAACACAATATTATTATGAATATTATATATCTGACTATAAGAAGATTAAATTATCTACCAGTGGGGTGACGGGAATTGGAATGTTAGTAGTTTAGTTTAGTCAACTTTTAAAATCAAAGAGGTTTTATTGGTTGAATATTTTTTAGGGAGCCGTGTGCTTAGGAAGATGTATCTGAAATCATCCAAGTAATATAAAAACCTGATATTAACAATTGAGCAATATTTACGGTCTGTGTATTTTCTCCGTGTACCTACTACAAGAACTTCAAAGAACTTCGATACAAAAAAACTTGTAAAAATAGTTACATTTTACAAATAGATTTACATTTGTATTGTTCTCTATATAACAATTAATGGATGGAAGTTGTGCCTTATACTATATGGGCAAAAAACTAATTTGGTCCGGTTTAGTATCAAGTATCAACCTGTACATGTATTTCCTACGGCTGAAACTGAAAGCTTTCTGTTGAAAGTTTTTTAACCTTGTGTTTCGTATCGTAATAATTTTATCATTTTACTTTTCATTCATTAACTAAAAATACTTCGATCCATGTATGCCTCGTTGTATCCAATTGTATTCCTGAATGCCAAAAGTGTACATAAAATATGGATACCTACATAAATATGCACTGATGATTTAATACTGGTATAACTTCCTCCACCAGAACTGATTCTCTTAATTCTAGTTGAATACTTAGTACCTCCTATAACTTACAATAATATATATGTACATAAACTATAGGCCGGAAAAATATTTATATCTTATTTATGGTTGGTACATAAACTAATATTGTGAATTAATCAAATGTATAACCGTAAAAATTTTATCCATGTGTATACTTATTTAAGGAATACTTGTTTTGTTATTTTAGCATTTACATACACTTTTATTAATGTGGGTTATCTCTAAAAGTGCATCATCTATGCATCCCATGTCTGTCCCAGTTAGAAAGAAAAACATGTTAAATTTTAAATGTTGAGTTTTTTTGAAAGAAAATTTGTATTTCAATTCAACTTGTTGTTAATGTTGGTGGTAGTATGTTGTTGCTTTATTGGAATAACGTCCGTAATGTTTTTGTTAAATATTTAATTTGCATTGCGAATTGCTTATTAGTCCTTGAGTTGTTAAAATATCCATGTCTAGAGTGGTAAAAAAATTGAATTAATGCCTCAACAATACCTGAGTGCAAATAAAGTTTTTTATCTGAAATGTGCACGTATCTGACTCACTGTCTTTTGCATATTGCGGAAAAGTCTAAAAAAAAAATAAAAAGGATTTGCAACTTTTTACTTTCTCCAACCACATCATCTGGTTAAGTTGAACCCTAAATTTAGATTTATTATTGCACAACATTTTTCTTAATTTATCACTCCGTCACGCACTAGGCCGTCCATCCATCCATCCGTCTTACAACAATACCTAATTAGGGCCGTTTAGCATCGCGTTTCACATTGGAAGGCGTGCACTAAAAATAACACGCTTTTAAAATCATGTCTATTTCATGATTGCATGATGTCCAATTATCATTTTTCACCAGCCCCTTTTTCATACCTTAAAAGCATGCTGGTTGCATGTTTTTCTTCCTCTCATCTTGGTGTGATCTCATCCTCGAAACATGTTCCGGAAAGCTTTTTCTAAATTAGTTTTCCATTTTGTTTCCACCCGGTCAGCAGATAAGGATCCATAATTCTCTCCGTTCCAAGTATGTCGAGCTGCACACACGCACACATGCACGCAAGGGGCTCCAGTTTTTATTGGCATGTTAACATTTTTAGCCCATAAAGCGAAGAGTGTTGTGCTGTGTGGGTGGGTGTAGTTCTCTGGAGAAACTACATTCGACTTCACATTAGTCAAAGTGGGCAGTTCGGGAGGAGAAAGGCTTAAAGTTTGAAGAGAAAGCAGCCACACTCGGTGGGTTTGTGAATGCATTTATCCTGCTCCCATTGGGAATTTGGTTGCTCGTCTCTCGAGGAATAAGAAGGATGAGAGAGCGTCCTTTTAAGAGAAAGAGTAATGATTTCACCAAGAATAGAAATGTAGCATTGTTACAACTGCTAAATACTGCGTTATAACTTACCTAGCTGGTGATCGTCTACTATATATTTTTTATGTTTCCTTTCTTTACGAAGGGAACCCATAGTTTATGGGAACGGCGATATGTCTGTCTATCCGTCCGTTTGCATGTACATAAGTTTCAACTTTTATTTTTAGGAATAGATAAATATGTAAGATTGGGTTCATTTATCCGCCTGTAGGTCCACCCCTTAAATGAAGTGTACAGTGACGCAATTGGTGATCACAGGTGGCACAGAACCAATTCACCTGTAACTCTTAAAGTTGGGAATGAATTTTACTGCATTTGGCACAATTGCATATAACCCACCAGTTCTTGATCCCGAGGATTTCCACTACGCCACCGTATTACAAACTAATTTATTTATTTATTGTATTTCAATGAGGCACCCCATTACTGGGACCTTACACCTCAAGGCAAAAACTTGTCATACAATGCATACAACATACATATAAAAAATAATACGGTACATACAAATAAGTATTTAAGCATAATTTAAGCCATTTCATAGTTATCAATAATTTCAAATACTTTGATTATTCTATCAATGCGTTGTACATTTAAAAGCATTAATGCAATATTGTTATCTTGTATCTCTTCTAACGTGTATATGCATTAGTATGACCCTTTGGGTGCAATAAATTGTTTGTGAATCTGACCTCTTCGATTAACCTGTGGGGTGTGTTGGTTGAAGGTAAAGAGCAAAAGTATGTGATTTCCTTCACAAAATTACGAGCTATCCTGAGGGCAGGGTCAGATATCAAATTTCGTCTTTGTTCCACAGTGAAATTTGCCCCTTAACAATTTCATACAACTTTCACCCCTTTGTTATTTCTGTTTGACACGATTTATGTATTTTCTGCTGGTCTACTCAAATTCCCACTGTGAGACAAACCCTCTCGAAAAACAGTAAGTTTTTTGCTACACCACGACCATGAATACAACAACGTAAAAACGAGTAGCTTGAGAATTGAATGAGCTTGGCTTTCTTTCTTTCGTTTTTGTCTCTCCTCCTCCAGGCAAGGCTGCCAAGCCAATTTGTACTCCACTCCACTTATGGCGACCTTAACCTTTACATTTCCTCGATTTTTTTTCTACATGAATTGGCAGCTCGGAGAGTATAGCGACGGATACAATTTATTTGTCCGCTGAACTAAATATACATGAATGCATATAGCGACTCACTTGCGTCAGAAATTGTCAATTTTCTCCGCAAGAGAAAGAGACCCTAATCCATGCAGAGAAAGGTAAGCTGTCTCATTTTAGCTCCTACTCTGATGAATATGCATATTTTCTCAAAATTTCCATCAAATCGGGCAAGACGGTGAGGAGATGTCCTTTCACCAGTGAAATTAATTGTGCTGGAAAATCAATACTTGAAGACAAAACAGAAAAGTGAAGGGAAAGGGATGATGATGATGATGATTGAGTTGTTGTTGCTGCTGCTCACGAATGAACTGACTCTTCTGTCTGCTTTCACCCTGAGAGAAAGCAGATCCACACACATCACTGTCGGAAAGGTTGGAATGATTTTGGAAGTGAATTTACAACAAAGTACTGATTTACAGCAGGAGCAGCAACAGCAGTCGGCAACCAGCAGCAGAGGTTGGAGTCTTAATTGGATTAGAGAGAGCACAGAACAGAGGAAAAGTAATGACGAGAGAGAGAGAGCGAGATGACGGCGAAGATTATTACATGAATCTAATAGTTATAGAATGATGCTTATGCTTCACCAGAGAAAGTGTGGAATGCAATTTGATCGTCATATTATGGAATCCTTGCCATTGCCATCGTCTACATGGGACAGGATCCATTATTTCAGCTCTGACTGCTGCTGGTGGAAGTCACATCATCACGATCGGTATGATTTGTAACAGAGTGAATTTATCACCTTGTCTCCTCCAAGCCTAAATTTATTGGAGATGGCACGTACACTGGGAGGATGGGAGACAAATTATTATTGTCAGATGTGTCCGATATGAAAACAGTCCTTGATAATCCAATAATAGAATCGCATAGTGGTTGGAGAAAGTATGACGAGATTGGATTTGGCAGCATGACCACCACCACCACATTCACCGCAATGCTAGAGATGGACAAATTTTTCGTATGCATTAATAAATTCAGTTCCTTTTGCATTGATGACCTCATCGCGAACAAAAGCAAATGTCTACGCTTCCTTTGCATACTTTGATACGATCTACAACTCGGCATCCCACTCTTTATTCCTTAAATGTCACGAACTCCTAGTTGCGTATACACAAATATGTGTGCACATACCCACTAAATACGTAGGCGAAAGTGAATTCGATTCAGCAAAAACTACTAAATCCACACACACACACACAATAATAATAATAATCTGCCAAGGGAACGTTGCACGTTTTCCTGTTTTGATTTCCTTTCTCGTTTGTTCGCGATTTGTTGTATGTAGAGAGAGAGACTTGCTGTGGAGGTCTGTGTGTGGATATGGGGATGACGTGAGGTGACGCCAAATACATAAAATACACTACATGTCGACATACAATTCACCGCCACGACCATCATTTTCTTTGTTGGCGTAATTGTGTGGAATCAGCTCTTTTTCTAGTCTGCTTTTCTCTCCAATCTCATCTTCCTCCCTCCATCGCTGTACATATATCGGAGGTGAAATAACCGTTCGTAGTGTATGACATGATGTTAGACCTTCCTTTCCTCTCTCTGCTTATGAAACATGTCCACATTAGCAATTCTTATTGCAAATTTGGCGAAATCAAATTCCAATATATATAATTTCGATTGCGGAGCGACTACAAATTTGCGGTCTTGCTCGCCCATGGGAAATGTCGTGGAGAGGCAGGAGTCGCATTATTAGTTTGCATTTCCTCCCGGTGAGAGAATGTTGGCGGAGCATGAAAAGGGTTGGATAAACTGAATCTCTGTGAGTAAAAGCTGCCTGCATGGCAATAATGGGAGAAAGTCACCTGAAGGAGTCATACTGTGCAATTGAAGGGTTTTATGAGCATTGAGTCTCCTGGCTGGTGTAGTCATAGTAATCGTGGAATGTCTGTGCGTATCGAGCTAATAGAGTTGGTAATGACGACCAGCCAGGTTGGAAAAAGTGGTGGTTGTGCCACTACTAGGACGACGACCACCACTTCTTCTTGGAGCAATGGAAAGGAAGCGATTTGAAAGGAGTCCAGAGGGAGAGAGGGCCCATCCTCATCACATTATTGCCGACGAGTCTACATCTTCTCCCACCACGACTACACACACACATCCTCCGACGACTAGTTGTTGGAGGAGGATTGTGTATTCTTCTTCTTCTTCTCCTCTCCTCCTGCTGGATGGATGGATGGAATCGATAAACTTGGCGTAGTGAGGAGAAAACTTTCTCCCTGCTGCCACGAGAGAAAGTTGACTGGCTGCTGCTGCTGCTGCTGAGAGAAGAAGAACCCAGACCACCGAATTGTCCATCCATCCCGCCCGCATGTAAGTACGAACGAACGTTACGTTCGTTACAACACACATATAAAATACTTAACGTTGCCTCATGTATAACATGGCTCCCTCATTTCGGAGGAGGATTTTGAACACGAGCAAGCATTGAAGAGGAGACCAAAAGTTCTCTCTCGATGTGCAGCCAGTCTCCGTTTTTCGAGCGACGAGCACGCTTCTCAGTCGCTCCGTGGTCTACAATCAGCCAGGCGACGAACCAATCACTCGGCTTTCTTTCTCTTAATACAGTACACACGACTTCTTCTTCCTCTCATTAGATTTGTACCAGAGGCAACAAAAAGGGAGGAAATTGTCTCACTTTTCTCATTCGCTTTCTTCCTCTCTCGCTTAGTTCTTCTACACATTTAAGCCATCCCCTCCACACGTCCGTATATGTTCCAGTCGTCCCCGCATCCTTACTCTGGCAGAGACAAGCATGTTTTAAGATCAAAAACAGAATGACAGTCTTACGAGCTGAGTACCCCTGTGACCTGAATATTGACAGGTGTTTCTGTACTTGGGAGGGCACATGGATCGCACCATTACTCGGAAATTGATGGTCAGAAGACTTTGACCTTTTTTAGTTCTGGTTGGAATTGCAACCAAAATAGGAGAAGTTTTCCGTCCCATTAATCAAGTAAGGAAAGAAGAGGGTTGCTGCTCTGGTGGCTAAACTGTAGAGGAAAGTATACACTCCGTGCTGTGATCATTATCATCATTTGTTGAAGGAAAGTGAGCCGTGTTTCCGTTCTCGACTTTTACTTGGAAGTTTTCCTCTCTCTCTCTCTAATTCATGAACGCCGAAGACACTGATTTTGTAAAAACTATTCATTCCTCCTTTCTGATTAGAGATTCAAGCAGCAAATCGACTCCTCCTCTCGACGTTCAATTATTTCGTCAAGGAAGAAAGTTGTCTTAATTTCTGTCACCCAGCTATTGTTCGTCGTAAGATAAGTTTTTTAATTGATCGTCACAATCCTCTCAAGAACCAATAATAAAGTCGTCGTCATCGGCATCAGCTCCTCATTTCGGCTCCTTGCCCACAAGGCATAAATAAAGTCGGAATCTCGGCGGCCGTCAATCTTCATCCGAAAAGTGGAATATCCAGGCGGCGAGCAGAGTGAAAGTTTTTAAGAAGAAAATGAGACTCCTTCTTCCTCCGACTCCTTTGACGGGAGAGGAGTCATAATGAGATTCATTGGAAAATTGTGAGTCGCATACAAATCAGTGGGGAAGCCGAGAAAAGGAATTAATGACCGAGAAGAAGAACCATCCCAGCCAAAAAACCAGTGAATATTATCCAGCAGGGCTTCCTCCTCCACTTTCTCTCCCACTTTCTCCCCGAACAACAACAGAAGCAGCATCAGTTAGTTGAGTGACACCTGCTTATACACGTCACCGTTCTTGTCCCCGTCGTTGTCGTCGTCTTGTTCTTCTGCTCGTAGTGGTTGGAACGACACTTACTTCTTCGCAGTATGGATGCCATGTCAGAAACAACGAGTTTGAGCAGCGGTGACGTGAGGTAAGTTTGAGAGGTTGACTCTTGATGACAATAATGTTTGCCGTTGAGCTCTCTTTCTTTATCATCATCAACCATTGTTTGTGTCCCTTTCTCTCTGGACAAGAAATGGGTAAACAAAGCAGCACAAAAGATTTATTGACTTGTGGAGTTTCCTCTGTTTGATTTGATCCAATTCTTTCTCCTTTTCCGAGTAAAATGTTTATTGACCCGTGAAAGGACTTTCGAGTGAAAATAGGATAAAAAAGAGAAGCTTGCATTTTTGCTTAGCTTCTTATTTTCATAATAATCTCCTTTTCCACAAAGGTTTTTCATCATCCTCTCTTCTTATTCAGACATGTGACAGAGTCGTGGTTTTTCTTGTAGGTATTAACTTCTGCCTGCTATACCTAAATTTTTATTGTGTTTTTTTTGATAGGATGGAAGGGGACAACTCGGCGCTTATGGATGAATTTGGTGCGCATCCGTCCACCTACAGACCCTTTTTGGAAGAGCTCTGCGAAAAGACCAAGTTCAGCAAGAGTGAGATCCGATTTCTCTACAGGGGATTCAAGCAGGTCAATACTTAATTCTGCTCTCCTTTTCCCATTTGTATGCACATGTTCATATATTCCTATCGTCTCAAATTGCACGCATACATTTCCCCCACTGCTTTTTCACAACATCCATCAAATACTTAGGAAGGAGGCGACATGAGCTCACCACTTTTTTAGGTGTAATCCTCTCCATATAAATAGATACCTACGCATCATACTTTTGTATTGTTGAGGCAGGAGTGAAAGTGAAAGTCTGCATCAATCATCCCAAAACTGACTTCCTTTCCACACTTGTTCGCCCTGTATCAACCGAATGAATGAATGAATACACATTGTCAGTCTCACTCTGACTTACGCTCTCTGTTTGCAGGAGTACACGTAGTAAATAAGTACGGAGTAAATGGGAAGAGTGCATTCGTTGTCCAATGAATAACTTTGCCAAAGTCTGAAGGGAGAATAGCAAACACAGGTGTTTTAATTACTCAAAATGAATTAGACTGACAGGTACAAACAGAGTGGTGTGTATCCTTTGAAGTGGAATCCACTTCAAAGGAAATAAATATAGCAACTTTGGGCGACATATTTAGCCTCAAAGTTAGCCGATTGATTCATTCATTGCCGTTTCTGTGGTGGGATTTAATTCCCATTGAAGACAAATCCCTTACTCTTTGATATTAATAATAGCACCGAAACAAATTGACATTGAGGTGTGAGGCTCGAAATGCGTATAATATTTGTACAACTGAGGACGGAATCGTAAATACATCGTGTCTCTCTCCCTTTTATTGAATATACGAGAATTTTGCTCTCAATGCCTCCACACACGGGACGGTATGCATTCAGTGAAGAGCAGATATTGGCAAGGCACTTGGTTTAGTTTCGAATTTATTTGCAAATACTGGAGCAAAGTCAAACACGATTACGTATTTACTTGCTGCATGAAGGAGTAGTTGTAGTTTAGTGAACCATATACACTAAATTTACCCATGAGATAAGTAAGAGTCGAGGAGTGTGTACAGTGTTCGGAACGTGTGGTTGGGTTCTCATTTAGTTGGTTAGTTAGCTACTTGTGCAGACATTAGAAGAAGAAGTTACTGAGAAGCGTCTCCCTCCTGCATGGATGGATGGTTTACTTTCCAAACTCAATCCCAACAAATTTTCCGACGATACACCAACCACACGACGACCCATTAAGATGACGGCTGATGGGATGAGAAATGTGTTGAAGCTTAATGAATGTTTTTGTTATCATTGTGCCTGATTCTTCCATTAGTTAAATACGCCTTTTAGACAAAAGTGATTGAAATGTGGCTTGAATTATTTTGCAGGAATGTCCAGGCGGAATCGTCCAAGAGGATACATTCAAAGAGATATATGCTAAATTCTTTCCGTATGGAAGTAAGTAATAATTTTATAACAATGTTTTCGCCACTTTTACACGATTATAAGTCTGGTAATCGCCCATCATACATATTTATACCAACACCACCACCACCACCACCACGGAATCTCAGCCTATGTACAAAGCTCCCACATTTAAGAACAAGAAGAACGGATATGAACAACATTTTGCTCGACTGTGTGTTCCCATTAAATGTTGCCCATCTGGCCTTGAAGCATTCCTTCCGAGCCATCCCTCATCCCATAAAATTTCAAGTACTAAACGCTCCCTGGGGATATACCGTCCCAAAAAGTTTTCTCGTCTTAAACATGTAAAATACCAACAGCGTGGTCGTCGTATCGTCGTCATCGTGGTCGTCGTTTACAATCTTCCAAATTCCCCTCGCTCGCCCCCCTCGTTTTTTTTCGCGAGAGTGTTAAGGCCTCGATTTTCCTTTTACGACACACATTATCCCGCTCCGTTTATGATCATCATTCTCCTCTCCAGATTTTTTAAGCTGGTCCATGTGTTCGTATACCGTTTTGCATACACGTGAGACGCGCGCGATGATCATCATGATTATACGTGTAATATATTCCTCTCCATTTAATCTGCCCTGCTTTCTCTCTCCTGTAAAGTGTTTACTGCGACCCGGATGGATGGAGGAATGTGTATGCATATGTATTCCATCAGTGCTACTTTATTATGATTGTTCGCATAAACATGATACACATTTCCCGATAACGAATCAAGCCCTCCCATTTTTTCCCATAAAACTAAAAGGTGTTTGCTTTCTTTTTCCTCTAAAATTGCAGATTCATCCATGTATGCTCACTTAGTCTTCAAAGCTTTTGATATTACTAGTGTCGGCGCAATCACGTTCAAGGTGAGTGATTTACATACATACGTACGTACGTAATACAAATAGATACTCGTTTAAAGTTAAAATTAGTCCGGGTTGAAATCCCATTCCCACAAATGAAATGAATCCCCAATAAGTTTATGCAGGGAAGGAGAGACAAGTGTCATTTTGAGTATGGCTAATAAATTCATGTGCTCAGCAGGACAATTTTCTGCCCATATAAGATTTAGTTTTGCACGCTCGAAAGCCAGCACCACTCGCTCGTTCTCTAGCAGATCCTCCGGGCTGAACGGTTAGAATGTGAGAGCTCGTATTAATGAGATCCTAATGAATTTGTGCGAGGCTGAGGATTATGACGTTATTCAAAAAGTTATAAGTTTGCTGGAGGAGTTAACGAGCTATGAATATGCATCAGAGTGGAAGATGATGTGTCGACGAGTGGTTGTGCGCGGTGTTTCTGTATCATTATTAAATATTATCATTATTATTGCTCGTTCTGGTTTTGCAGGACATGATCCTCACGTTGTCAACCCTGCTGCGGGGTTCGAGTCGGGAAAAGTTGAGATGGATATTTTCTCGGCTTTATGATTTAAATGGGAATGGATTCATAACGAAACGAGAGCTTTTCGACATTGTGTCCGCTGTGCATGATCTCGTCGGAGTTTCCAAACAAGTAAAATATTTTCTCATCTTTCTTTCTCTCTCTCCATCCCAACGGTGGTATTAGTTTTTTGGGACATATTTCCATCCCCGGCATGACGATGAGTTTGGTCATGTTGCAAACTTTCCTTTCCCATTTCCACCCATAAGCCGAGTTGAATCGCAATTTGTAATCAATTCCTTATTCCATCACCATCATCGCAGTCATTCTTCTTGTTCTGAGTCAAAATTGAATGGCGTGTGATGCTGTGATGAATTCTGGGCTGTCGTGCAGTCTCGTTGTAATAATTGAATGAGAATGCCCTTTCCGTGTTTGCCACTACTTTTCTGTGCCCTCCTAGCTTCCTACCTTCACCAACACCACCACCACCAACCACTTTCTCCTCTCCTTTTAGTTCCTACATCCCTTTCTCCATCATGACTACGAGGAGGATGATGATGGTGATGATGATCATCATCCTCTTCAACCTCCTCCCTATTCATAACAACTCATTGATCCATCGTCACTCACGTAGACTTTCTCCAGGATTCTCCCACCACTTGCTTACTCCACCACTTTCTCCCTTTCACCCATCCATCCCGAAGAGAAAAGCTTTATGAGTTTTGATTAATTTTTAATGTGCCGAGTCAATAAGTAACGTGTCATAAATTTGCAGCAAGCTCAAGCGGAAGATCGCAAGACGAGAGACCATGTGGATAAAATATTCTCCAAATTCGATGTCAATCGGGATGGAATTGTGACAATCGAGGAGTTTCTTGAATCCTGCTTAAAAGTGAGACGAATTCAGCTCTGTTTAGTATTATCTTTGGATCATCTTTTAAACTCGGTTTTATCTCCCTTGTGTGAGAGCGTATGTACATAAGTACAATCCGCCCATCCAAATGCATATACCTACTCACACCTACCCACCAACGACCACGTCCTCCCGTCTCACAATCCTTTCAAAGCCTTCGGAATACTTGCCCAAATCCACTTTTCAATCCATGGCAAACAACTTACTCTGTGTGTGGATGAGATACATTCACTTCATGTCTTATCGTGTCGATAAGATTATCTTCCTTTGAAAGTGAGACCAAATTCGAAGCTTTCGTCGGCTCAAGAAATTTTAATTAAAAATCATAATAATCGTTCGCCCAGTAACCAACTGGTGTTATGTATCTATCTCCCCACAAGTTGGTTGGTTGCTCTACAATGTTTGTTAATAAAAGCATGCAATTCTTTTTAACGTTACGGTATCTCCCGATTTCGCTAATCAAAGTTTTTTGTATTTTCTCTCTTGCAGGACGAACTGATCATGAAATCTTTGCAAGTTTTTAGTACGACGCTATGAACTTAGGTTCATCTTTGTATAAGATCGCACTACTCCACAACACACCACATACTCGACTACTACTACTTTTGTATTCAGACTTAAAATAAACACATAGACGAAGAGATGAAGAAAAAGACGACGAAGAAGGAGATGAGATGAGCATGAGCAAATCTTGGTTTATGGGATGATGTTGTGCTCATCGAGAAGAAGAAGACGGTGATATTTCGCAAGCTTACTTGAACTAGGATACAAATGTTTAAAAAAATCTTATAGACGATCAAGAACCAGACACGATACATGATACCATAATTATTATTGCTATACTGTAGTAGAAAATGTTTACGATAAAAAAATGCGTTACTGAAATCCACACATTTAACACAGGGGAAGAAAAAATGTGGAGCCGGTGTTTAATCAATCCGTCAGTTTTAACTACCAAAATCGTATTATTACAAAATCACAGAAATGATATGAACGACTGTCCTATTAAAAAAATGGGGGGAGGAAGAAGAAGAAACCAAGTTTTTAGGTGAGATATTTCCACCCATTCTGATTATCTGTGAGAATAATATATACAAATTATTGGGATGTTCGGTGATTTTAATTATAAGAGAACGAGACAAATCATATTTAACGAAATTTATGTAAACGAAATCATAAACTGATCCAGACTCGATCGTGTTTATTATTATTTAGTTGAATTTTTATTATTCTAAATACTTAGTGAGTAATTCTTATGTGCTGTTCCTATTTATCATGCAGTATCAGCAGCAAGCAACGATATGAAACAATTCCATACATAGATCCGCAATCTACACAAGTAGTTTATTTATTATTATTGATATTGTTGTACGAGTTGTGCATATGTATTTCTAGTCCTTTTATTATTAATATCTAAATCCGTTCAGAAACAATCAACTTGAAATTTTTGACGCCAATCGAATCCATGTATTTACCTAATAGTGTATGATTGATTGATTGATTGCGTAATAATCACCAAATGAAATATTTCCGATTCATTCTCATCGTCCCTGTTCATTGCAACTATAAGTATTTACCTGGAGCAGGTGCTATGTAAAGTGTAGCTTGAATCTAGCATGTAGTAGCCTATAGTATTATACAGTACCTGCCGTTGTTGTTCATCATAAGAGATACAAACGTAGATCTTGCTGCAATAGTACTAGTTTTGTTCCATTTTACCAGTAAAGAGTTTATGACACTGTTTGACGCTCTTGAATTTCTTTATTTCATACGCTGCATGAAAATGAGAAAACTTTGGAGACGAACCGAAAACCATGTTATGATCTGCTACAAGAGGGAAAAGAGGCGACTTTATTATCTTTCGTACATTTTAAACCCATTCCATTTCTCAACTCGTGACACATATTTGGAAGAAAATTCAAATTTGTTGAATATTTCTCCTCGGTGGTGGTGAACTTGTAAAGTCAATGCGTGGAACTGTCACCACTTAAGTGGTTTCCCCCACCAGGAAAATTGGTACTTCATGCATGTAGAATATATGTATGACTGTGTAGAGGATTGGCTTAAACTCGTTGAGTCGTACTCGTCGTAAAATTGTTACTTGGTGTCTCATTTCGTGTAAAATATGTAGGACAAGACAACTATTGTTTCGAAAAAAAGTGTCCTCCACTTTGGCCCTGAGTTTTTTACAAGATTTACGCAATCCGTTGGACTTGTGTGTGTTCGTCGTCTCTTGGCCAACTTCCAATCATAATGTTCTTGCCCATAAAGCATGAAAAATGGTCTCCCTCATATACTCACGTTACGAAAAGCCACTACTTAATTCGAACCTACTCACTCACTCATTCATTCACTCACTTACTTAGTACTTACTACGATAGTTTGGAAATTAATAAATAAAAATACCAATAATAATACTGCCGAGATGGGAAATTGTAGCAACATTGCGGAGAAAGTGAAGGCAATAATGATTGATAGGGTGAGATAGCGAAGGGGGAGGAAACCTAAATTTCGAAAAAAAACACGAATCAATAGCTATTTGCAGTGAATCCTGGTCAGTCCTAAATACCTATTTCATGGGAGGTTGGACATGTATAAGAAACGAATTTGATTACTAGAGGAGGAGTCATTGTTACTTTTTTCCATCTCTAACCGAAAGGAATGGACACAATAAGGTGGATTAGAGAAACGTAAGAAAAGGGAGGAAAAAACTTATCTGTTTCCTCCCAGTGTTTTTTGCTTGCTGACCAAAGGAGAATGGAGAAAGTGTTCGTAGGAGAGAAAGCGGTGGTGGTGGGTTGGGTGCCCTTGTTGCCCTTATAACCATTTCCTAGTGGTAATCATGTCACAAGCAATTCGGTGGGTCAATTAATCAGACAGACTCATCTGGAAAAATCGTTTTATTGCTCCATATATTTCTCTTTCTTTCCCTGCACATTAACAACCTGATGGCAACATGATGGTTTTGTGTTTATATACAAATTTACAACTTGGCCCATGGGGTTCCTCACCTACTTATTATTCCATAACCATCATCATAACATGTCCTCTCTTCACTACCACCATATTCGTTCCACACTCAATTTTCTCTGCAGCAGTAAAACATAAAACATCTCTCTTTCTCTCTCTTTCTCTTGGAGGCTCGGGCTAAGTACGTGCATATGAAAAACTGGGCTACAAATTAGTAGTGAAATGGTGCACGAGGTGAAAATCCTTTGCATTAAAACTTGACATAAAAGTGGCTAGTTAAAACTCGGTGGGCACTAAAGTTGGTGAGATATGGATCCATATGCAGCAAAGGGCAGCATGTTTTGTATTTGAATATTAAGTATTACGGACCAATAATCATTCCTCACTGTCACAGAGTACGAAATCAACAATTCATTCTCTGGTCGTACGTACGCCTTCTACGCGTATGCTGGTTGGGCAATCAGTTATGATGTAAACCTATGTGGAAAATATTTACAGAAAGATGATGACGACGACGACGACGACGACGACGGAGTCTCGAGCTCATATCCGTGGTGGTGGAATTTGTCCCACCAGGAATACTTTCACTCACTGGTTGGTTACTAGTGCTCCACACATTTGACACGACTCAACTTTTGCTACATACACCATTTCATACACCCAAAAATGGAATGTTAACGTTCTGCCTGCTCACTTACTTTCGCTTGGGACGTACTAGCACCACCACATTTTGCCACATGAGAAAGCAACTCGACTCTTATTTTCAGCCCAGAGGACCTCGCTTTGCTCTCACTCTTACTTTTACTAGTTTTACTAGCTCTCTCTCCCTTTCTCTCTGCTTGCTTTTGCTTTGCTTACGTCAGCCAATCTTCTTTTCTTCTTCTTCTTCTTCGTCTTCTGAGGCTATGGCTGGTTTGCTGAGACTCCATAAATTTCCCACCACCACCACTTTGGCTGCAAAAGTGGATTCAACTCCAACCAAGAAGACTCGTCTCTGTCTGCTCTCTGGATCTCATCTCAAATCCTATAAAATGTTAGTTTTAGATTCGCGTGAAGAACAGACTTTTAGGCAAGAACAAGCACTCTTCCGACACTAAAAATGCCTAATGCTTTCTCCTCCACGCGACATGAAACCAGACCAATTAAGAGATGACACGAATTGAGGGAGATGTCATGTCTTCGCGCATATACATAAATACTCTTGAATAGGCTGAAAAGTCAAAGTATAAAAAAAGAAGGCGAGCTTACCACCCTTCTTCCTCGTGCTCATTGAGTGTGACAGGATTCAATTTAATCTAGCGGAGAAAGCAGAAGGGTTATTTTGAGCTTTCCCTTGACCTCCACACCACCACCAGCAGCACCACTTAAAAGTTACATTGACAACAAAAAATGAGGAAGAACCAACCATCCATTCGCATATTTGTGTAAGGCCAGCCTAGTTATCTGCATGGGTTTTCCGCATACTTGGCTTTTTTGCCTGGCCTTCACTATGACCATCATTATTATCATCGCCCTTTGAAAATATGCCCAAGTTTTTACAAGAAGATTTAGAATGCGGACTTGTAAATGTCAGAACTACTGCTGCTGCCGTCTTGTTCAGTCATTTGGAAAGAAAGCTAGGAATTTCATCTTCTCGTACTTGAAAAAAAACCGCATCATGTTTTTATAATGTCAATAACTCACTGAAGGCTCATCAAATGGAGAGACGTTCCCTTGAAAATTAGTCGTGCATGCGATATGGCCAATTAAGTAGGAAAACTACTTCATTGTTATGACGTTATTTTACATTTGCTTTGGTATATGCATTAGGAGAAAGTCAGGAGAAAGCTTCTCAAATTCCCCGTGGAGAGTGGATAAATGAAATCCGTGTGTGCGAACAAGTTCGCATGGATCTTCTGGAATATAAACTTTCCAATTTTTTCGCAAAAGACGAATAGTTTGTATTTTATAGTGCCGTTGTGGGTGTCAAGCTTATATTTTAATAACATTCTGTAGTTTTTGACCTACTTGGCATCTACTTCTTAAATTAAGTTGACATCCTAAATTAGAGTCCGGCCGGTCAAATTAAAATCGGTCGGATTGTGGTTAGATAATCTAACTTAGATTAACTGAAACCAAATTAAACTATTAATTCGATACACAATGAGACTTACGAATACACTGTTACGAAAAGGCAAGCTGCCACCAAACCCTAAAAAAATTCCCTTCAAGGAAATGTTTCCGGTCCAATTAAAAAATGAAGTTTCTGGTGCTGGTCAAAAATCTGCGGGTACGATACGATTTAATAACTCATTTAACTATAAACTATAATAACTATAAAAACTATGACTTAAACTTAATTTACTAAGTATTCTTGCTGACTAATTTTTAAAATCGTCTTGATTTGTTTAGATGTTTCTTGCCTCGAGGAAATGGCAGTAATGTTTGCGTGCATGAAGAAAAATGAGTTTAAGGAGGTGAAGTGTACTCCAGAAATTGAAAAATTCATGGGATGCTACCATCAACATCGGGTAAATAAAGTTCTTTGTAGTGTTTAAAGATATGATATAATTATTTAAATTGTTTACCTGCATTACATGATCCTTTTATGATTAACACAGGCCGACGGAAAGGCAGCCAAGCAGCGACAAGCATCCGGTGTTGTAACCGTCGGACGAAATCCGAGAAATTTGACGACCCAACAACTCAACCAGTTATTACGAAAACATCCACAATTCAATGAAAAATTACCAAGTTGGTAGGATCTGTGTTCAACAATCTTTGTTTTTTATTTAGTCAGAATCGTATCGTAGTACAATAAATTAATCTAATTTATATTGTGAAATAAAAGAACTGAAGCATATAAATCAATTAATCAATGAGAGTAGCAGTAAATTCACAATTTTTTTCTAGAGTAAGTAACAAGACAGCATTATTAATTAGAATGGACTTCGCAAATTAGTTATACGATTTAATTTTTATGAAATGAAATAATCAACTATGATCGAATAAGAAATACATCGTTGGATATTATTTACGACATTTCTAATTTGCACTTATGTTAGTGTAGTTCACTCATGAAGTATGAATATATTGTATGAGGTTTACGACTAACTTTTAAACATGGATATTGCATTCCTAGTTTTTTTTCCAGAATCTCACCGCACTATCCATATTTTTAAATTATAATAAAGCATACTAATGCATAGTAATACTCACGAGGATACATAATGTGCAAAATTAACCATATGTATGATATCCAGTAATGGAAGTCAGTGTAAATTTTAACCTATACGATGCACTTTGAGTGATATAATAATAATAATGGTCAATTGAAACCTACAGTCAATACTCAAATAATTGGTAAAAGTTACTTAGAAGATGAGTAAAAGAGCTAGAACACACGTCCTACAATAGAATAGAGTAAGAGAATAACAAGACGAATGACAATTAAAAGTATAATATAGTGAAAGTCAAATGTCAGTTTCGGATAATCCAGTAATTAATCGAATGAAGTGTTGGTTAATAATGATATAAAAACTGACTGGGTGGGCTGTAATAATTATTCAAGGGAGAAAACTGCGAAGTGTTTTCTTGAGCCGGAGAACGTAAGGTCTTGCGAGAATAGTAACTGACCAATATACGGCTGGTAATAGTAATACACTAATTGCTATTCACACCCAAGTAGTCGAGGAAACTTTTATATCGCATTAAATGCAGCGGGATGAATGATGAGGTAAGAAAATTAATTGTTCTAATTGTTATAAAGTTATTTTTTCTGAGCCATTTTCTTCGCCTTTATCAGCGCAGCTAATTCCTGCAATTGTAACAAAAAATAGCTTAGATTTGGTAAAAAAAAGCATGATATCTCACTAGTTGGGGGTGGAACAATTACCTTAAATCGTGCCATACACTCTTTTTTATTTCGTCCCGGAACACATTCAGCGATTCTATCCCATCTATCAGAATGCGATGCAGGATACGTCTTCAATGCTTGTTCCAACATTTTTTGTTCCTCAGCAGTCCAAGGTTTCGCTTCCTCAACTTGTTCTACAGGCGCCGTGATGATGGTAGTAGTAGTATTTCCGGTGTCGTCTAAAATTATAAGACATGTGTGAATTTAAGTAATGCAACAACGCGACATGTTACTGAGTCGACTTACCATCTCGTTTTGTCTCTTCTGCTTCACACTTGATCTGAGATTTCTGGTTTTTCTCAAAAACAGCGTATGCCATTTGGTTTACTTCTTCTTTCATGCTGTTCTTTGAAAAGTCAGAGGCCTTCAAATCTTTGGCTTTGGCTAGAACTTCTTTTGCTGTTCGTCGTTTCCCATTGGAACCATGCTGTTGTATAAAGTTGGCTACAACCTCCCACCTGAAAAACCAAGAAGTGACATAAACCAATTGATTATTATATCAACTATGATATACCGAGTAAAAAAAATAAATTATTAATTACCTTTGTACTGTCCCAGCAGGAAAAATATTAACGGATTTTATAAGGAGTGCAAGGTCTTCAGAAGTCCAATCATCTAAACCGTTTGAAGATCCATTGCGACCATACCCGTTTTTACTTCCAGAAATAACTTGAGAAGTTGCAGCCCTTTCAGCTTTTATTTTCTGGTTTACTTCGTCTGCCTTTTTGAGAAACAATAGCGAACCATCGTCTAAGCTCATGGTTGTCAGTTGCTTGTTTAGTTCTTCCAATCTGAAATTAGTCAAATGAATAACAAATTTGATGGTAATTACCCTAAACACCATGGTCAAATAAGACAATAATAATTACTCATTTAATTCCAAGACTTCGCACAACGTCTCCATGAATGCCATATTGTCTATCGTTGATTTATCATCAGTTCCGTAGTAATTATTCGTTTTACAAACAGTACGGAACGTTTTCTTTTCCTTCTTTTGCATCTTTTTGATCGCTTCTTTCTCCTTCTTGGCGTTCAGTTCTTTCTCTTTGGCTTCCGCCTCGATGCGTTCCTTCTCTAGTCTCGCTTTCTCTGCCTTATCTCGTCGTAACTACAATTGCAGTAAAATTTCGTTCAATATTTAGCATCATACAAAATAAACACATGCACATTGTATGGAAACGAGTCATCACCTGTTCTTCTTGCTCTTGTTTTTCTCTGACAGCTTTCTTTTTCTCCATTTTCTTTGCTAATTTTTCTTCACTATCCTGCGTTTTGAACATTACGATTCTAGGATCAAGAGAGTATGCGATATCGACGGCGGATCTAATGCGGGTCATTTCTTCTTTCTTCAGCTTTGCCCTCGCAGCCTTGTTTTGCTTATCGATCCATCTCCGCTCTTCGCGGCTAGAAAGGAAAGACGGAAAAGTTAGCTTTTTTACATCTTACAATCAACATAGCTTCTTAGATTTTAGAGTTCGTACTATTGTCCTTTCTCCTTCTCTTCTTCGTCCAAGTAGGAATATTCTCTCCAAGAGTCGAATTCGTACCAAAATGAATAGAAATGATCCACCTTATCTCTTGGCGTGTTAATGTTTCCCAAGAGAGGAACCGGAGTCTTCACTGACCAGCGAGAGTTTAGTTCAAACCATTTACCGTACACCTAGAAAAACAATTTTTATCATTACCTCGATTATCTGGTCATACTTCATGTGCATAACTTACCGTGAAAAAATCGTCCTTTGAAGTAATTGTTTTGGGTGGAACGTAGTTATCAAAAGTTGGATCTATTGAGTCGTAGGCCTGTCTTTTCCCCGTCAATGTCTCAAAGGCTTTAACTATACAGGCAAAGTAGTCACATTCTGGGTTTACTTGTTCACCAGCCCCCATCCGTTTATCGGGATGATGTTTAAGAACTCGTATCCTATCTGTAATCATTACAAGTGTTCACCTTAAAAATTAGTTTGCCGTATAATTTATTTAAATATTAATTAACAGATTAACTTACAAGCTTTCCTAATATCATCCTCAGAAGCTCGCACTCGTAAATGTTTCAACCCTAAAACGGCATAGTGGTCTTGATCCTGTAAAAATAGTTTAAATATAAATTACTCACCCACATTAAAAAGAACCCTTCTTATTAATCAAATTACCTTCCAATCTGTTGGTTCTAAACTCCTCAAGTATTGTATATCTTCTTCCGTATTAATCTCGTAGCTCTTATCAGAATTAAATTCTCTCTTGAAATGTTCCAATTTTAGCGTCCTTAACTGAAGGAAACGTTCCCCTCCAGCCTCCAAGGGCTTAAAGAGGACATCTATTAATTCCAACACAAAATAATTAATTAGAATCCGTGATGAATGAATCATCATTCCAAAAAAATGTAAAATTTCGCCGAGGATAGTTTGCCTCACCTTGCAACGTCGCGACGGTTAGAGACGAGTCGACCAGGTCGTGGGGGGATGTGTTTCGGTTTCTGGCCATGATTCTGGGGGGCACAATTAGCTGGGCACTAGAAATTTAAAAATTTTGGGACAAGGTGGCCAACGACGATCCGAGAGATGAAAGGAGCATGCGACAATGGAGACGAGACACGCGCGACGGCCGGACTTGGTTCCTTTGAATCTGCTGCCAGCTGAGATCTGCCAGCTCGGGGCAACCAGACCAGAAAAACCAGGGAGGCGACCACAATTTCACTTTTCATTTCACAACAGTTAGTGGGAAAACAGTTCATTTGCAGATAACCCACTCCAAGGTAAGTCGATAAGGTATTATTTTATTTGTCTATTACGAGAAAATTATGGCCGGTAGGGTCGAGTCGTGTCGTAACTTTTTGGGGTCATTTACAATAAATTTGATTAATCGACTTTGATCGAGATTTGATTGAACTATTAACTTAAGTACACTTTGTTTGAATTTAATTTATTTTTGAACTAGGTTTAGGAAACTTGGAAGACAATTCCTGCCCTCAGGATGGCTGCCTTTGGTAGGACGCAATTGTTGAAGTTGGCTCAAATGAGCTCGATGAGCTTGAATGGTGCTGGTTCTGCGACGAGAACGATGGGTGCGGGTCAGTTAGGATTAGGCGATAGCCAAAAAAGATTCAAGTCAAAGACGTCCAGGTTGGCGAAGGTGAGGAGTTTAATGGCGAAATTAATTATTGGACTAAATATAATTTGTTGCGCGTCTTTATTTTTTAGATTCTCCCTAAAGCGAAATATGGGGGACGACACACGGTCACGATGCTCCCTGGAGGAGGTATCGGACCCGAGTTGATGGGCTATGTTAGAGAAGTGTTTCGGTAATTGAGGAGATAAGTAGCTAAGTTGCTAAGTCTTGATGTATAGTAATAGGAGATTGGGATTGATTGATAGGTATGCCGGAGTTCCCGTGGATTTCGAAGAAGTCAACATTAACCCGAATACGGAAGGGAATGAAGATTTGGAGTATGCAATTACTTCCATCCGGAGGAATGGTGTTGCGTTGAAAGGTAAGCCTTTCATTACCTTATTAATCACATTGATTACTGGTAAGCTGTTGATGCAAAATTGTATTTTTTAGGAAACATTGAAACGAAAAGTTTAAGTCCGAATGTTATGTCGCGAAACGTTGCTCTTCGAAATGAGTTGGATTTGTTTGTTAATGTCATTCATTGTTTGTCATATGCCGGAGTTCCTTCACGTCAGAAGGATATAGATGTCTACCTTATTCGCCAAAATACCGAAGGAGAGTATGCAATGTTGGAACATGAGGTTAGCACACACAGTTTATTAAGTTATACATAATAATAATCTACAAATAATATTTACACATATTTACAGAGTGTATATGGAGTGGTCGAGTGCTTGAAAATTGTGACCCGAGAGAATTCTGAGCGACTGGCTCGCTATGCTTTTGATTTTGCAAAGAAACATGGACGAAAGAAGGTTACAACGATCCATAAGGCGAACATTATGTGAGTTAATTGTTAAAATAACTTCAAAATGAACAAAAGGACAAAATGGAAATTAATTGATAATTATTCAGGAAAACATCGGACGGTCTGTTTTTGGAAATTAGCCGTCAAATCGCCAAAGAGTATCCAGACATTCAACATAACGACATGATTATTGACAATTGCTGCATGGTAAGTGTTGATTTATGTATCAGTCAACGGCTAAAAATAGTAATATAGAACAAAAGAACTAAAAACAAAACAAATATAAATATAGTATGTGTGTGTGTGTGTATGCAAAGTGAACTAACTGCTTTGTATGGTGTTCAATTCATTGTTGACGATAGCAAATGATTTAATTGATTCATTATCCCTAAAGCAACTCGTCTCAAACCCTCATCAATTCGATGTTATGCTCATGACCAACTTGTATGGATCCATTGTATCCAACGTTATTTGTGGCTTGATGGGAGGAGCTGGTCTTTTGTCTGGAAGAAATTACGGAACAGAGGTGACTTACTTATTTATTTATATAGACAATAAATGTATATGTTTGAAGTTAATTATATGCTCATTTAATTATGATTTATATCCAAGTACGCAATTTTTGAGCCCGGCACTCGAAATACGGGAACTTCAATTGCTGGGAAGAATATTGCCAACCCAATCTCCATGATGAACGCTGCTGCTGACCTTCTTCATCACTTGCGACTGGAGAACCACTCGGTTTGGTTGAGAGAAGCGATTGACCAAACGATTAATGTTGATAAGATTCACACTCCGGGTATATTTCAACTTTAATACATTTACAGTTTTGAAAATTTTTATATTTTTAACGACAATCTACGTATGAATTGTAGATTTGGGAGGTCAAGCAACCAGCATGGACGTCGTTAAGAACATCGTCAATTATCTCCAAGCAAAAACTAAGGTTGAAAATTGGTAGCATTCTTTAAGATTAAGTGTTCCGAAGATGAGAATTTTTGTTTTTGCTCATCCTTTTTGAGAATTTTTGGTTTTTCGAGTGGTGTGATCCTCATCGTCTTCCTGAAATCATGCAACCTCCTGTTTTTCTTTAGTATGTATTTTGGTGGACGCAGAAGAGAAATTGATTGGACGGGTATTATATTTTTAAAGAAAAACATGTCCAGATCATGACTGGATTTCTTCTCCTGGTTATTCTGCTGATCTTATATCCACATAAAACATATTTCTAATAGTAATATGAGTGCCTTAAAAAATTATATGCGACTCTTCCTCTTTTTAAATGGCTTGGTTTGGTATGTTATAAATTCGTGCTGCGTTCAGTGTGGATATCATCTGCTGGAAGAATACGGCTCTCAGAAGACTGTGTGGCAGTAAAGAAAAAAGTGATACAAAAAGTTATGATGAATATTATTTTGTTCTTGCCAACTTCTAACTTCTCTACTAACAGCAATAATCTTACTACTCCTCGAGTACTTGTAATTTGCTTATTTTAATTATATTGTATGGTAACTAGTTTTTCAGTTTGGTTGTTTGTTACGTAGAGCTCATTTTTGTCTAGTATTGAGCCCCTTAAGATTCTGGTTGCTTCTGTATGAGTTAAGTTGTGCCGTTGTTCGAGTTATTTATTATGATTTTTATTTAAAACTTAGCCAATTCCTAGTCTACAGAGAAAAGCCATTAGTTTATAATCATATATAGCTGTGTGCCGTTCGTTCATGGGGCGTGGATCGGATCAGGATTAGTAGGAGTGCAATTATTTTTGTAGTGTTAAAATTTGAGTTTGTTGGACCTTATTGCGTTCCCCTCTTCATTCAACCAATTGTCTGAAATGGTTCAGGTATTATTTTTTACAAGATAATATTTTGATTACTAATTGCTTATACTTAAAACAGAGTGTGGTATTAGGAGGCTTTGCCAATTAATGCGCATGGGTGATTTGACCTCAGTTGTTGTCTATAACGTGCTTCATCTGTATGTGACCACTCACGGTACGGTTGTTGGACAGTCCAATTGGACTGTGGTTACCAGTCATCTTTTTTAATTCAGTTTCTTTAATGAATTGTACTCTCAAGTTTATAGCAGCATTACGCACCTTGTTGTTCGTAATTATTATTATTATCTATAATTGGTTATCAAAGTTCTCTCTTTTTATATATTTATGTCTCAAATTGTAAATAAGCTTCTCGGTTTGCTAACAGTGCGGTATTTAATACTGGCATGTAAATTTCTGATTTAATATTTCTAATCACTGGATACTATTCATTTTTACAGGCAAGCATCGTACGCTAGCTAGTACGCCCCCTGGAATCTAACTATAAGCAATACCATCACGTCAACAACGGTATCAGAAACAGCAACAGTGTAGCAGCAACAACCTCCTTTTATTTCAAGCTTTCACAATGAAACGAATGGTGCTTAAAAAAATAACTGTTGACAGTTGAACAATAATCAAGACAAATTTCCTGTGAAAGAATAATAATTCGACAAGATAAATAGTTCGGCATGATCGATCAATTAATTACACAACTAGTTCTAGTCACAAAGTATTCACTTGATGATGTAAAGATGATGTAAAAATTTGAGGAGAGAAAATTTGTGTTCTTATATTAAAACTGGAATAAATTTATTGTCGATATGAAAATCACTCTTCTGCAAAGTTATTTTTGACACTGCTATTTTATTGCACTCAACAGTTTCAAGAGTGATACTTGCCTAGTAAATAATATTGACAAATAACTAATTGTTGCATTAGTTACGACGAGTAATTTACAAAATAGCTTTATACTTTGAGATTATAATGTAAAGTTCAACATTGTATGTAGTAGTAAATTTTACACCTACAGGTGACGCGAAAGAGAGCGAAACAAAATAGTAACAGAGAAAAGACTGGAACACAGAAACTTATAGCTAAACACCTACTCCATAAAGGCTTAATAAGAGTCAACAAATTGAATGTAAAAATATAATTAGTCACTTGCAATTAGTCAGTATGGTAAAGTATGTAGTGTAAAAGGTTTTGTTCAGGCAGTGTCGTCGTACTTGGACTTTTTGTATCCTCGACCACTTGAAGGCTCGGCTCCACGCTTCGAAGCAGCCTGCTGCTTCACAAAACTATAGGCAGATTCTGAAAGATTAACAAAACATAATCTTTAGAGACAGATCGGTAGAAACCCAAAATAAAATAAAACTCAAAAGTTAAAAGAATGATATGCTCCTTCACGAACCGAAGTGATCTGCTCTACAAGAACTGATAAAATAATATCGTAATACATTCAATTATGATTATAAAATTACCTTGCAACCATCGAACTTGGGTGGCTGGTCCGTATCCTTTTTCATTCTTGGCCGCGATACGGAATATAATGGCTGGTTTCGTTGTAGTGTCAATTTGAGCTGTAGCAAGAGATGCGTTGGGAACAGTACACTGATTCGATGGACCGCAGTAGACTCGAACAAATGAGAGACTGGTAGCTCCAGCCTTGACATTCATATCCAACTGATTTAAATACAACAAAGGGGCAATATTAAAATACGATTAATATCAGAGACACAAAATGGAATTATATAATTAATAAACTTAACCCTTACATGGTTGAGATTGCTTGGAGTTTGTTTTACAGCAAGATACACTGAATACTCAAGAATGTCCCCAAACGTATTGTTACTTGGAGGCTCCCAAGAAATTAGTGCTCCTTCCAACGCCTTAGAAATCTTAATGGCTGATGGCGCTCCAGGAAATCCAGGAAGGCAGGTTTTGAAGGCTGCAGTCTGAAAACACAAAATATTTATAAGTAAATAATGTAGAAACATAATCTAATAGTAATTACAGAGTAACAGAGTTAAGTATTGAAATTAACGAATATATGTATGTACACACCTCACTCCAAGGACCTCGACCACACGCGTTAATCGCAGCAACTCGAAACTTGTACGCCGTCCCGGGTTGAAGTTCGATACGCTTCTTAATAAACTCTAAATCTCGAGAGACATCCGTATCCGGGGGCATGGTGGAAAGCTTTTCATTTACGAGGTAGTATTGTTTAACTTGACAAAGGTTGAACTTCGTATAAGCCACATCAGCCCATCCGTCCTTCCGATCTTCTTCACTTGTCAGGGCTGACAAAGATGACAAAGTGTCTGCACTTGTAGCAAGTGCAGAGGCTCCGGCTGTCTCGGCGGTTAGATGGTTAGCTTCTGCCCTAGCTGCTGCTGCAGCCATGACGAGAGAATTGGTTGCATCATTTTGAACTGATAGCGCACTGACGGCTGAAGACGCGAGGATACTGAGCGGATCCGAATCTTCCAGCATTTGTAGAGTGTCGTGACTTGGAAGTCGGTGGGTTGATTGCTGCAACTCATCGTACGACGACGTCCCGGGGGGTAGATGGTTGTTTTCAGCAACAGCCGAGGTAGGTTCTGGAGTGGCTTGTTTAGCCATTTGGGCCAAGGCGTGCAATGTGGTGGGATTTAATTCCAAGTGACCAGGATTGCTTGCTGATCGTGGTGAAGTTGTGAGAGTTCCGCTTGAGGCAGCTTCGAATAACTGGATCATTTCAGCTTCACTGACGCCACGATTAGGACTAAATTCGGGTTGTTGTTGTCCTCCGTCGATTGATTCGCCCACAAAGCCCGTCTGATCGGCTAATACCCTCTGCGTAGTTTCCGTACTTTGTTGATTCTCAATCCCTCCTGAGATCTGCATCGAAGATTGATCTTCCATACTGGTGGCGGTAGTAATACTGTACATCTCCTGTGTTTCTTGGCCGCCTCCCAATGCTTGGTCACTGTCGGGACCACCTTCAATAACTTGAGTTTCAGCCTGACTAAGTGAAAAGTTATCAATGCTCTGAGGCTCTTCAACTTGCTGATCTTCAGCCGTCTCGTTGTTGGTTGGCAATTTTTCTTCGAGGGCTTCGTCAACATTGCCACCTTAACAAAGCATACCAAAATATTAATGTTCCATTTAACCAAAACATCTATATTTTTATAAATAAGTTAATATGTGCACACCTCCTTTCAGTTTGAGCCATGGAGTATACCACGAAAATTTCACCTTGTCATCGTACAGGACAATATCAGTACATGTAGATCCCCCTTTGAGTCCCATTGTTTCTCCTACATTTGTACCATCTAATTGTTAGAATACAAATAAATATAATATGCAAAAGCAACACCACTTTTACAATTAGCTCGGACATACCAGTCATCTCCTCGTCGCCAGAACCAATGTCTACGGCCGTCCCCATCAGTTCGGCCGCTTCTTCTGCAGTTAAAGTTTCTCCAAAGTTTCCAAGGCTGACTCCTAACGCATCCGCCTCTTGTACGTTCACTTCTACAGTAATAATTTAGTTAGAAAACTTCTAATAAATATACAAAGTATGTCTGAAACGCAGTAAAATTATTCCTACCTTGACCCGACGTTGAGTCGATTTGTCCATCTTGTGTACTGGCAGTCGATTGGACTACTCTTTGGTTCATATCAGAGGAGGAGGCAATCGTGAATTGACCGGGTTGCGAGCCCTGCTGGAGGACGACAATCTTCTTTTCGCCAGCGGTGCCAACCGTTTGGAGGGTTTGTAAAACCTAAGTTATACATACATATGGATCATTTAATTAACATTATCATTAGTAATAAGATATACCTTGCCACCGGTACCGGTTGGCATCAAGGCAAATCTTTGGCCTGACGCAGCCATCTGGATTGACACCGGTTTACCACCAATCGAAATTTGCTGAATTAAAAAATATAAACACATAAGGTCACGTCCTCATCAATCGAAAATTTAGCTAATAAAATAGCTCCGGAGCTGGATGCAAATCACAAATAGTTACCTGATTGGAGCCTACAATCCCCTGCGGAAGAGTTAACAATTGACCCGTGGAAGTCATGTACTGCGTTTGTTTACCAGCTGTGGAGAAGATTAGATTGTTGAGCCCTGCCTGTGACAAAGTAGTAGTACCAAATGTGGATACTGGTTTATTACCCGTAGCCGACGATCCCGGAGTTGAAACCATAATCATCTTGACACCTTGGTTCCCTCCAGCACCGGACTGAAGGGTAGACGCAGTTGTACCACCACCTGCCATAGTGGTTGTGATACCTTGATAATTTCGAAGGGCGGAGGCCTGGGTGACGACGACGTACTGAGTGCCGCCGCCCGCCGGTCTCGTCGCCATCGTTCCCGGTCTGAAGACAAAGGTTGGTTTATTATTAGCATCATAAGTCACATGTGGCTTGTTGAGCACAAGATTGCCTCCCTGTTGGCCCGGAACGTTAATCACTGATTGTTGTGCGTTTCCAATAATTGATGCCTTCATCCCCATTCCCGACAGTCCTCCTCCTGGAGTGACGAGGCGAATAATGTTAGGTCCTACCTTTGTAGAAGAGTTGACGCCTTGGACTACGTTCGACATCATCCCTTGATTTGTTTTCAATACAGTGTACAACTGCTGACCGCTGACGGTGGTGGCGGTTCCTTGAGCGCCTCCAGGTTTCTGGACTATTATTTGTTTAACGTTCCCGCCCTGTCCTACTTGACCTGGGTTGACGATCCGGATTGTTTGTGTAGTTCCACCGACACCTTGCACTTTAATTGGAGTTGTGGTGACCATTTGTCCCGTATTTGATGCTTGAACTACTTTTACCGTCGGGGTGGGAGTTTGTATCTTTTGGGGGACGGCTGTTGCAGCGGCTGCTGCAGTGGCCAGCGCGTTCAGAGAGGAGGCTGTGTTTTGCTGAGTGGTAACTTGGGACCCTTGTTTAATGATGGAGGGTGCCCTTGCAGTGTTTATGTTAACGTTAGAACCAGGGGTAGTCGCCCTAAGACGAACGATCCCTCCTCGTGGGGTTGCATTCTTGGCAGCAACAACCCGGCCAACACCTCGTGCCGCGAAAAGGTTGCTTGCCGTACCTGCCATACTAGCCGGGAGAGAGATTAGACTGGATGCGGCTGGAAGATTCGCGGGGGAGTTTGTATTACTAGCCGAGATAGAAGTTACGACCGGGAAGCCGAGAACACTTGTCGGAGTCGGAGTCGCGTTAGAATTTGAGTTTGACATGCTCATCTGACCTGCAACTCTGGAGGAGGAGATAATTGGAACGGTGAAATGCGTGTCTGGAGTAAACATCATGGGTTGTTTTCCTGTGAAACCAACGACGGATGACGGTGCATACATCGGTTGAGGTGCACCAGCCGGTACTGGTTGTAAGGTTGCAGGAGCGGATCCAACCCCCATCATCGTCCCTGTTGGGTTTTGGACATCTTTCGACGTATCATACTTGCAAATCTGGAGGAGATAGCCTTCCGCTCCAGGCAAAACGGGCCAACTGACCTCCAACATGTTTGTGGCTGCCCTGGAGAGCTGAACTTTTGCGGGTGGGACGGGTTTTTCAACTTCCAAGTACCACAAGTCCTTACAGCAGACTTGATTATTCCATGCCTTCCGGTATCCATCTCGTCCAGACCAAATATAGAGTCGGGTGTGAATAGCAACAGCGCAGTGGCCTGGAAGCCATGAGGAAAAATAATACAAAGTTATTTTCATCAATCTTGATATTTCTATTGCACAAAATGAAAAAAAACGAGAGTATAGAATAGAGCAAGTGTAAATTAGTGAAAATAAATCGCATAGCTTTCAAGTCAAAATATTATTCCCAAGTTGATTATATATATTTTGTGCGTATTTTACTATTTCAAAATATATATAGTTAAATAATATAATAATCAACTTTAACTGACCTGCCCTCGCCCTTGGAATCGTTTCGTCTAACATATCATGCTGGATACTCTCCCATGTCATGTTTTCAATATTCAGCACTGCCAATGAATTAGTACATTTCCATTCCTTTTCGTGTGCATTGGATTTCACGTCATCCACCAGCAGTGGCACCCATCCTCCAAAGACGTACATTTTATTTCCAACCAGGGTCGCACTGTGAAGTGACCTAGGAAGGGGCGTCTTTCCAAAGAAACTAGGTTTCACCCAGGTCATTGTCTCGACCATGAGGGTCCACAAATCTCCCAAGCGACAGCCACTCATCCCCCCAAAGATGATCAGCTTACTTTCCGTTCCATACTTGTTGGAGTAGGCGACACAAGTATGTGACTCTCTCGGACTCGGCGCTTGTCCAAAAGTCATCGGAATCTCCCATGATCCCGGCCCATTCGTAATCAGCTGGAGGATGTAGAGATCATTCAAGTAGCGTGGGATGTTATTCTTGGGATCATCACTTTCATTCGCCAACCCTCCAAATAAGTACACTTTGTCGTTGAGTAGCGTAAAGCTGTGGCCGAGACGTGCACAAGGGAGCTCTCCTTGTCGTGCCATTTTAGGCTTGAGCTTTTTCCACTCCCAGCGAGATGCAGATAGCTCATACAGATCATTGGAGTATCGTCCATACTCCACCATTCCGCCAAAAATGAGGAGTCGTGTTCCGTCTACGACAAATCCATATGCGGCACATCCTTGTGGAATGTCACCTTTCACCGTTGGCGAGTACCATTGATTCGTCATGGTGTTGTAGACATGAAGCTCGTCCACGATGCCTTCATTTCCTCCGCCAAAGACGACCATCAAATCTTTAATGGCGACTGCGCGGTGGCCGTGCCTTGGCCGCGGTTGAACTCCGGACGTGTCGATTACTTTTTTCCACTTGAGCGTAGGCAGTGTCGAGTCCATGTTGGTGTCGGAATTGTTGAATTTACTGGTGGAAGGTAGATCAGAGGTGGTATTATTGGAGTTTGTGGTTGATGATACACCATCTGAGCCTCCCATAAAGTCGGTCGAACTCATCTTGGATGTAAAAGACAAACTCCTGGCACGTACTCTAACTGGTTAGGTTAGAGGCCCTGTTTAAAGTAAACAGATTAAAAAACACATGATTTCAGCTGTTTATTAAAAACTTTACAGAATGTGGATTATTCAAATCAGTAGTTTAAAACATAAATACATCAAAATATGAATTTTGTATATGCTTAAATAAGCCAAATTGTTTTCTTCGTGGATATCAAACAAATAAATTTTCATTAGAAACCGTGCCTCAAAAGTGATGGTTTCTTATGAAGTCAAAAACCATTATTACACAATTAAACACAAATAAATAGAGTGGGAAACTCGCCTAAAAAATAAGGTGGTGGTGGGAGGAGGAGGAGGGAGGGAGTCGTCGACCACCATTCGTCGTCCCGGACAGAGGTGCGTCTGGGCAGGGTCGAAATGGCAGGATAATGCAATTTATTGCTATAAATTTCAAAATTTACAAAATAACTCGACTTTGTCTCTCCTCACGAACTTTGTGCACTTTGTTTGGGTCAGGCAGAGGCTGCAAGCGGGTCGCACATTGCCGGGAGTTTCCATTCCATGACTCCTCGCGTCCTCCTTCTCTCTCGATTCCACTCCTGCTCAACACTTTAGATTGCAAAGGGCTGTCCACTTCGGCTTATCCCTTGAATAACTGAGACAACTTATCCACCCCAAATTAACGATAACACACTCTCATGTGGGCCTGGTTAGTGGGTGGTTCCCTAAAAAGAACGAGTACTATTATGACCTCGACATGTGTGGACGCCTCAGATGCTGGTTTCCATCTCATCTCACCAACTTGGTGCTCTTTACGAACGCATTTGCCTTTCATGAGAGAACATTGATGTGCTGTCGTGGTGGTGGAGATGGTGCTATAGGTACTTCCCAAAGACTCGGAATTTTCCACTGAAAAATGTGAGACGAATGTAAAATGTCTCAATAAAATTGTGCATATCACAGAAAGTAAAAAATATAGAAATAGTTTATGAGAAAGACTTTTAATTAATTAATTACTCCGACAAAAGACTACACATTCCAAGAACCAATAACTTTCTCCCTTACATCATCATCACTGCTGTGGATATTCAAGAATTTGAGAAGAAAGTCATTCCAAACAACGACATAGGCATCACCATCCCAAGAAAAACAGAGATCAGGTAAGAATAAACTATATCCTTCATCCATTCGAACATAAGGCGACGCAACAATGCCGGAGGAACGTCATGATCGGAGGAGAACAAGGGAAGCATGGCTGGCGATGGAAAGTAAGGTGAGACGAGCCCCACGATAAAGAAAGAAGAACAAGTTTTCAAAGGAAGAAGGCATTTCCATCCATCGAAAAGCTTGGTGTATCGCGTCGCACCTACAAAAAGACGACATGACTTGACCAGGTAGCTACATACGTAATGGGCATCTTCTTCTCCAGCAGATATACCCCAACATACGTAACAACAACAATGGTGAGATTTCTCGAGATGTTAAACAAGATCCCAAAAAAGCGAGCAGTTCCCTCAACCAGAATAAGATTCCCTTAACACACTTCTCGTCCATGGAGTCTTATTACTTAAGGCACTCGGTATTTTACCAAGGCACACACTACTACTCCCTCAGAGAACATACTTAGCATAACGGGGTGAGGTTGGTTTAAAGTTTTAAAGAGTTTCTTTCATTCCTCATCGTACTAATAATCTCATCCACCTTCACGTACCCTACCCAACCCACGAGACGACGAGAGCCAAAAACCCTTGCTAACTAAGTAACTATAAGTTTTAAGCTAAACAAGCATGAGAGAATACGATCCCAGTTTATATTTCAGTATGGTTGGTAGGAAACACTTGCAATTGCTTTTTCAACTTCTTCTTAGCAGACCACTTTGGAATCCTGCTCCTCACACAAATGTATGTATAACTTTTAGTAGTAAACAGTGGGAATTCTTGTATGAGATGCTTCAGAAATCACGTCAACCAAGGGGCCAAAATCATATGTAATTTGCAGGTGGGGACTGACACGACGATGACATGTCTCATTTGTCAATTAAGCCATTTTCATACACGGGATCAAGATAAAAAGTGAGCTTATGCATGTGGTGGGAATCAAAGGAAGGGAAAGGCAACCACTTGTTGCACTGCATCCACGCTCTGATTCCCTACCGTCTCTTCTGAATTTCAGTCATTTTCACTTCACTCACCTCCGCCGGAAATCGTTTAAAAAATCAGAATAATTCTCAAACTTTGACTGAGCAGTGAGAGTTTCACTTCTTTCCGTTCGCCGTATTATCACTGTTTGCTTCGTAGACCACTATACTTTTTTTACACGAATACTTGGTGAGTGAGCCTTACAAATATGTCCATGCAAGTTGTTCTTGCATCTTCTTATGTATAGAGGAATCCTTATAAAAGCAGTACTACACCTTAAAGACCTTCATACCATACATGGACGGGCTATGTGGCCTACAATAACACCAGCCAGAACATCTCTCTCTCTGCTATGCTTGTGGTGTATTTATTCATTTTTTACGTGGTATTTTACTTTGTGCGACGACTGCTTGGTTGGTATGTCTTGTAAAGAAAAGGGATAGTGCAGAGGAAAACCTCATCATCATCATCATCATCATTTTAGCTTGTATCAGCATCATTGAATCATGTACATTCTGCTTTATAAGCCATTTAACATACACACACATCATCGGATTGGATGGACATAGTATATCAGAAGAGACTAGTAGAAGAGAAGCGAAATAATAATAATAATAGTCGCAAAAGGTTTTGGAATGAGAGAGAGAGCACCCTTTCTCTCCATTTCGCCCTCGCACTTACATTATTACTAGTTAGTCCGCACTTTAAAACAAATGCATGAGAGGAGTAAATAGTTTGAGAGTCGTATATATTTGCAGTGTGAGAGGGGTTTGATGTGTGTGAAAAATAATAAATTGATGATTGACTAGAGTAGTGAGTGAGAGTGGTAAGGAAGATCCGGACAAGAGATTTGCCAATATATGTGTATAAAACTGGTGCGTGTGGGGGTTGCTTGGTTGGTTGGTTAGTTAGTTAGTTGGTATTACAAATTTGTGGTGGTTGTACTTGTTCTTGGAGTTTCGTCCCGACTCTGACATTACTCATTCTACATCAAGTCCAACAAAATACGACATAAAATATTCAACAAATGTGTTCCGGAACGAATGGGAAAATAATCACGTCGAGTGACATCCGCCATCCGTGACTGTGTGACTCTGATTGTGTGGCTTATGTGAAAAATGACTTCAAAAATGAACTCACACATTCCATTATTCAGCCATTCATCACCATCCTCTTCTTCTCTGCACTGTGCTAATTGATAAATATGCTGAAGTTCTGTGTTTAAATAAGTATTTGACGTTAATATTCAAAACTGGAGAAAAATTTGCAGAAGTTTCGAGTTGGAGAAGAAATGGAGTGGTGACTAAATATACGAAATGTACCCATTATCAGTTACATCATAATAATTATTACTCGGCTGTGCAAAAGTGATAATAACGTTATTTGAGAGTAAAATTCATTCATTACTGTCCAAAAAAGTGTATGCCAAACCGAATCGACTTTTTTGGCAAGTGACCAAGTGAAAGTTTACCCGGAGAAGTCTGCTGAGCATCGATACTAAAAAAATAATTCGTGTTGGAAAACCGTAGCACAAATATTTATAAACAAAATCCAGCAGAATTTGACAACTAAATGCGTCTGCTATTATGTGAAACCTACTGTCACAATTATAAATCAGAGAATTTCCAGGAATTGAAGTGAGAATTATGACGATTTAAATGGTATGACTAAAAGAAAGCAAATATTTGTAGTGATGACACTATTGACTGATTAAATATTAGTACGTACGTACATTCATACGCAGTTAAAGATCTTTAAAATTTGAGGTGTAAATTGTCTTTGAGATTGAGCCAGAAATTTTTTTATCGATAATTTTACAACTGAATATCAGTCGGCAACAAGTGCAATATTGATGCATACATTTCATATACGAATTCAATAGTTCAATGGTACGTTGTGTGTTGACATAACAAAGCTCATAGTTAAATTTCATGAAACATTACACACTCATTGTGTTTACCAATTGCAATTAAAATATGAGACACTGTACTAGGAAATTGATGACGTGATTTTGACCAAGGGAAAAACGTGCAACTTACCTTTAACTGACAATAAGAAATGCTATATAGTATTTGGCCATTTGGGCGTGAAATTTGAGAATCTTTTATGCCATATATGTATATAAATATATATATATAGATATCTCATCGCACCGTCGTGCTTAAATATTTGCCAATGAACTACATGAATCCCATCGTACGATAATAAAAAAACGTCTGTGTGGAGTACTAACTGATGACTAATTGTAAGAACAAAGTGTAATTTAATAGTTGCGAACAATGTGTCGAGTGTCGAATCGACACTGACGAGGCCTATCGACACAAAAGATGAAGTAGGTTACACAGGGATTGAGTTATCAGTCCTTGTTGTTGATAAGTGATTATACTCACTCGTATATTTATCGTAGTACAGCAAATAGATGGGAATACTTGAGATAACGTAAATACACACGCTTGATGGCGAAAATTCGTTGAATAGTGTACATACTCCAGACCAATTATTCTTGGTAATACGCTTCTTTCGGAAAAAAATTGGGCTGTAAGAGCATAAATTTGAGTTTCGGTAAAAACTAGATTCTTGATATTAAGTAGTCAGATTTGACTATTCTAATTATAAACATACTATTAACACTGGATTCCTTGCTGCATATTTGGTTTCATCTTTCATCCAAATGATGTCACTAGTTAATTAAATTTTATAGTGGAATCGACTTGTTTAAGTTATTGGAGAAGGATATTCATTCCACTTGCATGGACATTTAAATCAAGTAACAACTAAGATTAGGATTATGATTCATAAAACTCAGTATCAAAAAAGGCATTTTAAGATTAACACAGTTTTGCCAGCTACATAAAAGTCGTCGTTTATCAAGCAATGGTTCCATGTACATTAAGCAATTACTTTGGAGAATAATAAAAAAAACTCACAGTTTCATTTAATTTGCACCAACGGCAAATAATACTTTATGTAAAACTAATAAAATCTTTTTATACTTATTTTCAAACTCTTAGTTTATTTTGTGAATGCAGGATTATTCATGATTTCGTTTGAAAACTGTTCAAGCTGAAAGCTGTAAAAAATTACGAGATTTGCAATGCTCGACAAAACTCAACTACATAAAAATACTAACTTAATGTGCATCGATTTTACTAAATAAATACGTTTAATTTACATTTTATACGTTACAGATCTGTTACACAAACGTCTAAAAAGGAGTAATCAACCACATTTCCACACCAGCCTGCAAAATTATCCATGACATGACCGGAAATGACAAAGTTCCCAGAAATCCAGGAGTTCCACTCCGAACGATTCTGAGGAATTTTTTAAATCTGGTCGAGAGCTGTGAAGCTGGAATTGGTGATGGGAGCAGTACATACGAGAAGGAATTTCAGGTACATAATTATTCATATTTGAAATAAGTCATGCAATAAAAAAATGAGTCCAATTTTTTTTTCATTTTGAAAATTCTCATGTATCAGGAGCTCAAACAATTCAGCGAGAACCTTAAAACAGATCCGGCCTACTTAAGCAAAGAGGGAGAAAAGACCGTGAATCGGAAGAAGAACCGATACAAGGATATTTTACCATGTAAGTAATTACCAATTTAATTAACATGCAAATTAGGCAGACGTAATTATGCATACGAATTGTTAATCACCCGGCTTAAATTACCATGCAGTTGACTATACTCGTGTGATATTGGGAGACTTTGGAGATGTTCCGGGCAGCGATTACATCAATGCGAATTTCATCAAGGGTGCGAGCGGCTCTTCCGCCTACATCGCGTGCCAAGGACCTCTGCCCCACACGGTCAACGACTTTTGGCGAATGGTCGTCGAATGTGAGGTCCAAGTCATCGTCATGGCCTGCAATGAGCAAGAGTCGGGAAAGGTGGGTTTAATAGGAATTTAATTGTTAGTAATGGGTATTTCAGTGGAAGCTACGTATATAACACCAAAATAATGCATGTACAATCTTTATAGCACAAGTGTGAAAACTACTGGGTGGAGGAGGAAGGGGTGGAGCGGCAGTTTGGTCAGGTTAAAATCTGGTTGAAAAAGTGTCGCCAGGTGTGTCCTGATTTTTTGGTGCGGACAATGAGAATCAGTTACACGACGGGCAAGGGTGAAATAGGTGCGATACCGATTAGATTTATGATTGATTATTATTAGATTTATATGCAATGTGTTGTGTGCTAACAATTTTGTGTAATTTTTATGCCAACAGAGGAGAGAAATGTGTGTCAATTCCACTATTCTGCCTGGCCCGACCATGGCGTGCCGACAAAAGTTCGTCCTCTGTTGGACATGGTGAGACTGATTCGGGATTGTCAAACGTCTGAAACCCTTCCAGTCTTGGTTCATTGTTCGGCCGGATGTGGGAGAACCGGGACAATTTGTGCAATTGATTATGTGTGGGGACTTTTACGATTAGGGGTAGGCACGCAACTGCTCAATATTGAATCTCATTACACCAACTTTAAATTTATTTATGCTTATAAAAATTGATGTGTTTCAGAAATTGACCTCGGATTTTAGCCTGTTTCACCTTGTTCGTGAAATGCGACGACAACGAATCGCAATGGTGCAAACCAAGGATCAGTACATCATGGTGCATAGAGCAGTAAAAGAGCTGTTTGAAGAGCAGCTAAAAATCATCGACTCGCATCCCTACGCGAACGTAGACGTACTGGGACTACCAATTGATATTAAGGCGGACTTGGAGGAGCCCACGTATGAGACGATCGAATACAACGCTACTTCGAACCACGTCGCCGCCGCCCAGTATCATCACCAACCCTCCACCTCCGTCCCCCCTATACCTCCGCCCCACGTAGACTTGACTATTAATTCCAAGTTAGAGAAGGAAGTGGACACTCACTGCAGTCGTAGACGAGACAGCGAAATAGAAGAACAAAAGCAGAAGGCTGACCAAGAGGAAAGGAGGCAGAAACCAATCCGGTGGCGACAGCAGCAAAAGTTTGACGACATCACGGTCCTCTCCTCTGACGGGGAAGAAGTCGAAAAGGAAGTTGTTTCTCGAAACAAAAAGTTGGGTGAAATTCTTCGCAAACCAAGTATCGTAAAAATTAAGTCGTTCTTTGAAAAGTCAAAGGACAGTAAAAAATCTGGTGGTACGAATTTAAGTCGAGCCAAATCTGACGTTTCTTCCTCCAAGTTTTACGCCTTTAACAATATAGCTGCTTCCTTTGGGTCTCGTCAATCACGAAAATCGCCAACGCCTTCGCTTGATGTTGACACTAATCATATTGAAGCAGGTAGCAGCGCCAGCAGCAGTAAACCATCGTCATCAACCGTCGTCAACTCTACCACAGCGACTGGAAATAGCAGTAGCAGCAGTAGTAGTAAACAGCAGAAGCCTGCTAAACCCCCCTTATTTGCCAAACCCTTGCTTCCCATTAAGAGAAGCAAGTCTCTAAAACTGGGGAAGGAAGATAGCAGCATCGAACAGGTCATTGTTAGCAGGCATGTTCCAAAACAAGTAGTACCAACAGATCACCTACTACGCGTGCCCACCTCCACCACAAATTCTCTACAACAATCCTCCTCCTCCAGCAGCGTCAGCAACGTGTCAAGTTACCCGATTAAAGTCTGTATCAAGCAGGTTGAGATCCCTGAGATGAAGAAACCAGTGTCCACCTCGGTCAAGCCGGAAATTCAGACCGCCACAACGCTAGAGCTGAATAAACAGTCGTCCTTGTCTGGTTCTAGTTCTTCTGGGTCTTGGACAAGGAATAAGAAATCCGACTCCTCCAGCAATACTTCCAGCGCCACCGCCTCCACCTCCACCACCGGCGGTAGCAGCACCAAGCCATTGATCCCACCAAAGAGTTCCGTCGTAAAGGAGACAATCGGCCTAGCTCCGAGTCAGAACCACCGGATAAAAATGGGTGTGGCCAAGGAAATGGAGGATGTTGCAGACTTTGGAAGACAATCCTCTAAGCACCAGCAACTTCAAAAATACGACACTGTTGTAATCAAGGGTCCTCCAAGTAATAGCAAGCGAACTTCTCTGACTCGGAGTCAAAGCCATGTTTGGCAGCAGCCAGCCAAAGTACAAACGCCATTTAGAATATTTTCAGACGAAAACATTCATCAAAGTGGTGGCTCCTCTGGCAACACAACAGCGACAGCACTTCTTAATTTGACTTCGCAACCGTTAATTAATCATCAAAGCTCTTCAATTTCGTCACAAAGAAACGGGAGGAGAACGTTTGGCAGTTTTGACGACAGTACGGCCAGCAGCAGTTCGAAAAGTAGTTCCAGTGGTGGTGGAGTTAATATCAAGGTCAGCTCGGCTCCTACGACACTAGAATCTTTTAATAGCGGGATAGACATTAAGCCAATTGTACGGCGTCGCGTCCCAAAAACTAACCCGTACGCCAACTATACGCCTGGTGGTGGTGGCGGTGGGGTTGGAACCACTCCAAATAATAACAGCTCTCCTCCTCCGACTTTAAAATCGTCATGGAAAAATACTACCACCTCTAAAATCATCACTTCTTCGTCGTCCGTGCAAACCCCCACCATCCTAGATAACAGAATACCAAAGGATCTACCTCAGCTAAAACCTGGTTACTCTCGGAGTAGGCAAAACTCTTCCGAGAGCTCGAGTAACACGGCCACTCCGAGAAGTTCACTGCCCGGCACACCCACACAAACTATCGATTCGACCTATGCCCAAATCATGCGGTCCAATATGCAGGGTCTCTTAGGAGCGTCTAAAAATTTTGGGCGAAATAACAATGGCGCAACTCCCCCTAAGTCCATACTTAAAGGTTCCCTCTCCAGTACACCATCCGAGTCTGATGAAAGGTTGGATGAGAGGTTGGATCGCCAATCTCCATCGCTGCATGGCACGACGGCGACAAAACTACTACTGCCCAACAGCAGCAATAGCAACAGCGTCACCACCAACACCACTATCACGCCACCCCAAAAGATTAACGCCGTATCTCGGATTGCGCTGGGGATACGGGAACGGAGAAATAGTTTTCGACAAGCAGTCTGCAAAGATAAAGAGGATCAGCAACAGCCCAAGGACGCAGAATATACCAGAGAATTGTTCACGCCGGAAAATAATAACGTATCACGGATATTTTCCGATGGTGGTGGAGGAGGAGGAGGTCAGAAGAATGTTATTTCACCAAATTCTGCTAGTGGTGTCAGATCTCACAAAGATTACGAACCAATCTGGCCAGAAAATGGTCCCTACCACTTTTCCAACGGTGGTGGTGGTGGATTTGCCATAGTTTCTGACGACAGCTACATAAACAGGGCACCTCTCAAACCGCAGCAGGTAGCGGCGACGGCAGCGCAACAACCACCACCAATGATCCCTGTTCCTAGTAGTAACTATAGGGCAGAGCCTCCCTCAGCCACCAGCAGCGGCAGCAGCAGCAATAGACAACCCATTTATGCCAAAAGCAATCGAAGTCACAGTGCTGAGAGGACATTACAAACCTATCAAAACTCAAACTCGCAACCGTTTCAGAGTAGATTTGACGAAATTAAGCTTTTACTAGAAGAGTTAAAAGCTCCAAACGAGGTGACACAAATGCAGCAACAACTCTTGGCAACTAATTCCAAGAGTTCCTACTCAGCAATGCCTTACACCACAACTGCTAAAAACCTTGAAGCGGCAGCTCCCACACCCACGACTCCTGCTACCACCTCCGGAGTGAGTCTGAAACACCAACGGTCCCTCCGCACCCCCTCCAAACCCCAATATCCAGGAGGCAGCGGCCTGTCCTGCTTCACCTTTAAGAAGCCATCCTCCCTCGAGTCCCTCACCGACTCCTTCCACTACGACGTCATGACGAGGGACACTCCTTCCATAAACGGGGACACAACTCCGCTCCTTAAACAGAATGGATTTGGCGACTCTTCCGCCACTGCAGTTTCTCCACGTCGGAATTCGAATGATTACGTGTCCTTGCGTCAAGGCCGGCCTGCATACGAAGCCACAGTTCACCAATCGTATAATTCTACCACGCCGAACCCACGCATGGACCCGCATAACTCCCACATCGGCTCGAATGGCGTCCCCATTGCTCCACCGAGAACGAAAAAACTCCAGAAATCTAATAGTACCATTGTTCCCATGAGTGGTGGTGGGAGTTACCACATGGATAAGTCGTTATCTGGAGTAGGAAGTACTAGTTCTTCTGGGTGGCCAATGACATCATCGACATCAACATCGGATGTTGCTGGGAACGTGTCGAGTAGGAACTTGCCAGAAGTGGTCCGATGTTCGTCATCCCATCAAGCAGATCGTCAAACGAATACAACGACACCTCCCTCACCGAAAACCTTGGTCAAAGCGATGGGGATCTTTCAAGCCAAGGCGGCCAACATGCGGTCAAAACTAAGCAGTTGGTCGGATAGCAGAGAGAAGGAAAAGTCATCCAACGGGTATACGTCCGCTGCTGAGAGGGATGAGATTGACGGAGGTACATATTTATGATAAATAATTTATCAAACCTATATATGCACATATTTTCTTATCATTTTTCTCCATTGCAATATTTTTTGATTTTCAGGATTTGTTGTAAAAACGTCGACCTCCTCCAACAACACTTCCGCCATTAGCACCTCTTCGATACATCACAGTTATCAGCCCCCAAATAACCAAAACCTGTCCGGCTCCAGCAGCAACAGCAACAGACCCGCATCTCGACACCAATACTTGTGATAAACGCACCATCATCCATTTAACCAGATTTTACATTCCAAATATTGCTATCTTCTTAATAATCTTGCATTAATTATGCATAATATATAATAAATAATTAAGCTACACAATCATTCGATCGACTGATGCTTACACACTACTTACACATATAGATACATACATAAATCGGTGGTAAATGTTAGGGTAAAAAAATGTTATCCCGGCTGCTTAATGATAATCATTACTGGATAATAACCAATAGTTACGATAAAAAATTTAAAAGAAACTGATGGCTTAAAACTTTTATACAAGTTGAACCAAAGTTGAGATGTACTGAATAACTTAATATTAGTATTATTATCATGATATAATAGTTCGCCATGAAATGAATGATAAATTGATGTCATAATTAACCTTGCCCTCATACTTATCGTTGCTATTTAGATTACAACAAGTTCTGTGTTATCAATTCAACAACTACAGATTTACTTAATTTATATATTTGTGGAATAATCTGCTTGTCCTTTTTTAACGGAATCCTCGTCAAGGAATGCATTCCTTTTTCTTCGTCTTATTGTTAGACAACAGCGCATTTGTACTGCTTTTATCTTATGGCTGCATCAGCTACATATGTGTATATCTAATTTTTTATGCCGCAATCACTGGATCCTCGTGTCGGTGTTTGTGGTGCAAGAAGACTGCCCGGTAGCATAAAAATAATTTGCATAATGTAACATGTAGCTTGTAACGCAAAGTATTACATAGATGACGATAAATGAGTGTCATGTCATTCCACCTGGATCAAGAATATTAGTAACAATAAAATTGATTCCAAAAATTCTCTGACTTTATGAATAATTTTTTATCACGTATGGAAAAAAATTGCGGAAATAGCTCAAAGAGGAGACATTTAAATTTATTTCAAGACGACGTACATTCTGTAGTTTATTTTTTAAAACAGCACCGAAACTATAACACTAAACTACTACACGAAGAATAACAAAACGTAGAACGTTACATTCTTTTCATTATAAATAATTCTGTAAATTGCTACGGCGGCAGCGATGGAACAATTCAATATAAAATTAGAGGTTATCATCATCACCATCATCAATTAATTCAAATCCTGAGAAGGTTACTGTACGGAATACGGAATACTGATTATTTCTGAAAAAATGACGCAAACAATATAAATGCGACATTTCGGCACAACACGAGACACACATTACATAAAATATAATATCCATAAAATACCACGGAAATTGTAATAACTGTATTAACTTAGTTACATGATAGATATTACAAATTTAAATGCGCGTAGTGTGGCTTGAGTGTGTGTGTTTAAGTTCTGTATCTAAATTACTTAATTACTGGACAAAAAACGGTAACTTCCTGAGGCCACCTGGAAGACTAGAGACAATCATCTGTATTATAAACTGCTCGTCTAAGATTGAATCAGATCAAAAACTAGCAAAATTGGTTTAAAATAAGATTTGCCCATCTGAACTTAACTAAATTAGAGTAATTATTATTACTGCCAACCCACTCACTCTGTAATAATAATAATTAATAGACTAGACTTATGAGAGAATGCATTTGTTAATTAACTCGAATGCATGCTGGCACATATCCTCCTCACTTAAAGTAACTTTTATATCTTTGTTATCACTGTGCGCTGTAACGTAACTTTCAATAAACTCACGAGCTTCAGGAGATAATGACTCATAAACTAGTTTGCCTACGGTTTTAGGATCATCCGAATCACTAGGAGAATATTCAACAGAAATCATTTCATTCCTTATCATATGGGCATGCTCCTCTGAAAGCCCGTCCATGTCGAGTTGTTCTGGGTTGGCGGGGATTTCTAACCGTTTCAGCGTCGATTTGCACGTCTGTTTGGATTTCGTTTGATAGACGAGGGATTCGTAAAATTCGTGCGGTCCGGTGAGCAGACGTGCCTTTTTTACTACAGGTGTTGTTGGATTACCGTTGGAGGACATTTTCCGTTTTTTGGCATCCTTTGGGCTTCTCAATGCTGACTGGTTTGAGATAGATAGTTTTCCTTCTGAAAACGAGGCAAACATTATTTGTTAGTATGACAACACCATAACTATAAAATATACCAATATTATATATGTTTAATAAGTGTTGACATTACCTTCTCCGGCATCATTGTCACCAATTTGTGACGTTGCAGCAGTTGCAGGGCTTGTAATTTTGGTTAAAAGCGGGACGAGTGGATCCTTGAATCCCTTCTTTTTTATACCGGCGCCACCAGTATAATAGGCGCTCTTTCGAGAAAATCTGTCGAATGCATTCCATTCGGATAGCTGAAAAAATTAAACATATCATCGATGATGAATTATTAAGTTTATCTAAAGTAAGTAATGTAGTAACAAGGAAATCATATTAGTCTTACAGCATTGGTTCGTGACATTTTTGTAGCTACTTTCTTATATCGTATGGATTTCGGAGCTTCAACGAAGGTGATGTACACGAAATTGTTTTCAGGTTCCCTTCCAATATCAAACAACGACAGTCCTCGTGGTTCTTTTTTCTCGTCCACAATGATTATCGGCCGATTTGACACCTTCACCGATGCTGCAGCTTTTGCATGATGTTGGCGTTGGGTGAGTGGGTGAGAATGGGAAGTGATTCCTTTCGAGGCAGCAGAGTGTCCATGACCAGATTTGCTGGACGAACTATTAAGCTTTCCACCATGACCTGATGTTGAAGTTGCAGGCAAAGTTATCCCCTTGGAGTTGAGGGTAGAAGAACTCACTGCTTTTCCAGAGCTTGCTTGTTGGGTAGTCTTTGTTACAGTCGTTGTAGCCGCTGCAATTACTGGTGGATGTGGGAGTGAACTACTACTCGAATCGGAATCCAGTGGAAGAGGTGTTGAGTGGTGGCTTGTTTTCTTCCCTTTGGATTTCTGCATTATACAAGAAAGGTAAATTTTTGCAAAAAGTTACAAAACTTTGAATTTAATTCTGTCCTTCTTACCGGTTCCTCAACCACCTCTTTCGTCTTAGCCTTTTCCTCATCTCGAGACTTCTTGTGTGCAGCCAGTAACGAGTCGAACGCCTTGCTCCTCCCGGGCACAGCCCTCCTCAAAGAGATCGAGTGCGTCTTACACGTCAGAGAACGTGTACACGGAGGAGCAACCTCAGATACGCATACACCACAGTGCTGATCCGGATTAAAAGCTCGTTCCTTTAATGGAATTATTTTTCGAGGTTCGTCCCTGTTCTTTTTCTTTTTCTTCTTTTTGGAATGATTCTTCTCCTTGGCATCGGCAAGGGCTTGGGAGATTACCAGGTTCATTGTGGGAGCCTCACTGATTATCGTTAAGCTTGGAATGGGTTTATGGGAACCGAAATTACTAGATGAACTAGTAATGTGACGGACCGTCGTGTGTGTTGATGATTTGCTTATCGACGAGTCGTGCCCCGACTTGCTGCTGCTATGACTACTTTTCGACTTCTTGCTAACAGACTCTGAGTGACTACTACTGGACGAGGTTTTGTTCTTTAATGGGATCTTGAAGTTGTCCAAATGAGAGGAAAAGTGCGATTTGTGAGATTTAGAATCTGTGTCTCCCGATGACCCCTTACTTTTATGTTTGTCACTCGAATCTGCATAAAATTTCAGCTGCTCATATTTTGGTTCTGGGGATTTCTGTTGCTGTTTGCTCGTTACTATGTGCATAGTCTTGGAGGATGAACTGGATAAGATGCTCTCCACGGACTCATTGTGACTCGCGTCGTCGCTTGGGATGGAGAGAACGTAGGATGCATTGGAGTTGTGCGACTTGTGCGACTTTTCCTTTTTTGAATGCGAAGAAGATGAATGTGACGGCGACACGGTTTTTGAAGACGAATAAGATTTGTGCTTATTCAAAGAGCTGGAACTTGAGTGTTTCTTTGAATGTGAGTTTGATGATGACGAGTTTTTAGACGATGATGATGATTTGCTAGTGGATTGATCAGTCTTATGTGACGACGAATGCTTCTGTCGTGTGGGGGACAATTGAGAGTGATGATGTGTAGGAGAAATGTTGCGATGTTCTCGGGTAGGACTGCGGACCTTGACATCCTTCGTCTCCTTGGTTGTAGTTGATGATCGTAACGGAGTAGGGGGAGGAGTCGGAGGAGTGGGACGTACAGAAAATTCTAGCAGTGGATCCTTTGAAGTTTCTTTAATATCGTAGAGCGGCGTGATGGCTTTTCCTATACATTTATCGCCACTCACTACCAATTCGGTCTTCCTACATACCAAGCTGTTTAAGGAGTCGCCTAGTGTAAAAAAATACAAAATTGAGAATAAATTCCCATCACCAACTCCGACAAGACAAGTAATAATCTAATAATTATTTTTGCTCAACATACGTTTAAAATGTTTCGTCATCCACTGACTTTTCATAACAGATCTACACGCAGGACATTTCGTCACGGAAAAGTACTCTACTTCGGGCTTGGTTCCATACAGTTGTATTACTATAATCATTATCAGAGGTCGTTATTGATTATTACTAGATTAGCATGATAAACATTTCTTTAATTTGTTTTAATTGTTAATTACACGAATGCGGCAGTAAGTTACACTGATCCCTTGGCTTATCGAGCTCCTTGGGCTTGTACGCCTCGCGTAGTTTAACCGAATCTGATGCCATATAAAATACAATTTGTAATTGAATTTTTATTATATACCATATTTCAATATTAAAATTACAAAATAAAGTACCCATTTCTGTCGAACATCCTGGCAAATTCCATGCCGACCAAGGCTTCCCCAACATTTGTTTCAATTTTGAATCTGAAACGTCCACCATCTTGGATTTTTTTTGTTATCAGTGAAATATTTTTACACAAAGGATCAGACAATTCTGGAAAAATAACCAATAAGATCATTTCCATTAGAATAGAAAGTGAAGGATATATATTTTTCCAATTTATCAAAGTATATTTTACCTAAGCGTAGTAGTATAATTAATGATTTTTTTGCATCTCCAGTTGTTTAACTGAGATTGATGAACACTTTAAAACTTTTATACACATTAATAATAAGTAGTAATATTATGTATAGGAATGAAATCCAATTCAATCCAAAGTGCAAAGGAAATGTTGTATTAACTTTGTTCTCTTTTTCTGTTCCTGGACACTCATCAAAAATAAAATCAGTCTATTCACAGTTTGGTCATGTGACGACGAGGAGTTTTCCTTTTCGTGTATTAATATCAAATCAGTGGTGTGGCAGTGCCATTAAGTTAAGTATATTAATAGTCTAGTTTAACCTTTTGGCAAGTTGGGCATGGTAAAAAATTACTCCGATAATACTCCATCCAATCCACTCATTTGTTCCTTTCTTCCTCTCTTTTGTGTATTATTAAGTATCACTCACTAAAATAAGACTACTGAATGAAATAAATAACTGCGTACTAAATAAGTAAGACCACTAATAACCGACCAAACTGACGCCACCCACCAACGATAAGGATAAGTTTTTTTTACTCTTGGTTTTTTTATTATCTCGGCCTCATCGTCAGGGTCGTATTCTCATTGTTTTTACGAGAAGGGTTGTAAATAAACAGTAGTAAGAAATTGCCAAGTAGTATTTAATTGTATTTTCTATAGGGACGATGAGCTTTTCGAGTGGAGGCAGGTGAGTGAGCCTAGTCTGGTTGAACCCAGCAAGAAGCAGCAGCAGCAGCAGAACAAATCCCGTTTTCTTCTTCTCTTCCCAAGCTCAGGTTCAACTACTGGCAAGCTGAACTCTATTGTGATTCTTGTAGAAATAGTGGTGGTGGTGGTGGTGGTGGGGATGATGGTGGTGGCGGTGGTGCGATGCGATGCGATGATGAAGTGGACAAAACCAAACCACGCACGTCAGACCAGCACCTAGGACGTCGTCCTCTTCGTTTTTTTCCTGCGCTCTTGGTCCACTCCTCCCCCGCGGCAAAGTCACCAAGACGAACCCCCTCGGTCCGATGATGAGGATGATGATAAACAGCTGACGGCGGTGATAACCGGGCAGAAAAGTATAATTAAGTTTAACGACGACCGACCATGACACTAATGAAAGATGATGAGGATGAAAACTACACCACAGCGAAGGAGGTTGTTGCCCTGGTTGCTTGATTTAATGACCGCAACTTATTTTGGTTAAAATTATTATTATAGTTAAAATTACACGAAATAGTGCAGTAAAACTTGCTGGGGAATTATAATTAATTTCTCACCTTTTCACTTTAAAAATGTCAACACGACAGTAAATAATAGTAAGATTTAAAAGTATGGAGTCGTTGATTGAGTTGAGGATCAGATGACGAGGTTATTATTATTTGTTTGCTGCTAATTCCTTCCGTGGATTGGCAATGCCTTGAACATGCTCACTCTTCTTCTTCCTCGACCGACGGCATGGAATGGATGAGATGCTATTTATTTGCTACTCGCCATCACAGAAATATTGTGTCTCAAGCCAGACGAAGAGGCAGAACTACCCATATCTACCTATTTTGTGATGATGTAGAATCCAGACTCGTGTGGACAAAATGTGATACTATTTGTATTTCACTAATGATAAACGGGCATAGAACAAGTTGTGGAGCTCTTCTTGATGTGGTTTAGCCACCAATGGTGTGGTCAATTCCTGTGGTCCAGGGGTTGAAATATCCTCAGGGGTCCAGGAAATTCCTGTGATCCTCAACAAGTCCCTCAGCAGGGGTCGTCTCCCTCCATGTAATTACTCCCACCAACTTTTTTGCAATGCTGCTATTACGATTTACGAATTCATGGTATGACAATTTGGTCATGAGTGGGGCGAATTCAGTTCAAGTATTATCTATTATTGATTTCCGGCGGATCATTAACGAATGATGAATCAAGAAGGCAGAGAATACTTTAGCATATTATAGTGTAGTTAAAGTTTTGGTTTAATGGATGATGGATCTGCCGCAATTATAAAAATTACTCGGTCACAACATTTGACTAAATACTCGTATTAGTGCTCTTGGTGGATCGATACAAAAAATCCAATTTTAAATTCTAGCCCACATTTATGCATGCAGAAAGTTGAGTTCAGGCAAATAAAACTCAAACCATGCAACAAACAACAAGGTATCTCATCACATGAGTTATATAGCAGCTCGGAGTGAAGGAGGAAGAAGAGCATTATGAAAAATCAGGGACAACGGGAGGAAGGACGAATAATAACAGTTCATGGTATTTCGGTTTGTGGGTAGTTGCGCAGGCGGAAGAAAGAACACGGGGCTGGAAAAGGACGAGGACGACGACGACGACGAGTGAGTCGATCCCCCTTCAAAAAGTTGAGTTCTTCACCACAAATGCCCGGATTCTTCACCCAACAAAACCCGTTTCCTGTCCTGGATGGTCTGCTTGGTTGGCTGGTTGTTGTTACATACGTGTACAACTTTTGCTGTATGCATGCGAATAGCTACATCAAAATAGTACGAAGTTCACCTGGAATAATGCCTTGGCTGGGCAGAAGATCGAAGGTGAAATCGACTCGTGTACGAAATCACTCATGCAAACCTTCACAAAAGTAACATGATCAAAAGCATCATCAATGCAGATGATTTCTCATCAATCCTCATTCATTCATGCAGATGCAGATAATAAGTGCCCCATTGTACATATGTACATACTTAACAAAGCAATTATTATCAAGCTTATCTCTGCTTATGCAAAAGTCTAGCCACCCGGAATTAGTAATATGCATAAGCAGTATTAAGAGATGAGATAACACAAACCAAGGTTTAATACATACATCTCATATCTTGTCAGCTGATGGAATGAATCAGTAGAATAATGCACACAGGCTCATTATGTTATGTAAACACACTTGTTAAGTGTATAATTCCGTATTATGTATTATGTAGCATGTACTCATGGACATGGATAATTTTTTAATGATGAATTGAAAATCTCTTTCCACCTTTCCACCTGAGGTACAAATTATGAAATGGAACAATTCAAAACTTTTTTGCAAAACTGCATTGCAATTTGCAATGCAAAATTCCAAACTTTTTGAGACGACTGGAAGTGATGGAATTCAGAAGTGAGAAAAGTGGGAATGGGCGGAAGGAGCGAGTTTTTGTACTTTTCTCACTTTTTCTCACTCACGTACACACACCAACACTCTTCGCGATAGTCGCGATCACATGAACTCACAAAAATATAAACTTTGCCTTTCTGCCTTTTTCTCTTCAAATCCAGCTCAATCATCAGTTTTTTTTCTGTTCTGATTGTTGTCCGTCAGTGTCCTTCCTTTTCTGTTCCTTTTGTGGGATGTAACTAAGCTGCCCCATAATCTCTCCACCAGCAACGACAAATTGATTGTAGGTGGTGAGCGGGTCCGTGTCGTCTGGTGAAGGAAAAACGAGGTCGGGGTCAATTTTTGGCAATAAGGGGTAGTAAAGACAAGGGAAGATGGACGCCCGGACCAGAATGTTCAAGGAGATGATGTCGACATCCACCCATTCGGCGGAGGCTGTACAAGGGCGAAAAGTTCCCTACCTCCTCTGTCCCGTCAAGAAGCCGGAAGAGTACTCGGATAACGAGAGGAACTGGTTGAAACAACGGTGAGTGGGTGGACAGAGGGCATATAATATTCCAAATTTGATGATAAATAATGAAGTGAACAACAAGTTTGTGTGTGTATGTATGTAAATTGTTCTGTTTTTTAGGGATGAAGGTCGGAAATCGCACTCGCCCAGCGGCTGGTGGAACTATTTCCAAGATTGCGTCGAGGTCAAGATTCGGAACGGGGACTCGCTTGCATTGTGGACTAGTCGAAGTAAACTGGATAGTGGAAGTGGTACTGGGGGTGTTCCTGTCAGTGGGGGAGGAGGGGGTGGGATTTCTAATATCGGTGGTGGTGGCGATCCGTTCATCCTGTTTCTGCATGGTGGTGGCTACTCTGGACTGACTTGGGGTCCTATGATCGATGAACTGAGTCGCCTGATTGTTGCACAGTACGGAGCTTTGGATCTCAGGGGACATGGAGAGTCAAGGTGTTGGGATGAGGATAATTTGTCCTTGGAAACTTTAACTATGTAAGCAAAAATTGATTCGAATTTTAAAGAATTAGTTTAATTTTTAATGATTGGTTAATGTATTAGTGTTTTCTTGTGCATTGCGTGGTAGGGATATTCTCGATGTAATCAACTGGTTGAAAGGGAATGAAGTTTTCCAACTTGCAAATCGTCCCCTGATCATTGTGGGTCATTCCATGGGTGGAGCGTTGGGAGTGAATGTGTCTTTAAGCCTCCAGGAATTAAATGAAGTCAAGTTGGCAGGACTTGTCGTGCTGGATGTGGTTGAAGGATCCGCACTTTTGGCCTTGAACTCAATGCAATTTGTTTTAAGAAATCGGCCACGAGAATTTGAGTCCATTCCGGATGCTATCCAGTGGTGGTAAGAGAAAGCAAACCTGACTTTATTGAGCCATGAATAAATATAAATGTATTAAGCATGCATTTTTTAAATACAGTACCCGCAGTGGTCAAACGAAAAATGTGGACTCTGCTCGTATTTCGATGACTGGCCAAATTATGCAAAAATCTTCAGGAAAAATGGCAACACAGTTTGTCACTCGTCGGAAGGATGGAGCAGACGAATCTTGTGATACTCAGACTGTTACAGCTAAAAAACGGGTTTGGGAAAAAGAAGACAATTCAGGAAATGGCAATATCTCTGAGGAGTCGGCAGTTTCAACTGTCCCAGTATGAACTTTTTTAATAAGTCATTATTAGTAATCATTTCAACTCATAATTTTTATTTATTCCAACAGCAAAATTTTGTTTGGAGAATTAATCTTTCTCTGACAGAACCACATTGGAAGGGATGGTATCAGGGACTATCTAAAAAGTACGCAAGTTGGCCGACCTGTTTTATATCTTGATCCTAATGTTAATATGCATACCTTTTTAACTCGATACAACTAATTTTGTCTTAGGTTTTTGTCCGTCCGATGTCCAAAGTTGCTGATGCTTGCCGGACTCGACCGGCTGGACAAAGAATTAACCGTTGGGCAAATGCAGGGGAAGTTTCAGATGCAAGTTTTTCATCAAGTTGGTCACGCCATTCACGAAGACGTTCCAGATAAGGGGGCCGAATGCCTTGCTGCTTTTCTCTGCAGGCAGCGAATCGCAGTTGCTAAAGGTCATTTGCCAGCCGCCCTGCCAGGATGTTGATGATGGATCGTCTTTTTATTATCATTATTATATAACCAAAACCAACCAAACAAGAGAGAATCTTTTAATCCATTTACTTGCGAAATTTTCGTTTCATTCAGTATTTAATAATGCCATGCCTGTTATTTTTCCGTGATAATTTCTTCGTGCCCTAACAAGAACATACTAAAGACATTTTTACTGGCTTCTTCGTTATCCTTGTCGGATTCAATGAATGAGTCCACAAATATAAACCAATCCTATCTGGTTACAATAAATTTAGAAGTACAAATTTTTTCGTTGCATATAGTAACTTAACTTTATTACTAATATTACAGTTATTAATACCAATCCAATAATAACAATAATAATAGCAATAGTAGTGCTGATTTGATGACAAAACGTAATTACACAAAAATACTTTATTTATTCTGCACCAACACTACCCACCATTTTATCATCATTTTATTTCTGGAAAAGATTTAGGCACCATTTTTTCTCTTAATTAAACTTATAAATTATATGTAATATGCATATTGTCATTGTTTAGAAAGCTCCAGTTTTGTCATGTTTGTTCATAATTATAGACATAAATTTCACAGTTTGTTCATTACATCATTTCCACGCAGAGAGCCACACCCATGCCACCCCCGATGCACAGGGCGGCCACACCTTTCTTGCCATTTGTCCGTTTCAATGCGTATAGTAAAGTGACCAAAACTCGTGCCCCGGAAGCTCCGATAGGATGTCCGAGGGCAATGGCGCCCCCATTAATGTTCACCTTGTCCGGCGAGATTCCCAGCTCCTTCACCACTGCGAGAGATTGTGACGCAAAGGCTTCGTTTAGTTCAAACAGATCTACATCGGATACCTTCCATCCTGCCTTTTTCAACTGGATTCGAAAGAAAGAGAACAATATTAAAGATCAAGATAAAAAAGGAACATAATTTTGCGTGGGGGAATTACCGCTGCTTGCACCGCAGAAACTGGTCCGATTCCCATAATTGATGGATCAACACCTGTAAACGCGTAGGCCTGAATTTTAGCCAGTGGTTTAATTCCAGCATTCTTTGCAAAACTTGTGGATGATAACACAAGTGCGGCGGCTCCATCGTTTAGTCCTGAAGCATTTCCAGCTGTAACGGTTCCACTTCCGTCCCGGATAAAGGCCGGCTTTAGTGCTTGCAGGCCCTCGAATGTAGTGTCGGGCTTGGGAAACTCATCTACAGACACGGTCACCACCCCTTTCCGTCCGGGAACTTCGATTGGGAGGATTTCATCTTTAAAAGCACCAGTTTTGATAGCAACGCCCGCTTTTTGTTGTGAACTGACGGAGAATTTGTCCTGTGATTCGCGATCGATTTTGTATTTGGCAGCAATGTTCTCGGCTAATTAAGAAGAGTAGTATTTAAAATAATTACAAATTCATACAAATTTATTATTATTTATTGCTCTTAATTACCAGTAATTCCCATGTGAATATTTTTGAAGGCGTCCGTCAATCCGTCGGCAATCATGGTATCAGTCAACGTCCCATTCCCCATTTTCACACCGTTCCTTAAATGGACAGAGTGATGGGCCTGGCTCATGGACTCTTGACCCCCGGCCACCACACATTCCGCATCACCCGCGGAGATGGCTTGTGCCCCCATAATTACAGACCTGCAATTCAATCATCCCACTACAATTAAATAAGTCCCCTCTTAAGCAAGATTTTGATTTAATTTCAAACAGTAATTACCGTAGTCCCGAACCGCACAACATATTGACCATCGTGGCTGGAACGGAAAATGGAAGCCCAGCATTGACAGACGCCTGTCGCACCGGATTTTGTCCATGACCTGCCGTCAATACCTAGTTACAAATAATTGGGAAAACTTGTTAATAAGTGGCACCACCATCAGACCATCATCAGCTACCAACTGACTGACCAACCTGTCCATATATAACTTCAGAAATATCATCCACCTTGACCCCTGATCTCGCAACTGCCTCTTGTATGCATTTGGCACCGAGTTCGTGTGCTTGCAAAGAGCTCAACGAGCCACAGAAGGAACCTAGAAAAAGAATTATTACATATAAAAATTAAATATTTATTAATTTGTCCCACCTGTCCCACACTAATTAATTATTATCACCACTCACCGATTGGTGTCCTCACCGCGGACAGGATGACGGTCTGTTCCCCACTCATTTTAACTGAAATGGAATGGATTTTAGAAAAGTAGAAAAATATCCGGCTCCGTGAACTGCTACAAACACAGATGATTTTCTGAAGACGGGCAGAACAAGACTATAGAGAATTCAGTGGTGGTGCAGTGTTCTAAAGCTGTCAGCTCCGGCTTTGCTGCTCGTCCACTTTCTCACAATTGTCTCAATTTTCCTCATCCAACTTCCATCATCGTCAGCAAAATGAGTGCTGGATCTCCTTGGATCGTGTTTTTTTATGACGACGAGCAATATAAAATTTACAGCAGCAGCATTTGATTCGACTTGATTGCAACACTGATTTCTTGGATCATTGCACAATTCGTGTAAAAGAATGTACACATCGAGATGGATGGGCGGATAGCCGTACTTTCCGTTGTTGTTGCAATCTGGCAAAAGTGGAGGAAATGACGACTTGGTTGTAATGTAATGTAACTGAAATGATAATAGTTTTCCCACCCGCGTCACTAACATGATGGGATAATAAATCGGTCGGAGGGGAACAATTGTGTCGAAATGATATATCATCAAGCCATTGATTGGGACGACCTTTGGGAAGGAAGAATGGAATAAGATTGTGTGGCATGCATGTTAATAGGCAGACAGTAAAAGACGTGAGGTATATATTTTCAATCAGGTCGTCTCATCGTGTTCTACCAATGTCAGAGGTTGTCCATTCTGCAAATGCGTGCTGTTTTTTTGCAAAATCGTACATTCTAGACGGTTGGTTATTCTTAAACAATGTTATAGTACAAACTTATGTACTTACGTGTTTAGGATCAGAAGGAAGTCAAAAGTTAGTCCAAGTTCAAAATTTGATCGCCATCTTAATACCAAATACATAGTCATAGGTACGTACTAAACATAATAAATTGCGTATTTGTTAGCTGCTGGTGTGTTGGTTTCATATTTAGATTCAAGTGCATTAAAATTCCAACACATCAAATATTAGATTTACATGAAAAGTATTCAACACATAATAGATTGAGATGAAAATATATCGGAAATTGTTAGTAATTATGTTTAGTATATGATAAATGGGCGTAGATCAAAAATTAGTAGATGAAAATTGACTGGTAACTGGCCAAATTGGCATAAAGCATATTTACAATGATTTACATTAACTAGCAATAAGTACATACAACATATAAATGTGCCCTATGGCGTCTTTAAGCACACGCACGTGTTCTATCTATTTACGTAACATAATCAATATCATGTTATACAATTTCTTAATATGAGAGATAAATCTAAAGGCCGATTTATCTGATGGCCGTCAACCATCCAAGTTCATTAAAAGACAATACAATGCAGAATCCCATGTCTCGCACAGGTTTGCAATACTATTCCTCTGGACCAATACTACATTAAAAATATATCCTGTTGTCATATTGTTAAGTATAACATGACCAGCAATATTATTTGGTTTACCAGTGTAAGGTACTTTGCGTTACACGCAAGACAAAAATTGTAATATTTCTTAATTGTAACTAAATAGTTGTGTGAATTAGATTGAAAATATATTATTTCTGATTCCAAAATTAATGACGAAAACGCAGTTTTTTAAAAATAAATATTCACTAACAATGCGACGTTGAGAAGTGTAACACTCCGATTTTGATAACATTTTAAAATTATGTAGCCCAAGTAGTCATCAAATCCAACCAACTTTGCTTCATGCAGTTCTGGAATTAGTCAAAATATTTTAAATTAAAGTTGAAAGGCGATTCTTACCAAGAGATTCTTACCATTCCCTTCGAATAGAAATGCATAAAAATCTATACTATTCAATTTTACTATGTTATCGTATTTTATTCTTATGATACCATTTTATTACATAAAAACATTAGTACAACACAAAGTACGATTTTCAGGTTATCCTGCGTACGTAAAACTTGCTGTAGTTTAGTTTGAATATCAGTTCGTAAATTCCACTAATCAGCACAATTATTATTAAATTTTTTACAGTACGGTACATTACTTTAGAGTACACTACCTTCATCAGCTATAAATACCATCTCCATGCACTTAAGGTTATCTGTCGCTTAAATTTCTTGTTCTTAATTCGTCTCGAAAGGTGTTTAATGATCCACACTTTGCACGTCTGCCATGCCATGTCTGCCCATATATACAGATATGCACAGCATAGGTCACTTGGTCATTAAAGTGTTGGAGACACGCACTTTTTAAGTAAAGCGATTAGAATGACTTAAGTACACAAAAACCTTTGCTTGGGTATTAATCTACAGCGCTGCCCACTTCCATAATCACCACACCGTCACTTGTCCTCTAATTACGAACCCTTTTTCAGTGCTTTTTTCACTATGCGTATAAAGAGGGTGCAGGAAAAAGCAAATTTGACTATGCAGCACTTTAGGTTTGTGCGGTATTTATAGTTATTAGATTAAATTTTCACAATGCTGACAACTGTCTCATCCGTAATTAGTACTTTAAAGCATAAGAGAATATGTGTGTATGTGTACAAGTGTCAAATCCCCAGTCATAATCCAATCGGTGAAATGTTCTCAATTTCGCCACATTGGTAATATGTATATACATATTCTACCCGCATAATCTAAAGGAAATAAAAATTGCCATATACAATAGCCACTCAATTTTTCTTACAACTCAACATTAATTTAGCGTAATTGGAATTTTTATCATCATCTTTCTATGTGTAGAATAGCAGTGTCAAACAAAGGGTATTTAAAAAATATATATTATGTATGTTATGTACATAATAGTGATAGTACATAATATATAGTACATAATATATAGTACATATGCATTTGCATACGTGTATTGTCTCCACCTTGCGAATACGCACAATTAGACCAGTATATTTACATACTTTCAACTTCCTGGTGATTTTGGCAATTAAAGGACCAAATACCACCAATTAGATTTTGAAACGTGTCCTATATGTAAAATGTTCATAAAATAGTAAAAAATACTACAAGCAAGCTAAACTCATAATCGATTTGACCCATCTCCCTCCTCCCCTCACATTTGAACATTATTACTTATTTATTTTGTTACCAATTCAACAGAGGAAGTGAATATTTACTTATACCATTTATCCATTTTGGTGACTGGCTGGACATAAGGGCGACAGCTCGACAGGATACGCTTTCATCCATCCCATTTTATTACGATATTTGATTGAATCCTCAAAACTGTGCCCACAATCCTCACAAACGATTCTATGAGGAATAAAAAATAAATAAAATAATATCTCCACAGAATGAAAGCCTGTGGGACGACGAGGAGGACAGATGGGTCCAAACACAAGAGTGGAGGATGGATGGAGATAAGAATGAGACGGATTTGGTCCATTATGCACTTGAGGGATTGTGAAGGGAAGTTGACATAATAATGTAATTGACAAAAGGTGATTGAGAGTCCCAGCAGCAGACATTTTAGATAAATTATTTTACTGTGTCGTCCATCGTCCTGAACTGTGTGTGTGTAATAATGTGAACAAATAATAACGACCCTGTACATATACTCACAACAATAAAAGGTTGAACTTGGAGTGAGCAGTGTTGGTTTTCGATCCATCCAGGTAATAAGTAAGCAAAGTAAAAGCAACAGTTGGGCAAACAATGTCTCCCGTGGGTCGTCGTCGTCCTCGTCGTCGTCGTCGTCTGACTGAGTCAGCTCGTTGTCTAATTCTTCCTCTATTTCTTTTTCCACATTATTATGCCAACTACCAACACCCCACCATAAATATTGACAAATTGCAAGTTGATGGATTGAGAGAGTTTTAGCCTGGTTGCCCTCTTTCCCTATGCTTTCTTCGTCACTGGGCTGCAATTCATGTTATATTTAGCCGTCTGTCTTCTTCCTTCTTCATTAAACTATGTCTCAAATTCTGGCCAAAAAATCCCTAATCATTCATGCCCAACTTGGCCAACTCAATATAATAATGGACATACCGAGAAAAATGTACGGATCGAGTTAACGAATACGATTACTAAGAAAGAAGCAACACAACATTTTTGGGCGTGTGAATGAGCAAGTAAATAAAATTGTCCCCCGATGCGCAGATTTTTATGCTATTATCGAAAAGAAAGTGTCAATGGAACACGCCTCTCTGTCAGAACAAATATGATCTGTTCTGCATGTCACTGAAATAAATCAAAATGTTTATGACTGCCCTGGGTGTATGATGATGAACCCTTTTTAAAAATAAGTGGGCAAATGAATTCAGTTCTTACATCCAACCAAGTTCTGTACACCACTTTGTTTGTTGAGCATTGCATGTTTTTTAAGAATCGAGTTTAAGGTGAGCCTGCCTGCTGCCAGCTTGCTCTCTACGTGAGGTTTGTCATCCTTTTACTTACCTTTGCTTTGTTTGCTTTGCTTACTCACAAAATAGAGACATGATTAAAAGATGAGTTGTGCATAAACTTTTAAACTTTTGGCTGGCTGAGCTGGAACCGTGAGGAGGTGGATGGATGGATGGATGGGAGGAAGGAGGACGAGAAAAATGTTGAGAAAGACCAAATAATAATAATAGAAACGGAATATATTAAAAAAGACTGGATGGAAGGGATTTATTTGTTTCCATCGAAGTCTATCCACTCATTTTTTGCCTGCCTGCCCTGACGACTGACTTTCTACTGGATCTTGTGTTCCTTCCACCTTAGTCGTCCAGGATTTATAGTCACTCTCTCAAGTGACGTGTTGTGATGTAAGAGCAAATAAGAGGACGGGGCTGAAGGTGTCATAAAAGTGTTGCAGGGGAGAAGTCGTAAATCTTGGAGATTGAAACAACAGAAGTGACCCTTCTTGGGAGATCTGACAGGGAAGAAGCAGTCAAGAAGAGTAATGCGGACGAGGACGGATAATGAACAGATATTGTCGAGGAGAGGATGGAAACATGTTCTTGCGAGATTTTTGTCCTCCTTCCTTCACAAAATCATAAACCTTCCACCAGTCAAATAAATCTCAGCGTCGTCGTCGTGGACTTGTTCATAACCGATGATACTGGCGATTCGGGGAGCATATCCTTATTCCTTCCTTAAATAAGTACTTTCCATTCTTAGGCAAGAAGAAACCCATTAAACAAACTCTGCGACAATAAAGCACACAGCTGACAAGAATTCGATTCAGGCAGGATGACCTAAAATATATAAGTACAAGTTTAAAAAAAATGAGGCGTCCATAATTCCATGCACATCCAACTCATGTCCCCTAGTCCTGCATACCTGTGTGCGATCCTATTCTAAATTAAATACACCTGCAAACAGTTAATAAAAAGTAGAGGCATCTTCATAATCAATAACTTTCTCTAAACCGTGTAATTTAAAGAAATAACTCGAGCACAGCAGTAATAAATATGTTTTTCCCCAGGTTTGTACAAGATTTACGCATGACCTCCCTTTGCTCCACAATTGCTACACAAAAGGACATTTAAGTTTAACGCAACAAGTTCCCAGTAAAGGGTCCAAAATATGAAGAGGACGACCAAGATGTGTCCCCAGATAAACGGAGCTAAGGTTAATGCTATTGGGCGTCCGTCACATCCAAGTCCAGTCCCACTCTCGATATATTTACATCGAACTTTACGAAGGGTGTCTGCCGTTGTGGAGACAATGAGACACTATCTGCTCCTGTCCCTTAAGACTCATTGAATGCCTTGTGACACAAGCACAATAAGTTGAGTGGAACTATGGGACTTAACTTGCATTCCCCATCCATGGCTGAGGAGTACTTGAACCTACGTGGCTATTCCTCCCTCACTGAACCCAACAGCATTTCACAACCTTAAACAGAAGAAGAGAAACGATTCCTTAATCTTCCATCCTCCTCGTAAGCTTATTACTTGGAAAGAAAACGGTGGGAGGGTAATGGTGTATGTAGAAAATGTTACATGGGCAGCAGATTTAACTGCTGCCTTCTTATTAACGTGCTCAGTAAGCAAACCAAATGCACGTGTTCCTTTCTCCGTTGATTTCATCCCTGTTCAAATACTCAGTCATCATCATGATGCGATGATGATTCTTCTTCGTCGAGATATTCACAACTTAACTGCAGGAACACGCTCCAGCTTCAATCAGTTGACGGGAAACGCTTGGACCGTCAGTGTCTCATCTGCACTCTGCTCTTCTATCTAAATGCAGTATCATTCTTGCTACATTTAAGCAATTCGACGGAAAACTGAGCCTGATAGTAAGTTTGTGAATTCAAGTTGACATCAATTCGTCGCCTACGCATAAATAAGTTTGATACCATTTGTGTGCAAACTATCTCACTGTTTGTTTGCCGTTGATTGATACGGCGAGTGACCCCATATCAACAAAAAAAGTGTAAAAGTGATTACATGAGACAAATTACACTTGTTTAAATATGAATCTCATTTGGACACAAGTCAAATAATTATGTCGTGACGTGACACGACAGTTTATTCAGTGTAAGTTCAAACTGTTAAGTAAATTAACAAAGTAATGGTGATTTTTTTTACGGAAAAGAGTAAATTTCTGAACTTGTGTGCCCTTCGTGTTGCTTCTTGTTGACCTTTGGTGTCTTTTGAACTGGATGAGTTTTAATTGCCCGCATGCACGGTAATGCATCTGTGTCCATAAAATCTTAGAGTTGGAGACGCGTTTGTTTAGGTGAAACTTTTATTGTCTGGTTTTCTTGTGGTGGGGACTGGATGGGTGTGTGTGTGTGTGTGTATTTTATGCATTTCGTGGTTCGTAATGTGGACAAATGTTTATTTATGGAGGAATTTTATTGATTCCATGCACAAATCGAAACCTCAGCCGTAGTAAGAAACTTGTTTGTTTTGTGTGGAAATTTTATCTCGCTTTTGGAAATGTGTTGCAATAAAACAATGCTGTAAATCGTGTGGTATTATTATTACCGTTGCCAGTCTCATCTCGTATGAGCTTCTTAATGTGCATGCATGAATGATTTCTATTCTTGTACAATTTTAAATACAATTGCGAGTCAAAAACTACACATTTTACGACATTTTTTCCAACTCTCCTTTCTAAGCCTGATATTATTTTGTAACAAGAACTGGCATAAAATCGTTAGTTTTCTCGTCCATCATCAAATCACAACACAATCTTAGCATCGACATGAATTGTGCATGGCTTATGATGACAAATCACCTCTAAAAAACTGAACTATTATTTTCCTACTCGTAATAATTAGTGTCAAAAGGGAGTGCGTGGCTACTCCACTCATCGTCAGCAATGTCATCATTGTTCCCTCCTTTGTTTTCGCTATTAAATTAATTAAGTCGAGAGCAGGATTGAAAGGTATCCATATGTCCGATGGTGGTTTTAGGGCTGTGTGTTCAATTAGTCGAGTTAAGGGTTTACTTATTACGATCGAGGGAGGGATGGGAGGCAGGAGTTGAACAAATACACATAATAGCATAATGATACCTTCTTATTTTGAAACTATGCACTTAATCAATTTGGATGCGAGGGTATCTCCACGCACTCTCTCTCTCTCGTATTTATGGGGTTTTGTTGGTTTTGTAAATCAAGGAACGAAGGTGACACGCAAAGTAATTCTGGAGCAACGACTTTGCCTAATCTGTTTAAAATCTTTTGGTTTGTTGAGTTAGCTCAAGGAGAAGAAGTGGTTTTTGAGATTTCTTCACCTCCTCCCTTCGTCTTGTTCCTCGTCCTCTTGGTCTTTTTGGAAAATACTTTTTCTTTTACTGACTCCAGAAGACCCTGCAGTTTACCCAGTCGCATGGCATACATACAAAACGCACCTATTTTGTACAGCTCTGAACGATGTCTCGGGAAAAAGAACAACCAAAAGGAAAATTTCCTCTCGATTGGGGGGTCCTTTTGTTGGGTAAAACGGGAAACTGCCAGTCAAATTTAACATGTGGCCTTCTTCAAACAATCCATCTATCCATCCATCCATCCATCTTGCTGCATAGCGTGCTTACCTTTTCTGCCTCATTTATCTCCAATAATTCCTTCTTAAACTTATATCCAATCCACACACCATAACAATAATCCACTCACGATTTATTTACCTGAGCATACACACACATCTCCATTATGCATTATTCTTCTATAATGTGATTATATTTATTGTACGGATTTCACGCCCTCGCAACAATAAGGAGGCCATTTACTTGCTTCCATACGCAGTAGTTTGACAGTATTATGACAAATCTGTTTAGAAGACTTGCATTTTTATTGATGACAATTTTCCATTTATTTTTTCCAGAAACGTGTCGAATGACTTGGCCACGGAAGTTTTATTGAAGATGATGGTTCAAACAAGGGACGGATTGACAGTGGTGCTTCTAGCGATAACTTGCTGGACATCGCACATTTACGCGCAGGCTTCAACCCATCGAGGTAAGTGTGAGGTGTCTGACAAACAATTAATGTGATGACATCATTTGCTCGCGAGTAAATAAACAGAAGCGTCTCATCTCATCTGGAAAGTCTTGATAATGCTGAAGAATAGGTTGTGCATATGGATGCACGCATATGATTACAGGTGGGGCAGAACTAATAAAGTGCATTTCATGCCGTGTAAATTAATTGGAGACGGTGAAGCTGTACACACACGAGACAAGTGATCAAGAATAAGAAGGTGTCAGAAGGTTGTGTATATGGTTTCATGCCCCTTTGCCACCACGCTACACGTAACACTTGACTCGGAACGAATATTATATGGCTAAGCATAATAATGAGGATGATTTGTGGATTCTGATGTATGTACATGAGTTGAGTAGTGTGGATCGGAAGAGGACGATGCGTTTTTAGCTGAAGCATTACTTACTTGCATGCAGTAAAAATAGTGTATGGCTACCAATTGTTGCCTGCTGGAGAATGAGCCAGGGTGGCTTTATTGTGACTGCTGAAGGAAAAAAACGTGGACTTGTTTGAGAAATCAAATAATGGTTAGAGCTCTTTTTTTCCTTGCACAAGAACTCCTTGACTCCTGAGTGATTTCAAGTGTGAGCAGGCTGAAGGATCACCAACAACAATCTACTTTAACTAGGATGTGCCCATGTGAGATAACAATTGATGGTGTTACTTATTTTATTCGCCGTGTCATCCTGACATCACAATAATCTCTCGAACTGAATCAGACCATATTGTTATGGAGTGCACATTAAGCTAAGGAGGATTCCACTCTTGATCAATTCAATCCTTCAACCACGCAACTTGCATCTTGAAATTTTGTTGGGATGGCATGTTCGTATTATAATTTGATGTGGGGTAAAATTAACTCAAAGTAAACAAAACGCACACAATTTTTTCCAGAGTTTTTTTTCCAAGATTTGTATCAGAAATCAAGTCAATTTTTCCCTTCCTCTTCTCTCCCATCTGGAGGAAGATACTGTTCCCATTGAATTTTGTGAATAGTATTATCAGACCGTATCAACTGACAGTTGTGAAGAAATGTGTGTATGCGTGATGACATGACAGAAACGTGGTCAGCATTTGTGGGAGGAGGAGGAGATGGGAAAATGGACAGAGATTGATCAAGTCGACTACTGCTCTGAGTCAGGAGAGGTGACGGATCTCGAAATCTGGATCATTGAATCAGACAATGAAATGACAGGAGGACATAATGCAGGTGGAGGAAGCAGAACGTCTTTTTTCACATAATTGCCCAACCACCAACTTGTTCATCAATTATTGAAACTGTCAGCCGAGGTAGGCTTCAAGACCTTTATCTGATTTAATTGGTGACATTGAGACAACAGCTTCCACCAACTTTGGGCATATTTCGTAACATTGGTAGGCAAAGGCATGGTCTTTTCAGTTCAATGTTTGGTGACGATCCACACCTCAAGACTTACCATTCCAACACTCAGGTTGATAAACGTTACATATGTGCATACGTACACCAGCCGAGTCAAATAATCATAAATTTTCTGGAAAAGTTGCCCGAAAATGGGACAATTCTCCAGCTTCATGAAACCCTATACGGACAGATGAAACTGAAACTTATCCATCCTCCCTCCTCCTCCTCCTACGGATTAAGACCCTTCAGAGTCACGTAGTGTGTGATTCTAATAAACCATTCTAATAAAACACATTGACTCATGACCACGAATAATAGTGACATTTGCTCCTCACGCAATTGTTGCCTGCTCGTTGTGTTGTGATATATGCAAATGAGACAATGGAATTTATTTTGTGGATTTAAGCAGGATTATTGTCTCGTGAGTGGTGGATGGCATAAAATTACAGGTTCATGTTGTTTCCTCCATTGGATTGCACTGCCTGAGGAACTTGACACTGCCATGCCCAACCAACTGCAAGGAAGTTTGGAAGGATTTACTAATAAAGTAAATCAGTGAAATCGATCCAGCCACTCACTGCACGGAATAAATTAGACGTTAGAAGAGGAGATGAAGACGGGATAAGTTTCATCAGAGGGCAAGTGACAAGACCAAGAAACAAGGGCAGAGAGCATGACAGCACCAAAAAGTCGTGGACCACTATCATATGTACTTCTATGTACGTATGCATACATACATAAATACGTGCCCTGCTGCTGCTCCTCATTATCGTCATCAACTCAATTGAATTACTTACGCCTCACGATGATAAGCTTTCCTTACTTGCGTGTAATGTCCAAAACAACCAGCAGCAGTCAACAGCCTCCACGTTATTCTAGGTAGCAGCAGCAGCTAGTAGTGTTTAATTAATGGCTCCAACACAAATACTGACTTTCAAGAACTGTGGGGCTTCTTCGTGCTCTCATTCCATTTATTCTAGAGCTTCTTCTCCAACGAAATTATTTTATGCATATCGATGATCATTCACGCAACGACGACGACTGCACAGCCAAACCAAACCAAACCACCAACCTCGCTCAGCCAGCTACCCAACCAACCAACCAAATAATAATCATAGCCTTTTCAAAACTCGATTCATTCAATTGATGGACAATGCAGATTGACAGGAGGAGAATTGTTGTGGCTTCTTCTTCTTCTTCTCTGGTATCGACTTTCATGCTTCCCATCGCATCCTCTCCTCTGACCCGGCATATCCTCCAGAGACAATTTCTCCTCAAGAGTCGAGAGGCAAAAGTCACAATGTGCTCCTCTAATGCATCGCATTGTTGTTTGGTAATGATGTAGATTCAAAACATAAATACATTACGAGAGAGAGGATTCAATTGAATCATTTAGATTCATGAGATGATTTTTAACCTTTTGAATTTGAAGGTATCATAATAATATTTTGTGAAATGGCGTTATGAATTTGGAGGGAGACGTAGTGGTGTGCACCTCCATAATAAATATGTATTTAGCTTAAAGAGGGAGGAATGGAAAGCCAAATATCTACGCTCGTCGATGAGTTTGGTCGTAAGGAGACGCTGGATTGTAAGCTGAGAATGGCACGGAGAGTGACTGCATCATGGGAGTGAGCGTATTGAATGTCTCCAGCAGCACAGATTTGAAATATCGGACGTGATAGGTGTTTTTGTAACCTGAGGAGTTTCCACCCTGAGACAGCAGGATATTTGGGTTGAAATCAGAGACAAGAATGAGAAAGGAATAATATGGTCAACACCACAACAGCTCCTAAATATTATTAAACACCACCATTTTTTCACTATTTTCTTCTCGTATGCCTACTCTAATTTAAGTTCTGAAGAATAAACAATTTCCACATAATTCGATTAGAAGAGTTTTTTTCGTAATTTTTTGGACCATTAAAATCTCATCCACCACTTAAAAAACCATACAAAAGTAAATGATGCTAACACGACTGTCACACATAGTCTCTCGTTTTCCAAAGTGCGAGAACTGTTGACAACTCCAATTTCTCAACCCTTGTTACACACGATACGAGCACATCCACGCAACGCACATAACTCAGGACCTCGTAAAATGTCAGTCGACTTAATGTCTTTGGAACGCAGTTTGTACCATTATTCCAAAAAGCAAGAAGGGCTCCCTCCCTCCTCAAGTAACTGACGCATATGTACAGGGAGATATATGCAGATATACACATATTTATGTGCTCTAGTCCAGTTACACAATTTGGAGCATCACATTTAAATTCTTGTTCCCCTCTTGACATGAACTTTGGCATGGGAATGAGAAGCAAGTGGTCGTGGTGGTGACTTTTTTCAATCGATTTATTTCCCAATGATTCCTTATCGCCTTCTGGTGTAGTTTTTTTCTCGTTCTCTTAACCGAAAAGTTCTTTGGTGACTTAATTGGATTTATAAGAAGGAAAACCAGACCCGTTCCCAATACTTGGTAGTCAGAGTGAGTGAGCAGATAGTGTGACTTGGTCATTGAGTGAGTGACTTAACGACATGGAAACATTTTGTTTTTATAACCATCTCTCCAGAGAGAATAAGTGTCTGGAATATCTCAACTCTTTCCTGAAGGTTCAATGCGTCGTTAATCTGTTCAGTAGTTTAGTTGAGTGAGTGCTTATAGTGACAAAATGAGTGGAAAGAGACAAGAAAACAAACGAGATGTTCGAGATTATTAGACTTGAAGTAGTAGTAACCCGGTTGGTTAAGTCAACTCGACATACGTACAAATCAACCTTTTTTATACTTTAGTAAATGCACACATACAAATTATGGCTGAGCATAACAGGAAAACGGAAGAATTATTTATCCTTTTTAAGCACTATTACAAAAAGGAATAATAATTTACTCTGTCATCATCAACCCGCAATAATAATAATAATAATACAGACGTATGTACGTATGTGGTAGTCGTCATGTCATAAAAATAATAATAATAATGAGGCGAAAAGAGACTGCACACTTAAATTGTTGATGATGAGATGACGAGCATTTTATTTTTTTTATGAAACGACAACATTGATTGTGAAAATTTTGTAAGGAAATTTCATCTTTTTGTTTGTCACAGGACCACCGAAGATATTGGGCCGAGACTTCAAACCACTTCAGGTTGTCCGGACGGGACAAGAGTTTCGAGTGGCGTGTCCCATCGAGGGGGACCCTTCGCCAAATGTGGACTGGTTTAAGGTATGTATTTAGAGATACAATTGTACAAAAATGTATGTTTAACATGTTCAAGTAGAAAAAATTCTGGTGTCAACTATTTTTGTGATCAATATGCATACATGAGTTTTACTGCGTCTCTAATTTGTAGAAGTATGCATCATATTTTCTTGTATAATTGAGTTGCAATTATTAATCGACGCGATGATTTTATGCACTGCTGATGGATCGCTTAGTTCACCACTTGCAAGTTTGACCTCAGAATGTTTTCACGATAAAAACATGCCAATATTGCATGTCTCAGCAAATTTGCAGAATTATTATGTGCATGAATTTGTCCTCCATCCACCCTTCCTGTTAATGTCTCCTTATCATCTTCATATTTTCTGCACTAATTATAAACATTCTATATTTAGTTAAAATTCTATATATAACAACTCTGCTTCTTATTAACAAGTGTAGCCGTCTGCATCTCTTATATATAATTAGTTAAGTTAAGAGGAAAACTGAGGAAACTTTAATTTTAAAAGGCCTGACAATTATTTCAACGAGAATATATTCAATACGGCGAGTTATGCATTAACTTAGGATTAGAAAAGTCCAAGTATTTCAAAAATGACGATTTCAGCAATCTATGTCGTCCTTTTGATAAGTTACGGATCACTAAACTGATAAAAACAATGACAAATCTAATCAATTTATATATATTATCGACTGCAGTTCTTAAAATTTCGCGAAGATTTATATGTCACACTAAAGCCCAGGAATTAGTGTTCAAGTGATAGACCAAAAATCTCAACATTCATTTCTTCAAAATTGTCTCATGAATGATCCATACTTTATCCCCGTCGATGTACTCAAATGGTTTCGTAGGATTGCTTGGTTGGCATATTTCTGAATAAAACCTACCCCGTTGGTTGTTATATGTTGAGATCAGTCGGTGGCTCAGTTTGGATGTAGGATTGGATAAAATCCGATCTTTCCTCTTCATCCCCCCTCCGAGAATAGGTCCAAAGTTTTCATGTTAGTTTGAGAAACATGCATTTTTTCCAGCATGCTCACTCCGCAGGGGTCTTTCCCTTAAGGAACTCAAATCTTAAAATCAACTCTGCCAAGTAAACCAACAACGAAACATCATGCCAACTGGTTCTTCTGATTCGTATATATTCTCATGTTTTCCTCCTTCGAATCTCCAACTGCAATGCAATTACCAGCTTTCCATCCGACTAACCAAAGCACCACGGAAAGTTTAACTTTGGGGTTTGTTATTCGAATCACTCAAGTTACACACCACTTTGGGGTTTCTTTCTCTCACTGCCAACCAAAGCAATGCTATTAAAACGACATGATCTCATAATGTAATGGTTCCCGTTCTTATTAACACACACACAAATTCAATATCATCAGCCAGCTCTCGTGGAAAACCCATGCATGCCAGCTTCTTGCAACACTGTCTCTAAAAGTAGATACAAAATCCTCAAGTGGTTTCCTCCTTGCATCTGCATCTTCTGCCTCCCATTGACCCTTCTGCTGCCCTTTTCTTTCCAATCGAGAAAAAAATTAAAAATTGTCGTCCAAATCATTTTCACATTGGTTAAACCCCAAAAGGCTTTATTTATGAGACGCAGATGGTGTGAAATTATGTGGTGGCGATATTTTATGCTCGTCACCATTACTATTTGTTCGGTAATAACAAGAAAAATGAATTTTCGGGGTCGGATTTCAGAAGAAAGTTTACGTGTGAAATTGTATAGCTGTGCTGCGAAATTAGAATGGTACCTTTTTTGTGAGGTTTCTGTTTCTCCTGAAATTATTCTTAAGGGCTGTGGGTGGAACGTCCCAATATTTTGATGATGCTGGTTGTGCCAGCATTTATTATGAGATTTATTTGTTTCTGTGGGTTTAAGAAATTCTCTCCCTGGGTGATGCACACACTCGGCATGAGCATCATAAGAACTTGTTTTTGGAGTCTCGTACAGTGATTTTTTTTACTATTATTGCAGGATGGAGAACCAATCACCTCAGCATGGTCTGGTTTCCGAGTTAATTCTAAAGCTCTTCGAATCCGCTCTGTTTTGACGAAAGATTCGGGAATTTACGAATGCAAAGGGGTCAACGGATTTGGCTCCATAATCGCCAGGACACGGCTCGTTGTCGCCGGTAAGTACAGACAAAGATGGTCAAACCATGTTTATTAATTTCACTAATAATAAATTACTGCATGATGGACCGAATCCACACATAAAGTGCATAATATATTGAATATAATCGTAAAAAGGTCGCAGGAGGTACAAATTAAGGAGGAATTTTATTTATTTATTTCCTGCCTCTCTCATTCCTTAGCTTGTTTTATGGCACTTTAAATAACCAAATGGAGCCGAGTCCGGAAGGAAATTTATTTGTGTTGAGGCTGACTTGTCGTTGATGCTCACCTTTGCAGTGACCATTCCATTCTTCCTTTCCGAGATTTGAATGCATACACAGTTTGAGAGTTATTGTGTGGGATACAGCCTTCCAGACTCATCTCATGGTGTGAAGGACAATAATTTATCGCGCGCCACGCCAGGAACCCTTCGAAGATGTAAAAATAAAAATATACAAAGTTTGTTTTCTCTGCGGACTTCCCGTGGAAAAAAGCAGTGTCCAGTGTTTGCGTGTAGCGCGTACAATGGTAATGTCGATGTACGCATGTCGTTGTTCCGAGAAAATTTCAAGAATGTCCACCATTCCAGGGAAATCTTTGTTCCATCTCTGGGACTAGATAAATGCCACTCGAGAGATTTAAGAGTGACAAGTCTGATTTCATCCTTGTTGAGACAATTGGTCGTTGTGCGTACCTTATTCCACATCACCAAGCACCATCATCTCGTTCCCATCTGATAATAGAGATGCGACGATGATGAGACACTGTGTAAGCACCATACATGGAACCTCTGCTGAGACTCTCACGACATAAAGCACCACATTTTTCTCCGTTGCGACACGACACGACCTCTTAACAATTCGGACATGAGAACATTGTTTCCTTCCACTATTATTCCCCTCCTTCTTTTTTACCACATGGTTCATGATCTCTAAAACAATTGAGCATTGAAGGTTAACCATTAGTTTTGGTCACTTTCTATTGTTGTGTGACAACCCTCTGTCTATTATGATACTGATGTATTTCAACCTCGGATGGATTCCTATCAATATTGAATGAAGGAGATAATTATTATCGTACACCACGAATAAATGCCATTCCTTTGCGACATTTCAAATCAATAGCGTTCCTCATCTCATCTAAATACGAAAGAAAATAAAAGAACTTACTTGCGGCATACACACGACGACACTTTGTACCAAACAATGACAATGCAGTCTCATTCGAGTTCAATGCTGGCAGAAAAAGTCAGAATCATTTCATTATATTTCGGACAATGGATGCACAATTGGTAAAATTCCATGCCTGGAGTCAATCCAGGTGGTCACATGTGTCGCCTGCATACTTATTTTGTTAGTAAATGCGACTACTTACTTGTCTCTCATTTAACGAATACCTCCCGCATATCAAAAATGAATGCATCGGTTGGAATGTCATTTGGATAAATCATATATGACTTGAAAATTACATAATTTGGTTGGTCTTTATGTTTTTTGCAGACGATTCTCTCGAGCATGGCGAGTTTGACGGGGATGATTCCGCCTCCATGGAACGAGGGCACAGTTCCGGACCTCTTTTTACTCCAGAGTCGTTGGAGCAATCCGGCTCGTTGCATATCTCGTCTGGAAACAGCATCCGGTTCAAGTGCGACACGAAGGGGGTGCCAATTGCCAAAGTGATGTGGTATAAAGTGAGTGGGAATAAAATACTTAAATAAAAATTGAGATGATTTGAAAAATTGTTTAAAATTGCGATGAATTTTCTAAACTTTTTTTAAATTTATTTGTCATGTCCAGGATGGGAAAGCGGTGAGCGACAAGGTGTCCAAGTGGACTTCGTGGACTCTTGTGCTAAGCAAATTGACATCGGAAGATTCTGGGAGTTACACGTGCCGGGCGTCAAACGCCTTTGGGAAAAACGAGTTCAACATTCAACTCGAAATAACAGGTACGTCCTTAGATGAGTTCGTATGTACATATGCACGACTGATTTCTGTGGCGATTGTCTTGTCTTGTTAGCTTTGTCCACTTTCGTAGTTTTTCATCAATCAGTTGAACAATAATCATGTTGAATTTTTTTAATTTCATGAAATCTATTCAATGCGTGTACATAGAAATGATGGAGCGAAGGAAACCTACTTTTGTCTCCGGCTATCCAAACAACGCCACAGTTTTGTCCGGAGGTGAAGCAATTTTGGAGTGCGCCGTCCGCGGAGGAACCACCGCCCTGCCGCCGCACATCAAGTGGTTAAAGCGCATCCCATACCATGAGGTCATAAATGGAAACTCCGTCAAGAACAAGCATCTCATACCTGTGGAGAATCAGCACGTTTTAGTTATTCAGGTAAATATCTGGCCACTGAATTGTGCAACTCTGACTTGTAAACTCGCCACAATATATCATTAATTTTTTTCTTAACCCACAATCAGGATTCCGAGGAGGACGGCGTTCGAGTCAACGAGACCCAAATAAACGGCACATACATTAGCAGATTACTATTCAAGCAAGCAGTTTCTGGCGTGCATGAAGGCGTCTACGTTTGTTTAGCTACCAACAGCGTCGGCTACACTTTTAAGGATGCCCACTTGACAATTTTAGCAGGTTAGTGACGAACAAACCTATGACTTTTTGCTGCTCTAGATCACGATGATCCATTCTTGGAGCCACTTTTGGAGAATGGAATTATATTGTTCTGCTTGTTACCCAGGTGCAGAAATTGTACAAAACTCCTCATCCGGAATTCCCTTCCCTTTGATCGTCTTCCTCCTCTCCACCGCACTCTCGCTCCTAGTCACCGGTTCCGCCTGTTGTTTAAGAAATTACCAGAAAACGCAGCAAAAACAGTCACAAACTCTCTCAAGTGCCCGAAAGCTGTCTTCCCAGTCAGTCTCCGTGGGCTCGAGCAGCGCGTCCTCCTCGTACCAAAAAAGCTGTTCGAGAGCGGCAGCGGATCATCGACAGCTCCTCGTCGTCCCCACGATGCGGGCAGGAGTGCATTCGGGGCTTGGAAGCGTCATGTGTCATGGCCACGATTTGACGGAGCCAGTCATCGAAATCGCTTTATCGAGGTGTTCCTACTGCGGGGATGACGGATCGTCGGAAATATCCGGGATGCGGACGTATGAACATTGTTACAATGGCAGCTACCTCAGCTCCACGAGTCATTCCATGCATTGTGGACATTGGACATGATGCGACATTGTGGAAAAAAGAGTCTTCTAATCTAATTTTGTATATTAACTTGTATACGTTGCAAATAAAATCGTGTAATAAATAAAATAGAAATTGTTTACAAAAAAACCATTCCCAACTTTGGTTGGATGTACTTCAATCGTAATTAATTTATGCTCTCACGACAAAAAGGCTGTGCACATTACGGATTTATTCTCTTTGATTCATCAGGGTTAAATAATATAAAATAAAGTTTGTAATAAAATTAACAGCAAAATTAAGATAAATAATCACCAAACAAGAAATATATGTGTGAATAGCACTACTGAAATAAGTGCTATTATTTATATTAATGGGTAACATTTTATTTTGAACTTTATTAAATACAGACTTCTCGCATCCAAAGATAATGCACTTGTGTAATAGCTCTCTCTTTTTACTGGTAGTGGTAAATCTGCTCATTTGACAGTATGGGGTCATGTTTTTGGACGCAGGACTCGCAATCGGTCGAGGGATAGTAGTCGTCCTCTTCATAAGTGGGATAGTTGGTCTGCCACGGAGATGACGACGGGCAGGCTGGAGGGTGGTGGGGGTTGTAATAGTATGATGACGACTGTCTCCCATAATTCTTGGAGGATGACCTCGTACTTCCCACGAGAGACTTGTGGTGGTGGTGGACGTGGTGGCGTGGTCTGTGCACCTCGATCTCCCTCGCCCCACCGATGTGATGACAGCACGCCATGTGGCACTGGCTCGAAGTCGGGTTGCTTACGCTGCTATTGCACTGATAATCGGAACATATGCTGTTGGGACGGTAACTCTTGTGGTCGTAGAAAGTGTGTCCCGTACTGCTCGCGTTGCTCGTCCCCCACGAGGAGATGGGGCGAGGGTGGTGTTGGTGCTGGTAGATGAGGACGTTGGACGCACTGGGCGAGTCGTAATCACTTTCGAACGAGTCGCCAGCGAAGGAGGAGAGTCCAGAGTAGCTCCCACTGCCACCCCCACCACCGCCCACCATCAATGGGACGAAGGACTCTTGCGTGGTGCATTGCGTGCTCATCGTGAGTGGAGAGCTCTCTGGCAAGTGGCAGTGTTGAGACTTACTGTTTGTGGGGGACACTGGTTTAATGGTGGGTTTGTGGGGGCGACAACCGTAGAGGTTGACGAAGCAGAGGATCACTAACATGACTAGGAAAATGAAAGAGATTGTCCATAAGATGGCCCATTGAGCTGCCATCCCTTTTATGTGGGAACCTAAGAATTGGGAAGGGCCTGCATTAAAATAAAGTGTGGATTATGAAATATGTATCAGATTTGTTTTCCTAAATCGGAAATTGTGGAAACTACTAGCTACCTGGCTCTACCGTGATGGTGGCTTCACTGAGATTATATCCTTGAAGTCCTGCCACTGCGCAGTAATAAACTCCCGAGTCGTTTCTCGTCACATTTGTGATTAATAGATCGGTGGAGAACACGCCATTTTCGCCCCTCGGCTTCATAACGGTACTTTTCAATACCTGTTGTAAGCACGATTTATGTATTAGATATTGACCGCATATATGTAACACACTCTGTACGACAACCACTCGGATTGATAAGCACGTACCTCGTAATATGAAGATGTGCCCAAGTGGAAGAACACCTTGTTACTCTCAGTCTTGTTACTTGCTACTTTCCGAACCCAGGAGAACCACGGATTCATCTCAAATTTCGCGATGCAGGAAATATTTACAGTGGCTCCTTCCGTCACGGTGACATTTCGGGGAGTCAGTTCCAAAATTTCGGAAGCTCCAAACCAATAATCTATGAAATTCAATCAAAATTTTAACATAAAACTCATTATTATTGAAAAAAATCTACACATCGTTTCTCCCTCACCAGTCACTTGGATGGTAACTTCATATCTGGAGATGCCAAACAAATTGACCGCTTCACATTTATAAAGACCGGAGTCCACCTGGGATACGTTCAGCAGTTTGAGAGTTGAAACGTTTGTCGTGGAGGAAGAAACCATTGCACCATTCTAAAAAAAGTACCAATCTCATTGTAAATTTGACCGTTTTTGTCAGCATATAAAAGTAAATGTACATAGATGGCACAATTACCTTGTACCACGTAATCGTCGGCTTGGGATTCCCACTGGATTCACACTTGAGGAAAACAATGGGCTGTCCTTTCGCTTGGTGGTAGACTTTTTGCTTGGGGAGAAGGTTTTTGGCGATGTGAGGTTCCGAGTAGGCTTCCTCGCTACTGCTCCCTTTCCGGTTTTGGGATATTTTGAGATGGTTCGTTTTTATGGTCTGCTCACCTGTGAAAAACGGTACCAAGAAATTCATCCCATTAAAAAAAGGAAATACATACATTTTATTTTGCACGCATTTTGCACATTTGCACAAAATCCACAACATTCATCGATATGATGCCAATTCATCAATAATCGTATTCATATGCCAACGAAATCGATTGACAAGAGTGTCACCAAAAAAGAGTTTTTTATTTGTCAAAGCTAAAATAAATATGAGGGTTTATCTTTTAAGCTCTCGTGATAATTTTGGGAATTTGGACAGATTAGCTACTACCAATTTGACGACATATGTATGTATTAGCACACCTGCTGTCGATACATATAAATTTTTATTATTTATTCTCCACTTGGCATCACATAACAAAAAATAAATAGCCATTGTTTGTGCTCATCTCCTCTCTCTCTTGACGTTCGATATCACTTAAACTGTCCAAAGTGTGGAACAACAATCCAGAATAGAATAGATTAATTACTCAACGACGATCACCCACGAACGACTGGACGACACATAAATAAATGCCATGCATGTCTGCACCTAATGGTCATGAATCCGGATAAGGATCATCTTTTTCATCGACTCTCTTAACTGGAACCAGGAGTATGTGCACGAATAAATGTAACAGTGTGTGTATTATTTAGTGCTTTATTATAATCGAATCCCTCGCATCAATTGAGAATGGATTGACATGGGAGCAAACAAAGAAGGACGACACATTACGTGATTACGACCCATGTGAGAGGAGGACACCATTACAATGATACACAGCAGGTACTACTGCTGATTAACATGAGTATAACTGCGTGTGGACCCAAATTAACAACTGGTTAATCAGCCTGGTTACATGTGTCTGACACTTTGACACAAGTCTGCAGAGTAACTGGCTTGTTGGTGGTGAGAGATATGTGATGTCAAGATTTGACAATTGTGGATAGATAAGCGTCTCATCATCCACCAAACCAATGCGATCGGGATTGAGACCCAATTTCCAGTGAACCTTACACCACTTATTTATTGCATTACTCATAAAAAAGATTATTATTGTATGTACATTATGAATGGCCGTGATGCTCGCTGTATACGAATTATACGTACGATGATTATTTACAAGTCGTAAAAACATTGAGGAGTGTTTATTATCTAATTTTAGAGCAGGAAACTGGAAATCGTGCACCTGGTTTTTCTTCCAATGATGCCACCACCAGGTTGAAATATTTAGTGCGCAATGTAACATGTGACGTTATCAAGTACAATAAAGCCCAATTACCTGAGACGATCAACTGGATAAAATGCAGCTCTGACTTATTCCCCACTTTGCACACGTACGTTCCCCCGTCCTCCGTGGTCAAGGAGTGGATTTTAATCTCGCCGTTTGAAAGCTCGTAACGATTGCGAAATTGAGTAATTCGCTTCTTCCCTCGACCTCCAGGATTTTGCTGTAGCGAAAAAAATAAAGTCGTATCATAAGCTAAAACGTCTTGAAAAGCTTTTCACCTTATCATCATCTCCCAATCGATTTTTTGATTGGTAGAAATTTGTAATTGTCGTAGTGGTAATTTGGATAAGCCAATAAAACATCGGATTGGGAGCAGGACGTGATGAAGATCAATCTCTTCTAATTTCTCTTACCTTGTACCACTCCACATGCTGTACGTGCTGCTGTACGTGGGGAATAGGACACTGCAGCTCGACGTCTTTCAGCTCCGCCACAATTTTGCGACTAGTGCGATCCGCAGGAGCACCACTTACTGCAGAAATAAATAGTTATGTCATATGCCTAAACCTTAACAAGAGTTCCTCTCAAATAAAATAAATTAGTGTAACTTACTCAGTTGGTCCGACGCCTTTCTGACCGGCGACAACGCTGTCAACATCTCGGCACCCATGAGAATCAGGAGGCAAATGACCATCACGGACTGGAATCGGGAGGAGGCTGCTCTCTCATCCATCATTCATCTTGAGCAGGAAAGGAAATAAATAAATTATGTGACGGTGTCAGTTGACTTGAATTCAATTCCAGTCAGGTCAGTCAGGTACGCTTTGGCTGGACTTTTATTTATTGAAATGCGATTAGGAAAATATGCATAAACATAAAACACGATTGTTTTTATTCATTAAGCAATACTGGGAAATAAGGTTTTCCCAGTTGTAAGGTGTCCCTCTGCAGTGTTATAGTTTTCGACTGGTTTTCATTTTTTATTCACAGAACTGTAACGGAATATTGTCCCAACGTACATGCAGAGTTCAATAAATAAAGCATAAATATTATTGAATGTATTTTCAGAGTGCAAAACTGGGCCGAGATACCAGAATAGCTATGTCAAAATACATATTCAATAATTAATTCCCACGCATGCAAACTTTTCCATCTCAGCTAAATAAATGCATAAAAAATGGAATCGTCTCAATTTACTGAACTTTAATTAATTGGGTGCGAATTTATGCATGTCGTGATTTGCAGTTTTGTTGATATTTGTAAACGTTAAAAGCGCGTTAAACGTTTTATTACAATGTACGCAATGATTTATGATCCAATCATAATTCAAGCATAATAATGATTATGCAGGCAGTGGCAATGTCAGGCATGTTGTTATTGCTGGTAATAAAGTGCATCGTGCACAAAGGATTATCTGGGGATTTATTCACGCACTCGCTTGTTTTGCCCATGCCCCACAACAGCTATGACGATATACAATACGTGCAATGCAATGGTGTCAAGTGAGGCACTCAGATTTTTACGGGATCAATTTTAATTTGTTATTGCACAGAAATGAACAGACGCATGTTTTTGAGTTTTCCAGAATTATAGATACATTTTGAATCTTAACCCTTGAAATTTTTAAACTAAAGTCACGGGATTTCACGTTACAACTTTTCGAAATTTGACTCAATTTAAACAAATTCAACAAAAATGTTGGCTAAGAATCGAGATTCTAAGACATTCCAAGACCACATATTAAAAAAATTTTTGAAGTAGGTACATATTTGGGAAAATTAAAAACGCCTATGAAAACCCTAATTTAATTTTTTGGAAGTATAGTTTTATATTCCTCCGAGGGACAGTTTAAATAAATATTTTTGAAATGTTTAAAATGGCATTAAAATTCGGAAAATTTCAACATTCTAAAAAAATTATAACGAAGAAATATAACGAATTATAACGAGAATTGTAACAAAGAAATTATAACTTCGGCTGAAAAAATTGGAACCTTCAATAGCGAAGCCGCAGAAAGATGAGTGTTCTGATTTTTTACCCTGACCACATTAAAATTGGTTCAGTCGAAAACGATGTAAGCGTATCACCTGACACCATCGCATCGTCATTATCATATATTCTTCCGAACATGATGCCAAGCATCTGTGTAATAATAACGCATTAAATCTGTGACCAGATATGCGCTCAACCTATCCAGCATAATACGGAAATAGCAATGGAAATATGCCGTTTTTTGCCCCAATCAATTAGAAATGTCAAGTGGAGAACTGCATATTAGCGAAAAAAGAAATGTGTGTAATACTTTGACTCTTGTGCCCTTCAACTACTTTAGAGCAACACGACGACTATTCGGGTGATTATTACGCCATGCCAAAGAACTAGGATAACTCGTCGTAAATCAAAATTATGCCTGATTTATCCATTCCATTCGCGTATCAGCCATGCAGCAAGAGCGGAGAACTGAGCGATTTACTACATCTTGTTCAATATAGTCATTGAAACATTTATTGCGAGAAATACGGAACAAGGGTTGCTTATTTGACAGTCATGGACAATTTATGGCAAATTTTCGGGCTAAAAAGTCAAGGCGTAAGTGAAAAAATCTAAACATGCTGCTCTTTTTCGCTGTGCATATTATTTGTGAAACCTCAAATTGGAGCCGTTTACGTTTATATGTATGTCGTATTCACTCCGGCGAACAGTCAAAGGTGAAGAGATTGTGCCTTTTCTTGCGATATGGCACATATCTATCTATGCACATAAGCAGAGTTAGGTTGAGAATTTGGCAAGATTTCGCATGCTTGAGAGAGAATTATTAGTATGCATGCATCGTTTAGCAGACTTTGTGACTTTGAAGAATAGATATTGAGCCAACATGTCTCGTTTTTGTCTCGTAGTAAAAATCGAACCAGGATTGGAGAGACGCGAAAGAAATTCGATCCGCAATGTCCCAGACTGTGTGAAGACAACTAAAATAATAACGTGCAATTGGACCAGACATGGATGGAATCGAAGCCACAAAAATCATAAAAATAATGCGATAATGCAATGAATGGATGACATAAACCATTTTTGTTCGGGTGAAAATATAGCTGGCGTAGATTGACAGTCTCATAAAAATAGTTAATTTTAATGAATTGTGATTATTTATTACGAAGCAATTCGCCCAACCACCAAGGAGGACAAGACAATGCAATTCCAGTTTAACTTCGCATTTCATATGCATGCATACATATGCACATATGTGTGTAAATGGTACATATAAACTTGCTCCATATGAATATGACTTTCAACTTGATGATGATGACTGCTATTATTGGGCAGTCAGTACAATGACACAAAATGATGGAATGCTTGTTAATCAGGGTGGTGTAAGTTGCTGTACAAAAAATTTGCATACATACCCATTGGCGAAACTGTGGCCGTGATCCATTCACTCACTATTTTTATATATTTATTTATAGATATATTAATATTGGGACGTTATAAACCTAAGTTTTTGATAAACTGCGTTAATAACAACGCGCATAAAGTTTTTCTGGAATTTTGTCTCAAAATTTGTACTCCACTTTTTGTTTAGCACTGTTGTAAATTAGCAAGTTAGCCACGACCCGAATGGAATGAAGATTTGGGACGATGATACTTTGTTCTTGGAGGACGAGACGTTTTCCATGCTTTCCGAAAGGCATCAACTCCTCGACTGTCTGGATGAATGGAAATGAACGACTATATACTTATTACTGTCACATGTTGAGTTTTAGTCGTGCTTGAAGTACGTTCATATTCCAATGGACCAAATTCATGTATTTTGTACTCGCTACTTTACTTTCTGAGGCTGGGAACTAGCCAGCTTTTACACGAACCATATCACGCTTACTCCACCACAAAGCTCAAGGCATGACTTATCTTAGTTTTAGTAATGCGAGTCCTTATTATCATTGAAAGTTGTGTTAACACGATCACCAAAAATATCAAAATTCATGAAGGTGGTGCATGAGACAGGAAATAATCACGCACATGATCACACCTGAGTATTTCTTAGAGTAAGATGGTTAAAATTTTATTATTTATGTACTTATTTACGTATTTCTATATTATCAGAGTAAATTTATTAGAAAATTGTTGACTGGTATTAATCCAACTGCTACTCGTGTACTGGGCTAATTCTCAGGTATGTACGTTTAATGAGAGTGGCTGCACCAGAATCAGTGAAAACCATGCAGCAGAATATATGTAGTAGTGTTCATCATCAGAGGTTTTATCTTATCCAGGAGTGGGATGCATAATACGTAATCTGTATTACGACCACTCAGACAACTGTCATCAACAATAATGTATAGCCAACTATCACGACATATACCTAAGTATGTGAGTAAGTACATATGTAAATACATATCTATGTACCCACATCACCACTACTGCATATATATTACACTAATCACTATGTATACGTATGTATGAAGCTATAGTGGATTTCCGTAATAAAAATAAGTTATCTTGATCAATCCTATCCTATTTAATCAATGTCGATTAATTAATTGACTTGATTTTGAATTTGGATTTCAAAAAATGTTGTCAACGAGAGCTTTATCTTTTCCCATTTTGATGTCAACTTAGAGGAAGACGGATTATGAGGATGACGATATACATGTGTAGATACAGGTGTCGTATGATGCCTAATTCGATAAGCGGAGCAATAATGTGACTGCCATACTATCATATTTTTTTATTACACTACTTCTGCTGCTGAACATTGTAAATCATCCATATTTATTATTTATTAACTACTAAATACTCCTGGAGGATCTTCTCGATTGAGTGAGGATAAGCCAGGAATTTTATGTGACATAAATTATCCAGAGATCATCAAGTGTTCTATTTCCGTGTCAGATATGCATGACAAATCACCTGGGAAAGTCTCCTCGTCGGCCAGAAGTTGCACAATGATGTCCAACGCTGATGATGATTATGGTGCTGATGACGACAATGGGTTCCCAAACTGTGAGTATGTGCATATTTAATGCACGGTTAATAATGGGAGTGGAAATCTAGGAGCAAAAATCAATCTGCCTAATGAGCCGGACAAGTTGTGACAGAAAATGTTGTGACAAGAAGCAGAGTTGGTCCTTTCAGGGCTTGGAATGTAGAAAAGGGAAGTGAATTATCAAGTACAGAGATCTGATGGATGGAAGAACACCTTTAAATCCTTTTTTCTCTGCTCAATAAGTGCTTACCAGTCAATATTGGTGCTTACTTATTTACTGCGGACTGATGTGGAGTTAAGGAGTTTAAGAAACTTATGGAAATTGGGTGTGCAAAGTATGATAACTTCTTGGCTAGAATATGCATTAGAAGGACGATGATGTTGGGAAAAGTGTAGGGCACATTTCCTTGCACCTTTTCTTTGTAAAAACCAACAAATAACGTTGTCACAGCAGATTTTCATGAGAAGCTTATAAACTCATCCTCAGTCAAGACCCGTCAATCACTCGTGCTCATGGCTAATTGTTCCATCCAGCTGCATATACATTTTCCTGATTTTGATGTCTGAGGGGTTTGAAGTTGGTCTTCTTATCTCAAGTCGCGTCTGACCCTCAACTTCTGTGTGAGCCATGTCCACACTCTCTGATTTTGCTGCTGCTGCCAAGTTTATTAGTGGGAAAAGGGTCTCTCGGCCAAAAGACGTCAAAAACCCAGTTGACTACTAAGTACTTGGAATTATCGAGTGGTTTCTCTTAAGGTGAAGTTGCTCAAAAAGTTAGTCTCACAAGTCACTTTGTCTTGTGAGTGATTATTAGTGTACAAAAGGTAGAGGTGTCCAGGTCAGTATTTTGATGTCTCGACGTCATCCGTGACAGCTAGGAGAACTTTTACCTATTCTGCCCTTCCAATTCCTTTTGTCAACAAGGAGCAGGATACTTATCCATTAGATGCATGTTCACAAGACCAAATTTTATGCATAATGTCATCATTGCATTAATGAAATGGATGAAAAAGTTGTACATGATTTTATTCCTGCTCCAGTTTGAAAACGGAAGCTTGTTTGGGGAGCCATTAAAATTGTTTTAATTTACACAGTCTTTTTTCTTGTTTACGCCTTTCATTTCATCCCTCGCTAGGAAATTTCTTAATAGAAATTTTGGCTTTCTGACGAGTGGTAAATTACCGTCCAAGAGAGAAATGGGTTGGTGATGACACGTTAAGTGAGGGTCGTGATGGATATGAGACATAGTGCCGAGGTCCACCCGATGCATACCACGAGGAACTTGTTGGAAATGAAATATTACAATAATTTTTTAGTAGACATGATCAAGCCCAGTTTTTCGTCTCCCTCTGTCTCTCCCTTTCTCGTAACAGCGAAATCCACGTTTCTGTTCCACTTTTCACGGAAACAGAGTAGTACGAGTCTGTTACCAATCAGTCAGTTTGTTGTTGTGACGGATGCATGGAATATGTAGCTCTGCCCGAGTGTTGACATGCTTTCTCCACGCTCCAAACAGGCCAGAGAGGAAGGACCCCAACTGGTAAGGTTCTTTTCGGAACAGGAAATCATGTACACAATATATTTAAAAATCTGGGCAATTTTTGGCCAATAATTGATTTTGTATAACTTTAACCATTTAAAAAGCTTTCACATTCACAAATTTTTAAAATCAAAACGCATATTACATACCTTTCGAGATCTTATGTTCACATAATGCTGAATCTCGATTTGTTTAAATGATATCCAAATCCAGTTATATTAATTTTGTCGAAATTCCAAAGCAATTGACGGGGGAGAGGAGAGGGGTAGCTCAGAAACGGCAACAATCCCCAGTCTCCACTCCCTCGTAATGCACTCTGGTATCCATTATGCAATCGAGTGGGGTCACCTCCTTCCGCGTCTTCTGGAAAAAAACCTTTGGACGTTTCCGATGAATTTCACAAACAATGCATATCAACTAAATTCCACAACGGATTAAGACGATGATGAGGGAGATGATCTCAGGTGAGGAGTCACAAAGCAACTAATAGCTGGATGGATTACCGGAATTGGCTTAAATATAAGGCAGACTGAGTGCAGTTATGTTATGAAAACCTGTATTATGCTACAAAATTGGACATGGCTCTTTTCTGGTGGGGGGAGTTGGATTGGATAAATGTTTCAAATCAGTGAGGGTTGGATGAGATTCGCAAAATTTGGCGTAAGGGGTCTTCATGCATCATCTCATCACAATGATGAGTGAGATGATGACGAGGGGTTCAATCCGTGTGGGTCATTGACAACCCATAAAAACATTGGTATTTCATAAACTACAGCCCAAAATGAAAGTATCGGGCGAAAGGCAACGGCATTCCTCCAACAAGAAACAACGGTGTCCCAGTAGTTGTGGTGCTAATAGTGGAGGCAAAAAGCCGTCTGACCGGGCCATTATTAAGGCAAGACCTCATCTCACCTTTGTTGGATCATATTCCTCATTATTATTATGTTATGAAGACGAAAAATGCATGCCAGTAGTGAAGCAATACATTAATACTCGTCCCGGTATTGCTTATTTTCGGTGTGAAATTATTACTTGTCAAAAACCTGTTTTGTCTAAAACTTTGTCTCATTGTGCAATAATTTGGCTTACGTACGGAGAGGATAGTAATTCCACAAAAATCAGTATCGCAGGCCGCAAGTCCAGTTACTCAGCCTCGATCGATGATATAGAAGAATATATCTAATTTCTACCTGCGACCCACCATCAGTTTATCTTGTGGGGTTTCTATCATGTTGATTTTTTTATTGTTGCATCCTCTACCACAAAATAAAAAAAAACAAGTGGGTTGACTTGTCAGCAAGTTCATCTCTCTTTGCTAATTATCCTTGCATTTTCCTCGCAAAAAAAGGAAAGAAACTGGGACAGGAATTGGTTCATTGTTCTCTTCGCGATATTAAAATTATTTAAGATTTCGAGATCCTTATTTGACTGACCGAACCATAACAACTGAGAAAACAAGTGGATGAATTTCTACTTTTTAATGACAATTATTTCATAGTTCTAAACCCAAGTCTTGAAAGAATAATGTTGCATAACAAATGGGGAAATTGAGAATCACCAGAATTTATTACTTGTAGCTTTTTGTAAGTGATCAGCATTTTGTAATCTTAAATAATACTAAATCCAATTTCATAGAATGCATATCTGGTTTATTTTATGATTTCCACAATTTCACGACTAGGAAATTAGCATCCTTGGCTCTGGTAGTTACTCACCAAATGGGTTTTGGAGTTGGTACAATTTTATCGAGTAACAGCATACAATTCATTCATATCGACTGTGAAATGACAAAGTCAAGTATTGCAGAAAAGTGAGCAATCTCGGTTTTGTTTGTAAAATATTTCTGATATCACAGTCAGTAGTATTTGATGCAGTATTGCTGTGCTGGGTCATTAGCCCAAAGACCACTCTTTCTTGATAGAAGAACTGCGAAAAGTGGTCCAGCAACTTTTCCCGTGTCCCGTTAGAAGTCCACCCTTTTCGTTCCCGTTCCAATTTGCAAAGGTCAGCTTCTTTCAGATCAAATTCACGTCTGCGATTTACCTCATCCTCAGATATCAGATTGCAGTGGGTTTCCTTCCATCGTGTGCTTGCTCAATTAGTTGACGTAATGCAGTGCGTACCATCACTGCTACAACAGACTGAATAATTCAAAATCTAAAATCTGCAATCTGATCAAGGCTCGTGCAGTATTATTATGATGCTGTTTTTCTTCTTATACGAAATGTAGGTAACACAATATGGGCCTACATTTCGGATTTATCGATGTATGCACTTGTGTCTGATAAACAAGCAATATAGACATAAGGCTAAATTATGTTGTATCCGATTATAAGTAGGTATTTAGCCATGTCGTCGTAGTTCCATTACCCGAAACTACATACATACTTACATCACAACTGAGGATGAGTATCGATGCATGCTAAGCTACCATCAAATCTGTTGTATAAGGGATTGCAAATTTGTGAAGGTTAATTTTATTCGGAAAGTCGTATTTAACATATTTTTATAATTCTATTCTTCTTGGGAAAGATGTGAGCTCGAGAGTATGGTTTTATCACACGATCAGTTATATATGGACAAACAAAGCTAACAAATCTACATTTCTCATCGTGTGTGGTTTTATGTACATGCAGTTTGCAATATGGCTATGCAGTTTAGATTTAGAAGGAAAATGATTTCCCATATCAGTTAAAAGATACTTTTTCAGCTTCCAACGATATTGATGGCTCGCTCAAAATTACGCAATTTTTAGTAAAAATAATGATCCATAATAACATTTGTGGGAGTCGTCGCAGAGAAATGAGATTTTTTGAGATACATTTGTATACAGGATGAATAAAATATGCGAGTTTTCTTGTAATCTCACTTAAATTTTGGTCTCAAACTCGTTCAAATTTCGTAAAATTTCATTTAAAATACTCCTTAAAATTTCTTTTGGTTAGCATTTGCAAGTCTTAGGACTTGGATTTGAGTAAATTTATTGGAACTTGGTTATTCCAGTCAACGATCGAAATTTGCAGTGGTTTATGTAACATCAAATGTGCATTATGTATGTAATCAAACATCAAATTTGAAGTATACATTAGAACATTTGAACAAATTCCAATTTAGAAAATAGTATTTTTATGAGTTCGTGCAGTGTACACATTTTCCACACAAGGTTAGCGGACGCTCGAGAAACCGTTAACCAGGCCGGTGAATGAAAGAATTCCAATTAACAATTTAGGGTGCACGTTTGGGGAAAACAACAAGCACTGATCTGGTTAACCCCGGAGGGGAGGTCCCCTGCTGAATTGTTCAAGACGGAGGTGGAAAACTTTTGGTTTATTATCAGCACGAGGAGGGATGCGGATGATAACTAGGAATCACTGGAAAAGTATTGCTGGCGAAGAGCAGAGAATGCCGGAGGTTTTGAAGACATAGATCAGAGTGAAATGAGACTGGATCAGATCTTCCGCGGCAAGGCTGAGATGATCAATCTCCACTTCTCACTCACGTTGTTCACTGGATTTCGTCAGTCTGTGATGCAATTCAGTCATTTTAGTTTCTACTAAAGAAGAAGAAACACTTATCAACATCAGATATCACTTTATCACGTCTCAAGTCTTGCCGATAAGCCAACGCAATTCGATACCGTCAAACTTTGTGAGCACTAAGCGAAAAAGGTTAGTTACTTCGGTTGTAATTCTTTCACTTACTACGAAATAGTAACATTTTTTCAATTGACCTTTTGCGTTATGTTAATAGGGGAAAATGAGTGGGCAACGTGTGTTGAGCGTGTTATCCACGATATCCAAGAGTTTACCAGCAGGGACTCAATTAAAAACCCCAACTCTCAGACTAATTCCTGCACCACGACGATCCATTTGCCTCTTCAGCACGACTTATTCGAATAGAAAGACTGCCTCAAATGCCGAACCTCACATCAACGACGCTAAAGCCAGACCTGCCGAACAAGGTCTTCGACTGGATGAAAATCCTAGGGACGTAGGACCCAGCAGCTGCTCCCCCCAAACTGAACCGGAAGAGGTGGAACGCAAACTGAGGGAGGAGGTGAACAGAGCCACGTCAGAAAATGCAGCACTTTTATCGAGGGCTAGAGACTTTGAGGTATCGTAACTTACGATTCGTAATATTATTATTTACCTAATATTCTGTGAAACGTAAAGTTCTTGTTATGTTTGGGGCAGGATAAATATTTGAGAGCCTTGGCAGAGACGGAAAATGTTCGTACACGACTCACGAAACAGGTTCAAGATGGGAAACTATTTGCCATTCAAGGATTTTGTAAAGATTTAACCGAGGTAAGTAATTTTTTATTACTTTTACTTTACTTATGATGCTAGTACGACATTTATTTGTGTGTTAAAGTGCAAAATATGACCTGTTGAATATTTTTTGTTCAGATTGAAGAAATTCTTCGAATGGCAATTGAAAGTGTTCCAAAGGATCAGTTAACACAGAACAATAAGCATTTAAAGGACTTGTTTGAAGGATTAACAATGACCAGTGCGCGGCTATTGCAGGTTTGACGTTTCCATTTCTCAAAGTTATTAATAATGAACACTCTGTAATAATAATAATAATTACAAATTTTAAAGGTCTTCAAAACCCACGGTCTCACACAAATCAACCCTATGGACGCAAAGTTTAACCCTAATGAGCATGAAGCCGTTGTTGTGCAGGAAGTTCCAGGCAAGGAGCCAGGAACGGTGATATTCGTATCAAAATTGGGCTACAAATTACACGATCGAGTCATTCGTCCTGCTGTTGTAGGGGTGGCCAAGTAAATAACTCGTTTAAACCATTATGATGCTTTTTACATAAGAAGTCAAGTTAAATGTGCTAGAAATTCAGAAAAGATACATATTTCAATAAAATAAACAAACATCCCTCATCATCTCTTGGAAATTATCCTTTAATTAAATTTAATAATATATTCTGTCACGATTAGTTTAATACACTATTTTCTTGCATCTTTCTTGAGCTTATCATAAATATAAGACGCCATCAATGGCATCAATTGGTATATTATTCAAGGTTAAAATTTCAAACTGTTGCTTGCATCAAAGAGTGTGAAACGTTGTCCATTTTGGGTGGCTTTTGTATCACCTTCCACTCTCCTGTATTATAATTCATTTGAAAATGAGTCTCAACGGAGAATGGGATAATTGCACCATCCTTTTGGCGCAACTGTTCTTCATGCTCGCTCAGTTTTATCGTGACAATGCTGCCCAGCTCTGGACAGGGATTATCTGACAATAGAATTAATTAAATTTAAAATTCATGTCCATGGCCGAGAGCAACAACGCGTTTATCATAAATAAACCTTACCTCTCGTTCCAGCCATGAATTTTAGAATATGCTCTTTCTCAGGACGTGTTGCTTTGTTAGCCGTTCTGAAAATTTCTTGGGCCTTTTCCATTAACTCTTTCTGCATACATAAACATTCAACGTTTTAATAATGCCATAAAACATGCATTCACAGTAACCATTGACGAGTGAAAGACTTTAACTTACGGATAATGTAACTATCTGTTGGGGTTGATTGGTCGGTACTTGTAAAATTACTGTTTTTGTCATAGGTTGTGGTGCTGGGGCCGGTTCAATCTGATATTAAGATAATTGCAGTTATTTTAGCGAGTTTTAAATGAATAACATTCTGAATAATAAAGTGTGAAAAATTACCTTTCTAACTCCTCCCAACGCTGGAGGAAGATAACTATTCGTCATGGAATCATGACCAAGTTGAGGATTAGGCGTTGGTGGGGGTCCGTCTGGGATTCGGGAGTACTGGTGACTTGAGACCATTGGAGTGGGAGGGGCTATAAGTGGCTGTGGGGTTGGAGGTTGGTAAGGTGACGGAGTTGGGGGAGGCATAAGAGGAGTCGGTGGGGGTGGTGAGGGAGGACGGATATTTGAGATAGATGATAAGCCGGCTGCATAGTCAGGTGTTTCATTAGCATTGGTCGATTCTTCGGTGGCGCTTGTCTTTTTGGATTCTTCTTCTGCAGGGTTAATAATAATTTAAATTTTAGCACGAATAAGTAAAAAATGCAAGCAAAATCCAAATAAAACCGTATCATGTGTTTTACCAACCTTGCATCTTCTTGCGCCGTTTTGCTAAGGCGTAACCCATTGGTTGTTCCGTGATTTCGAGCAGCTTAACACCACCCTCCTTCTTTCCAGCGGAAGTGCGAGAAAGGGTTCGGGAAGCGGAGGTGGAAGATATTTGCACAGGTCTAGTGGTGGCATGGCTAGGAATTCCTTTTAGTGGGGCTGTACAAAATATTAGTTACGTAAATATTTAATTAAATATAATTTGGCAATCTTAATGTGTTTAAACTAGGGGGTGGTGACGCTTACTCGTGTCAGTCATTTTCCTTGGCATGCCTCTGGTTCTAAGGGGAATTGTGGGAGCAGGAATCTTTTTAGCACTTGTCTTTGCAGTTTCGTTCGCTTTATGAATTAACTCTGCTCGGAGAAGTGCAGACTTTGGTTTTCTTTTCAAGGAAAAATGTTTCACCGGACTTTTCTGCTTGGGAATTTAGAATTTTAAAAATCATGTTTAAACTTTCATGCAAAACATTCCTACCTGTTGTCCAACAACAGTAGCTAAGGCATTCTTATTAAGATATAAACACTCTAGCGGAAGTAGATTTAAATCCTTTCCTCGTTTTACTAGATTAAATATTTAACAAATTAGATATCAACGCGTTTATATATTGTATATGGTCAATTAATTATTTATTGAGTTCATGTTCTTTACATTCTTGCGTGACATCGTCCAACAGGTCTAGAAAAATCCTTCTATTTTCCTCCGGCTCTTGAATATCATGGTTAAGGCTGGCCGAAGAAGGATAAGGCTTCATAATTTCGGCCAACATCGCCACCCATTGTTCACTGTCTGATTGTGCCACTTCTATAATTTCTTCCAACTCTAAACGCCACTGTCCCAAGAAAATTACAGAATAGTATAATTTCAAATTCATATGATGTACAGTTCTAGTTCGAATGCGAACTAGTAGAAATAGCACATATGTTCTATGAAATGTTAAATTATTATGTGTTATGTGGGTATTGTTTATTATGTATACCTCGTCTATATTTCTTCTAGGAATATGAAAAAACGACAGTAATAATTTCAGCTTGACAGGTGTTTGTAGGTCGATAAAACAATCCTTAATATTTCTTAAAATTTCAGGATTAAGTTGAGAACTAATTGTTCCTCCTGACCAGGATTCATTTGACCCGAGTTTGTTATGCAGCCATAAAGATGTATCACTTTCTCTCACGTTAGACATTATGTTGTTCCCCAAGAAATAAAAACTATTCTACAATTTCTTATTTCTTCAAAACTTGAAATTAAGAAATTCAATAAGTTCGGTCCCTAGGTAAAATCCCACAAATTTGAAATTTGCTTTATACTTTACATTGATTCCGTTAATTTGCTTTGTTGTCCACTATTTTGTAAAATAATCCGTCTACACATTCCGCATACTGTTATTCCTCACTCACAACAACCACCCACCGACTCCTATCAACATCACATTTATCCCTTTTTGATTTTACATAATTTATTTTTCCATGAATTTCAATTTTTATTAAATGTTTTTAAGAACGCTTTTGATTTCCGAGGTAAAAGAAGCGAACCAGAATTTGAACTGAGTTGGGGTTCCGCGGTTGCTGGGGCACAGTGCCAAGAAAACCAATAACATATCTTTTATCTACTACTCGTAATGCGTTATCCTTTGGGCTTATCTACACCACTATCAATGTGGAGCATGTAAACAAAGGGTACATATTTACATGCATCTGGTGCATCAACACAATTTTTATGACACAGATAATTTTTAGCCGCACAATAAAATGCAATGCAGTCAAGTCATTCATCATTTCAATTTTACGAAATTATTGGAACTGCAACTTTTAAATAGGCATTTTCTTCCTCTTCCCATGCGCTTGGTGACCGGTAGAAATAAGTCGCTTTTTCCTGTTGCACTGTTTGAAGGGTATCCATGCGACCGTTATTTGGCAGATGGACGGAGTTGCTGGTTCCTTGCATTTCTTAGCCAGCCCCAATCTCACCACAGTGAACTGAATGGAGGAACCTGCTCCCCGGGTTTTAGGTAGTGGAGCGAGTGGCAGCAGTCAGTACTGTGGTGGAGAGGGCAGAGTGAAGACCACGCACGAGCAGCGACAGAAAAATTCAGTCCAAATTTTGAAAAGCAAGCCCCCACCACGAGGACTGCTGGCGACTATGGATCCCTTACCCGCTGCTTCCCCCTCTTCTGTCCTGCGAGATTTGTCCCTTTCGTCCCCCGCCACGATGAAGCGACCCGACTTTGAGAAACCGATTCGGTACGCACTGGCGAAACGGCGAAAAACGCTCCAAGGTGAGACTTCAATTATTTAATACTGTACGTAAAGTGAGTTAGTTAGTTATGTGGTGTGTGGGTGAAGCCCAATAGCGAGGAACCCTGGCCTCCGGATAAGGTAGTTAAGGAGGCGGTTGGTTTCTCGCTATTAGGCGCCCCCACACGCACAGCACATAACTAACTCACTTAGGTATAATCAATCATGCATATGTGACCCCCCCCCCACCACTACTTGACCACTGGGTAGAATTCGCCTCCTCATTTCAAAATTTAGGGTCGATTAAATAAGTTTGAGCAATTAAACTACTATACTCTCACTTACTATGATTGTTCGAATACTTACTAATACTTGCTACTCTTTAGATGATGGAGCAAAGGCTGCTGAAGACGGTGAAGATACTGCTTGTGCTACTGCTACTGCTACTGCCGTCGTAGTGAAGGAGAGCATTGTGGTTTCCTGTTCCACACCCCCGCCAAGGTCAGCTATAAGCCAACTTGTGAACGAGACGATTGCTAGTACTTTCGCGTCTCCATCGAAAATTACTGCTCCGCTGATTTTTGGAAAGCGGCGAGCAAACAGCTGTACTCCACTCTCTCCGATCCAAGTTCCGTCGGATGCAAGCCCAGCTAAGACTGCAAAGACAACCATTGATGAGGAAAAGACATTGGTACGGGCACAATCTGAGTCTGCTATGACTATCAAGTCTGCTGTTGAGCGAAGTTAGTATTGAATTATATTATTAACTATCTTTTCATTAAATAAAATAATGTAAATTGTATCAAATTACTAGTCAACAGTGAGCCCAAGCTTGTCGGTGATGGGTCAAAACTTCACCTTCTCCCGATCATGGAAGAAGGGAAGCACAGTGACTTGAAGGAGATTACCGGTAAGAGTTTGGTCGCATTGCTGGAAGGGGAGTACAGTACTGAGGTCAAGAGCTTTGAAATCGTGGACTGTCGCTATCCATATGAGTTCAATGGAGGTCACATCGTGAAGGCGGTAAATCTTCATACAAAGCGGCAAATCTACGATCGATTTTTTGGCGATGGACGGGGTTCGGAAGATGCTGAGAACGAGGGGAAACGGCACCTTGTCATTTTTCATTGCGAATTTTCTTCTCAGCGAGGCCCGGAAATGTAATATATGAACACCTTATTTAATAATGACTTAATAATAATCACTTTTTATTTAATTGAATAATCGAATTTTAAATTTACTGTATTTTAAAGGTGCCGGTATGTTCGAGATTGTGATCGACGAGTGAACGAGTATCCAAATCTGCACTATCCGGAGATTTACGTTCTTTACGGAGGATACAAGCTGTTCTTTCATCAGTTCAAGTCTTACTGCATTCCGCAACTCTACTTGCCCATGCTGGATGAGGACTACGTGGATGAGTACCGCTACTACAAGAACTTGTCGAAGAGCCAGGCCATGAAGCCAAAGAGCGTCAGCGGTCGTAAGGAAATTGTGAAGAGTCTACGGGCAAATAGCACAAAAAAGTTGTGCCTTGATCATTTGTAACGTCAGGCACCAGCCAGACAATACAAACAAAAAACATACTACGAATATTAATCATTAATCACAATTACCACCAACCCAAAAAAACAGCAGATCTCTATCATGAAACTATTTTTTGTCACTTCGAAATATAAATTTGAAAACTTAGTGCATGTTTTTTGCAACCACTGCCACTAAATTGCACAACCATAAATGTGTTCAATCAATGTTCCTAAATTAGTTTGTTAAACGATTTGGCTATTGTCAGTCAGTCATAAATATTTATTATGATTAGAGTATTTAAGTTCAAAGTCTTTTGTTTGTTTTTTTTACTTTAATTCTGTATTTTTTTAAACATGTATTGAGTGCAAATTTTTTTTTTACAATAATCGAGATATATAGCTATTTACAAGATAAAGAAAAGCAGCAGGAAGAGTTGATTGTACTTACTTGCAATCAGTGATGCAACAATTAATTAGCTAAATTAACTTATAAATTGAATCATGCCATAACCATATATTCGATATGTATTATTATGACCCCACTACCACCAGTATAAATTATTATGTTTTTGTCATTGTAGTTTTATGATATGTATGTCTTCGCCAAGGTATAGAGCTTAAAGAGAGAGAGCAATATGAATAAATTGGGTGTGATATTGTTAAAATAATACAGTTTACTAACTGCATGTGTAGTAGAAGTAGCCTCATTATAATATCAGAATCAATTGCTAGTATTATGATTTTGTTGATCAAAAATGCAATTATTAGTGAAATTGGTAAGTTCTCATTTACAGATATTTATAATTTTGCAATGTGCCATGGGGAGAAGTACCAATTTATTATATTCTATTAGAGAGAAAGAGTGACAGAGGTAAAAAAAACTAAGGATACGCGAGAAAACGAGTTTATTATAGATGACTTAAAAATTGGAACTATTTTAATTGTAAGAAAGAATGCTAAGAAATTAAGTAGTATTTACATATTTTATATATTTTTACAACGAGAGACATAGTTTAAAAATGTGTACATGGTTTGTCAAAAAATCCTCCGGTGTACACAACCACTGGTTTGACTTGTGCAGATTGGATACAACTATTGAGATTAATATTAAATCATTGCATACAATTTTTACCAGCACTACCGCAATCACACACTGCAGTATATTACCCAGAAAAAAAATGTTGATTTTTGAAATTTAATTATTGAATAAAGTTTCCAGAAAGTAGTTTATTTTTCCGACAATGGAGAAAGTGACCGTTTTTTTATGTGAGGAAGGTTTTTTATCCATCATAAGCAGAAAGTAACGACTAACCAACCAACACCAACATAACTAACCCTCTGCGGTTTTTTAATGATAATTAGTGAGAAATCATCCACCTAAACCTTCAAGTAAATAATGGGGCATGCTGCATGGAGCCACTTTTTCAACGGGCAAAGAAGTGGGAATCCGTTGTTGGTGGACGTTTTTTCATTCCTTCTGCAATCTGCAAAATTTGCAGTGCAAATGCCTCCTGTCTGTGTCTTATCTTAAATATCTATTGTCCTTCCTTGTTCTTATTTTCCAACTTGAAATTCAATTAAGGGAGGAGTTGTCACTTAAGTGGAGATTTGGGTCCAGAACCATATGTGCCTGCCACTGTCTGAAGGAAAATGTTGTTTCGACGTGAATTTTTGAAGTTATTGATTTGTTGCGTCTTCTTGACCAAGCCACACTTTTCCGTGGCTGGAAATGTGCCTTCTCTGGAATTGGGGGAGTTGACAGCAAGGGTGGATAAGGGTCGTGATGAAATTTCCAAGTTACAACAGCGCGCAATGTTACCAAGAGGTAGGTTTTGCTATGAATGTGTACTTTTGACTTTATTTCATTACATTACATTTGGTCTTATTTTTCATTAATGAATATTTCTAGGAACATGTTGGAAGTCAGCCCTTGAAGATTTGTCAGTCTCTTGTAAAGGAATGATTCCCGAACACCAGTCTCGTCTCGCCTTCAAGTTTACTACCTGTTACAACGAAATGGTCGGCTTTCCTTCCGTTATCTGCGAGAGGAACATGGCCATCCCTGACTGCATGAAGAGTCTGGATGTCAGCAGTCAAGGAACCTTTCGAGAGTTTTTTCTCCACACGCAGGATATGTGCTACTTTTTGGAACATCAACTCTGGCAGGAGAAAACGAGCAATGCGGTTAACGAGTTAGTGGAGGAATTTTTCCTAATATTTTTGCTTGTTATTGTTGGGTCGACTGTATGCATTGTTATTAATCTGTGAACGTATTTATTTTTATCTACGAACAGGGTCACCAATGCTGTAACGGACGTCACCAAGAATTTGGAAGAGGCGAAGGAGACTCAAGAAAAAGTCCTACTTTCTCAACAGGAATCGCTTAAAGTTCAGTCCAATATCATCAAGGATAATAGTGAGATTTACAGCATGGTTTTGAATGTGAAGGATGTTTTCGAAGATGTGCAGTAAGGATTATAAACAGATTATATAATTTGATATGTTCACGTATTTAAAAAATTGTCCTTGTGTGTCAATTTCAGAGCATCTGCAGTAGAACAGCGCCAAGTCGTGGTTGAAGTTTTTGATAAATTGACCCGGATGCAGAAACTGGTATCTTGGATTCAAGGAGAAATGTCATTATTGGACATGATGGGGTTTTATTTTGCGTGTGTTTTATTCGGATTTTTTGGGACAAGCTCGAGACGTACACAAAGTGCCCGATTTTGGATTGTACTCTTGTGTATTGTGGTCCTTGGATTGGAAAGATGTCTTTTTAATCATTTGAATTCTTTGGATAGTTACTCACCCGTAAGTAGTATCACTACTATTACACATTTGAACGAAAAATGTCTTTCTAATATTTACAATCTGAATTTATTTAGGAAATGATCCAAGAAAGCATCTGGATTTTGAGACGTTCAGCCGCTGTTTTTGGTGTCATTATCCTCGTCTGTGCCGCTGCCTTCTATCGCGATCCTCAAATGGTCCAGCAGAATATGCTGACCATGGTCAACAAAAGGCTGGACAGACTGACCACCCAAATGGACGGTGAGCATAAATATTTTATGCTGACTTGGTTGTGTCCATTTCTAACCTCGTGGATATTATTTTGTTCTCGTTAGACATGCAAGGGTTTATGAAAAACAATAGTATCATGTCCCTTGAAGGAGGTGGAGGTCTGCCAACTAATGAGGAGGAAGTATTAGACGACTCTGACTCGGATACGTATTCAAACTATTCCGGTGATTCTGACATGTCGAACTTTGATCAGCCCGAGGCTATGCATTGGTCACAGTCCCTTGCTACACTTGAGGAAGGAGAATCCGAAAGTGATTCAAATGATGAGAATAGAATTCCTGAGACGGATGCGAGAACTACCAACAATTTATTTGCAGCGATCAAGAACCGATTTAGTAGCAACACTAATCGGGAAACGTCCTTGGATAGATCAATTGTATGTCCTGCCTGACCTTATAATGTATCAAATATGTGGTACCAATTATGAAATTTGCTTTTCTCTAGACCAACGAATCCAAACACAGCTACAATCTACGAACCCGGGTTTCTTCTGGTCCCTCGTCACCCAACATCATCCATGAAAGTGCGACAGAATTCGCACAAATAATGAAGCACCCGAATCGTTACATGAGACGGTCTTCTGCCGCTAACTACTACTCCTCGGATGAAGATGTATAATTACAGATTGGAATAATTTAATTTAAGTGTTTGCAATTACCAAATGATGAATTTTACACACCGAATATTTGTGATTATTTTCTGATCTAACATTTCAGAACATTGTGAATTTTTACCTGATTTTTTGTACTTACATTTTATTTATTTTGAGCTACCATACCATTTCATTCACACATTCCCCAGTTTACAATTAGAAAGAAATTGTGTCCATAATATATGCATTTAACAGCAAATTAACACGTGCCAAAGTATAAAACGATTCTAATTTGCCGGGTTAAAGTAAAATGTCAAATATAATGACTGTCTTTTATTAATAAATGATAAATATTACGTACTTAACCAATTAATTCTTTTCTTGGGTGGTAACGGATGCCCGTATTAGTATCATTATCATATATTGGGAAATCATTAATATTGAGGTTGAATTAAAGAAAACATTTTTATTGATCGCTATTATATCGTAGCCTTGAGGAATCTCATTTTTTTCGAGTCCGATAAAAAAGGAAAGTCTAGTAACTATGGGCAGAGCAGGTACGTCTATCATAAAAATATAATACTAATGGTTAAACAAGTGTGTGGGTGTCTTAATAACGTAAGGAAAACAAAATATATGATGACCAGATCAATTCACTTAATAATTGGCACACAACTTGTAAGCAATATACATAATAGGGGTTGAAAATAATTGGACGTTTGTTTGTCATTGTTGTATCACCACATCATAATCAACATCAATAGTTTCGTACGTACGTGTGTGTATGTTTAATATTAATACCTACAAAATAACCAAGTGGCATCTATTTCATACGTTAATAATAATAAGAACTGATGCAGCAGTAAGTGCTCTAGGTCAAAAATAAGTTGGTAATAAAAATAAATATCTTAGGCTGGGTAATAAAATTAATAATAATGATAAATATTCGTAATAAATAAAACTAGCCGATTTAGGAGAGAATTGTTTCGGACTTCCATCATACCAACCCCTTCTTTTACGGCATAGTTATATAGGACATGCATGAGAATGTTTCAATTTCAACTATAGATCGAGTAGCAAGCAAGAACTAAACTCTCCAAATTCTGAGATCATCATTCAACAAGAAATTATGGAACAACAAGAAACAAAAGCTCTGGGGCGTGGTCGGGCCAAAGGTCGGAACCGGTTTGTTCCACAAGGTGCAGGGAGTGACATGGACAGTGACGTTTCAGTCATGCCATTTTCGACGGCGTTGGACATTAATTCTAGCAGTCTTCGTGACTGCTTCTCATTCGAGTTCGAGCACCTACGCCCCATCTTCTACCGTCACGATAGCAAACAACGGACAACTTCAATATCAATGAATTTTTACTTTACCCTCCCCCGTTCGTATCCCTACCATTTGGGAAGGATACTATTGCGGGAGAGTAAAGTAAAACTTCCTTGACATTAGCAACGAATCAGGGACGACGCGGCAATCAACTGAAACTGGATCCTCGGGTGGTAGGGCATCCACATCGAACTATTCACAGGAGTCATCAATTGTGAAGACCATCAACGATGGCTTCAATAAGGTGGGAGAAGATGGCCACAAAGTTCAGGTAGTGACCAACTACTACCAAATGAACGAGACTCCCGACTTCCATCTCTACCAATTCCGGGTCGACTTCACCCCTGTAGAAGACAATACGTCTATCAAGAAAGCCCTACTACGCCAACACGAAGACACTTTGAACAAGTATGTCTTCGATGGATCTGTTATGTACAGGACCCGGCTCATTCCCAAGGAACACCAGACGTTGCATGCTACTAGCGTTGCGGGAAATGTGGCCTACACCATCACCATCCGATTAGTGGGACAAGTGAACCCAGAAGATTCCATGTATCTTCAATTTTACAATATCGTCATGCGGAAGACGATGACATTAATCAACATGGAAGAGTTGGGCAGAAACATGTATGACCGGGCGGCCGCAATAAAGTTCCCGCAAGACCGGTTGGAATTGTGGCCTGGTTTTATTACGGCCATTCGGAACCACGAGAGGGGAATGCTCTTGTGCGTTGAAGTGACTCACAAGGTCCTTCGGACTTGTACCGTCCTGGATTTGATGCGGGCTATCAAGCAGCCTGGAATGTCTGCCAACGACTTTGAGAAAGCTGTCCGACCCCAAATCGAGGACACGATCGTCATGACGCACTACAACCGGCGAACTTACACTATCTCCGATGTGAACTTTAAGGCCACCCCTGCATCGAGCTTCCGTGGACAAGATGGCTCTATCCAGACGTATGCAGAGTACTACCAAAGAAGATATAACATCACCATCACGGACGAGATGATGAAGCAACCCCTATTGGTGTCCAAGCCAAAAAAGAAGGACATCAACAAAGGGGTGACGGGCGACATCTATTTGTTGCCCTCACTCTGCAACCCTACGGGGCTTTCCAATGATATGAGGAAAAATTTTTCCCTGATGAAGCGATTGGCCGAACATCTCCACATGGATCCTACAACTCGCAAGAAAAAGTTGGACGAGTTCATGTACCGGCTAACGACAAACGAAAAGGTGCAAGAGGAGTTTGCAGCTTGGAACATCAAATTTGCTGCTGCTGCGCTGAACACTGAAGCTAGAATCATGAAGAAGCAGCAGATCGTTCTTGGACCTGACCCCGACAGTCCAATCTGCCAGCAAGGTGGAAGATAACAGAAAGAGGAAATACGCCTTCCTCTTGGACCGTTTGATTTTTGTCCCCATCGCAATGGAAACGACAGGGGTGTGGGGCAAGGAGGGGCTTTCCCTCATAAACGAAATTGGTGAAAGGATTGCAACGAGAACCCGACAGCTAATGTTGCAACATTTCTCCGCCAACGCGTCTCCCTCGCCACTCAGCGAGGAAACAGCGCTGCAATACTTGGAACTCTCCCCGACGGAAAAGAATTGGAGAAGATTTACTATTTCTTCTAATTTCTTCGCGTTTTTCTCTCGTAGTTTAGGGTTTACTTTTGATAAGGCTAGGGATTCATTTTGTATGACTCCGGTGTAGTCAGTTTTTCGACTAATTTTTCTAATTTTTTAAATAAATATTTGAACTCTGCGTTACGCTATTTTACATAATTGGAGTGAATTGATTGTAAATGTAATGATTTAATGAAAATTAAAAAATAAAATGTGCTTTTTTTGGAAATTTTAAAATTTCAAAAAAATTTGTCGTAAATCGCTTGATTTTTATGTGAAAAATACTTTTCAAATGCCATTGCACATATTTTGAGCATAATCCCGTAATTCCGTAAAAATTCCAAACTACTCGCAGAAATTTCGAATATTTCCTATAGCTCCTCCAATTATTTTAATTAACTATCATTCGCAGAAAGTGTACTTACTTGGTCATGTTTGACTGAAATCAATGTACCATGTTTGACCGAAATCGGGAATAACGATGCACATAGCAACAAGGGGTTGGTTTGGTATGATATAAACCATTCAAGAAACAACTCTCTCGTTATATCCCTATCGCTGGTCATCACAACAATCACAAAAGATGAATATAACTAAATCAGATGTTGGCACCCGATGAAAATGAAGGGAAATTGCCGAACTGAGTGTTGATGGGAGTTTTCGGACTATTCACGGAACAAATGTAACCAAATTCTTCGGACTGGAGTTGTGTGCGGTTTAGCATTGGCTCTGATTCGGAACGATGAATTTTTGGCAAGGAGTTTAACAAGTTTTCTAGAGATGTTAAAATCTGAAACGCGAAAAAAATTATTAGCTTTCATTGTATTCTATTACGGACATATAATGGTTCTTTATTTATCCTACTTGTCGAAACAAAGGTCTCTCATCACGAATAAATTTTATGCAGTCTTCTAAGAGTCTTTTGAGGGCGTTTGGAGTGTCCGGTCGCATCTGAGTTAAATCAGGCCGAAGAAATCCTCGTCCAACCATAAATAGGATCTGGTGGATAATTAATTTACGTAGTTGTTAAACTACTCTTTGCACACATACGCATTTAACACAACTCGGATTAATTCTTAGGATAAGAACCTACCTGATCTCTGTTGTTGATACTCGAGTATGGGAGCTGTCCCGAAAGTAGTTCAAATAACACAATTCCGAAAGCGTACACGTCTGTAGACAAACCAATGTTCATATTACATGTAAATTTGCCATGGGTGATATTTTCATGTTTAATCAAGTTTAATGCCGGCCATTGATTGTTGATACTATTTTTATGTACGCGATTTGTTGTGAACAATAAATTATTAACCCACCTGACTGAAATGTATAAGGATTGGAATCTTGCATTCTTATCACTTCTGGGGCCATCCATAAAATTGAACCTACAGAAGACATGACAATTGTCATTAAATATTTTCGGCACACCATTTTCTATATATATATTCAGGCACGGTTACCAGTCGGTTGTTGCTGTTGATGGGACCCAGACCATTTCGTTTTCACTGTGGCTAAACCAAAGTCCCCAATTTTCACTGTCAAATCATCGTGAAGAAAAATATTGTTGCTTTTCATGTCTCGATGAATGATATTCTTTGCGTGCAAGTAGCTACAAATACAATAAAAAATGTTAAAAATTGCATTCTTGCTTGAATAATCGTAAGCCATAATTAATTAATTAATATAATATGCTGTGGCTTACTCCATCCCTTGTGCAGTCTGTCTAGCAATTTCAATCAGAGTCAAGAGGGGGAATTTAGTTTCTGTAACATGAATGTGCTTATACAACGAAGATCCTTCACACCACTGTGTTACAATTGCCAACTGTGGTTTGCTAACACAGCCCATAAAGAGCAAAATGTTGACATGTCTAAACAAAAAGAAACAATTTATTAAAGATTAACTATTCCAACTCATAAGAATTAGGTAAGTCTTTAGTAACCAATACCTCGTCTTTCGCAAAACGGCCACCTCATTTTTGAATGCTTGCAACTGAGCAGGTGTCGGATCTTTAACATTCAACGTTTTCACGGCCACGGGACCATGCCAAATTCCTTTAAACACTGTTCCAAAAGATCCAGACCCAATCCGATGTCCAATCAAAATTTCGTCAGCTGGGATTTCCCAGTCTTCCACAAACTCTCGGGTCGTTTTTACCTGCAAGTTATGATTGAGTTATTACTGCGTTGCCCATTCTGTGTGCGAAGGAGTTGACGTGACTTTCTTGCTGCTGACCAAAATTCAATTTCAATAAATCAAAATCAACTTGATTCATTTTGATTTTTACATTGAATTTTATGTTCTGAATATATATTTTGTCCGGCATGCTCTCTCTCTGTCTCCCTCTTCGTTTTCCGCACAAATGACCCAGAGGGCGTGGTAAGAATCTTAGCGTGATGTGTGTCTTACAGTAAGATTCTTACTGTAAGACACACATCACGCTCCTCATTATCTCTGCATTCTACATTTTCCTGGAAATCTGGTAAATTCCCGACATTACCAATATACTAAAATCTAGTATTAAATGGGGTCTTGTAAATAGATAAATCTTCATTTTTCATTTTGTGACATTTTGTGACAAATTAAATTTGCTTCATAAAAACAAATTTTGTATCAGGACTACCTTTGTTTCATCTGCAGAACGAGCTCGAGGGCGACAAGGGCGAAGGGTATTTGTAGGAGAAGCTTGAGCGCTATGACTTAGTGATACCTTTGTAGGGCTGCTTGCAGGACTCGTGGCTCTGTGAGCCGTCCCGGTTCCAGCAAAACTCGTATAAGGCCCTCCTACACAAGTATTCGAATGTTAACAATTAAGCCAAAATCCCCCCTCATAACTTTACACACATTTTTTATATACATTAAACAAAACAACTTATCATGTATAAGCATGCATATATATATGTACTTATAATTAACAACATACAATAAGCAAACGACTAGCAAAACAAACAAAAACAACAAAAAATATACGCACTTGGTCCGAAAACAACGTTCATCGCAAGATTGGAGAGTGGCATGGCCAATGAAAATGTTCCGTGTTTGACCCTCGAAACATATCCTATTGAGGGAGGTCTTACACTCTTTGTTCTCCCATTTACAAAGGGAAACCATTCTATATGACGAAAGAAAACAACAAATACATCCAAAATATCAAGCTCTATTAACGCAATAAAAAAGATGAGCGTGGCTTAGCGCTTTTGTGTATCACAAAAATTATTACATAATAAATAATAATGGTTTTACAGCGTGTAAAAAATATTGGTCATGCAAATGCAAAAGAAACATAAGACAATATATTCCTTGAGCCAATCTGCAAAAGCGCATCATAATATAAATATTGTAAACGCATCATAACAATTATTCTGAAATGCCTAACGTTTCGTTGCCTAATTTCCATGGTAAAAAAAAGACAACGTAATCCCCTCGGACCCCCCGCTCCCCAAAAAAACTGAGCTAAAAAATGAGCGACAAAGACAAGAGACGACATTTACTAAAAAAACACATCGTTTTACCATGCAGTGTTGTGTAGGTGCCTTTTCCGAGCCGGTGGAGAAGATCGTCCGATATTTCAGCAGAATGTCCGACGAGATTATAGCAAACATTCGGAGCAGATGTTGAGCGTTCTCGATGTCCTAGTGGGGGAGGATCTTTGTCCACGTATTGTTCAGCCAGGTTGGGGGGCGAAGTTTCGCGAGCATGGTCAAAATAGGATGTATCAGTACTTTGGGCCAGTAAACTATGGGAAATTATTACAATAATTGAATCAAGAACTTGAACAGTGAAATTAATTAATCAAGTTAAATAATGAGTCACGAAGGTGTGGGATTACATTTCATAGTACGTTCTTTCCATTCTGCTTGATTCACAGAGAGCTGGCACAGTTGCAGCACACCTCTGATGAAACCGATATCCGCAAGTTCTACATTGAAATCCTTGAAATAATAATCTACGACAGCATTCACAGTAAGCTAATGAGAAGAACGTTTTCCGGACCTAGAGTAATAAAATCATATTATGTCAAGTTAACTATGAAATTATTGCAACTATGCAAATCACTGAAAATATATACTTACAAAATTGTGCGAGATACTTGTAGCAATGGGAAACTTGTCCAAAATTTCAACCTTGACTTCATCCCCCTCTAACTTTGAAATATCCGACTCCCACGGTATTTGAACCTGATGATATAAATCAAAATAATTCAGCTATTATTATTGCTGCATTTACTAAAAACAATAGTAATAATATAATAACAATAAGTGTGCATTCATAATACTCACAGCAGGATTCGATATTCTATACACTGCACACATTTCTGGAGTTAACTTCCTGAGCTTCATAGCTTTCGACAAAGCATCCCTCACAGTCTGGCCAGGACGAATCTAAACAAAACAATCAAGAGAATTTAAAAATACATTTTATTTCATATAGCATTCTGTAATTCATATCGACAAGAATCGCACGAGGTATAATATATAATTATACTATGTACAGTTATATAATTGTATAAATAGTGCACCTGAACCGACGTTCTCTGTTGATTAGGTAAGTACGCTCGGATGACGGACTTGAATGGAGATCTAGGCGACAATCCTTCCTCTCCCCCTGACTGTAACGACTGTGCGATAAAATTGTTGTCCTGTTCATTGTTCCGATTGGAGAAGGAAGTTGTTGGTCCGATTGGTGCAGGATGATTTGTGCTCTCATTTCCACCTCCTCCTCCTCCCACCCCCATCTGCTCCCGGAGATCCTGCTCCTTCTTCTCCAAATCATGAAGCTTTGTTGTCAACTCGGAATACTCCTAATTATTATTAACCCAGAATAGTTCGAGTTAATTAATGTTCCTCGTCAAGGAAATGCTTACATAAATGCTAGACCCATAAATGTTTTACCTGGAGATACATAGAAGGAGGGTCTTGGAACCCGGCAAATCTGTCATTAAGGGCATCGATATTCTCTTTCGTCAGTCTTATCACATTCTGAATGTTACGCAACTGCATAACACATTCCATTCTTGAAGAGTTATTTTTTGTCCCTGCTATGTACGGCAGTACGGGATGTGCGTCGAGGTTTCTGTTTGTGTGATTTAGTATTAGTTCTGTTTTTCTCTTATCCTATAAGTATCGTTGTGGTTAATGATATTTTGTTGTTGTAGTTGTTAACTTCTTCTCACTTGATGATGAGTAGTAGTAGGCCGATGAAAGAGCAGCAGCATGTCGTCGAATGTGCGAAGGAGTCAATCCATGAAGAATAATAAATTAAAGCCACACCACAACCCCTTTTCTTTTCTACCTTAATATTTATACTCGTATTACTTTTGTGCAGGTTTCCAATATTTTGTTAATATTGTTACATTAGCCAGTCTTTTCGAAACACAATCCCACTCCTAATCACGTAATATCTAGCACTTGACCTCTCCAGTTCACTTAGAATTCTTGATTTTTTAGACGTAAAGTTAATAGCGTTATGACTTTGACCGCCGGCGTCATCTTTCATTCCTCCGCCACCGTAGCCGTCGAGTAAATATATATTCCTTGATGTATTTACAGAAAAGAATAATAGTCGAATTTCACTAACTAACTATCGAATAATGAGTGGTGTCAAGTTTCTGACGCGGTCTGTGCGGTGGAGAGAGTTTTGTAAGTTGCACTCCGCCCACCAGCAGAGCAGAGAGAGAGAGAGACGTTGAATCTTTAATTTGTTGGATGTTTTTAACTATAGTTAGTTAACCAAGGTCCATGGTGGTCACTGTGGTGGGGGCGGCAGTGTGGCGAAAAACGACAAGTCTCCCATTTGAGGGGAGGGGGCTTGGTGTGATCGTGTCGCAGACAACTTTCTCTGAACCAAACTGTTTGTCCCTCATGTGATGTCTGGCTGTAGCTTGGTTTCTCTCTGCTAAAATACCAACTCCAATCCAAATACAACCAAATCCACTACTACGACGACGACTACTACCACACAGCTCTTAAAAAACACCCAGGGTCGGCACAATCCACAGACTCGAATGCTTCAACCCACTCTCTCAGTCAAGCCCGCAGCAGCTCACAGGTGAGTAGGTGCACAAGACGAGGAAGATGATGATAAAATGATTAAAACCCGGGACTCTGCTTCCCTACTACCCGGGTGGATAATGCATGCGAAAAGAGAAGAAAGGCTGAAGCTATAAAATTTCCTCTGATTTCTGAGAAGTCGAAAAGCCTGGAGAAAGTTGGCCTATTTATTTCATGTCCTCCTCTCCTCTCCAATTTAACCATCCATCCACCCTTTTCCCTTTCATCTTTCCTTCCAGCCGAATGGAAAAGTGGTCGCAATTTGCAAAATCAAAAGGCAAAGGCTTTTCGCTCCCAGGGACTGTGGTTGTCTATCAGCAAAGGTAAATAGGTGGGTGTCCTCCTCTCATCAAGTCGGGTACTATATAAGTACAAATATACATACATGTTTGCACTAGTTTGCAGGTATTTCGTAAGTATGGGCAAAGTCAGCCGCCACTGTACATGCAAATTTATACACAATGTTATAATATGAGGGGTCCACTGCCCTGTGTCTACAGATCCCGTACGATGAAGGGGTCACTAATTAATATGACCATGGATGACATGTCACATATCATTGGGTTTGGTGATATTTTCGTTCAAAATCACCAAGTTTTGTAGGCCCACAATTTCTCGACGTAACCAATGGACGGGGGGACCACAAGGAAACACAATAATAATATGGAGCACCATAGGCAAAAAAAACAGCCGTATATTTACATTCGCAGATTGATTCAACCAACACTCCTTTTGCTTGATGATGATAAAAGAGAGAAAAATTATACTTTTTTCACCTCACTCACCACTTGGTTGAGGAGTAAGTAAAGGAATAATAATATATATAACAATGCATAATCAAACCTAACCTCAAAAAGCTGGTTGGAATCCAACAAAAATTTCGATACCTTATTACCTTAATTTTTAACTAACTCCCCTTAATTTTGTGGACGACGACAACAATTCGTGTCCCCCAGAGGAAGAATTATCGTACGTCGTCGTAGTAGGTGCTACATCTACCTAACTAACTGGCTGATCTAATTAATCAGTTGATATCTTCTCCTTACATCATCACTCATCGAAGATCGAAGAAGTAAAACAAACAAACAAAACAAGTACAACCAATGATGGCCACACACACTTGATCATTACATTTCCGTGTTTCCTCCATCCCTACGAATAGCGACCAAGGCACCATTGCTATTAAATAACTACTGGCTGGTCGTCTTCTTCTCACTCCAGATATCATCAGTCATTAATATACGAATAATAAAGTATCCATTACAACAAAGGAGGAGACAAATGAACGGTGGAAACAAGTCCAGTTGTTGTAAATTCTCCATTCCTCGTCCAGTAATATTAATTCTCGTCGTCATACCCCGCGACCAGCTGCTCGAAGGGCGAGTCGCCGTCGACTTACAGACACCGAGAAAAGGAAATTTAGGTGAGATTGAGTATTTCATATTTGTATTTTTTAGTTACCGAGCCAACTACTACTACTACGTGTAACTAATTTTAGTGTGAGTCAGCAGGGTCACTTGCTAAATAAAGTTTTTTATGTGCTCTTTTTCTTTCAGATTCATCGAACAGCAGCTCAAACTGATTTATCCCTTCGTCCAGTCCAAAAATTAATTGATCTCCTCACTCGCTCCAAATTTTTAAGCAAAGAAATAATTATGTTAGTTTATTTTCACATTTTTTTAAAGAAAAATTAATGTTGAATTGTAACAGTCGAGTTAATTAACCACGGCCTTCCCCAGTATCAATGTTCTTATCGGGTGGAAAGATTTCTTGACCTTTAATTTTTTAAATATTAATTGTACAAGGGTGGTCGTGTTTCGCCACGACTTGTTAGTTTTTTTAAAATTCTTCTTCCTTTACCAAATAAGTGCCAAATCGTCATCAACGCTAACGTCATCACCAAAATGATTTCTACTTGTCTTCCATCACATAAGAGTGTACTGGTGGCGATCTTGTTTACATTTCTTTTCATACCTGCGTCAAGGACAGCGTTCAACATTTTTGGTCATAATTATGACAAACTTGATCAGAAGTATGGGTCTTTTACGGAGGATATGAGGGTAGAAATGCTAGATGAGGGTAAGCACAATGATTTCTTGTACACCATAAATCCATCTTCGCATAATAATTAATATGTAGTAAAATTTAATTTTGCATTGCAGTACGGAAAATGTTTTACTGGTCGTACGACAGCTATATGAAATATGCCTTTCCTTTGGATGAGCTTGATCCCATCCATTGTGTGGGACGTGGTCCGGATCATGACAATCCGTAAGTCTGCATACGTTGATTGATGTTAATCAAACGCTGAATTTTGTTAGTCATATTTGTATTATTCTTGTCATGTTCAGGTCCAATATCAACATCAACGATGTTCTTGGAGATTATTGCTTAACATTGGTAGATTCTCTAGACACGTTGGCAGTGTTGGGAAATGTTAGCGAATTTCACCGAGCGGTCCAACTTGTGATTGAACATGTGTCTTTCGACAAGGAAAACACCGTCCAAGTTTTTGAAGCCAACATTAGGTGCGTCATCTTATTGAGTTTTTCTTATTGAATAAAATATTTAACCAATCGTAGAAATTGTGTTATTTATTTTTGTTTTATTGATAGACTATTGGGTGGACTGTTATCTGCTCACATGTTGATGGAGGATGATCGGAATTTATTTGGAGAGAATTTACGTCCTACTTGGTATGATGGTGAGCTGTTACAACTGGCAAGTGACTTGGCATCGAGGCTCTTGCCTGCCTTCCAGAAATCAATTACTGGAATTCCATTCCCAAGAGTGAGTTAATTTACCCTTGGGCTGCGTATCGAAAAAGCGGTCTATAATGAACGACGGATTTATTTATCGATTACAATTCTTTCAGGTTAATCTGAGGAAAGGCTTTGTTGATGATGGGGCTGAAACTTGCACTGCTGGAGCCGGTTCGTTACTGTTAGAGTTGGGAGCGCTGTCTCGACTCTTGGGGGATCCCATTTACGAGTCCATGGCTCGTCGTGCCAACCGTGCCTTGTGGGGCGCAAGGGCAAAGACTACAGGATTACTTGGTAATTTAACAATAAATTGATAATCACAATATTCAGGAACACGTATCATGTGTTAATGCGGGTGAAATATTTTAGGGAATGTGATTAACGCCAAGACTGGTCAATGGGTGGGTCGACTTAGCGGTCTCGGGGCCGGCCTAGATTCGTACTTTGAATATTTGCTCAAATCGTACATTCTGTTTGGAGAGGAAGAAGACTATTCTATGTTCAATGAGTCGTACAGCGTTATAAAACAATACTTGCGTCGAGGGTACTATATACATACTTATATATATATAAATCAACTAGTTAACAATTTTTTAAAGAGTTATATATTTTATATAGTCGAACGCACTGTAACTCTGGGTATGGCGATCATCCTTTGTATGTAAATGTGGATATGCACAGCGGTAATACCTACACCTACTGGATTGATGCATTGCAAGCCTCATTTCCTGCAGTACAGGTATAATTTGTAACCCATTTAATTTTGACGTTGAGGGATTAATCTTTAAACGTTACTATTTACTATCTGCAGGTTCTTTTTGGTGATGTTGAAGAAGCGATATGCACACATGCTTGGCACTACAACGTTTGGAAGCGGTACGGATTTCTGCCCGAGAGATTTAACTGGCAACGCCTAAGTCCAGATGTCAGTTTCTATCCACTTCGCCCAGAATTAGTGGAATCCACCTATTTGTTATACAGGGTAAGTTGTTAATAACAACTTGTTATTAAAATAGTGTTTGTTATAAACTTACGTTGAACTATTACTAGTGATTACTAAAAATCGTATTGATTGCAGGCGACCAAAAATCCATTCTACTTGCACGTTGGTCGTGAGGTAGTCCTAAGTCTGAATGCCTATGCTAAAACTAAGTGTGGTTATGCCACCGTTCATGATGTTCTCGACATGAGCTTGGAGGATCGAATGGAGAGTTTCTTTCTCTCTGAAACTTGCAAATACTTGTACCTGGTAATTTAATTGAAAATTGTGTTAATTAAAAGTTAATTATTTCGCCCGATTCTAACTAACCTTGTCAAACTGTACATTTATATATAGTTATTCGACGTGGATAATCCAGTCAATCAAAAGTTTAGCGATTACTTGTTCACAACCGAAGGTCATTTGCTTCCAATCGGAGACAAGTTTCGCACCAAACCTTGGGCAGATTCTCCAACCCCCATTTCTCCCGTGGATGAAATGGAGTCACTGTTTTTTCGTGAGAAAACGCCAAAAATAAAAATTAACAATGGAACACAACCAACTGTACGTTTAGTTTATAAACTATACCATAATCTCATTGATTGTCATCGTCTTTTGATTGCAACGTAATTAATTATCTTGCAGTGCCAAGCTGTGGATGAAGCCCGACAATACCTGCTTCCACTTCGAACACCATATTATTTACAGTTGACTGAATCCCTTGGCCTCAAGGAATTATGATGACTGTTTTCGATTAATAACTATTTCAATTCGTTGCTCTCCTCGTCCGTTACGCATACGCTAGCATAATACATAATAATATTAATGAACCCCACATACCAAATTATTTAGTATCCGCAGAACAAGAAAAGCAGGTCTTTTCTTAAAGATTTTTGCAATAATCGGTGATAATACGCATGATACTACTATAATATATATTTAATCATGTCAAAACCTTGTTGTTATGTTATGTTAAATGTATTCCGACTGAAAAAAAACAACTATTTGAACGCATAATATTGTAAAAACAAAATTTTGGGTATTTTTGGGAAAAGGGATGCAATAATGATAATTAATATTTTAGATTGTAATTTTTATGAGTCGTTATTTTGAAGGCGACGTATTATGATTTTTAGTATAATGCGTTAAAATATTCATTATTCTGCTGTAAAAGCCATTTTGATCTTTGTTTACGTACGTGTTCCAATTATTTATTGTGGAGTTATGAAACTGTGGTATAATCCAAAAGTAAATTTTGGAATGACGACAACAAGTAATCAAACGGTGTAGTCAAAGTTGGTTACTTTACCCTAGACTAGGAAAAAAAAGAGTTTCAAGTCATTATTATTATATTATTATTAATGTTATTATTATTATGTTACTGCTAAGTTAATTGTAGTTTGACAATATTATATATCTATCTCATAAATGCACGCACCAACCAACATACCAATAACCCATTAGTACCTTGTCATCATCACTGTCGTGGTGAATGATGATAATATTTTTTTAATTAAAAATTGAAATTTTTATATGCATCTCAACCTGTTTGAGTGTGAAAAGCAATATGTTGCTGCTCCATAATGTCTAATGTGCTCTGAAGATGAAAAGTCATAGTAATAAAATGCATATTATATTTTGTGATGAAAAAATTGCACCAGACTATGTGTAAATTCCTTCCTGACTGCACTTTGCATTCCATGAGACGATTATTTGTGCAGTCTGTTCTCAGATATGGTCATCATAATCATCAAGTGACCTCAAGGTCAGAATTATTATAAAATCAAATTTCATTTGTATCATTTGTCGAGTTCATAAATACTCAATTGAGCTCGACATTTCCAAAATAACTCAGGAATCATAATGGCATTTTAATGTGTTGGGCTCACTATTTAGTTGATGATGGTGATGCGACTTAACTCGTGCGAGATGTTTTATTTTAGTCGTCTGAGCTGCTGCTCGACTAATTGTTTAAGAGATAATCCTTCCTTAATGCCCACTCACTCAACAAGTCAGTTATCTGTCTAGTTGGTCGAAATTAAATAAAGAATATAAAAAAAAAACATTGCATGTATTTATGACAGATAACAAATTTGAACGGGACAAGGAGGACGAACATGGTATGCTTTATGAGTGTTTCCCAGAGATGGTTATCAGTAAGTTAAGTACATAGTGTGACTTTGAGACTCGAGATTATTTTTATCAATTGGACACCAAAAACTTTTATTTCTCTTGGGTCAAAAGTTCAAGTCTACATAGACTTGAACTTTTTGGTGTCTAGCAACCATAATCCATCTTTTATTAGGTGGAGATTTCGAGGTAAAAGTGAATGAGAGAACAATAAGTAGACAAATTAAGTAATTAAGTTGTCCTTATCAGTGCTTCCTCTTGAGACAAAATTTATTAAAAACATATTGATTTCAAGACTCCTACGTCATACGTACGAATTCATTCAACAAGTCAAGGCATGAATATTTTTTCAGAATGATGTTCATATAATATTACGTCCGTTCTCTTCTGACCTTATCATTTAAATCTTATCCAGTTCATAATACACTCTTGTACAAGACATGTGATCTTAGATATTTGAGTTTATGTTACCAAGATGTTGACCCTCCTAAAATGGAACTAGTCACATGATGTCATAAGCTTATTTTTTCCATGATGATTATCATTCCCTAATTTCATGCAACGGTTAAAAAGATGCAAATTCTAAAAAATCTCAAACAAGAATTTGTCCAAAACTAAATAAATAATTCATGAACACGGAAACAACTATGAGATGCATATGTATACTACTTCCACCATTTTTTACCAAGGATGCTGCAACACAATTTTCATCTCATAAATAAATATACATAAATACTCCAGTCGAGCTCATATTCAACTTTAAGTACACTTATCTTCATTTAAATGCAAATGACTTCAACTTTTTATGTTGCAGAGAAACTGGGATAAGAGTTTTAAGGCTTAATCATAATAAAAACATAAAACCATGTTTCGTTAAAACAAGTCATGGCACGATAAAGTCCAAACCCATTTAGATTATTGACCACTCTCATGTCCAATGTCCTGTTTGCTTCAGGTCAACACTGACACTAACTAATTGCATCTCATTATTTAAGGTTAAATGTCACTTATAGCCCAACATAATATACACATCATTGTGGCTGAAATGCATGCACCCTCATTTCCATTTGCATGAAGGTAGTAGCAGAAGGGCGTCAGAATTTGTTGCTCCAACGGTGGTGGTTCCGAGATGGGGCGACGAGAAATGCCGAAAAACAGCTCATGTCCACCACCACCAACTCTCTCTTGTTGAGACAAGTTTGGCTGGTTGGTTGGTGGTTGGTCTTATTGTACTTACGTAAGTCTGCGAGCTCATTGTGATACTCGCAATGCTTGCAATATTTGTGTGAGATCAGATCACCATCACCATCAGCAGCAGAAGCAGCGGAGGAGAGCAGTTGGTTGGTGAGTGAGTGCAACAAGAAAACTGATCAGCAATTCAGGAAAATAAAATTCAGGAAACTTATAAAAGCACTGTTCAGTCTGGGAGGAAATTCAGTCGGCGAAGGTGAAATTTAGTTGAAAAGTGCTGATTTCGTAAAATAGTTAGTGTCGAGTTCGGGGCATGAGCTGCAGTTCCCGTCGTCTTCTTCCTCGTCCTTGTTCTTCGTCTTCTTCTTGGAGGTCATCGTCATTGTAAACATGAATGTTCCAACGTCCCCACTCAAACCCCGATATGGGGATCGTTTCATCCCCACGAGGGCAGGAAATACGTGGAGTCTTACTTATCCCACTGCTCCAGCCACACCTGTAACCGTGAGTGATAAATCTGTTGAAAAAAAATGAGGACATTGGGTCTTTAAAGGGCAGCAGTATTTTATGGTATGGTAATATTTTAATTAGGAGCCTGGTCGTCCCCTCGGCCCATTCAAGAAACCCCGTGAGTCGAACGAGAACAGCAAGGATGGTTCCGCAGTGTATTCTTGCCTTTTAAAAAATGAAGTATTGGGCTATCAGTTTGAAGATTACAAGGATGTCACTGAGAAGAAGTTGACCCCAAATAGGAAATTGTTTCATGTTAGTGGTGAAAATATGATATGTGGGTGGTGTATGTGCAGTGAGATTAATGGTGTATTTTTTTATAGTATGACACGTCGGAACGATCCGTGGTCATAAATGAGCCATGGTCACCATATTCTCTCTCACCGATTAGTAACAAATCAGAAAAGTTGTTACGTTCTCCAAAGAAACCGACGAGAAGGATTTCTAAAGTTCCGTTCAAGGTAAGAGATTTTTGTAGAGTATTTGCTTTCTGAAAAATAGATTAAATAGACTCTCCGATATTGAAATTATGAAATGGATTGACTTTTTTTAGGTTTTGGACGCACCTGAACTGCAAGACGACTTTTATCTTAACCTGGTGGACTGGTCTTCTCAGAATGTACTTAGCGTGGGACTGGGTACTTGTGTCTATTTATGGTCCGCATGCACTTCACAGGTCACGAGGTTGTGTGACCTAGCTCAGTCGGATGACACTGTGACTTCAGTTGCTTGGAATGAGAGGGTATAACGATAGAAAATAAATTTTAAAACAATTAGATGCGTGCAACAGATGGATGTATTGACACTTGTTACTTTTTGTTTGCAGGGAAGTTTGGTCGCAGTGGGGACTCAGGCCGGATTGGTCCAAGTCTGGGATGCCGCGGCAGGGAAACAAGTAACGACAATACATGGTCATACTGCACGTGTTGGAGCAATCGCATGGAATGGTGATTTGCTGTCGAGTGGATCTAGGGACCGATTTATTAATCAAAAGGACATTAGAGCTCCACCAACAATACAGGAACGGCAACTAGTCGGTCACAGACAGGAGGTGAGATATAACGTCATTAATATTAATATGTTGTGCTCCACTAACTTTCCAGTCGCCAAACTATAATAAAAAGACATAACAATTTCACTGTGACTGTTCTCAGGTTTGTGGTCTCAAGTGGTCACCAGATAACCAATTCTTGGCATCTGGAGGCAACGACAATCGCCTGTATGTTTGGAATTTGCATTCAACCGCTCCAATTCAAAATTATACTGAGCATTTAGCAGCAGTTAAAGGTAACGATCAACAATTTTAGTACTAGTCAAGTATATAATCTGATTTAGTATATGAAAAAATTTCTTAACGATCTCGTTTTGCATTTGGTTTTTTAGCAATTGCATGGTCACCTCATCATCACGGTCTTTTAGCTAGTGGAGGAGGCACGGCGGATAGATGCATTCGCTTTTGGAACACTCTGACTGGACAACCCATGCAGTGTATCGACACAGGGTCACAGGTGTGCAATTTGGCGTGGTCGAAGCATTCTTCAGAATTAGTAAGTTCCATAAACATTATGCGTGTTGACGAAAAGTCAAACTATGTACTGGCTACATTTCTCACCTCAATTACAGGTCAGTACACATGGCTACTCTCAAAACCAAATATTAGTCTGGAAATATCCTTCACTCCAGCAAGTCGCTAAACTGACTGGGCATTCCTACCGTGTCTTGTATTTAGCCATGTCTCCTGACGGAGAGGCAATCGTTACCGGAGCTGGCGACGAGACGTTAAGATTCTGGAATGTTTTCAGTAAGAACAGGTCGCAAAAGGAGAATAAGTCATCACTAAATCTATATAACTGTATAAGATAAGGTTGTAGAGGATAGTTGCTAATAGTAGTTCTAGTTGATAAGTGCATCTATAATTAAGAACACCACCACCACCACTGCCAATCTGGTGAATTATTCAGAACATAAAAAATGAAACAAGCAGGTACTTACAGATAACAAGGAATAAGGAAGCACGTCACATTAACCACCACGCTTGACCCTATTCCTCAACTGATGGGAAATCCATAATTGTTCCCTTATCATTGCCAAAAATCAAATCTTTATTTATTATTTTGTTGATAAGTATATAGTCAAGCAGAGTAGGGTAACTATTAAGTAGATATTCAAATCACAGAGTTTTTTGAACATATTTTGTCTGGTAGCAATATATAATATATGCATCATAATTAAGATTTATATTCTATACAAATATATTTGTCGCCACTACTATGAAGCATGTTATGTAATATACAGATACCTGCTATGTAAACTGTGAATGTTATTACCTATTCTATTATTCATTACTAAATGTCATGTTCCGAACACCGCTAAACTCACAATATCATCATCATTTATTATACAATATTATCGTTATTGTCGTTGTTTTCTATATAGCTTTATTAATTTACACACGATTACGCGACAGATTTAAACGGGTAGATTATTGACGACGCAATTTTTTCAGTTTCAAAATTTCCATAAATATCGACTCATGCTAATATTTGTAAATTTATACAATTCCTATGAATGCTAAAAGACGAGCTGTATTACTACGTTACGTCGCATAACTCACTTATATACTTACTGAATGTTCCCAGTCGCATTAATTAATTATTTATTTGTGTTTAATCAAGTTAATTGGACAATCCTCTGTTGAAACGTTATCTCTTGTTTTATTTTAATTGAAAAAACTTCTCCCTGCGTATTGAAAATATTTCAAGAGAAAAATTATTAACTAAGAAAGTCGGGCAGTGTGCAATGCAACGCGGAATTGAAAAATTTGCAAAGTTTTAATTGTCGTTTAGAAACCTGTTTAGAAAATAACTCGAAAAATTAGTAGTAAAGAGTAGAATTATATGTGCCGGTTACTTACAAAATTCTAGTGTAATCATCATTTTTCACAAGAGAATGATTTTAAATTCGTTCCAGGAATTAGTATTACTTATGTAACCATCATGAGTCTCTGTTTAAATTGTTGTTTAGCATGTACACACCAGTCGTTACTATTTGCGTGGGTTTGTGATTTGTGGAAGGAAAACGTTACGATGAATTACGAATTATATTTACCACGGTTGGTTGGAGAAATCAAAATCAATGAATTAAACAAGCAAAATAAAAAGCGTCGCAAATATTGACATCATGTACACAATCTCTGCAAAGTGAGTTTGAGTTTCACACGATCTCCTTAATATCCCACGTTTGGCAATGCAACAATAATAACATTTTATCCTGCAACGGTCTTTTCCTGCAAATCTTTATGTGAACAGTCAGTCAGTCTGATTATTCCACTGTTTGTGCAGAGTCTGCTGATAGGCAAGAGGTCATCATAAGCAAATCGTTTCCAGTTACATGATTCTCATCATTGTGCACAATAATATTTTTATTTGATGAATTGCATTGCAGGATATAAAAATACGGTTTAGAATTTCACTCGCTTCATCCATGCACGGAAAATTCAGATTGGTTACATAAACTGCTGGAGTCAGGATTTTCTGTAAATAAAAATATGAGCTGAGTGGATGTATGAAATCTGCAGTCTCAATATTACGACCATGAAATGTCAAAGTTCATGATTTTTTTGCATTTTTATTGCAACAGCTCATAATGATTGTAAGTAAGGAAGCGCAAATCGAGGCTACTGTATTTCTGTTATGCAAATGGTGGGAAGTTTTTTGCATATTGTTTATGGAAGTACGAAATGCTCAAAACTAATAAAAACACGGTCTCAAAAATATTTGCATTATCGGAAAGGTGTGAAATATGAGATGAGATGAGATGCATTGACCCAATAATAGCAATAAAGCTTGTTTATTTATACAGATAACATCCAGAACCTATTTACATGATAAGGTTTGCATTATTATTATTGTTATTTCTTGTACTACTACTAATACTACGTAATTACTACTATAGAGCGTAGTATTGCACTGCATCGTGTCACTTATCTAGGGCTGTGTCTGTGTATGGCATTGCATTATACGTATATATTGACGGAGTGAACGATAACACACGAAAGATTAGACAAATCATGTCATTTGTTCAATATTTCATATAAATAATAAAATCTCCTATCTGAAAGGGTTACAAAGATTGAGAATATTCATTAAAATAAAATTATATATTTAGGTCGACAGGGTTATTTATTTAGTAGTTTCATTTAGAGAAATTCAATCACTTCAAGGATAAAATGCGTAATTTATATAAATAATAACTCTTCAAAATATCGGCAAGTATGAGTCTTTTCGTACATATATGTGATGAATGAGTATAAGAAATGCAGTTTTGTAACGAAATACATGCTTTTAACTGACTACTAAAATATATATAGAAATTAGTTGCTTATCACATTTCATTGTGGCCGGTCTTGGACTAAATGGTCCAGTTCGGACGTGACGAAGAAGACGGGACTAGCAGACGATGCTGGTTGATAGTCAGAATTTACGTGGGCCATTTCCGCCGATGAGATCGTATTGTTCAGCTGCAACTTTATGCATCTCTTTTTTGGGAGGAGGTACAACAAAGATATTGCAATTATCGCGTGCCACGCGCTGTGAGTGTACTGCCGACAAAAATTGGTAAATTATCATCAATACAAAAGACAATTAACGCAAATAATTTCTCACCCTGTAATTCTCCTCCGTTTCCACAAAAGCAAAGAGGATGAGACCACTCGCCCCCAGGAGGACGCCTGGGATGAAAATGAGCAGTCGTCCTACCTTGGGCAGAATTATCGCCCCTCTTTGAAAGCTCCGGTAACTCCAGACGGAGACCACGTAGACGAAACCGATAGCAAATGGCAGGGCAAAGACGAGAAGACCGATTCGGTTGTACTCCACCCCGATGGCAATTAGCACCGAGCCAAAAACGTAAAGGACAGAGTCGTACTCCGAAGGACTGTGGGCAATGGCAATTATTGTTACCCAAAATGCCAAAATGGAACAGAAAAAGTCGCAAAACTGGAGAACCTATAAAACATGGAAGAATTTAGTATTGTTGAATGCATATATATAGTTGCTTAATTCCAATTCGTGAGTTTTACCGAATATCTGGTGAGGCAGTACCCATACATTTCCTGGAATATGGAATATGGAATGGAATATTATTGAATTCTACTTTAAAAGTGGAAAGGAATATTTATGGATTCCTGTAAATGAAAGAGTTCTCTAACACAAATTAGGATACGTATCCAAATTCTCCTCAGGTTATAAAATATTCTTTCCCCCCTGCATACATACTCATCTACCGGACAATGTGGTGGTGGACAGTGTTCAGAAGCAATGACAAGGAGAAACTTTAATCTAATCTTCCCTCCATCTGATCTCAGAGATTGTTATTTTCTTGTTTGTGCAATTAATTAAAATTGTGGCATTTTCTAGTTTTCAATAAACTACTGTCGTTAATTGTAGATTTAGTGTAGTGACTTAGTGAGTTGTAGTTGTTTTTTACATGGATTGACGTGACCATAAATAGTTAAAGTTTTTAGAAACCGTTAATCTTGACGTGTTGACTTATTGGAAGATGTAAGTATTATCATATTAGTATTCTTGGAACGTGACTAATTTGCCAATATTGCAGAGAATAATGCCACCTAAATTTTCGAGAGGAGAAAGTGAATCTGATGACGAGAGTGAATATGATGCCGGAAGTGAATATGATGGAGATGAAAGTGACGACTCGAGTGACACCACACCCATCAAAAGAGCAAGATTGTCATCATCATCGACACAATTTGAAACTTCAGGTTTTTTTATGAATTTGCATAAATGTCAGAGCAAACCATATTTTCCGATTATTGTGTATTCACTTTTGTACATATTTAGGCTACGAGACAGAGCCTTCAACACGGAGGGTGACCCGGTCCATGGGTACCGGGGGAGGGACAAGTGCAGCAGCAGCACAAATGGATTTGAGTGATGCCTTTAGTGATGATGATGACGACATTCCCATTTCTGGAGGCTCTCATGATGAGGTCGATTCTGAATCCGACCAGAATCCTCATGATGGAAAACTTTCTTCTCCTTCAACCCATTCTGAGGACCGAGAACGTTCCCCTTGTTCCGTCTATGATTCTGAGGACGAAGAAGATGATAATGATGACCAACTGTCACAGCAAGAGTGGGTGAAAAAGAAAATGAACCAGTGGATTGATCTGGGTTTAGCAAAAACTCAGAGGACATTTTCCAAATCTGAATTCCAAAAATTTCTCAAATATGTGAGCTATTTAAATTAATCCCATATTAAAAACTATTTAGACCATTAAATGAATCATAATTTTGGCAATAATTAATGTGATGAATTATTGACTCTTTTGATAGGGCCAGACATTACTCCAGTCCACAGAAAAAGTAATGCCTTTCGAACCAGCAGATGACTGGGTGGATGATACGGGGATTCCTGAGGATGTCGAGGAAATTGTGAAGGCATTATGGGCAAGAAAGAAAAAAGTCGGGACGAAAGAAGAAAAAGAAAATCAAAATCACACCAGAATTATGCCATCATATACCGTCGTTTGTCGAGATATAGAGGGGATACCTTTACCCTGCAATTGTTCAGGAACTACTTATGTGGATATCTCAAATTTTCGTGTTCATTATCGGAAACATCACACACAAAGTCAACGTTTTAAATGCAAAGTTGATGGTTGTGACTATTCTTCACATTCAGATCACATACAGGGTGTGCATCAAAGTGAGTGAATAATTAATAACCCAAGTTCATTATGTCTTATTATTTATATAATATTAACTATTCCTATTCTGATAAACTTATAGTTATGAAGCAATTCGGATGTGCTTTATGTGGTCGGAAGTTTACAGCAATTGACAACCTTAATGTGCACCAGGAGTGTGGACACGTTGATCCCAAGAAACATAGACTCTTTGCAATTGAGGACGGAGTATTGCAATTTCGACAAAAGAAGGACGGTGATGAGAAAGGTGATTTATGAAATATTTCAAACTGTATGTTGACACATGTACTAATTACATTTACTTGTCATAGTTGGTCACAACGGGAAAGGAGGAATAAAACAGTTTTACACAGTTGAATGGACCCATCCTATAACTAATGACACGAAGTTGGCTTTGGGATACACAGGGAAAAAAATTTCACATCTGCTGCGGACAAAGTTCTTTGGCTACTAGAATACGCTTTGAAGAATAATACAACAAATTCCTGTAAACTGAGGGAGCTGTACATTGCCGGTTATCGACCAAATAACGATGAAGCCAAGAGTACAAATATATTTGTAGTGGGGACTGTTTTGGCCAAAGATGGAAAATTTGTCCTCCGCGATTACACCGGAGCGTATTGTCTACATGAGACATGGGAAAGTCGTGCCACTTTCGAAAACGATATTGAGAGATTAAAGGCGATGGTTGACCGAATCAAAGGAAATTTCCCATAACGGAACCAAGATCGAATAAATCTTCGTCGTGATACTTTCGGAACCGCTCTGGATAATTCCAATGTTCAGCAAGTTGTTAACAAACGGAGTTTTCAGTAAATTAATTATACCGTTGTAGTACATTTGGTTAAAAAATGAATTTAAATGAACCAATAATAAAAAAGTATCGGCAATAAGATAAAAATACAAGTGAAATACATTGCATTTCCAATTCTGTGATCACATACCTGATCACAGGCATGATACAAAGTGGATGAGACCATGGTGCAAAAGTAGACGAGAGCTTGGACGAACATTCTGCGAGAGAGGGCAAGGACGATGGCAGGGGCGAAGAAGATGTTGCTCAGAGTAAGGAGAAGGGTCGTCATGAGGAGGACGGATTTGGGGATAGCTTCCGAGTCGTCGTTACAAGCCCAGCCTAGAATAATTGAAGAATTTCGTAAATTTTCGTAAAAATCAAATCCAATTCATTTAAGATAAAACGAGATGAGGCAACAGTTTACACACCTTTCCGTCCAGCAACACACCGACAAGCTGTAGGAAACATTTTAATTGTATTAAATTTGGCCAACTCAGATGTGTTGTATACAGATATTTATGTACCTGTGTAAAAGTATTGGTTTTTGTGCACTTCTTGGCAGAATCCGTACGAACCACACGCCGAGACTGGTGTCCCATGTGGCGTACGAGAACGGTGAACACAAGGCTGCAAACAAGAACATGGTTTTAATTTTACCAGGAATGTGAAAAATTTTACGGCCTGAGTAAAAATCAAAAATCTAACCTGGGTTCGAATATCGAGTGAGATCAATGCTTCCGGAAGAGCACACATGACAATTGACCTGATGATAATGACGGATATTGTTAATTATATTGAATGCATATTGTTATTAATTCTAAATTTACATTATCAAGCTCACCCCTCATGTTCACAATGCATTTTAAACGATAAATGATATATATCCGCTTCAGGAAACGGTATTGACATGGCATCATTCACAGAGGACAGATTTTTAGACGAGACTTGTAAATGCAGCCCACTCTCGCAGCAAGAAGCTGTCGTTTCCTTTGTATAGTTGCAACAATACGTGCGTGGTCTTCGTCCTTGTTGAACACAAATGTCCACATGCACTGTTTGTATTGTGGCATTCTGTAACCATATTTCATATGAACAATCGAATACTATAAATTACTATATATAGTGAATTTAGTATTATTGGTTGGTTTGTGGGTGGTTGCATAAATTACCATGATAAGCTCATCCAAATGGACACTGATGCTAAGAGTGCCACCAATATCGATGAAAGGCAAGAGTTCGAAAGACGTCCCCACGACTGGGGCAGCCGGGTTGGAATCCGTTAATGCGAGCCAAGTCGTAAACCAGTCTTTTCCCTGAGTAAAAACAGCCATTGCTCTATTTATTTTACCATTTTACTCTCATGTTCAACACACGTGTGAGATGCCCAGATTGCATCAGATTCAGAGCCTCAAATCGACGAAGAAATAAAACAGCTATAAAATGGCAGTTAAATAAACCCAAATGAGCTCACATTCGCAAAACATTAAAGCAGAGGAGAAGAAGAAGCGAACGTCGTAAATTCTTATGATGTATGTATCACTGCAAATTGCTTATATCTGGAAAAATCACCAAGCGTCTAAAGCGTCAATTTACCTCGAGAAGGAATGTATCAGAGAAGTCCTGAGCATGTCGGATTCTGTGAAAAGCAATGTTAATATTTTATACAATAAGATGCCATGATTCAGTATTATTATCCTAGGTTACCTTGTGAGACGAAATGTTGGAACACATGGACACTGATCATCTACAAAGGGCAAAGTTCCACCTCCTCCTTCGCCACCACCAACTTCTTGACTGACATGGTGAGTTGCAGACTTGGTGAAATTGGACGCTGCAGTAGACATGTTCACTTGCATAATTTGATCCTGGATGGACATCGTTGCATTAATTAGTCCAGAAAATTGCTGAAGCAAACTCTTGCTCAGCGTAATCACAGAACACTCTGGAAATTCAGCAAATTTTATTAGAGCGGTAATTAAATTTAGCTATAATTTAAGCAATTTTCATCGGATAAATGATTTTGGACAAATGTCTATTTTCTCTATACCTTCGACCGAAATGGTGATATTGTACTCGACCCTGCTCTCCGTAACGATAAGCAAGTAGTAGTAGGCGTCCGTCCAAGGCAATTCCTCGACACGGGAATAGGACGAGTTTGCATTCCCCGTTACAATAGAATCCGTTTCATTAGCTCGGTAAAATGGGAGGCCTCTATCTCGCATGAAAATTTGGTGGATGCAGGGCAATTCTGCGGCTTGTTTGGCATTATACGTCCCATTGGCAAATACGGCTTTGGAATCTCTAAAACGATGATTGGTGAGAAATCTACAACCGTCAATCTTCAGAGTGAACAAGTTCACACCGTTGGGGATATAAAATCTAGAGACGGAGAGAGAATTAATAATTAAATATTATTAATAATGGGCAATTATTATGTGAAATGTGATATCTGAATGCAATGCAATGACGTCCGACACTTACTTGAAATATGTGAAATGTCTGCTGCTGGTTCGAGTCATTGTGGACTTGAGAGGTAATGTATTGACGTCTGGAACGGAAGACCAAAGACCGACGGATCCAAGACTGTAACGACATTTATGACCTAAACCCTATAATCCACACATACAAAAAATATTAGATGATGCCTATCTTTGAAGATTAGTTAACTATCCCCTCAGAGCAAATATACCCACCTCTTGTTGCACCTTCTGATCCCACGTGTTTAAATATGCTGCCGCAAACCAGTTTCCCGGAAGCGGATTGTAGACCGGAAGGACGGACGCGTCATGCGTTTTGTAGGACGATCTCACCACCACCCTTTGCAGACAGGTGCGATTGACCCAAAAGTCTTTGGGGAAGGTGGCATTGTCCGGTGACATCACGGGGTAACTCCCATGTTGAATATATCTGCAGGCAGAATGGCATAGTTATCGTTCGTGACCTAGGCTGACCTCAAGCATGGTATTATTACTCACATAAATGCCTCCCGCACCGAACACTTGGCATTGTCCATGAAGGCTGCAAACTCAAATGTGGCAACGTTGGCTTCGGGGGGAACATAGTAGTGGAACAGGGTCACGTCTGCATAACTTTTGAAAGGTTGAAGTACTCCTTCCTGGTGTGCTTGAGGGAGCAGAGATTGCACTGGAGACGAATTACGATAAGGACATGGTAATTAATTCACAAGAACAATCTACAAACTTCAGTGACCCACCTGAATTAATGACGATGAAGAGAACCAATAAGCAGATCGTCATGGGGGGTTCGGCCAGTTTCATTTTATGAGGGGTCCTTTTTTACTTTATGGGGATTTTATCTCTATTGAAGTCCCCACGAGGTCAAGTGGTACTAATAATTCATCATAAATACTCCTTGGCACGTCTTATCCAGAAAAATTACAATTTCTAAATTTACTCAGAAGAATAACGTATATGCTGACCAACTATTTTCCAACTTTTGCTTTCATTCCCAAAATCACGAAAATATTTTTGCCTCATTATTAAGGGTTTTCTATTTTTTTAAAATTGAATTTCCCCTCCCACTTAACGATGAAAGTGATGACGATATGATTGCTATGACGATAACAACTCTTCAACTAATCAGTGTGCGTGCCATGACCATGATGGATTCTCATTTTGGCTTATCATCATCCCACGCGTTAGTTTGCATGGTAAACTTGTGATAATACACTAGGACAACATCCAAGAGATGCATGTAATTAAATATCACTTTATGAACCGGTCAAATTGCTCATTATTCTACCAGACGCAACAAAATCTGTCGACATACCTAATACCATAATAAATACCCTGCTTTTCACTCCAAATTCCAAAAATGCTGACGTATCTACATTATATTACTTAATACTGCTCAATTATACTTTATAAATTACGAAAATGCATGGTGTAATAATATCACAAATTTCTCCAGTAAAGTTGCAACGATTGACGTGGTTATTTTATTATTTTTTATGATGGAAATACAATGGATGGATCCGTTTATTTTATTTTATGTTTTATTTATTTTCACGATAGTCCTGGACAGAGACATGATGATTATATAGGCCAACAAACAACACATACATATTTAATTCCCCTCTTTTGCCGAGTGCAGTTAGTTTCGCGTTATTAATATCGACTTTGCCCTTGAGAGAGACGCTTATCGATCCATTTTGCTTTAATGTTCAATCAAGCACAATTTCGTGTAGCGACGATAATAACAAACGCACGAGTTCAACGGGCTTGTTATGGGAGTCGTTTTGTTTGTAAACATGACACTTTTTTAATATGACAAGCTCAATAACACGATTTCAGCATCTCTTTCACCACCACGACCACTACCACCACTGGTACAAATTAGTGAAGCAGGTTTACTACGAAATTTTTGAAAGATTTTCGGTTTTTTGAAAGAAATATTTGTTCAGTTCGGATGGAGATGTCGTTTTAGGTCTGGCTGGCGGCTGTATGCGAGTAAAAAGCAAGTGACAAAAGTGCTTCCCTACAACTCCTGTATGGTCGGTGGATGATATAACAAATATTAAACCACGACTGTATATAAGCTATAAAGCGTTTTACAGCAAAAAGTGCAAGATTCTCAGTCCTGCCCTTCTGAGCATGAGTTAAAACTTGGTGTCTGCTTTTATATGGGCAAAATAGCAACCCAACCCTTTGTTCTCAACGAGTATCGAGTGGTGGGTGCATACTGGAGGAAATATCGACATGAATTTTTAATACTCTGACTGAATTAATTCATTTCCATTTTCAGAGTAAATAATTCAGATTTATGAAATAGATTTTGTAACGAATTCTGACGTGTGTAGCAACGTTTTTGAAGTTTACGAGTAAATCCTTTGTAAAGCCAATAATTTATTGGCAATAATGCAGATTCGTGAATGAATGTGTGGCGTGGTTGGGGTTTGGCACTCGGTTCAGAAACAATAAATTATGACATAAAGGTCACGACCAGCTAAGGAGGGGAGCTTGCGAGGTTGATAATAACAGATCTTGATGCCCTTTGGATATGTGGTAGGGACCCATGAGTGTACTATAACCCTGAAGTGGTTTGACTCCATGGCCCCATCTGCGCCCGCCACACCCACTCAAAAATGCCCAAAAAACGCTTTCACTCCAGTTTTCACTCACTCAAATCCACGTCAAAAATCCAATTTTACTCGGATTTTGAAATTTCTTTCACCATTACACTCCCAGATAGTTGCTTTCTTCAATCCAATATCAAACTCAATTTTGCTGATGACTATTTCGCAGGCATAATTTGCGTTGTTGATTACTACGACAATCCTCATTCCGAATTGCAATTTTTAAAAATACTAAAAATTTCGAAAAAATTGAGTTTGATATTGGATTGCAGAAAGCAACTATCTGGGAGTGTAATGGTGAAAGAAATTTCAAAATCCGAGTAAAATTGGATTTTTGGCGTGGATTTGAATGAGTGAAAACTGGAGTGAAAGCGTTTTTTGAACATTTTTGAGTGGGTGTGGCGGGCGCAAATGGGGCCATGGAGTCAAACCACTTCAGGGTTTTAGTTCACTCATGGGACCCTACCACATATCCAAAGGGCATCAAGATCTGTTATTATCAACCTCGCAAGCTCCCCTCCTAAGACAAAGCAACCTGTGAAAGTCACGTTCATTAAGTTATGTATGATAGATTCTCTCCATTTTTTCAGTATGGATTCACATATTAAGTATTAGTAGCAAACCTTGCTACTTGGCTGGAGAATAAGGTATACGTACGTACATACGCATCTGCAAAACAACATATGTCGATGCCATGTTTTGCATATGGGCGAGCCAAAGGTTGGCTGCTTATTGAATATTATTTTTATTATGTGATAGTGATGGCATATTATAACCCCACAGGGACAAAGTTGGCAAGGTTTACTAACTCTGGAGTCTCTCTCTCCTATTTCTGTTCTCTCTGTTCTCTGTGATCCATTGTCTAAGCAAAATTCATGTTTAGACTTTTTATGACCAAGTTATTTTGGGAGTGTGGTGTGATGCAACGTGTGGGGACGGCTGTACCCATCCATCCGTTCTTAGTTAGTGATGCAACCTCTTGCAAGTTTTACTCTGAATACCGACGAGGACGCCACGTCAAATCAAAAGCCTGTGAAAAAAGCCAAGTTTTACAATTGAACCCACTAAAATGAACTTGATGGATATCATGCGCATACCGACTACGGGGAGAACTTGTTGCAATAATAGTAGTAGTAAATAAGTAGTAGTAAATGCCACATGAAAAGTATGTATCCACATTTATTTACAGTGTAACAACCCCATGTGCAAATGAGGTATGTCTCTCTTCCTACAATATGCCCTGCACACTTGCTTATCACCGACTTATTAACATGAAACCAGGAATGATCCACATTCTTGGTTGACATTTCTTTTCGACTAATCTTTCCCACTTCCTCTCTAACCCGCATAAAACAAAAGGTGTAGATAAATAGTTAATATATTTAGTTCAAATGTGTGTAATGAAACTCATCATTTTGCTCCACTGCACGGTTCATCAAGTGCATTTGCATATTACCATCTGGAGAAATATTTGCTACAAATTTGCAAGTTTCGACTGGAGTAATCATGCTAATCAGAGTCATCGTTCACATGTAATTTCTGCCGTTTGTTTTGCCTAATGGCACATGAATCCGATTGCATAGGAGGAGGCATGGATTAGGGCGTGTAGTGTAGTTGTAGCATCATTTAGGTACGCGCATATTATGCGACTTGTGCATACATACATATGTCATAATGCTCTTCTGGTTGTTGCTGGAGTACTTTTGGAGAAGATCGAGAGGGGGAAAAGTCGTCGTGTCATCAGCCGTTTTCGATCGATTTCGGAGCGAGATTTCCTCCCACACCGAGCAAGGAGCAAAGCAACATTATTGCAAAGAACTGCTTTTTCAGTCCGCAGTCGCGATGAGGACCAGACACCGTGAAACTACTACTTTCCTCGTCTCCCTTTCTTTTATTTCCAGTCTCGAATTGCTCAATCTCGAATGAGTTACAATATTACAAAATGATTCATCTATTGAGCGGATAGCACTCTTTTTCTCGACAATTTTTGGTAAGCTATAATCTCAGAAATTTTTACCGTTTTTTAATTTTTTTATAAATCGCATAGGAATTATTTTATAATCGTAAAATATTTCTAGCAGTAGGTGTTGCATCATTTGTTTAAGAAGGAGTGCCGCGTGTACAATTTTATCCATAAGGCGTTATTCTAACGACTGTGCCCACTTTCCTACACAGAACATATTACACTTGTGGATAACACGGTTTCACACATTTTTGCGGAGATTGTGTACATGTGTACGTTTCTTTAAAATAGTCGAAAATTGTTAGTTGCCCTCTAAGCGATTAGAAGCCGGCCTCCATCCATCCATCTATTCTAGTGACAAAAGTCAGCTACACCAAGATCACGAGATCATGTACATCCATGCGACTATTTTACGTAAAAATTTAGCCAAGCTAGCCGTATCTTATTAACAAGACGACTTCTCTCCGTGAGCACAGTGTTGGTTCGTTTGGTGATAATGTGTTTTCTTTTGTTTTGCGTAGGTTGATGTTTTAACAGCCAAGTCGGAAGAATTGGAACGGTTGGACGGTTTTGCATAAAAAGACGAGAGAAAGAGAGACGCAGAAAAGACGACGAATAGCCATCTTTGCCATCACTCCACCATCGGGCGAATAGATACATCCATCCATCCAGCAGTGTAATAAATTCAACTCCACGTTAGACAACTTGGAGTGAGATCATTTGTGAGACTGACTCTGGTTCAATGGTGAACACAGTGCTGCTTTGTTAGTTATACCACTTTTGCCCATTGACGAGTTTGCAACGAGTTTAGCTTTAGTTGGTTGGTGGCAAGGAATCGAGTTGGACACCAGGCCGGCTTGCATCTCAGTTTTTGCACACCCTTCCATCAACTGGCAAAATTTGCATCAATGAGGAAGCAGTTTGCAAATTATAATAATAATCAACAAATATTTATAATAATCAACATCTTGGAACAGTTAGTGGACAAATTGTGCTCTTTTCTCAGAACTTGAAGGAGTGTAGTGACCGTGGAAGAGTGGACTGGACGCTGATCACACCGTTGCGTTGAGTTCCATTTTTTCTCGCCTTGTCAATTCAGATTTTAGGAGGGGATTTTTGCGTCGTGAAATTGACGTGGCTTTTTGTTACCTGATTCGTTCCGGAAAGTGAAAGTAAGACTTTTATTTTATGGATTTCCATTGAAAACTAAAGCTACACACACGACCATGTCCGTTTCCCAATTAGCGTGTAGCATTGTAATGTCTTACATGGAGTTTGAGGAGGTGTGCGAGTAGGAATCTGTAAAGAATTTAAATCTCAATCTTTCCCGTACTAAAACCGTTTTATGTATTAGCGTGCTTAGAATTCTACCCCCCATACAATTATGAGAACATCCTTTTACGACTAATTTTATGACACTTAGCGTTTATCCTATTATTCACACTATCCTCACATATATATATATTTGTTCTTCCCTGAAACAGGTTCAATACATAGGAGTCAATCCCTCACAATGGTCGACACGAAGCAGGACACGAAGTACTCGGAGGTAAACATAAATAAATTATTATTTCTGGTTCCCAAACTAAAAATCCGCCTCCTAATTTGTGCAGGTCCCGGCCTCCGAGGACAAGAAGGAAGCCGTTGGTCTCAAGCCGCAAATGACCCTCATGAACGGTATCACCGTCATTGTGGGGAGTATCATCGGATCCGGCATTTTCGTCGCTCCCACCGGCGTCTTGGTAGGAACGGGGTCTCCAAACTTGGCTCTCGTCGTGTGGACCGCTTCTGGCGTATTTTCTCTCGTGGGAGCCTACTGCTATGCCGAGCTGGGCTGCATGATTTCGAAAAGTGGGGCCGACTATGCCTACATCATGGTGACGTTTGGCCCCTTCCTGGCTTTCATCCGGTTGTGGGTGGAGTGCATGATTGTCCGACCCTGTTCCCAGGCCATCGTGGCGCTCACATTCTCCACCTACATTTTGAAACCCTTCTTCCCAGATTGCACTCCGCCGGACGAGTCGATCCGCCTTCTGGCGGCTGTCGTCATTTGTAAGTTCACTTCATCTGCTTGTCTTTTCGCTGCAACGAACACTTTCTCTGCCAGATCTCGTCACGATATAAATTGCACGATTTATGGACCTTAATGAGCAGCATGGAGTGTCTGAGATTTGATTCAATCAGCCAATTTGTCCCCTAAATTGCATGCATATGTACATCAGGCGTACGCAATAATGATGTGTGACTACGAGCCAGATCCACCAGCATCAGCAGACTAGCCTAATTATTTACAACTTGCCAACCCAATGATTTATTTTTTTTGCCACAAGAAGCATTTTCCCTTCTTGTTTGTTTTGATGCAGTTTGTGAGACAAGTAGCACCAGTCGACTGCACCAGTGATAATGTCTGATAACTACCATCACATCAGCAAATTTACTCAGACACACATACAAAAAAGACCACGACTGACAGAAGTCTCGTCTGGAATTGGATCATCACTGTGATGATGGTATCAAAAAAGTAATGAAATTTCGCTTAATCATTGATCCTGCTGCTCGGAGGATGAAAGGGTAGCAAGTGCATACATAAGAATGAGCTGTGTACATATGTACATTACTATTATCATATCATGCAGAGATCCCTGCCTGCCCAAGCCGGCGTACACAAAGCCACTGCCAAATTCCATGTACACTGCAATTTATTTAGATCAACATCAACATTCAAATAGTAACGAACTAAACATTTTTCATTGATTGATTCTTCTTATCGGGGATCGAGGATCGGAAGAAGAGCAAGAACAAGATTATCGGAATAGGCTGTGAATCACTTGATGTTTCACAGCTCATTTATTTGTTTGCCCCAAATCGACATGAAATTATTTCTATCCATCGACCGACCGACCGACGTGAGACTTGCGTTATAGCGATGCCAACTGTTATTTATTTCGCTTTCTTCAACATTTTTTGTTATTATTTCGATCCAATTACGTAATATGACGCTTCTATTCTTATATCGTCACCTCTCCATCATCCTTTTACTGCGTTCTTCACCATTTCGCGAATCCGTCTCACTTTACCTCCTGCAGAAACTCTACTTCATAGCACTGGATTTCTCATGCTCACTCTGCCCCTCACTTACTGAGAGCGATAGCATATTCCAGTTCAGGTGAAGAAGTAGAATCGTTCATATGAATAAAAAGCAAATTCATTCCAGTCGCCTGCACCTGTTAAGCCGTGGTGCGGTTGAGTTTTCATTGTCTTCTTCTGCTATTAATACGTTTAGACAAGTGTGCATGCATTGCTTGTGGTATGGTGGCACTGAAAAGACATAACCATGCCACTCATTTATGTAGCAATGCCAATAGTACAATCCACATGCACTTGCTTTGTGGCTACCTAATAGCCGTTGAAGAACTGCATAAAATTATGGGCATTTCACCGCTTACGCTTATTACCAGTCAGTGAATGTCTACTACCACCTCCCGAGGTTGGGAAACCCATCAAAATTTAACTCAGCACTATTCTCTGGAAGTTGCATGGATTTTACAAATTGAAATTACATACACAGCAGCGTGAACTCTTGCATTTGCTTCTGATTTAAATTCATAACGCCAGCAGGTTTCCAACAGGTTGTTGAGAAATTTCGAGTTCCACCTCCACTTCAAGACGGTGCATAATTCTGTCTCTGTGAATTCATATGTATGCGGGTTCTCGTGTTGTAATTGGTGCAATTAAACCCATTAATTGTTGTCTTCTCCTTTTACGGCTGCTCCAGTTTACACGGCTCAAAACTTACTCGTGTAGGATATGTACCTAAATATATTCCCAGCGGATTGAAGTGAAGCATGTATACTGACTGACACCAACTCATAAACATTTTCTGAGTTGGACCACATTTTTTTATGTGGGAATCAGCAGCACAGTTGAAAATTGTATGGGAAAGAGGAGCTGTTGTAAAATGATTAAAAGGAAATTTGGCGGAAAATGAGGGAGACTGTGGCGCTGGAAGGGGGCGTGGTTGGTGGAACGGAACCGGAACTTTGCTTCGAGATCATGTAGCCTCATACAACATGGATGCGTTAAAATTAAAATTATGCAACCCTTTGTTTGCCTCGACACCAGCCAACCAGTCTGATTTCATGGTGAAGATAATAGATTTGCACTAAATCATTCTCTCCTGATGGAGATCAGATGTTCGTTGAACTTGGCTTGTTAACAAGCAGACAATTGTGGTGCTTAACATATGAACATGGATAATTACCGGACGAGGTTTCCACGCTCCTTTTCGTATGCAAAATAATTGTGAGTTTAACTATGTGCATATGTGCATGGTCGAAAATCCCAACATTTTTTAATTGCATTATTATGTCACCTAGTTTTAATGTGGAAAAAATCAAGATCAAAAATCAAGTCTTTAAATGACTAGATATGAAGGTCCATAAACACATATGTACCACAATTTTTGCCACTCTAAGTAATTTTGACCACATCATAAATAAGTAATCCATAAAATTAACAAACAGAACTTGTCCATTTCGCTCGCCTGGGAATTCCTAATAATATTCAATTCCAGAGTGAAATCCTCTTCGTATCGTCTTGCGTTATCTAACAAATGCAAATTTAGAGCAGTAAATAATAAGCTAAATGTACCATTTTTGATGGCGTGGATGTACTTGGGATTTGTGTGTATATTCTTCCTTGCATGTGTCTCAGAGCTGACTAGTAATCCGGTGCACATGCATTCGATCCACTATAAATTTTATCTTATCTTAGCAATAAAAACGTGGTGAGAGCAAAGGGATCCGTTTCACATATACTGAATTAATTGCCAATAGCTTCATCACCGCTGTAACCCAATTCAGACAAAATCTCAAATTTTATGGAGATTTTTTATGTCAACATTAATAAAACTGTGAGATGGAAGCTTTATCATTTTGACATGTCCGGTTGAAACGAGTTTAAGACGAGGGCGAAGATTTCATTTTTTAATGAGCAATTAAACAAGTACATAGTAGATGGATTTTCCTCTTTTTCGACATTTCCAAAAATGGAAAAATCCGGTGAAACGATGACAATGATGCTGGACTCGGTTGAAATGAACTCTATTGTCTCCAGGTTTCCTGACATTTGTCAACTGTTGGAATGTCAAGTGGGCGACGACGATTCAAGATTGGTTCACCTACGCCAAACTCCTCGCATTATTCATGATCATCGGAACTGGTGTTGTGCAGCTGTGTTATGGTAAAAATAATGAATGCGTGTAGCCATCCATTCATGCGAATCATTTCTTGTCAAACTGTTTCTAAAAGCGATTGGTTTTTAGGAAAAACGGAATATTTCACGTGGGAGGGGACAGAAGCGGATCCTACCAAAATTGCTCTCTCCTTCTACTCGGGTCTCTTCGCGTACAATGGATGGTACTGAAATTAGATTCTTCTTTGGATCAATTATGGCGTTTAATTCTAATATTATGATAAAATATTAGGTAAAAATCATTGTTTTTATATTGCTTTTTATCAGGAATTACTTGAACTTTATAATTGAAGAAATGAAGGACCCCGTGCGGTACGTGCTTTACAAAGAGTAAAAATAATTCGAAGAGTGACTGGTGATAAAGCCTGTGCTTTTTTATCAACAGCGATTTACCAAGGGCGATCGGGATTTCCTGCATTCTCGTCATGGTCGTTTATGTCTTCACCAACATGGCTTTCTTTACCACCTTAAGCCCTTCAGAGATTTTGGGGTCCACCGCCGTCGCTGAGGTTAGTGGATGAAATGTCATAACTAGATCGTCGTATTTGTTACACTTGGATGGACTAGATGTGCTAATTTGTGGTCATATTTTTACAGACATTTGCCCAACGACTCTACGGTTCCTACGCTTGGATAATTCCAGTCGCAGTAGCCATGTCCACTTTCGGTGCTGTGAACGGAATCCTTCTCACTTCCTCAAGGTATTCTAGACACTCGTGCAATTTGGGGTTTAGAAATTTATGCAATCTCACCAATTATCTGTTGAGGGTGTAGCAACGTGCTAATCAATGCCAACAGGCAATTTGAGAGACCACATCGGTCCGTCACTTTATTTGTTAGCACAATTAAAGAAGAGCTAAACAGTTTATTAGCAAGACGAACCTTTTTGATTGGCTCTCCACGTGGCGTGAACATCCAACACGCTCCAAAATAGCTCTCCCACCCAGAAAACTTTCGATAACTGTTTACTCCGTCATTATGTAATATTGATGATTATGATAACTGGTTAATTGCAGACTTTTCTATGCTGGTGCAATGGAAGGTCAGATGCCCGAAGTGCTAACTATGATCCAAACTGAAAAGAATACTCCTGCACCCGCCGTCTTGTTTGTTGTAAGTTGTCGTCACTACGTCATTAAACGGATGAGTTTTAGACAAAATATTGGATCTAATTTCAATATTCTTTCAGGCACTGTTGTCACTCCTCTACTTGACTTCTTCCAATATCGTGGTGCTTATCAATTATGTAGGATTCGCCACTTGGGTGCGTAGCCAAGAATTGCGATATTATTATTTTCTTAAGTGTGCATGCATACTAATTTCAACTTATTTGCAGTTGAGCATCGGTGCCGCAGTCTGTTGCATCCCAATCCTCCGTTGGAAGCAGCCCGATCTTCCAAGACCCATTAAAGTGAACATGTTTTGGCCAATCAGTTACATCATCTGTACAATCATCATCACAGTCGTACCTATGTTTGCCGACCCTATTACCACAGGTGCGGATTATGTTTTCACAAAATTCCTTACCAACTTCGATACTTACGATTCCCGGATCGATTAATGTAATGACTGTTTCTTTACGTAGGAGTCGGCCTTCTTGTGATCCTCAGCGCTGTGCCAGTGTACTTTCTCTTTATTGCGTGGAGAAACAAGCCCAAATGTGTGCAAAGCATCATTAGTAAGTGTCATCTCGAAAGAAACAAAAACAACTTATTGCGCTTTTTTCCCTCCGAGTGGATTAAACACTAAATTACATTTACATACAAACACTAAAGAAAGAATTGCTAACTATTAGCTAATTGCGTTGTGCAATCCCGTTTTCTTCTGCTACAGCGTATTTTACTAGAATCGCCCAAATTACTTTCATCGTCCTGCCACCATTTGAAAAGATGCGCGGTGACGTAGGAAATATTCCGCTTAATGATAGCTTTATAATGACGCCGGGTTTGATGTGTGGCGATAAAAGGACGCCTCGGAATCAACCACAACGGAATCGTGCTGGTCTATGGGCTAAATCTCCATGTTGTTCTGGTGCAAGTCATCTTTCATCTCCGGACGAATTGTCCAACTTGGTCGTGTCGCCTGGATCTACGGAAGCTGCCAAAGTACAGGAAAACTTTGCTTTAACTCTAAACAAAGATGACAATTACACTTTAATTAAACACGAAATGCTTTTACTTAACTTTATTTAGCTCATAAGTCGGGGAAAGCTTGTGCTTCGAATGGAAAATGTGGACCAAAATAAACCAAGGAGAATCCCTTCATCCAGCAGTAGCAGTAGCAGCAATAACAACAATGACATTTCATTCCTATAAAATAAATCCTGCCCTCCCCACCCCTCGTATTTTGCTAAAGCTTGTATTAGATAGATATTTGCGGTATAGTACATTTTTAATTAATAATTTATTTAATTAATGCACTTTTCCCTGAAACCTTTGAATGACACTGGTTGGCGTATTACACAGATTTGGAGTATACTTACGGCGTATTATAAGCATAAACCGAATTTTTGATGATTTGAAATTTTATGATGTATGTAAATGCAACTTCGTATATATTATTTTCAGACGGGACGACACAGCTTTTGCAAAAGCTTCTTATCGTGCTGCGACCATCTTAAAATGAGGTGCTTATCTTACCAGGGTTTTGTAGCAGTGTCACTAGTCAATGTTATCTTAGGGATGATTGATTGATCAATATTACAATGATAAGCCTTCTGCTTTCTTCATGCTCAATCTCATTCAGTTATTTTTTTTATTATCAAGGTAAAAATGATAACAATGTTTTTATATTTTTCTATTATAGCCACGACTACTCAAAACTTACAAAAGTTACTGATCGTTCTGGCACCTGAGAGACCTGCAAAGGTGTAACGTCTCCCATCCCATAATAGCCATGGATTACTAACAACAACTCGTAGTCAACGTGTTCGTGTAGCTTTACGTAATTTAAGAATAATGTTTCCTAATTTTATGTTGTTAAAAAAACCAGCTTTGCAAAAGCTAAGAATTCTAATCGACAAAGTCGCAATCTTTGTTCACTCTCTTAATTCAACTAGCAGATTTTTAGACGTCAGCAGAAAAAGACTGGCTTACGTTACTAGTGGTGCTTACATATACATAAATCTTATCAAGGACTTGGCGTGGTCATTACGTGTCCGTATAAAAAATACAATTATTATGTGCCCTAAATTGACTGTTACCTTCATTAGCTTTATCATCATAACAGAGTTTTGCGAGCAAAAAGGACGAAACAAAATCTTGCAAGAATATAATTCGCGTAGTTTAGTATAGATTAAATCTGATAACAAATACTTACAAAAATGTGAGCACAATTATAAAGCCAGGCCCAAAAGCAGTAAATCATGAATTTGCAAAAACAATTAGTATCTAATTAAGAAAAAAAGTGAATAGTTCATATTAATAGCGACAAATTTGTACTGTAAACTGCATCCATATTACTGTATGTATATAGTTGCTAGGAATAGAAGTGTATTTTTGTATGAAGGGCAATTTTTGAAACTACTGCATTTACATACATACTGCTCCTGATGTGCTGCTTAATTGCTACTTATTGATGGTGGTGAAGAAACAGAAATTTTGAAACATTTTACATTTAATAATTTCTTTCGTGTGAATCTGAATGTTTTTTTTTATTTTAAATTTTATCGTTATTTGTAAGTTATTTCAGTGTTGTTGTTGTTGTAATGCATCACATAAATTTAATTCTGCTTTTTAATCAACACCGGTATTTATTCAGTAATTTTCATTGTATGCAATTTTAAATTGAAAATGGTAATTAATGCTCTGATTTGAATATTATTAGTTGTTGAGCTTTTATTACTTCCTGGTGATTTCCTCTTTGTTCTTGTACTGATATTAAGTTAAAAGTCATTCCTGTTTCTATTGATTGCCGTCTTGTTACAATTTGTATGTCAATTATAATTATATTTAGTATTTATCAAGTAAGTATAAGCATTGATTTGATCCCCCAAAAATTTATTTCCATTTCTATACATACACACATAAGTGCACTATCTAAGAAAAATGTCAAATCATGATTCACATTATTATTACTAAGCATACTTATCATCACCAAGCCGCCCCTTAAAAACGCTTCGCTCTTATCAACCGAAAACTCTTCCCGAAGACAATAATAAACATAATAAACGGGGTTAGATAAGGTAATAATAGAGTGAGGATTTGATACTAATACTACTCGTGCACCTTTTCCTTCATGCACCGTGAATTATTATAGAAATTACGTGAAATCAGAGTGTAAAAAAAAACATCACACAAGTGCAACATTGTTAAACGTGTCTGTATTAATGGTCAATATGTGGACTGGATATTATGTAAGAACAATTTCCACAATAAGTTATTGATCAGGACAATAAAAACGAATTTGCCTTATTTCCTCTTAACATTTACATGCACAGCAATTATAAATATTTACATTGTCAAAGTTTAACTTTGCTTTCCATTCATAATTACATGCATACATAGATGAAAACATGTCACAATTAAAGTAAAATTCATTGCCACTTTCTGATAATAAAGATCCACTCAATAATTTATCACATCACAACAACATCAACAATTTTTTTTTTAATTCACAAACTGAAACATTTTAACACACAGCTTGTGACCACTCTTTTTTCAGTCGATCAATTAATATCAAATTATAATTTATACCGCAAAATCTGTGTAATTGCCAGCATGCTAAATCATAGTTCAGTCTTGTAGTGATGCAATCAATGCTGTCTCTAGTTCAAAAAAGTATGAATAAATAATTCAATGCAAAAATCGAAGGAATGGTAATAATTTTAAACTTTATTTCCCATGAAATTGATCATTAAATGTCTTGGTGGATGCATTTGTTAAATAGTTGGATTGGAAAGAAGTTGGGGTTTTTTCTTCCTCCGACTAAAAAAAGGTCCAGAGGTGTCGTGTCGTGATAACTGGGAGGAGGCGAAGAAGACGTATCTCCCCCGAAGAAAGTGGAACACTGCAGTTGCGGAGAGAGGAGTTGTTTAGTTTAGTTGGGAAAAGTTATCGGAGGAAAGATTGAAGATGTGAAATGTAAATAAAAATTTTGCCTGTTTGAGTCCCTGGAGAGAGGAGGAGAATGCAGTCTATTGTTGGGAAGTAAATATATCGACGCTACATATATACGTGGCAAATGGTGGTGGTGTTATAAAGGACGAGGATTCCCAAACCTCTGAAGAGCGATAAATTAATAAGGGTGAGAAGGCAAAGGTTTTAAGACCCCGAATTCGGATCACAATCCCAAAAGCGATAGATATAAATGGTGATTGATTGTCCTCCTGTGTCTCAATATTGTCTCAGCCCCAACCACCACCGCATTTCCACTTCTCCTCCTCCTCCTCCTCCTCCTATAGCTTCTTTAACTTGCCAATTCTGTATCATCTCTCGGGTTATCTGTCCACACCGGATGTAAAATATGTGTCGAAAAATGGAGCAACTGATCCAATACTATTTGTATGAATGGTGATGATCATGTGGAAACAAGTCGAAAAAGAGCCAGAACTACGTATGTGCGATGACATTTTTTGTGCTCCCTTTGAATTTATTTTCCTTTTGAGATCAGACGGATTTCAAGAGGTCTTCTTCATCGAGAAAGTACACGTATCAAATTCGCAGCTTATTTTTACTTTTTTCCATTTTGTAGCAACTTTGCTCTCCTGCTGTCCTCGTTTCAATCTGGTGGCCCCCTTACTTGCCTCGGACAAAGTAGGCAATCCAATCCAAATGCATAAATAAAGGCTCAACTGAGGCCAAGCAAACTTCTCCGATTGCAAAAACTTCAAACGAGGATCAATCAGGGGACAGAGAATTTTTTGTACCCTATTCTTCTCATCTCTCTCGAAAAAGCTGGTCCTAGGGTGCAGAATAGTTTTTGATCGACACAATTTTCGTAATGGGATCATTTAGTTGGGAAAATTTAATTTAAAGTGAGCAGGCAATTTTATAGGGACGCCATTAGATACTTATTACTCCTGATAAATCTCACATTCCTCTTTTTTCTCGTATTGACAAACTACTTGAACTAATAACAACTCTTAAATTGCTATGCTTAATGGAGGAGGAGAAAGGGAAAGAGCATTGTTGACTCGTAAATATATTGCAGTTTGCCGTGCAGCAAATTGGGGATTGAATTGAGAGCAAGGGTAATTGTGTGTGTACGAGATCTGTAGCATATCCATCGTTGTTAATAAAAAAAGTTAAAAAGACAATCATAAAAGGGCGTTGGCTTCCTTCCCGGATGATGATAAGTACCTCATTGCACTCTTTCTCTGTCATTTCCCTGCATTATTTATTTGTTCCTACGCTAAAAAAGCGAACTTTTACCATCATGTAGACCAGCAGTTAACTACTCACCTACTCACTCGATCCTAAACCAGTAAATACAGAAGGGTTGGGCACTTTCGTGGATACGAATTGACCTTGAATGACCCCGGAACGGTTTGTCGTAGCGCGTTAAAATTTTGAGCAGACGAGCACGTTATCCTCAGATAGTTGTGTGCAAAAATTCAACTCTCTACCTTAGAAAATGCCTCCCCCACAGCCCCCTGAAGTTGAGATAGTCATTTTAACTTTTTCCAAACTCCGTCTAAAAAATTCAGTCCCCGCAGAAAAATTTTAATTTTCAAGTATACGAACTCAAAGTAATCAATTTGACTTACATCAGGGGACTATACAGGTATTTCACTATTCGAAATGATTTTTATCCCCAATCTAGCTTCAAGGTCCTTTGCATTATCTTGGGTTAACTTTGCCGTCTGGGAAGACGCTGCGTCATCATGAAAAATCACCTTATTTATTTTTTTACCGTGCAATTTAGGAAAGTGTTATTCTAAAAGTGGTTTCAATACACGGTCCACATCATACTTTGCAGGTTCCTTCACTTTTTGGGGGACTTTGATAAGTGGGAGGACACCACGACCCGACATTGCACCCTCAACCATAAACTGTTTAAAAAGTTCTCCTTACAAAAAAAACACCAACTTGCGTGAATTTTTTCCGGCATTAGTCGTGTAGTAAGCTCTTCGAACCTAATTAGTAACTTGTAGAGAAATTAGTGCTTCGTCAAATGTTACTAATAAGTCACTCTGATTCCTTGACAGAAAATTAAAATAATTTTTTTTTGTAAACACGGGCGTGATTTTTTTCCTTTTTTTCGGTCAGCTGATGCACACGAGTTTTCCGACCAAGTCGTTTCTTCAAAATGTTAATTTCTCTTTTCACTGAACGCTTAGACACCCCAACCTTACGGGAAATTTCCTTTTGGGTCGGTGGATTGTCTCTGGAGGTCAAGAGGTCACTTTTCCTATGCACGGTCGGAATTAACACTTTTTTTGCCTACTTTCAGGGGGTGGTGGTTGCTATTTACTTAAAATTTGTCGCTTTTCACCTATATTTTTCAATACCTTATTGATTGTAGATTTCGAAACTGTTTTCCATTCACTTTTAAAATGTTTAGCAATTCGGTTGTACGAGTATTTAAGTTTGGAAAAAGTTTTTATGACTGTCTCGACTTCTGGGGACTGTGGGGGAGGCATTTTTGAAAGTAGAGAGTTGAATTTTCGCACACAACTATCTGAGGATAACATGCTCTTCTGTTCAAAATTTTGACCCGCTGCGACAAACCGTTCCCGGGTTATTCAAGGTCAAATTCGTATCCACCAATGTGCCCGACCCCTGTAGAGAGGGACGATTTGGATTTCCGTGTAAAGTTTTTCCCCGACAGACCGACAACCAAAGTGGGCAAGGCTGCTGCTGCTGCTAGCTGATTAATAAATAAATGAATTGGTTTGCTCCTCTCTCTGCTACTTGAGTTTGATCACTTTTACTTTACTTTTTATGCCATTGTGAGTTTTACTCTGTGATGATGATGATCGTAATCCTTTCATTTGTTGAAGTTTCTCATTCTCCACATCCCCTCGTCGTCATTCTCCGCATCTGCCTCTGTTCATGGTCATGAATGCTGGCGAGATCATCTTGGACAAATTGCTAATTTTTCCCCATTGATGATCTCATCGAAAAGAAAGTAGTTACTTTTTTTCATTTTCATCTCCTCTGTCACGATATTGCCACCGCACACGATTCATTCAGGCAATCAAGTATGTATTTAGATACTTGGTAGCAGTGCGACATAAAAAGTTGTGTAGGTATATATATGGATAAAAGTGGATAGATTTCTCTCAATCGTCCACATGTGTTGTATTTACAAAGGGAAGACTCAAAACACAAATTAATTAATTTCTGCCAGCAGCATCAGAGTGTTCATTATACCAAAACGACGGTGGTTTTTAGCCAGCACTTTCCCTTCGTTTTATTATTCCGTTGCATCATCATTATTATTGTTTGTTTTTATTATCCAGCTCACTCACGACTACTGAATGGCTGCAATATGTTATTGTTTCGATGTATATGTAGCCGGTTAGAGAAAAGTTGCCTCGTTGTGTTTTGTGCAGGTCTGCAGCCTCACGTACAGATTAAAGATCGACTTAAAGTACGTCAAACAACAGGAGAATCAAGTGATGAAGGGAAAAACTCATCAATTTAATTTAATGATCAGAGTGGTCAGCTCCCATATTGTTGATATGCTTGTACTTTACTTGTTTCATTTCATTACGTGTGCGTGGTTTGGTGAATGACGAGCGATGCTGCACAACCGACGACCGAGTCAATTCCTGCCCCAAGTGCTCTTCAACCAACCCTTTCACGTAATGAAGCCTCGTCGTCATCAAGAGTATTATCGTCGAGTGAAATGGTTCTGGATCACATCATCACGATCACAATGATTTTTTTCGAGGCTTAATAATAACAATAGTTTGACAAAACTCTTCATCTTTTTTATGGCGCAATGTCAATAACGAAATTAATGAAAGTATTCGCATGAACCAGCCGGTTTCTGGTACAATAATTTTGTTGCAATTGTACGTTGGAACAAAGTACCCTCGGTCAACCACTCAGAAATTAAATCTCAAAAGGAAATCAAGTGGTATAATAATGAAGTTGGAGAGAAAGGTGAGACTCTGGTTTCCAGACTATCATATTTCATACCGAGGAGCACACTCTGCTTCTCCTGGCAGACAGACACAATGGGTGGATACAAGTGAAGTGAAGTTTGACGGAGCAACTTCAAAGACCAAGAGGCAGAGTCGACATGACAGGAGGGATCATGCAATCAAAAGGAAAGTCCTGAAAGAAAGCTCTCCCATCACAGCCTTCGTGCCCCAGCAGCTTTGTGGTAAAGAGGCGAAGGGAGAGAGAGCACTGGAACATTGGGTGTCCGTGTGTGATTAAATATCGGTTTTAATGTTGTACTAATTACATAAATGCCCCTCCTCAGCGAAACCAAGCCAAACAAGGAAGGAGGGAAAAGTAGTCACGGCACAAGGGAAGAAATACGACGATAAGACCTTTCATTATAGAAATTAGTAGGCCATGTTGCCCTTATTCTGCACCCCCTCCAGAAACCCATACCAACTCCGACTCCCCATTTTTATGTGTACCTGAGTTAGTCATAGATAGAAATGGATCCCTTTTAATCACCTTCCACCCTTGTCATCATCGTCATCATCATCATCCCGATGAGCAGATGAGCTTCACGCCTCCATCCATCCATCCATCTCGCTCTTCAATGTAATTAAAGCCTTGGGCAACCCCACTAAAATAAATGACCACGTTTCTTCTGCCTTGTCTTCAACCACTCCAATTATTGCCACATTTTCAAGCTAAATGCCACACATTTACATCATACATAAGTTCGTTGCGTTGTCGGGCTGGCTGGTGTCTAATTAAACAGCACATTCATATTCCATCCTTTGAATGGCAGGTTATGCATCTTAATTTATTACTGGAGTAATTCAAATCAAATAGCGTTATTCCGAGCTCATCTGCTTGACTTATCCAACCACAATGTTATATAATGCTTTTCACCTTTGAAGATGTCATAATTCTGCAAGTGAATCACGTCCTCGTGAGCAAATGAATGAATGGGTGATGAGAGTCAATCGTAATCCGATAATACTGCCACATGCAATGCAAGCAGCCTTTAATACGCGATGAAAGGCATGATTAATATATTATCTCATCCATTTCGTAAGAGTTCATCCTTCCATTACATAAGGGAGGAAGACCACTTGAAGTGCATCCATATTAAAGCAATCTCACCTTGCCTCATCTTCAAAATGAGCTTATATACCTTGCGAAACCCGACATTTATGAAGCTCCATATTAGTTTGACATATGTGAACACTGATGAAGTGAGGACGTGGTGGGGACGAATGCACGTAAGCATGTATCGCTGGAAATGAGACAATACGGCTTTATTGGAATGCTCTATTATTGAGATTGACTCCTTGTCCTGCTGATTATTGGCTAGCATCAGCTCCGCAATATGGACTCGAGACAGACGTCAACGACGACGACGACGACAGTGGTGTGGGCGAAGTGAGGAAGACAAGAAAAAATACATTTCGTCGTCTTGTGGCATCGTTCCAAATGGCAATTTCTTTGTTACCGGAGAGGAAGCAAGTGAACGTAGGTGAGGAGAAGAAAGGAGAGAAATATTGCTTCTCGTTTCCTTCTCCGGAGAGCCAATAAGATTAGGAGAGGAAAATAGAGTCATTTCTGGGTGTGGTGGCTGAAAGAGCTTTCTTAAGGGTGGATTTATTGCTACAACATTTTGCCATGCGACCAACAAACTCGTCTGCTGCTGCTGCTATTCAACACTTACTTTCTCCAATAGCTTTCCCTCCTGCTTCCTATAAATATATACCCCAACCGCCTCTCGTAACAGTGGAGGACCAAAATCTTCTCTCTGCCATTCTATTTCAGACAGGCTCTCCCACTTTCGATTACCAATTTCCCCAAAACACACTCCAATTCTCGAGTAAAAGGCAACCAATCGTTTCCTCCATTACGAGATAGCAACTTGTATTATTTTCATAAAATCCCGATGCATGCGATGCAATCACTTCTACCAACCCGACTCTAATTTGATGTTGTAGTTACGGAATGCAATAACAATAACAGAAAAATACGTATAGTACATACGTACGTGCTGCCTCACCCTCATTTCTTCCTCCTTTCTGGGACCATTGTTATTTTTATTTTGGCGTTCCTTCAATCACGACGACGTTTCCTCTCTTTCAACAATCCAATGATAATAATAATTCAATTAAAGCAAATTATTTTTTCCCTCCTTGTTCAGAAAAGCTGTTCATTCATTTGAGTTTTCACTATTTACACTTAATAAATGTTTCCATTAAGAGCTAGTAAGTAACTAAATTAGAAATAGTCAAGAGCCGGCACTTAAAATAAGAGAATGTTGATGATGATAGTGTTTAACTAAATAGATATGCTGAAATATGACAAAGTTTGTATTAAATACAAACTTTTGCACTAAATACATATGGAAAACCCAGACGTCTTCTAAATGCCAACAAAAGAAATAAATTCAAGGAAATACCTCGTAATTTGCTACTGAAGTGTCAGACAATTTTCTCTGTTATGACTCTATTGTGTAAGTTGTCTCGCCTTGAGTGTACAAAACACGAGAAATTAATGCACGACATCACCAAGTATCCGAATACAATAGCCACACCCAGTCTAGTCGGAGGAAGTGACAGTACAGGGCATAGTTTTTGAACCAGGAGAGATAAAATTCAAAGTTAAGTTGCATATTATTTCTTGATATTTAAAAAGAGATTAACCCTTTCCTTCGTAACGATGGATATATCCGTCCCTGAATTTCGAACGTTGCTGCGGAACAATGGAAATATCCGTCGGCATAAACTTTGCGTTGTGACGGAACAAAGGATATTTCCATCCTAATTTCTAAGGCGTTGCGACGGAGCAACGGATTTATCCGTTGTCTCAAAATTCGCCATAGATACGGAAAGAAGGAAATATCCTTTCCTCTGGTCATTGACTTTATTGCGTAGTGAAGGATATTTCCTCTCATTGAAAAAATATTTTTTCCATGGATTTACACATCTTGAAAAAAAAATCCGTTTTTGAGCCCGAGTCAGGGGCTGTGTATGTATGTATGTACCTGCTTTGTCCAGTGTGTCTCTGTTTGTCTGGTTATCAATAACTCTCGTAAATCTATCCTATCGACTTTAAATTTTGTACTACAAATTTGTATTCCTTTGTCATTTTTAATTTTCCGAAATTTCAAGTTAATAGAATAAGTTTCACGAAGGTCAAGACGCAAGACGGACGGATGGGCAACACAGGTACATAAGTCCTGGGTCGAGCTAAAATGTCTCCATGATTACGTCATTTTTGAAATGAAATGCCTCCGCAGAAAGTTGAATAATTTTTGAAGTATATCCATGGAACATATCACTAAAATTTACATTTGCTCCGTGATAATGTTTGGTAATTAAAAAATTGTTACGCCACTAGCTATGGTTGTGAGGCGTTGCTATTCCGCAGCAACGGGATATTTTTGAGAATTCTCTTACGAAGGAAAAGGTTAAAAAGTCATATATTTGAACTATCGGGCCAAAAAGTCCATCCGGATTCCGTCACAGTTTTGGGAGCCAAAAACCTTGAATTTCGTCGAGTAGGGAGTGAATGTGGATGAAAAAAAATTATTTGCCTAAAGTCTTAATTGGCTGGAAAGCCATGGACCTTTATGCAGGTCTCTGCACCAATAAATAAGTCAAAATTTGGGTACACTCCATATTTCCGGCTTCATTTTATTTTAGATTGAATCTCTTCATTGAATTTACATTTAATTGATTTTTGAGTGAAATAGAAACAAATTATCTATACCCCAAAACCAAAAACTTATTTCCATTTACTTTACTCTCAGTTCTTCTGACCAGACTAGGTACATATATCAATTTATGTCCTAATGCATTGTCTGTTTTCGGATCTTTCACTTAGCAAAGATCAGACATAAGAAATCCGTTGTATAAATATCAGTATTTCTAAAAAACATTCAGTACTCACATTCGTTGTCCACCCCAAAGAAAGACATTTAAGCACTTTCACCCAACAAAGAGACGAAAGGAGAATGCGAGAGAGACTTGTCATCCGTCTACCCCCTAAAACAATAGAACTAGAACTCCTTGTCCTCCATCTTCGCGTGGAAGTGCAGCAGCATTTCCAGGTGGAACTTATAGAGACCTTATTGTCTTGGAACTCGGGGAGAAAGCGGTGCGAGAAAGAACATGGCAGCCTCTTCAGCATCAAGACAGCTTGCGTCACTCGGAGAGAACGGCTATCGCCAAGGTGAGACGTTTCGTTTACCATCAAATCAGACCACCAGACTTTATTTTTCGTCCTTGATGATGGAAATATCACTACTGCAGCAGAATATTGGCAAATAACATGGCATGCATTTAGTAGTTTATCATGTGCTGGATACAAAATTATGTTGCAATCTGAGAAGTAAATGCTTTTTGGCATTGCTAGTTTTACAAAGTTTTAAGCTTTTGTAACCGAGGGTGCAGGTAAGCAATCCAATATGCTTACCAGGCATGTTTATGCATGTTTATTAAGCAAATGAGTAAAGTGCTTAGACCACAAAGAACAACAATTTGTTGAAATTATGAAGCTTTTTTAATCAGTATTTCCCACTCCACATATCATCATAACTAATAATAATAAATGAACATGTTTACTGCTGATAATCCTCAGCTCCAGTCTTGAACAAATGTACTTAAGTAATAATGTCCAACAGGCATTTACCGTTCTTCAACAGTGAATGTTTGGTTACGTGTTTTCCTCCTCTGACAATGACTTTTGTAGGTATGCGCAGCTCTGCTTAATTCTCATTTTCTTTCTTAATCCATACGTACGTACATCAGTATTATAATCCTAATCCTTTGCCATCTTAAACTACACCGTCTTTTACATAAGTAGTATTTACGCTCTTTATTCTTATATAATATGCCTACCACTTGCAAAAACATGGCGCAAAGTTGTTGAAAAGTTACAGCAAATGTTTCAAAAAAAACGTACATAACGAAAGTTAAATGATTGCTCCAAAAGAGGATTTTTTAGCACAAATAAAATAATGACACAATTTAAAGGAATGTTCACTCCGTGGTAAGTAAGTAGTCAAGTCGATCATCATATTCGTGGGTGTTGTTTTGAGTAGTTCAGGCCGTAAAAATACACTGCTTTTTGCTCTGTGACTGCTGCAAAGTTACACAAATATTCACCACACAGCCCACGAACACGCAATCATTTATTTAAACGGGGGTAGGATGACAATCATACAATATTCGTCACATTCTTTCCATCTCTGTCTCATTTTTGTCCTGTGTTTTCGTGAAAGCTATGCATTTGGGATTGAGTTCAGGTCGTCACCAGAAGTGTTTCAACTTTCAAGGAGAAGAAGGAGAGAAAAGTACAGATTGTGGTACGAGAGCTGTCAATGTTTTGAATTGGGGGTGAGAGAGAGAGAGAGAGAGAGAGCAATAAGTGACGGAAAATGTCACATGGTTGATTGATGAGGTGGTGGGCGCATCACGGCATGACATCAACACACAAATCCTTCGAACCTGACTATTTGTTTAGTTGTGGTTGAATTTTGAGATGATGTCCATCCATCCATCCTCTCGTCGTAGAATTAGTAGTAAATTTCTTGTTAGACGACGCACTACACTTATTTTTCATTTCAGACTAGAGAGGAGAGTTGTTGTTGGGAGTTTCGAGACTGCTGGGTGGCCGGAGATGAGGAGCTCATCGAGCTGGGAGACACGCCAAACTGTTGATAATATGGAAGGGAGGGGTAGGAAGCAGATAAATTTTGATGAGGACCGTTTCCCCCATTTCCATTCCCACCTCCAGCGTCCTGACCGGAATGATGGGCTTCGTGGTAGAGAATTGGGACTCGAACTAATCTTTGGGCAGCATGCGCCATGTTGGCCGCCTCCAATTCAGCGGCTAGTTGACGTTTCCACTTGTTTCTACGGTTTTGAAACCAAATTTTGACCTGCAATAGGCAATTGATTGAAGGAGATGAGTACGTGAAATTGTCGAGATAACTAATATGCATAATTTCTGTAGTTATTATTTACTCGTTCGTAATAGAAAATATTGCTGATGTACCTGAGTCTCTGTGAGATGCAGGGAAGCAGCAAGACCGGCACGCTCGCTGCTTGACAAGTACCGCTTGACATCGAAAGTTGACTCCAATTGGAACACTTGGCTGCGAGAGAAGACCGTCCTCGTCTTCTTCTTCCGTTTACTTCCTCCTCCTCCGCCGCCATTGAGATTATTATTATTCGAGTGACCAGAACTCCCCGTCACGCCAGATTTGTTGTTTTCTGAGTTACCTCCCTGCGAAGGGGACCCGTTTGTCCCAATGCTTCCGGACCCACTGACGTGAACTTCCGACTCGTAGTCAGCCCCATCGTCACTGTCCCCGTCTCCCGATGCCCCCTTTGTCCCCTGACTCAAACGAATCTCGATTGAACTTCCTCTCGAGTTGGGACGACTTCGGTCGGAGGAACAGCAATCTGACCCGACCGTGGGGGACTTGTTTCGATCGCCTCGAACTGTGGGAAACAAGAACAATAATAAAAAACTATCCTACTTATGATACCATAATTTCATGCAGGACATAATGTATACTCTACGACATCAAGTTTATTGGGTAGCATGAGTTTTGATCGTCCCAAGTACATGCACAAGTTATTAAGAAATTAAGAGGAGTTAATTAGATCTCATTCTGATTAATGAGGAAAGTGTCAAATTATCAAGCGTTTCTAAATCTAATTAATTACTACGTAGTGACGGGACAACTGGAAGGAGGGGGCGCATACCCAGAGATCGGTGAGTGCTCTGATGAGCCGGAGGAGGCGATCTTGATGACAAAGTGTTGGGATGCGAGGCGAGGCCGAAGGGTTGGGCCAAGGAGGACCAGGGGTACCAACAGGCGGCGGCTGAGCGTTGAAAATCAGTGGCACCATATAAACTCATGATTGCGGCCGAATGTTGCGGTGAGAAAGCCAGTGGGGACACCAAGCCCAACCTGGAGAAACAGAGACAAAGGGCTTTAGTTGCTTTGCAAATGGATTTAAAAACCATTATTGGACGAAGAGGGGCGGGTTTGGCAGATTAAGTCTCCCAATCCTCAAATCAGGAGACCCTCAGCTGCCTCTACACAACCAGAGAAACGGATACTTTTATTTTGAGGACTTTGCTACCTTCATCCATTTTCTCATGATGTGCGAGCAACTATTTAACCGACACTAAATTCTCAACTCAATATTGCCAATTATTTGTATGACGAGTTATGATTGCAACTGTATCAATGCAATTATAAAATCTCACATCACTTAGAATGGATACATTTTATTATTGCATATTAACCGTCTCAATCTTCCCATCGTCACAACTGCTCGAATTTCATTCAACAACCGACGAGCTTCTCATCAAATCAGCACTTTATTGTGACACTACTCTTTACTGGCAACACTCCAACTGGAAATGTGACACTTGTCCATCTCAACCAGAAATCAATGATTCTTTGAATGATGACTGTTCCGTCTAGACTGGTGGACTGGAATGTAAAGGTAACTGCAACTGGGTCATCAGTCATCATTAACCGATAGTTCAATGGCTTCTATCAAAACGAAGTCATTACATTTTATTTGACTCGCCGTTTTTAATAACTCTGTATTTAGTCGCAATCACGCTCTGTTTACAGTAATTATGCCATAACCAACCAGCCATGCGGTCAACTCGTCCTTGTACGGCTGCATTGTCAGAGAAAGCATGTTTTGCCACTTATTTGAGTACGACGAGCAAGAAAAGATGTACATTTCGGGGAAAAGAGTAGTCTAGATTGTACTGAAGCCGTACTTTTTAAACGGAACGAGCAAATCTTTGACGACTACGACGAGACGAAAAATCCTCCTTCTTCTGCTTTATTCTCATGCCACGCTAAATTTTCACTTTTCAATATCCTGAAAGGTTTCAACTTGGATGAGGAAACACTTTGGGAACTAATAGCTCAATCGACTCAGTCACTCAGCCACACACTCAACTTCGTCTAAATCCCTCTAAATTCTTAATCAAAATTTTATCTCTTTTTGGCAAATTACTTGCACACCCCGCAGGAACGAAGGCATGTATTATGGATGGGAAGAAAAAGTTAAGCCCCATCAAATTAAGCCACAATCAGCACAATTTTGGGAGCCAAATATATATATATGTATTTACACAACTAATCCTAAGTATGTACAACTATGGCATCTCATGAAGACGAGGACATGAATATTTTTTGTGATGGTGGTAAAGAGGTTCCTGGAAAAGCAGTGTTTAACCATTTTAATTTTGTACCACAACCAAAAAGATGGAAATTTATTATGTGGGAGACCCTGCTGCCTAATCTCTCCATAGAACGAGTGTTAAATTATTCTTAATACTTTCCTAATTACCTTCCACTCCACCCCACCATGGTGACACTGAATGGGAGCAGGAAGCTTAGTGAGTGCTAAATCTGGCATTGATGGTTTATCAGCCATCTCATCATAATCACTATTATCGTGAATGAATGAACGTGTCTACCGGGTTTACAGGGTACACATGTGAATCCGATTGATTATTACGTTCCAAAATTTATGTATGTATGGCTTCCACGTCTAATTATTCCAGATCCGGATCTGGTTTCAACTGGTTTTTTCTTGGTTGCAGTGATTTCTTTTCGTGACATTTCCTGAGATTATAAGTCAGCATGCAGCAAGTTATAAAAGATGACATAATCCACACCCACCCAGATTTCGCATCTTTTATTAGAGTTCTATGAAGTACACATGTACCAAGAAAACGTGATTGATAATCTAATCTCACCTGGCCAAAATGCTGGCATCGTGCGGAATTAGACTTTCCGTCCCTTCATCTCTATGCGATTTGTTGGCTGCGTGGTGATGATGATGGTTATGGTGATTGGAAGATGAAGCCAAAATGCTGGCGATGGAGAAAGGTGAAACTTTCTGAGATTTAGGACTGGGGCTTCTTGTGACGTGCACGGGGCTGCAAGACCCACTGGAATCAGAGTCTCGAGGCATTTTATTAACCAAAAAAGTCTCACAATCCTATCACCAACTCTGTCAACACACGATGATGTATATCTCTTAACTTCACGGCCAAGAGTGTATTCACAATCTGTCAAGTTTTGTAATATGAATCTGTTTGACATCCACTTGGAAGTTTATCGCACCACAAATGTAAATATCAGGAATTAATATTGTTTTCGAAATCGGATTACTCTTCCTCTCTTGACTCCTCCAGCATAGTTGAGAAAGTTAGTTGAGACACTCGAGACGAGAAGGGGTAGGTTCCATGGCTATGCAAAACTCACTCACTCAAAAATTCGGGAAAATATGAGACACACTGTTTCTTGACTCCTTGTCCTGCTTGATGAGGACAAGTCCGAAGGAGTAGTTGCACACGAGATGTAAGCCGGCACGAAACTTTGATAAGTTGGTGGGTTGGTTGGTTGGTTGGGTGGCGAGGTTATGAGAGTGTTCCTGCAATGAAGAAGGCCTGATCGAGAGTGAAGATTGAGGAGTAAGTGCGATACGTCCTGACATCCACAGGGCTGCCGTTTGGTGGTGGTGGTGATGATGGTTGTTTGTGGGCACAAAGACAAATCCGCTTTTTCCATGGGTACTTAACACTGGGAGCGATTTGTGTGTAATTCAGAGACAATTTTCCGAATGCGCAACCCCCATCCGATTTCCTATTCGTTTCCCCGATTGGTTTATCGGGATGTAATATACTTTTTACTGTTTCGCTTTCAAATCCACGCCTCCCCTCAAACATGCGTCCTCTACCCGAGCAGCCAATCCTCCAATTCGCCTCGTCTCTCCTTTCTCTACTCTGGTTACTCTGGTATGCATGCATATTATGCCTCCTCAAGTATCTCGCAGTCAGTGTTACATGTATGCACCACTCTGCCCTCAATTGCTTCCATATCATGGACAACAACATGGAAGCCGAGACGAGCGAGAGGGTGAGATGTCCACTCACATCATCTCCTCCTCATAATGCAATTCACCACGGCCACCACTCCCCTCCGACATGATACCCTACTTCCATGTGTGTATGGAGATAATTAGATTTCCCTATCAACCCGATTTCCTCCTATCGGATAGGAGGAGACTCTATTATCTCGCCATCCCACTTTCCCCCTCTCGATCCATGGATTAAATTGGATTTAATGCTGACCTGAGAGAGAGAAAGGCGAATGAGGCTGCCGGCCCGTGTGGACTACGTCAATTAGTCGCCACTCAGTCATTCCTATCACTTTCTATACATGCTTCTTTGAATAACCGATCCAATTCTCTTAATGAGTCGATTTCTCTGGACCCATTCATCTCCCCACAAACACTCACAACAAAGTTGCACCCAGTGTAAAACAAGTTGGAAAACAAATTCTGGAGCACAAAGCAAAGCACCACCACTCCATCCATCACTTCTACAAATTACTTCACAAGAGCTGCAAGAGCGGCGGCGGCGGCGGCAGTGGTGGTGGTGGCGATGACGATGGTGAACGCTTCCACCTTTGATTCCGCCCGACCTCTTCGCAATTTATCCTCACTTGCCGACTCCTTTCTTCGTCCGCTGTCTTCCTGCCTAAGGATAAGTTGCCTCGCCATGGGTAAAAGTCGGAGTGAAAAAAGACTCAGACGACGACTCTCCGTCAAACTCTTCCCGATTAATGTGTACACTTTCTCCATTTCCACCAATCTATTTTGGCTCTTGGTGGTGGTGGTGGAGAAAGCACAGGATCGACGAACCCACTCGGTGGACTCGTTCGCAAAAATTACGACATTTACTGACACGAGTATAAATAACTTTGTGGATTTTCTCCCTTCCTCTTTCTAATTTCGTACTAATTGGTTCCATCAATTTGATAAAAATAATATTTTTTTGCATCCATTATCTAACTCGTCGCCCTTGACGTAATTTACAAATTAGGGCAAATTTCGTAACCGAAATCAATCCACATCCGTCCAAAGTGACGAGGAATGGGAACAAATGAGCAAATCCTACTCGGAGAATTCATTTACCTTCAATTTCCCCGAATCCATAAACAAACGTAACCAAAACCTGGCAACATGATGATGATGATCCTTCCTCCTTCCTACATGAGTGGCAATTCAATACTACATTTTGATCCTGACAAGGGCACACATTACCCATTCTCCAATCAACCAGGTCTAATAGGAGAGATGATTACTCTGCTTGGCGATATTTGATATTTGATCCGTAATTACCGACGACGACCTTATCATAGTAAACAAGGAAGACTACATATGTAGATACATCATAGGCTTCCTCATTTGACTACCCATGCATGCATGCACAATAATTCGTGCACTACGCGTATTAAATTAATTTGGTCGAGGTCTCCGGTGGTATGGATGATCAAACGCCATCATCATCATGATTTCCATATGCATCAACTTGGTACATAAATACTTGTTGGAATAATAGTCAACCGAGGCGAGGAAAAATTTCATCTCTTATTATTTTCCTCCATTTAAAACTTGTGGGATAAAAAAAATCCACACTCCCTTAAATTCCAAGGGTTCATTTTTCATCCTCCCCCAATATTTACCTGGTGGTTAGATTTTATTCAAAAGTATGCATTTTTAGATACAGCACTCCACTACAATTACTCGTCTATTATTGGACACTGTTTTATATACATTGAGAAATCTGAGAAGAGTTTTGATGTATTTGTATAACAAACTATTTTTTATTAGTTTTGTCAGTGTGTGAGGAAATGTGAGGGACCACGAATTATCAGTTTTGTCCTCATCTCTCGTAACAACACGTCGAATTGAATAGTGGATGCCAAGGGGTGGCGTTGGGTAAACTGGGTAAGAAAATAGAAACGGAATATAGTAACAAGATTTCCATTGTGGTGATTAGTTACCTAGTAATTTCCTTGTTATAGTCCATTCCATGTGATAAACGGCATTTAAAGAATCCTCTCTCTCTCTCTCAAACTCTTTTGTAAATGACATCCCTTCAAATAATCTCACCCACTTCAGTAATAATATGAATGAAGAAGAAGAATGGCTTGAGGTTGAGGTGGTGGTACAAGGGTAGCAAATTTGACACTCACCCAGCATACAACAGCCCTTATAATTTGTGTACCAAACACATTAGCCCCCCATTTCTTCCCATCTTAATCCCCACACACACTCTAAAAGACCATTTGACAAAGAGCAGGCAACAATGCGGACCATTATTGTCCTCCACTCACTCTCCTCCATCAGCCGTTTAACCAAATGACTATAAATGTTTGCCCATCGAGAGCAATTATTTTTTTTATTTGCTCTTGTGTACACATCTTGGAACCACAAATATGTACTTACCCATTCGACCGGATGAGAACATTTTTGTAACACGGCAGAGTGAAAATGTGTTATTCGACAAATGCCAATTATTTATTTGTCTCAAGTTTCTCGGGTCAAGTTACGTACTTCCATTAAAAGGAGTAGCATAATAACACCTCAAAAAGTGGGTAGGAAAACTTACCGTTTGTGTGTATCTGATGACAATCTAATGGCATTTTTTACAATAAGAACAACACGCAACTTGTGGCAAGTTTTAAGCCTCATTGAAAAGGGAGAAGGGCGAGGAAACCATGCAACCGCTATTCTCTCATAATTGAGACAAGAGGACTCGAGCCCGGATAAAACGCAAGATGTTTGTTCAGTTTCATTTCATTCTTTATATTTTCCTTATTTTGTGCCTTATGCATTTTTACGGGAGAAGAGAGGAAGACAAATAAGTAGGCAAGGTGTGTAGTGCTTGCAGACCAGTTGCGGTTGCAGCTTGACCGTGCACATTACTATCACCAACAAGAGCTCGTCGTAAATAAATATATGTACATACGTATTGTTCGTAATTTGATACATGAATTGCGAATTATTGGAGATTTGAGACATTTTACATTTCCATTGTTCCACTCCATTTAACGATATGCCCCAGGTTTTACGATGTATGTAGGGCGAAATGATCCTCTTTGCTATGTACTCGTTGTGGTAGGTCGTTGTGATGACGGAGGGAATTGACACATGTCATAATCAAGCGACTTTTGTTGCGTGATGGGCCACACATCACATGGGCGACTTGTTCTTCTTTCGGCTTATTCCAAGAGCGCATCGTCATGAAATCCTGCCGTCTGCAATAACTTTACAGAGCGATAATGCCATGCACTTGTAAGTACGTACATATGTACAACATGGTCGAAACATGCGGGTAGTGGGGTGCACGGGTGGCTGGGCTGATTCCTGGTCACGAAATTGACTCTGACTTTTGTAAACAAACAAGGCAGGGCAGAAAACAACATAAACTTGTAAAGGTATCGAGGAAGGTCGATGCAGTTTTGCCTGACGTATGTATGTACACACATAAAGGTGGCTTATTGCTCGATGAAGGGTGAAACTTGGCCGTCTTGGTTGTTGCATTTTCAGGTCTCCTTAAATTTGGGTATACAGAAAATATGTATCTCTGGTATAAAAACAAGTGGACAGATTTTATCAATTCCTATGTCATGTAGCGTTTGCAGTGCTAAATTCCTACCGATTTTATGCGCCTCCTTGAACATCGGCGCGTCAAAAGATTACATTAGATGAGCGATAAGACACATCGTAACAAAAACGGAGAGACAAGTCTTCTTGACCTCGAATTAGTGCTTTCACACTACACAAATCCTTGTCCATCCATCCACAAAAACTCCTTCTAGGGCTCCCACTTGAATCAGGACTTGTATTTGAACCATGTGCTTATCCATTCTCTCTCATTCTCAGTTGTGTTATATAACTAGCAAATAAGCTTAAATATGAGATCCGTTTCACCAAAAATGCAAACCCTTTGAAACTGCCCGATAACGATGAGCACAATAATGCTGCGTATTTATACCTGTGTGTTTTGAAACGATACAACAAATTATTGTTTTGTTTCTCTCTTCACGAGCCCTTTTGTCTTGTTATGAATCTCTCTATGCTTCCCTCCTCGTATTATTAACGACGTAGTCCTCCTCCTCCGAGTAGGAGGAGGACTCGATTTAAAAGCTCTGTTGTGTGTGTCCATGTAATTCGACACTTGTTTGGCTCCATTTACTTTCTGACCAAATGGAGAGCTGGAGAGCGAAAGAGAGATGAGCGCTAAGTTGTCATCGTGCTGCGATGATCCTTCATCATCCGTAGAATCACAAGTACAGAATTTGTAGAGGAAGATCGTATTAAGTTCTCTGTCCATCAAATCGCAGTTCAACCCTTTCGACTCTTTGTACGTAAATGGATCATAACAAAAACAACGGTTGATCTAATTTGAACATTTGTTCGACCTGTTTCAGGAAGATCTTCATAGTAAAAACAGGAAGTTTTCTGCATAAATTACACATTAAGTGGGACAATTATCAGATAAGCAAGTTGTAAAATTTGAGTTATTTAGTAGAAAGCAGCCAAACTATTTAGCAAACTTCATATGCGGGTAGCATATTAGTAGGAAGAGAAACGGATACATTTCATCCGCTTATCCAACTTCCAATTCCTTCCTTGCAACCCTTCCCAAAGAAGGAAAAAGTAGATGACGAGAGTTATGTCGGGTTCGATTTTGTTGTGTAGCTTATAA